GCAAACTTGTTCTGGTCTCTGACCTGGGGCTCAGGGGCATTGCGTTTGACACCGGAGCGAGTCCGGCGGGTTGATCGCGCTTGCTGTACGATATTGACTTCATCCTTGTCATCGGGGCGTAACTACTCTCAGACATGCCCGCTGATGGCCAGAGCGACAAGCTGCAGATTGACGTTGATCGAAACTAGCACTTCGATGACAAGGACAGTAAAAGATGCAGCAATGCCAGTCACAGCTAGTGTCAAAGACTGTGGATTCGTTCGGGAAACACAGCAATTCTAGACCTCGATTAGCTTTGTGTCTGGAAACATGAGCATTGCTAGCTCACCATAGACAAAGGGTTCTAAGGCGAGGTTGTAGCCGCGGGAGGTAGGTTGACAATACTGAACAAAAACTCGCAGGCGGCGAGTAGAGATAGATGAGGTTTGGAAGGCAAGTGGGGAAGTGTTGAGGTTGAGTGCATGACCTTCTGCGGCTCGAAAGTAGGAAATATGGAAAGAGGAGTGTTGTTATTGAGGTGAGTGAACGGGTACTTGCATGACAATGGCTCGCTTGTTCCCCAGCTTCCCTTCGCTTGGTCGATAAACATCATCTTCTTTAGACAAGTCTCTGGTCACTCGCGCTGAGGTACACACGAGGTCCGTCCCTAGAGAAATGTGGTATGGATCAAGTGCTGTAACCGGAAGAAAGGGGTCTACGGGTGAGGGACCTATCTCAGTGTTTCGATGTTTCCATCAAGACTGATACATTGTCATCGTACCTTTGCGTGGCTTTGTAGTCTGACTTGTCCGAGGTGGCGTGGGTTGGGAATGGTACACAAGCCTCCTCGACGAGAGCTCCAAGAACCTGTTTGGTACGCAGAGTGAATGTTTCGAAAGTAGTGAGTGAACAGGCAGAAGAGACATGGATTCAGCGGAGGTCCGAACGAGGTGTCGTAAACGTTGAGGGAAAATTGTGCTTGCCTGACTCTGGTGGCATCGCTTCACTTTTGCAGGAACGCAGACACCTATCTGCAATCACGCCAACTCACCTCTTGAACCTCACTACTACAACCACCGCACCACGACACCCACATCAAAACCTCAACTTACAGCCATGGAAGAATTCGACCCTGCGGCAGCTTACCACGAGTATGTGGACCACCAAATGGCCAAAGCTACTCGACAGTACAAGCGAGAGGAGTACGACAAAGTCATTCGGGTCTTGAACAAGCTTCTTGATACAGTCGAATTGGGTCTCATGATACGCATGAAGGCGCAACTCATGCTGATGGTGTCGTACGACGATTGGAGCCCCTCAGAGAAATACAGACCCCTGGCCGAAAGACTCTGGACTCGCATGGGTAATGCCGTGCCGCTTCACGAAGACAAGCATCTCGACACCACTCTCAAGGAGATTCGCGAGTTCCTGGACGAGTTCAAGGCCGTCCAAGAACCCCAGTCCCGAGAGTCCTACGCTGCACCGCACTCCAGCCCCCATGTCCCCCACCGAGCCATCAAGCACCTGTTCCTCTGGCTATGCCGAGACTCCTAAGTTTCAGCGCAACAGCTTTTTCGGCCAGAAGTTCACTGCCCCTTTCAGAGGTTCGACTGAACAGAGCAAGACCAAGGACAAGTACAAGAAGAGCAAGAGGGAGCTATACATAGCTACACTCGTTGGTGCCCGCCTTGCTATCAGGAACAAGAAACCGTTCAACAAGTCGCACATTGACATTCCTGACTGTGAAGATGAAAAGGAAAAGGAGGCGTTCTGAAACAATTCAAGAGGTTCTCTGTGACAAGATACAGTCTTGCCAGACAGAAATGAGATTACAGGTAGCTATAGGTATTGGTCTACGAGCGCTACAACAAACCATTTGATGCGTTTTCGAAAGTGTTCATTGCGACAGTTGAAGATTGCGATGTTGTTCATCTCCTCTCTTATTCTGCTTCAACATATTCTTCGCTCTTTTTTCTTCTCTTGTGTCTCCCGCTTCTCTTTCTACTCTGCTGCTGTAGGCTTGGAGCCAATCGACAAGGGTATGTTGTAGAAACCAACATGAGCATCACTCTTGTGGTACCAGTCGTAAGGAAATCTGCCGAAATCAATATTGGGCTTCCATGCAACCAGAGCCGTTGTCTTGATCATCGAGCGGCGCTATCTGAAAGTTTCTCCCTGGATGCAATTCCCCTCTTTGGTTGTGGTTAGTATGGCATGGGGTGTCTTGTCTAGCACTTGACATACAACATTTGCAAGATTTGCCGCCCGCTCCCTGTCAGGACAAACGTCAGTCGCGAGGCAACAGTCTTCCCCGAGTCTGTACATTATAGTAAGACTCGTGACCGCCTTTCCATCCGTGATTGCAGGGTCTCTGGTGGATCCATGGCGAGGAACTGAGAATGATTTTATGACTTCAGCATTTGCGTCGTTCGCGTCCACAATCAGGATCTTCTGTGCTGTGACTCACACTTTTGTGGATTGCCACTTTTATCTTGGACAGGTTCACCGATGTCGCCCATGACAGTCCGATCGACTTCAGACGTCTCTAGGGAAGAGACGACGAGCTCGGACTTCCGGTTCTGACAATCGTCTGACTCCAAGATGTGTCGCAGAGGAGGTTGTGGAGACGTCTAATCTGTCTGTACCACGTCACTCTTGATCGGCAGTCCGCTCTCGATGCCTTAACGGAAGCGAATGACATTACTGTTATTGCTGTTCAAGGGCAATGTAGCCGGACCAAAGTCGTGTGTCGTGTTAGCGGTATGGTGCTTTGTAAGTGGGTTGATTTTCACAAGTCGGGGTCTCATGGGCTTCGTTGACTTTGTGGCATCAGTATCAGAGACGCGCTTATTGTTCTTGCGTGAGGTATTTGTGCTGGAGGCGGATTTACGGGCAGATCTGGGCGCCATGATGGGTATCTGCAAGTTGGTTCGTCAACCTTGAATCTCGCACACATGGACTGGTATACTACTGGATACCCTTGAACGATCTGATTATCGTAGCTGAGCAGGAAAGCAGTCGTCTGGTGGACCCAGTGAAGTAGTCTAGTGAAGTGATCCAGTGAAGTAGTCCAGTGAAGCTATGTTGGTCCTGGTATCCCACGCGTTGACGAAGACGAAAGCAGCTCGCCAGATGCTGGTAGATGATTGCTCCGAAAAGACTGAAAGGTAAGTGAAGGTGTATTGCGGGTCAGAACAGGGTAGTCAAAAGGATAGGTATCAAAGCGGCGGAGCTCTTTTATCTTCCAAAGACAACACGGCCAATGGTTTGACACACAAACTCTCCCAGAAGACCGCGGAACAGAACAGAGAAGAAAGAAAGTGAAGCCGGAGACACGGGTTGCGAGACATGCGTTTATCTTGTGCCACCAGGCGCAGCTTTGCGAAATTTGGTGTTGTCCACGCACGTTTCCACAATAACTTCTTTCGCGCCACGCCAACAAAGTACAGCACCAAGATGGAAGAGGACCCACAAATCATCCAGGATATCTCCTCTCTGCATCATGGTCATGTCGACCAATTTGTTCAAGATGCTCACGCGTTGTTGATGGAGCGTTATGACGAGGAAAAAGACGAGCCATGCATTGAAGGTTCTCATCATCTACTCAACAACTATCCTGTCTGCTCCTTACTTCGCATCAAGCTGTACTGTATCATCAGCATGTCAAGTGAAGACTGGAACGATGCCGAAGAATACCGCAAGCGCGCCGAGTCTCTGTACGTCACATTGATCAACCAGTTGCCGGTAGGCATGAAGGTCGGTGTGGACATAATTACCATACGCCACGAGTTGGACGCACTAGCAAGGTACCAACTGGAGAATCAGCTGATCACCCAAAACGCAAAGAGGTCTGAACCACTCCCTCAACGTCTGACAATGCTCGACCTCGCAGCGGTCGTCGATAGAGACGACACTCAGGAATACATGCAGCATGTCCAGTATATCATCGAGGAGTGCGAGGACATCGATGAGAACTACTACGAGAATGATTTTGCTGCCTACGAGAATGCTCTCCAGCACATCCTTGACGACCGCGGCGCCATTCCACCTCTCATCGCCCTGACCACCAAGATATCGCTGCCTCCAAAACCGAGAACACAAAGGAAACAAGACTTCAGCACTTCGAGCCAGAAACTCCTTCGATCGAATCTCTGACTCCAAAGAAACATCAACATATCCTTCCCATAAGATAGAAGTTTAGCTGAATCTCTTCTTTTCTTCACAATAAAAAAGCTTCCGATATCTCCATGGCCATATCTCGGTTTAGAAGGCAACTGTGCATTCCTATAGCCTATTTTCACCCGGAGAGTGGTCGATGGAGGAGAGAAAGAATGCCTCACAAAAGGAGGTCGAAGATGACGTTGCGCGCCAAATTCGCGTTGCCAAAATCGCGTCACCCTGGGGATTGGGCCGTTGATCAACAAGTCGATATATTTACACGACGCACTTTGCTCAATAACACCCTCCTTGTTACAAAGACACAATGGCATCGGCAGCTCCCCTTAAACGAAAGCGCTCTGGCGAAGATGTGACTTCGACTGCACCCAAACGAATACTCCGCCCAAGATCTGCTCCTGAAATAACCACAATAGTCATTCAGCCAGCTTCAATTTCCAAGACTCGGGTCAAGAGATCTGTCGCAAAGAGAACAGCACCTACTCTGCCAACGACTACAAACCCAAGCTGCAACCTCCTTCTCCAAAAGGACCAGATCATTGAACAACTGCGGCTCGAACTTGCCGAAGCACACAATGAACTCACCAAAACACAGAGAAGGCTGGAAGAGGTCGAGAAACGGCTTCCAAAGCCAGCCACCGCTGTATAATTCAGCAGTATCGCTCGTGGAGTCGTCAACAAAGCGTATGTTATGGGTCTCGATCTGTTTCTAATCGGCTGCGCGGAAGTTTCGCGTGTGGCTTCGTGTACCCCTCAATCCCAACCACTCCTCCTCGAGTCTTGTACATCATCCGCTTCCTCCTCTTCCTTCCAACTGTTTTTCGACTCGAATCAGCAACACAGATATGCCACCCGAGAGAGCAGTCACCAAACGTCAATACTCGGCCGTGGACGTCAAGTCGGACGCGGGTTCCTCAGCTTCAGAGGGCACCGCCCGCGCCGCTCCCAAGAGAAAGACATCTACAACAAAGCCTACTGTTACCAAGAAGAGTCCGGCAGCCAAAGGTTCCACAGTCAATAAACTGTACAAAGACAGCGTCAAGGCCATCGAAGCCCACCTCAAAATCCTTGATGGCAAAGTCCGCAAGATGAGCCCCAACAGCCGCGCAATCTCGACAGATACATATGCGCAGACATCGCTCAAACACCTCAAGCCTGTCAAAGAGTTGGAGAAGATGGATGGAGGTCTGGTGGCTGCGTTCAACCTCGCAATGTATGTCGCCGATGCTTCACATACCGACTGCGATACTACATCCAAAATGTCTGGATACGGCGATAGCGAAGCTCCCTTTGCCGAATTGGATGAGCAGCTGCTGGACTTGATTGAGAAGAGGAATACACAATTACCAGCTACACGACAAGATAAGCTACCTGCTGTGCCAAAGCGATGGACAAGAGCAGACGCCGATGTAGGCGTGTTTAAGACTGGGAGGCCAAACAAACAACAATACGGTCAAATGGAAAGACAAAAGCTGGAATGGGAGAAAGACAGAAGGGAGAAGAGGGGGGAGAGGAGAGTGATTGTCGATGATTGGGCTGCTGCTGCGCTACAAGATCTTGAAGAGGAGAGGGATTATCTTGAGCAATATGGTGTTGAAAAGTATTTTCCAAAGAGTATTGCTAGGCTGACGGAGTTGTCAAAATCTGAGGATATGCTTACTGCTGGAGGTGATGCTGCTTGAATACAGACATCATCGTCCCACCACACACCTCTTCAATACTTCTTTCCAGTCTTCTTCTTCGACTTTTTCTTCAGCGAACTCTTTCCTGGGCTTCCCATCCTGTCCTTTATCCCAGTCTTCAGCTTCTTCAAATCCTTCACAACGAACGCCTTTGCCAGTTCGTCCATATAAACCTCTTCTGCCGTCTTCACCTTCTTCGCGATCTCTTTACCACTGGAAAAATCAATCACTTTGTCGCGATAGACAATTCCTGGGTCTTTCACATCCGGCATCCATTCATCCGCCTCAAACTCCAGTCCAATCGTTTTGATACGCTTTGGCATGGGGGTGTTATCGGAATCGGTATATCGTATCCCAACTGCTGCGAAATCTGAAAAGGCGCCACTTCCGAATCTCAAGTATCGTGAATTCCAAAAGTCGTCGCTGAAGAATTGCCGGATGTACTGGATGTTTGTCAGCACTTGACGAATGTATCTCTTGATGTTACATTTACTTGCCTCCATCTTCATCGCGTACCAGGTATGGTGGAAACCACCGTCGTCATCGACACTCCGTCTGGTTTTGTCGTCAAAGTATTCCAAGTCATTGACTCCTGGCCATTTCCAGGCTACCATGCCAAAGGGTGTCGTTTTTGGACCCGCATTCGCGCTATTCGGCTCCATTATCACACCTTTCTAAAGAGCAGAACACAATCAGCAAAATCTTGTGCAAGCTTGATCTCGTTTCTCCTCACATGGATACTAGTTTCCAAATCACATCCTTCTTCTGCTATACTTAATCAAGGTGAAGGTATGATTAGCATGTTTCTTATGTTTGAGCATGGAACAAACAGCAGTCCAAACCCTCACATGACAGGTTCTGGTTCATGCTATATGTGCCTTTGCTTTACGTACCGGTTATCGTTGCAGAAAGGTAGGCTAATGAAGGGCAATTTATTCGTATTGCCCCTAAAAATTGATCAGCAGTCATTCTACAATAAGTATGATCTACGAAAATGGATTGGTTACCTCCAAACGTGAGCCAGTTCATGGACGATGGTCGTCGCCAACCACAACTGCGTGCGTAGGGACGAAGCAAGATTCGAGGCTTGAGGGTTGTAAAGACTTGCAAATACTGCCCTCCCATCTGTGATGATGTATCGCCACATGTGGTCAATTATGACTTTAGATGCACGCCTGGTNGTACATCTCAACATCAGCTGATGATCATACAGTATCATCCAAGAGAGTCCAGCGCATGTAACTTACGTATAAAGACCACCTCTCAGCCCGAGCTTATCCTTCAAGTTATACGTTATTGCATTGGCATTGTTCCACGCCATTGTCTCTCCCCATTCGAAGTATACATAGTTTGACAGTTGTTCTAGCTCCCAAGCTGTTTGCATCCTTTGCTGACGTGTGGATCGACCAGTATAGTAGACATAAATATCTTTTTTTCATCTTTGTGGGGACTGGATTATGTTAGTCGAAAGGAAATCGTCGAATGCACGCAGGTATCACACTCGCCTNTCTTGGGTCCATCTTTCACCCAGAGCCCAAAGCATATCAAGAACACTATCCATTTCCAGCATCTTGGTGACAATCCTCAAGGTAGGCTTTAGACATTCGTATTCAAAATCGGATGTAAGGCGGAACTGATTACGACCCACAACGGGATGGATGCCATCATGGTTGCCAATGAAGAGTCCAGGGGCAGTCCTGTGTACATTCGCTCTTGCTGCAACTTCTCTGTCGATACGGAACTGAGGGGATATAGGCGAAAGAAGACCAGTGCCTATATTGATACAACCCTCATCAAGCAGCTTCGAAGGCGTGAGATATCTCAGAATGTAACTGTCTCCAAACCATAGTTTACAGGGATCGTAGGCTGGAGTGTCTTGGTTCAATTCTGGTATTGGGCGAGAGACCTTTAACCCAGGGTAAGGGTTTTTGCCGAGAGCCAGCACAGAAGGAGATACATCAAACGTCCTTGTTCTTCTGACCCAATCATGTTTTGAAGTCGCGAGTTTGGGGTCGGGTCTTTGGTTGACTAGACATAGGTCTGGGTCTCGGGCGGCGTTTTTGACGAAGTCTTCGCTCAGGGTACTGCCATCGAACGTTGACGCGTCGAAAGGAGGTGACTGTGGTACGGGGTTGGTAGAGTGGAACATTTTTGATATCCGAGATTGATGACACGGCTTTGTGCAAGATATGTGATGAGCGTCAGCGTTGGGGTATATGTTATTGAAAACTCAATATAACAAGTATATGGAGAGTCAGATGGTGATGGATTTGTTACTCGACTCTAAGGGCCTCTGTTGACCGGATTCGGCAGTCAACCACAAAGAAAGTTGTCAACATGCGAAGTGTGCTTTCTTTGTTTGCCAGATTCGACCCAGCAAGCTTACTTGGAAAAAGTAAAAAGAACTCTACTTGCTGTCTTGTGGGGAAGGAGAAGATTGATCAAGAAGGAAGCTACGAAGCGTGATATCCCCGAGTATCTCAGCACTTGCCTCCAAACCTAGACGTTTCTCCCACATCTACTAGCTGAAAGAAGGAGACCTTAACAGGTAGTATCTATGCAACTATTGAATCTCCCAAGTCTATCAGCATCTCTAGACAATATCTCACCAAAGTTACATAGCTCGTCCAGGAAATTTTTCATGAAAAGCAACTTATCCATTTCTCATACAGATACTCATAAGTGTGATATCGAGTTCCTACAGTAACCGAACAACATCGACTTTTGCTATTCTGCCTAGTCATCGTCATCACCCTCATCTCCATCTTCCATTTCGATATCGGAGTCAGATATCTCTCCACCCAGAATATTCAGAGCTTTGTCTCCCGGGTAGATGATTCCTTCCTCAACATCAGAAAACTCATTGTCAGAGTCAATCTCAGGATCATCTTCCCATAACCCAGTCAGAGAGTTCTGCTTTTGTTTGACTGTCGGACTTTCCAAATCGTCGAATTCAGACTCGCCATATTGAGACTCTCGCACACCCACAGCTTTGTAGTTTGTCAAGGCTCCATCGCCATACCTCACCACCCGATTATCCCAAAAGTCATCTAGGAAGAATTGACGTACATAACTCATGGGAACAGCATATATAGTGTGAAACTTTATGCCATACTTTGCAGTACTGGCTTTGATGGGAAGACCCTCATCAACACGACTTTCTAGCCCAGGCCATCGAATCGCGGCCATTCCAAAAGGCATTGTGTCCACGCTAAAGTTTGCTTCATTGTCGATCAAGATGACGTTCTTGTTTATGACAGCTTCGAGAGCGAAGCCTTCTTCTCCTGCTCTGTCGTCGTTACGGAATGGACATGTCTGGGCATTCTCTGTCGTTACATTCTTCTGATGATTTCAGATAGAATCAGCATGAATCTTTGTGCGGATGTGGCTGGTTTATCATTGCTTTAATCAAACTCAGGGCAGACTTACAAACCAAACATGGGTCAACTCGTGGAGTATGAGATTTGCTAGAAAGAGTTGTGTTCGCATGTACGCACTTGCATCCGATGCTGCTGGGTAATAGTGAGAAGCCTTTGGTCAGCAGTCAGCGAGAAGCCAGAAAAGACCAATGTAGAAAGTCACCTCACATTCAATTGTGTTCCACCAGAGATGATATAGAGAAGATGGTCATCAAGTTCAGTATCGCAAGCATGGCTGTTCACAAAATGTCAGCAGTTGTTTCCAACATGGTGCGACTTCTTGATATCCACCTACCGATGATCACCTGGACGAAGTCCTGACCTGGTAATATCTGCGGTTGTTGAGCCATGCACCTCATCGTGAATCCAACTGAACTTGACGTAATCCTGGAGCCCCCTCATCTCACTCTTGGTATGCACTCTTTGTCCCACCGTAGATCTGCCTGTATAGTATACTCGATGTTTCTGCTTTTGGGCTTTTAGCATCTTGGTCTGAGGTAACTTTTGCATCGGTTGTCCCAAGGCAAACCATAGATCCAAGACACTGTCCATACCCATCATTTCTGTCACAATTCGCAACACTGGTTTGAGGTATTCGTACTCGGCATCTGAAGTTTCTTCCCAATTGCTTCTTCGAAAGCATGAATGTATATCTTTGTTGTTGCCAATAACATTCATGACTCTTTTATCTGTACTTGCGATCGCTAAAGTTGCTTCATCGGCTCTGAATCGAGGTGATATCTCTATCTCGGGATAGTCATCACTTTCCAAGTTGATGCAACCTAATCTCATCAGCTCATCGGGTGCTACAGAGTAACAACAAATGTCAGCATCTTCCTCTATACTACATGATCAGATACTGACTCACTTATATGCCGCAAGATCATGCTTTCTCCCATCCAAGGGTCGCTGACTATGTATTCAGGTGTATACTTCTGCAACTCTGGGATATATCGTCTAATGTGTAGTCCAGGATATGGATTCTTTCCAAGAGCGAAGACGGCAGGAGAAACGTATGTTGTGATTTTCCTTTGATACCATTCCTTCGCAGATGTCGCATCTTCTATAAGTGGTTCGGTACCATCGCATACTGCTAAAGGTGGATCGCGGCCCCATTCAGAGCGCATGTTTTCTGGTATGTACCTCGATTTGAAGGTCAGAGGGTCGAATGGAGGGGTAGTTGTGATGATGAAGCTTGACCAGCACCAGAAGGTGATGTCTGGTCAATCTCCATGGGCGAGCCGTTTGACATTTTGGCACGGTGAATTTGGTTTGCTGTGAGTGAAGAGATACGATGACATGACTTCACACTGTATCGCAGAGTTCAACATGTCTTCAGACACATAACTCAGAGCCCTTGTGTTCCGGATTAAAAGCCTACCACAAAGAACCGCATGGCTTCTTTCTGCATTTGGAAGCAAGAATTGAGGCCAAATCTCTTTGTCACCGGACTTGTCTCGAGCATCTTGATAGACGAGCAAAGCGAGAAGAATATCGGGATCAGAGATGATCTTGAAAGAGACGCTTTTTCGTGGCGGCGAAGCAAAAATTGTCGACCACCTATGCATTACGCAAGATAGACACCAGGAGCCTTCAGCAAAGCCTTCAACCAAAAGTATAGCATGAAGCTTTCATTTGTTGCTCGTGATATAAGCCAGCCAAAAGGACAAAAGAATGTGCTCTCCATCAGGGAATCGAACCCTGGTCTCCCGCGCTTGACGAGATATAACTCTTGACAAGCGGAAATCATGACCACTAGACCAATGAAGATGAGCCAGCTGTGCTGGTATTGGTTTATGAAGTATTGTCTGGCGTATCAGTATATATCCTCAAGACCGCCAGCAAAACTGATGATGCAAGGAGGTCGTGTTCATGCGACCGTGAAGCATGTGGATTTTCGTGTCTGTCAGTGTCTGGCGACACGAGAGTATCAGGACATGTGCGAGTTAGATAGGCTTAGCTGAATCGATACAAGATCATTGTAAGTGTGCGATGCTATTGCCACAGTATTGATGGCTGCGGTTTGTATGTTGCTGCTCGCCAAATGATTGTGCGTGGCGTTCCTTCTCGCGACGAATGCAGACGTAAGAAGATTAAGCAGCGAGAGTACCCTGAGTATTCTCCAGTTGGACTCTTTAGTGGATATACATCAAGTCGAGCGTACTCGATATGTGATGCGAGATCGGCAGGGTTGAGATGGAGGTTAGAATGCAGATGGTGAGATTAGTAATGTACACTCAACCGTGAAGCCTGGACCAGAAATTCTGCCCAAGTTCTTCTTGTTGATGTTCAAACCCTGTCTCTGCATGGAATCGAGTGTTGCAACACAGCAACGAAGAAAGAACAATATCTGTTTTGGTGGAAGGTATCTCATAGATATAGGTCATCGATTGTGCTGTCACTTGGTCTCCGAAATGCTGCGTGGTATGGATGAGCATTAATGTCGGAGCCAGTCAGCGAAGTCCACCTACGACCATCGAGATTACCGATGTATTTTGATTGAACTCGGGAGAAACTTAAAGTGAAGTTTTACTAGCAGCAACAAGCTCGATCTGCTTGCTATCACTCTTCTTCAGTCAGAGTCTAGTCTTGAGAGGTGCGACTGGATCTTGCCGTCCTCATCGCCCCTTCCTCGCCGGGATTTCGAGAATCGAAAGTGTTGTATACAAGCTTGGCTTTCTGTCCTATCATCCTGGCGCTTTGGCTGAGTGGTTATAGCGATAGACTAGAAATCTATTTCCTTCGGGAGCAAGAGTTCGAATCTCTTAGGCGTCGTATCTTTTGTTCGTGCATGTTGGATCAACTTCTTTTTGGCTCTCTTCATGCCGAGGAAGGGCATGGTTGTGAGGGTTGTGGTGCTTTGGAGTGGGAGAATGCATAATGTTTTGCCTTAGTGGCGGAAGATAGAGGAGAATTCATGATAATGGAGGATGGGATTCTGATCAGGGAACAAGGTCGTCTGTCCAGCCGCTTGCCAAGTGACTGAGAGCAATGTCGATAGGAGCACAAATAAAACACCAAGTCAAGTCTTGGTTCTATACACACTTTGGTCATGCATAAGGACTCGTCGTTCGAATAACTAGGGCAGATCAACAAGGCTATAAGACGATCGCCTCTCGGTACTTCATCTGCCGACGCGACGACAATACAAGGATCTTATATACTTATAGCAAGGCTGGTGTTATGATATCGAACAAATTGCACAGCCTTAAGACGATCGATATCAAAAATACGGAAAGTGAGCCACTTTGCAAAGGATCTACTCATGTTCTCGCAAAGAGACACTCTTCACTCCTGCATTCTTCGCAGATCGCAGATCGCAATAATCCCACAGATCTTGCAAAACATATGGAGCAATGAAAGCGATGCAACTTACAACAGTTCTACCTTTCCTAGTTACTCGCCATCGTCGCCGTAGGCCTACACACAAAACAACGCGCCGACGGCACAGAAAGTAGCAAATGTCCCAAAGATTCTCGAGCCAGACCTCGCCAAGCAAAAGCACCTACTACTTGTAGCGATAGGCTCAGTAGCAACCCCAAGCTTCAACACCGAAGCAGAAAAGAAAAGCCGAAGAAACAACGGCTCCTCTTTTTGTTTTGGAGGGTGAAACAAACGGACCTCCGAATGCGAAGGAATAGGCTTCCGAACAGCTAAAGGGCGGGACTGGGCTTTTATTTCGCCCTGACACATGTCGTTCGATTGGAAAAGACATAAGATCCAAACTAGATTTGTCCCAAAGAGCAAGCAAGATGTCAAAGCCTTTACGAGATAGAAAATGATGCTACACGGCTCGCTCTACTTTGCCTTGACAATATACGTGCCAACGTAACAAAGTAAAAAGAAACGAGATGGGAATTGAAAATTGAAAGCCAAATCAAAACCTGTTGTCTGGTGAAAGCAAAAACGTAGACGGAACACTCTGGAAACAAGAAGCCAATCAACACCACACGAAAGGTAATCATACAAGGAAGGAAGGAGAGATCAAACCATGAGAGTAGAGCGACAGAGGTTACAAAGTTGCCTTCAATCGAGCAAAGCGGTGTCTGGCGGTACGCTCTGTTTTGGGATGTCAGGCCGCCCAAAGTCTCGGTCCGGAAATAAAATGAATAGGAAGGTACAGCGGAGAGTCTTACACTACCAACACGAGCGTGGCGTCTACCTTTGACAGAAAGAATGATGATGCATGTAGACGAAAGTGTATGTGTAGTGTTTGGTGTGTTGTTTTACATTGTCGAATTGAATCCCAACGCCTGCGCCTTGGGTATATGTGTACGGGTAAATAGCTTGAAATAATGTAAACGAAAACAAAATAAACCAGGAAAGTCCCGATCATATCGAACCAAGGACCAACCATTCTTTCGTCTTGACTGCTTGCCCAAATGGTAGTGTGTTCCGTCAAGCAAATGTAGCGGTTCGAGTATGCTCTACTTCGACGAACGTGGCTGTTCCCCTCCACGTGGGAGGCTTCCATCAGTGTGATTTCAGATGTATTGTTCGTGTCTTTTTCTGCTCGAGCAGATCGTAAGGCGTAACGGCGTGCATGATGATCATCGGCGATGCATGCATGCCTACTTAGCGTCGTTCATCTCGACATCCACACGTCCTGCGGTGTGGTGAACCATACTCCTTTCCCCATCGATCAAAGGTTTGGGCCCCTCGTGTCCTCGAGGTGTATCCTTCGAAATGTCACTTGCGACCATAGCTTCAATCTTGACCTGTGGCGCAGCGCGAGTTTCCTCCGGTTTTGGGAAGAATTGTTGTGCCATGCTCTGTACACTGGGATTGTCGATGCCGTGAGGGAAAACCTTACGCATGGTCTCCTGATGACGCTCCAGAATGCTGGTTTCACCATCGGTAGCATGTCCATCCACACTGGGACTTGCGGCACTCATTTCTCCTGCATCATGCTCTGATGCTGAATAGGGGGTGGACTTGTCCTTTGTGTCTTCGGAAGCGGCGGAATTCTCCTTGTTGTTGGCGCGCTCCGCCTCCTTCTTCGCATGCACCTTTTTGAGATTCATGGCACTGCTTACACTACGCATGTCTGGTCGTCCGTCCTTGCGTATTAGAACACCATCTGCGTTGCGTACGGGCTTGGTGCGGGTCTTCTTGGTCGGATGGTTCGAGGAAGCTACGTCGGCCGTCGTGGTAATGGGCATGAAATGCGGGTCGGGGTACATGCCAGCTGTTGTTTCGCTAGGTTGGTCCGAAGCTTGTACTGGTCCTCCGTGTCCTTCGGGCGGATTCAAGATGTGAACACTATCGGGACGAGGCTCCCATTCTGGTGTGGCACGATCTCCCTCTGGACCTCCGCTCTTACGGCCACCTCGACTTCTACCTCCTCTTCCCCTTCTCGGACTGTCTCGTGTCTTGTCCATCATTGATCCCGGTCCTTGACGCCACGACTCCTCTGATGTAGATTCTAATCCCGATGCGAATTGCACAAAACGCAGAGGATTAGGCTGCGGAGGCACACTTCCAGTAGATTCGTTGGAAGGATTCTGTGTCGATTGCAAGGTAGGAACCGTGGGCAATGAATCACCAGAGACCGAATGGTAAGGCGATGAACCTTGTGCAGGGCTCTGCTGATCGTAGGTTCGAGGCATCAAAGGAGCTAGGCGCTGTCTTTTGGGCGATCCAGGTGTAGTAGACTCGAAGGACGGTTCTGAAATCAATCGCTTGGGCGCAGTGTTTGTGTTTACGGCTGCCCATCCATTACCAGGTGCCGGTGCCTCGATCTGTGGTGAGGACCCAACCATGGGTGCTGATGGTGGAGGAGCAATAGCACCAGCAGGACGCCATGAAGATAGGGGTGTATTCGGATCGATAGAACGAATACCGGGAAGTGTGCGCGACTCTGATTGAACACGAGGATCTGGTAGTTCGGGGTTGACGGTTATGGGAGCAGGGAGACGGTTTTCCATAGGAGTTTGGTATAGCAGCGGTCTCTGTTCTGGTGCAGAGGGCGTGTTTGTCACAAATCCAGCTACCACAGGTGGTGCATGGCTCACCTGTTCGTGACCTAGAGATTCCGATGGAGTTGCACCACTTGCTCCAGGCGATCCATGACGTTCGAGACGTCTTACTTGACTCCTGAGTATATCCAGCTGCATCTTGAGACCAGCAATCTCGTTTGCCTTGGCCGAAATGTTTTGCACTTCCTGAGTCAAAATGTCGACTTCACTAGTGTCAGGGTGTTGGTGTTCCGGTGCAGAGCCACGTGCTCGCAATTCATGTCTGACTTCGTCAACCACGGCATACATATTTCTCTGCTCATGGCGCAAAGCCTCTATCGTGCTGTCCATGCGTGCCATCTGGTGTCGTTGATTTTCAATTTCTTGTCTTTGTTCCTCGAGTATCTGGCTGTGGACATGAAGCTGAGATTGCAGCGAGGACTGAAGTTGAGAAATGATTCCATCATGTGTTGCTGGGTGTTGTTGAGACAACGAGGGTAGATGTAACGAAGCCGCGTTTCGATCCGGAGGAAGCAAAAGAGAATCGCGTGGGCCTGGAAGCATAGTAGGCGGTGCTACTTGCCTTGGCTCACTGTCGACAAGATTGCCGACGTGCGATGCATCAGGCCGATGCTCGTCTGGCATGGCCTTGTATGGTTGCACCCTCAAAATAGTGCTGGTTATGGATGGGACTCTGGGGAGCTCGGGAATTCCGCGTAATCTGTAGGCATCGATATGTAAGGATATGACCAGAAAAACAAAGGAAACAAAAGAGGCTCAGGTGCGACAGAAGGAAAGAACACTTACTCGACCCGAGATCTGGAGTTGGACGCCAAGTGATCCGTAGCAAAGAAAGCGCGACGAGTGGCTGGATCCGACTATATGGGGGAGCGATAGGTTAATTAGCAGATGCGCGCGGCAGGGCAAGTAGGACTCCGTTATTGTTTTAGTTGATTAATATTATGCAAGTATTTTTTGACTTTGCTCGGCGAATTTGGAATAAATTGCGCTAGGACGATGAAGGGAAGAAATGAAGACTCGAGTCGATAGGGTGGAAAGTGCCGCTGCCTGGCGCAGCCGAGCAATGGTACATATCGAGTAATTAAAACTGGTGAGACTTTCCCATATAGATCCTGTGCCTTCGGTCTAGGCTGGCCGATAGCGCGGATTGGAGATGGCTTTGAGTGAGCGGTTAACGCCGGCGGTAGACAATAGGCGCTTACATCCTGAACCAGGACTTGGGGCCGCCGAGTACAAGAACTATGCGGCCCCGTCGGGACCCGATCTGCTTTGTGCAGGCGCAATAGGCAGCAGAGCCGTTGTGCTCAGCAACTGTCCAAATCCCCCTGCGAACAAGAGGGAGGACTGAGGAAAGGGGTTGTGACAACGACGATTGCATTGCATTACGCGTGCACATGCGCATTACGATCAGGTAGAGCGCTGATTGTGCGTTATGGTCTCGCCACGTCCATGGCAGTCGCATACAACAGACCGAAACCCTATCCAAAGGTCAACGTATGTGCTCGTATGTCACTATCGACCGAGTCTAATAGCGATTAGGGGATGCCGCCTACTGCCGGGCCGGCACTCATCACTTGCCCCGCCGCAAGGTAGGCGAGTCTACATACGTGGTTTGGAAGCTTGTACAAAAAGCCAATCACGTCCGGTTAGGAGTTTGGCTTTCTTGACGTTAAACCGATACAAAACTGTTCGTTCAGTAATCAAAGAGTGGGCTTTGAGATGACTCGCCAAAAGTTAGCCAACTTTCGGTCTTTCCTTCAAGGTTGGCAGATGGCAACGCGCTCTGACAAGGTATCAGTGCTTCACCAACGGTAAATTGACCTTTTGAGTATAATGCGAGTTGCTACCAAAAGATGACACAACGATTTGGTCGAGGGAGTGGTGCTGACGGAGAGGGCAAAAGGAAGCGGCCGATCCCTGTCATGTCTCACGTCTGATGATCCCAAGTCTCAGCTTTGTACCTGAGATAGGTGCAAGACCATTTTGCGGTCATCAAATTACATGCCTCCACTTGGTGGCCTTGCAGTGACCTGCCCTACTTTGCTTGTACGAGAGTACAGGAGTACATAGGTAACACATGCGTCAAGCATGATGCTGCATCATCATCGATGCATGGCCGCGGAAAAAGCCCACCAAAGGGCCCCGGCCGTCTTGTTTCCTCTATTAGAAGCCTATGTGCATGAGAATAGTGGTTGGTGTGGTCCGTACTTCTCAAGCGGGTAAAATAAAGTCAAGTCGAGGAACATCACGCGGTATGTATGTTCATCCGCCAGATCTCGCTTCGTTTCGTCGTCGATCTTGCATCTGTCTACACCGTATATTGTGTGGGTTTGCGACCGAAGGACAATAGAGCGTTCGAGGACATATAGTTAGCTGCATGCAGGTCGCAGAGAATATACAACGGAACCAAAACGTTCAACCCCTCTGGGTGTGACATTGATGAGTATGTTGTCATGTCATGTGAACATGAATCCATGGGAAGGCATAAGAGTCTTTGTGAAGTTCGAGACTCGTTATGGGACTTTGGATTAGGCTTCCCGGGCTGCAATGCCATTTCAGATAATAATGTTGAGAATGTGGTCGTAATCAAACCTCCGTGAGAGTAGAGTAGATACATCAGCATTAGCAGTGAGATGCCAGCACGGGTCAGCAGAGACAGCCATATCCATCTCGCCCTGCATAGTCAGGCGTACATCGAACCGAATTGTAAATGTCGAACCTTGCCCTATCCATATCTCTGCTTAGTGATCATGTATACAAGCTCAGATGAGATGGATCGGTAGGAAGTGAGATTTCGCACCAGGGGTTGCTTGCGCGCGAGCCTCAGGTTTCGGTCTCGGAAGTGTCGAGCGGGCAGTCACTCAAAAGTCTTGGCGTTTGAATGCGCGAAGGCAGTCGCAGGCAAGCAACCAACTCGTCACAACGACAAGACAGCATTTGGCATATCATAGCTTCCAACAACAGCCAGGAAGGTGCCACTAAATCCACACGACTCTTGCGACTGCCATCTATCCACTGTGCACGCCATCTCGCCGCCATTACTACAAAGCCCGACACTTTCACCACCTGCATTCCACCACACTTGGCGTCACTTGCCTGCAAACGCGCTACACACATGGCGCATCGCCCTGCTCTCTAGGATAGTGCCCGACAAACCGTTTCATCGAACAAGAACCAACTCGGCGCGCCTGTCATGCCGCACGCCATCGATCAGTTCGAGCTCCAAGACCAGGCCGATGATGCTGAAATCGCACGCCTTCTCAACGATGAGAATCCAAGCAACAACAACCTGAACTTCGACCGAGATCTGGAAGTAGGCGAGAAAGCCGACGACGCCATCGACTTTGAAGACATTAGCGACGATGACTTGCCCGAAGACGAGACCGATGTCAAGCCAAAGGTTGAAAGCTCGCTCGCAGATGATCTTATGACTCAACTTGATGCAACAACCGAGCAAGACGAGAACCATGACGACCTTTTCGGTTTCGAGGACGACTTGTTTGGAGACGACCACGACGCCGACCAAGATGCAAAGCCCGACGTTCCCCAGCTATCCGACCAAACCCAGAATAATGCCTTCGCCAACTCTCCGTCTGTCAGCCACGGCAGTCTCGCTCTCCCTTCCAAGCCCACTATCGCTCTGCCAGGCGCTTACACATCTCTCGCTCTACCCCAAATGTCTGACGATCTCATCGAGGACGATCAAATGGAAGACGTGGCTGTTGTCGAGGAGCAAGACGACGAAGAGGATGAGNGACTGGCTACGGCAGAAAGCCCTTTTGCGGCTATGGAGCAAGAAAGAGTTGAGCGAAGTAGAAGAGGAGGATCCTACGAACCGCCAACCGCCCCAGAGACGGAAATGGAAGTCTTCTATTCTATCTGGCCATCATACGACCCAGAAGAGCGCCCGCGCTTCACCGAGTTGTTCCCTCCTAGAAGAGGTATCTACGGATGGAAGACCCCTGTCAAGCCTCCAAAGCCCGTACAACCCACTAAACTCAGTCTTGATCTTCAACATGATCAAGAGAAGAGCTTCAGGCTTTTGGGTGCCGCTACAATGGGCAAACATGCGAGAGAGGGACTCGGTGAACAGTTGGGTGTCGTTCGTGTCGAGGATACTTCTACCAAGCAAGAAGACACCGAAGACGTTGTTGATCTGGATGAGATCGACCCGAATGAACAGGTTGGTGGTGTCTCGTGGCAAGATTTGACAGTGCTTTGTGAGGATTGGGATATGACGAGCGGCGCATCCTCACCTGGCCACTACTCGCTTGTGGATAGTGGTGTCGATATGGGACGAGATTCACGCTCGCCACCCGCAGCGAAACGCAAAATTCCTGGTTTCGACTTGGAAGAGCCGACCGCGAAAAAGCTCAAGGTTGTCGGGTTTGACCTCAAAGCTGCCGTCGCAATATCGCACACATATCCCTCTCTTGACGAGCCAGAGCGTGCAACTGCATACATTGCCAAGAGAATTACCCTCGACATGAATGATCCGGGTCTTTTGTTAGATGAGAATGCTCCTGCCGCTCAACCTAAGAGGTTGCGTCATGTTCCTGGCGACATGCGTCGGGAAACAAGGACTGCCATGGCTCGCGACATGACTAAGAGATACAACATCTCCAACGACGAAGCATATGAACTCCTCAAAGAGAACCACCAGCACAAGGTCCGCAGCACACTCGGCAGTATGGCTGTCGAACACAGTCTGCCTGCGACCAAGCTGCAGTTCCCCTTCTACAGAGTCAGTCTGGACGACAAGCAGAAACGAGCGTTCCATCGTCCTTNNTTGTTCTCGGGCGAGAGACCCAACAGAAGCATCACGTTCAGCAAGCCCAAGAAACTCAAGAGGAAAGAGATGCGTGGCAAGGATGTCGCAACCCTGTTTGCAAAATCCGAAGATTTGTCTATGGCCGACAATTCGAGTGCATTACTTCTTGAATACTCTGAAGAACACCCTGTCATGCTCTCCAACTTTGGTATGGGCAATCGTCTCATCAACTACTACAGAAGAAAAGATGCCGAAGATTCTTCCAGACCCAAGGAAGAGATTGGTGAAACACAAGTTCTCTTACCTCAAGATCGCAGTCCATTCGCCAACTTCGGCCAAGTCGACCCTGGAGAAATGGTACCTACCATACACAACGGTCTATACAGGGCGCCTGTCTTTCGCCATGAAGGAAAATCGAACGACTTCCTTGTCATTTGCAATGAAACACACAAAAATGGCAAAAAGTATTACATGCGCAACGTAGAGAATTTGTATGCTGTTGGTCAGCAATTCCCCTCTGTGGAAGTCCCTGGCGAGCACTCCAGAAAGGTCACAGATGCGGCCAAGCGTCGTCTCCGTGCAATATCTTATCGCGTGTTCAAAAAGAGCATCGATCCTGTCATTAGGGGTCACCCCCTTACCAACGAAGTTGTCAAAGCTCATCTGCCTGGCAGTGACGTCGGTCAAAACCGTGGCAAAATGCGTGAGTTCATGCAATACGACAAGAACAACCAGCTTTGGCATCTCAAGGCAGGCGACTCTGTTCCTGACTCAGAAACTCTTCGCGGATGGATCAAGCCCGAGGACATATGTGTTCTTGATTCGATGCAAGTCGGTGTGCAGTACCTCAAAGACCTTGGACTCAAGAAAGAGGATGACGAAAACGAAGAGGACGATACTAAAGAAGGCACAAACGTCGAGCTCAAGCTTGCACCATGGAACACGACCAAGAACTTCCTCAATGCCTGCCAAGGTAAAGCGATGCTTCAATTGCATGGCGAAGGCGATCCATCTGGCAGAGGTGAAGCATTCAGTTTCATCAAGACCTCCATGAAGGGTGGGTTCAGAGCACAAGGCGAGAGTATTGAAGAACGACTCGACGCCAAGCGACTCAAGGAAAATGGAGGTCACAGCTACAATGTAGCCAAGCAGCAAAGAGCTTATGATGAATCGATTCGTCGCATATGGAAGTCCCAGCACGAAAGTCTTTCGTCGCATATGGAGAACTCAGAGGGTGAAGCCGACGTTGACGACGAGCCCGAACCAGCACAAAGTTTCAGAGCCGGCACACCTCGATCCTCCATCGGAACATCTGTCTATGGCAACAACAGGAGGGACGACGAGTCCGCCAGTCAGTTCAGTCGCAACAGTATGAGTCAGAACAACAAGTTCATGACGATCAAGAGAAGTGTGCGCGACAAATACGGCAATGTGGAAGAGCAGATAGAGACTATCACCAACCCAAGGGTCATTGCAGCCTACAAGAAGCGCAAGCTACTGGCACGAAGCCAAGCAATCGAGTACGTTTGTTTTATCAAGTTTGCAAGTGGTGTCGGGGATCTTGGTTTGCCTGGATTTCTTGTACACCCCTTGCAGCAAGCCCACAAGTTCCTAAACTCGGCTTGGACACATGCTGACATTCATTTACAGCNNATCATGAACACCAAGGCAACTGGCGACGAAGACTTCGACGCGCTGCAAAAGCAACTGTATCGTGTCCCATATATCCTTGCACACCACTCGCTAACAAATTACACAGTANTGCAGGCAGAAATCGAGCGTCTCCAACGCAACATCGGGCGCAGACAGGCTCGTGAACGCGCAAAGGGTATTGGAAGTGCCGCATCGCCTTCTGCTGCTGCATCCCCCGGAGGTGAAGGTGCTGATGGTGCCGATGCTGCGACCCCTGCACCAACCGGTAAAGGCAAGGGCCGATCGAAGAAGAATACTGAAGGCACGGCTCGCAAGTGTGCCAACTGTGGTCAAGTGGGCCACATCAAGACCAACAAAAAGTCAGCAAGTGATTTCTTTTGCTCCGATTTCTGCAAGAAAGAAGCGGCAAAGAAAAAGTCCTCGCCTGCAACGACTGTCCAGGTAAACAGTCAGAGGGGTGGGAAGAGAAAGCAGACAAGCAATGATTCTCCTTCCGCTCCCAAGGCGAACGACTGGCTCTTTGTCGACTCGGCTCAAATTTGAGCCACCCGAATCTCGACTTCAACACGAGAGATTCAAAGCCACCTTTTTCCACTCAGCACCTGCTTTTGATTTTCCTTTTGCGCTCTGATCCATATCTTGCTCTCACATTGTGAGATGGGAGCTTTACCTTTGCGAAACAGAATGGCTGACAATCAACACTAAAGGCTTTGCCCGATGCTCAACGGTACGATGAAGCAGGAAGATATGGCTGTGACAGGCTTTGGCGGTGGGCCTGGACCGGGTGCCGCTGGCGCTGGACCAGGCGGCGAAACGTCGTCGTTTGGTGCTCTACCTGCTTAGTGGACATGAAAGAGCCTCCATGCATCTCCAACGAACGAAGCACAGCACGAAAGGTGATCCCATGGACGGCAGGTAATCAGATGGAGGGTGCGACATGAGTTCATCAAAGTTCATCGAGCAGGCGGAAAACATGATTTAGGCAGTGGTCAATCGAGTTCGTGCCTTGCTTGAAGCTTTTGATATGGTATAGAACATTGTTATTCACTCAACGAGGGAAGCAGAACATGTACATCTTAACCTCTTGACGAGTTGATCACCCCTGTGAACCAAAATAGTATAGATCTGTAAGGACGCACTCCAGTAGAAAAGAAAAACACCCACCCCCACAGCGCCATGCAATGCAAACAACAATCAGGATATATAAAAGGCCTCCCGTCAATCGCAAAAGTAACTTTTCTTGGATGTCATGTCGCTTATGCTGCAATGGCAGTCTTGGACTCGTCCTTTTGCTTCTTGAGAGCGGCTTTCCTGGCGGCCTTTTCGGCATTGTCGCTCTTTGACTTTTTGGCCTTGGTCTCGTCGCTGGCACCGTCGCTCTTTGACTTTTTTTGCAGANNAGTTGCGTCGTCGGTCTCTGCGGTGTCGACGGCGCTGGTCTCGAGGAGGGCGCGCTTTCTCTTCTTCTTGTCCTTGACGACGGGTGCGGGGAGGCTCTCGAGCACGTCGGCCTCTTCTGTCCAGAGTTCGTCGGCGAGCCAGATGGGCAGAGCGGCGGTGTTGGGGCCCTTTACGTGCAGGGAGCGGATGTTTCTCCAGCCCTTGGGGATGTACTTTTCGGTCAGGGCGGAGACGACGGCGTCGACGTTTGCGGCGACCTGATCGGCGGACATGCTGCTCTTGCCGACTCTGATGCTGACGTTTGTGCTGGGGGCGAGGTGGACGAGGGCGGCGCCGACGGCGCGCTCGACCTCGTGGGCCAGAGCCTCCGGGGTGATGTCTGAGCGCTTGAGCTTGTCGCCGCCTTCGGAGAGCTTGACGCGCTTGTTGCCGGCTTCGTCGCGGGCGTTTTCGGGCTTGCCTTGCATGGCGACGGGGATGGGGCGCTTGGCTCCGGTACCGTAGAAGACCTTGCCGAGGAGGGCGGGCAGACGGGTGATGATGCGGTCGTCGGCGAGGAAAAGGTCGTACTCGGCAAAGAGCTGGCGGCGCGACTCGTAGGTCTTGTACTTTGCCTTGAGCTTCTCGGTGCCGAGGACACGGGTGATGCGGGAGGAGAGCTGGGCGGGGAAGCGGTCGCTGGCGATCAGGTCCTTGTACTTGCGCTGGGGGTCGGCGGTGATCAGGCAGATGCGCAGAGAGGGCGAGGCGGCCGACTGCAGGGGNAAGGGCACGATGATCTTGGCGGGCTTCATCTTGCGCTGGTCGGCAATGTGCTTCTTGGTGGTGACGTTGAGCCAGACGGTGGTCGAGGTCTCGTCGCTGTCCTCGTCTTCGTCGGCATCCTCGAGCAGGTTGGCCTTGCCGCCATTGTCCTTGCGCGCAACAGAGTCGCTGGCAATCTTCTTGAGCAGAGCGGTCGCTGCACGGAGGGTCTGCGAGGGGTCCAGTTGGTAGGGGGTGCCAGAGGCGACCTTTGTCGTCAAGGATTTGCTGTCTGCTGCCATCTTAAATGTGTGTGGAATGTTGATTCACAATTAAATCTCTACCAAATAAAAAACTGGTCGGACGCTGGACGCTGGGAGAATTTGGAGAGATGCGATTTCTGCCGCCGATACCCTCACCGCCCACAAAGGTCCGAGCGCCTGGGTTATATCTTGCCGAAGGCTCTTTCGTCCTGCAGCTTCCTTGCAAACTCATGCATCATGTGAAACAATCACGAGACTCCCATCTGTCTCTACACATTCAAAAGGTATGTGCGAATCGTCATTGTCTCTCTCTTCTACACCCATTGCAATGATTAAACAACATCTTTTCAATCAATCTGTCAATCCCCTGAGACTACGGTCATTGACGACAGAAAAATGCTATGCTCTTTATGAACATGCTTCCTCAACCCCTCCTCTTCATACACAGTCACTTGTTTGCGACACATGCTGACTATGTTATAAAGCCTTGACGAAAGTCTCGGTATAAGCTAGTACCACCATGGCCAGCCCAACAGTAGCCGAGCCCTTTCCAGTCTTCTTGGTCGGCGGCCGCTACACGCTCTACGACGTTAACACCGTCAGCCATGCGCGCCGTACCCACAATATCACTGGTGTGTTGATCGGTGGCCTGCCTCAAGCACCACAACAGAACGTCTTCTTGGGTATCCCTCTAGAGCTCATGCCCGAAGAAGCACGGCTGTTGGTTGAAAAGGGTGTCGCATACATTGTCGACGATGCCGCTGCACACAAACAAGCATTCGTCCAAGGCAGCCTCAGTAAAGAGGAAAAGGACAAGTTCCTGCGCAGCTTGAAAAAGCAAGGCAGTGATGCAACGAGGATGCAGACCAAGAGTGCCGACGACAGGAAAATTGCAGCACTGAAAAAGGTAGCGGCAAAGAATGCCGCCCTCGCTGCCAAGCTTGAAAAAGAGCGTTCCGAGGCTGCCACTGTTGGCGACAATGTCGCTGGAGACGATGAAGAATCGCTCTTCTCTAGTCCTGCACCTAGTGCGCCTTCCATCGCTCCATCAGAGGTCTCTGTCGCATCATCTTCTGCTTCAACCATGAAGATTACACCTACAACCTCACATCCTCCTCTCACATCTTTTACACCCTCATCACCCTTGCCCCTGCCTAAAGTCCCCGTCTCTTATCCATTGTTCAAGCACCTCCACTCCAAGGGCTACTTCATGGCCCCAGGCATCAGGTTCGGCTGCAGATACACAGCTTACCCTGGTGATCCACTGCGCTTCCACAGCCATTTCCTGTGCGATGGCATGGACTGGGATCAAGAGTTTGACTTGTTGACGCTGGTGGGAGGTGGTCGTCTGGGCACTGGTGTCAAGAAAGGATTCCTCATTGGCGGGACAGAGGATAAGGAGCACGTCGAGGGTGAAGAGCAAGTTAGGGCTTTCTGTGTCGAGTGGGCGGGTATGTGATGTGCCTCTCATGTCACTCTCTTTAATATAATACAGTTCACCACTTCATGATTCTTGTCTTGTCGCTTCTCATGTGATTACGCTCGTGTTGAAGTTGATGACTTCTGAAATGTGTCTGTAACCATGTTCTCACGTTCGCCCTGACGAGACCATCTTCATGTCATCACTGAGCCTATCTCGCTCTTGTCGGATCACAACTGCGACAGATGCTAGCCACATGATACAAATCAGGCAAAACACTTGTATGCCAGCCAAACTCGACATCCATTCGTTACTACAGAAAATCTTACCCGATTAGACAATCCAAAAAGCCTCACTCGTCCGAGTTCGAGCAGGTATGCAAAAGGCAAAAAAAAGAAAGAAACGAACAAAAGGTCATTATTCATAAACAAAAGCAATACACGACACCAAGTCTCAAGGTGCACGCTTTCTCAACACTCTGCCAGCGGGTGGTGGTGGTGGTGGTGTCCCGTTGGTGCCAAAGGCAGCGGCAGCAGTTGTCTTCTTCCCTCTCTTGCTTCCTGTGAGCGAAGCCATTGCGCTCTTGAAGGTTCCTTTCTTAAGTGTACCTGCGACAGGAGTTGGTGCTGCAGCAGGGACTGGCAGTGGCTTCTCCCTGATCGAGTTGTATTTCATGGGCGAAGTGGGTACGGGCAACTTCTTAGGTGACGCTAGGGCCATTGCAGTGTGTGGGCGACTNGGGAGGGTTGGGTTTGGCGGGTGATTTGCTGACAATTGTGGTCTTTTCGCTGCTGGTGCTTTCTGCTGAGGCNNATTGCTGGCGCGAAGAGCACGGCGCGTAGAAGTGTTTGGCTGTGCGGCAGATGCTACCGAGTCTAGGGCGGTGGTCGTGGGTGCAGTGGCAGGTCTCTTGAGCGTGCCCTTTTTCAAAGTCGGTTGAGCTGCTTGAAGAGCCGCTGCGCCGCGAGGTCTGGGAAGCGGTGGTGGAGACTTTGTTGTAGGAGACTTCAGGGGGGATCGTGGAAGTGTACGCGAGTTTGGCGACTTGGGAGAGAGAATGGTAGGGTTGAGAGGGTGAGGTCTATTAGAACGGGCCAGGTTGGGCGAAGTAGGAATGCCGGTGGGGCCAGGGCTAGGTTTGCTGCGCTTCTTTGGGTTCGCGAGAGCTACCGAGGCAGGTTTGGTGTTTTCCTTGTCCGCCATAGTGGCCTCCTCGCTNGGTTTCCAGTTAGCACATGAGAAGCGCAACCAGAAGGATTGAACAAACCTCTTGCGCTTCAAGCTTTTTGTCTTGTTGGGGCTGGGCAGACGTTGCTGAGTCTTCTTTTGAGCTTCGAGGTGCTTCTCCAGCAAGTCGCCCATATTTGCTTTGCGAAGATTGCGAGGGATGCGGTTGATGCGCATCTCCAGACGAGTGCGAAGGCCCTGGGCCTGGAGAGCGTACTGGGCGCGTAGTTTGCGGGCACGGTCTGCGACTNNGGAGACATGTTAGAACAGCGTTTGCAGTATAGCAGACATGGGCGACACACTCTCGAGCTGCAGATTGTCCATCAGAGCTTGTTTCTGAGCCTCGGTGATGTGGGCAACTCGATCCCCGGCCATTGTCGCGTCGGGTGTCGCGACGAGGGTCGTCATATTGGCTCTTGGTGGCTGTCGGAAGGCCCTGGTATAGATATGCGCGTATGTGTAGGCTAACCTTTGATATCGAATGCGATGTTGGCGTGTTCTGGTGAAGAAATGGGCATGGTCAAGAAAGGCAGGCGCGTATCAACAAACATCAAAGTCGGGGATCGGAGCGCTTCTTGGCGGCGGCCAGCGTCATTGAGAGAGAGCAGCAGCAGCAGGTGCAGCTTCGAGACCATCAAGCACCCTCCAACCATCGCACTTTCCTCTCTTCACTCCGACCAACTCCATCTCGACTAGACCTCCTTCCTCGTCAAGTTTCTACTCCCGCAAAGACGCACCCCTTCCCTCTCCGATCCGTCTACCTTCACAACCACCAACATGGGCTTGGAGGCAACTATGATCGTGTACGTCCAGCTTGTGAATTCATTCTCACCACCTTGTACTGACCATGCCCGCAGTGTCGACAACAGCGAGAGCAGCAGAAACGGCGACTACGTGCCTTCGAGATGGGATGCCCAAGCAGACGCCGCCAACCTGATCTTCCAATACAAGACACAAGCCAACCCCGAATCCTCAGTCGGCCTCATGACCATGGGCGGCAGCGGTCCCGAAGTCCTCACCACTCTCACCACAAACCCCGGCAAGATTCTCGATGGTCTGCATCGCACAAAGATCCGTGGTGAAAGCCACCTGCACACCGCCATCATGATTGCCTCTGTACNNGTCGCATCTAAACACCACCACCACCACCACCAACTCAACACTAATCATGAACAGCTCGCCCTCAAGCACCGTCAAAACAAGAGTCAACGCCAACGCATTATCGTCCTTACCTGCTCGCCGCTAAACTCCGCCCAAGAGTCTCAATCATCCCTCGTCAAGCTAGCAAAGCGCATGAAGAAGAACAACGTCAGCATCGACATTGTTGCCTTTGGTGATCTCAGCGACGATGTCACCTCGAAGCTTCAGGCCTTCAACGACGCCGTCAAGGGTGGTGACGGTTCATACCTTGAGATTGTCCAACCAGGACCCAACCTTCTCTCCGACACTATCGTCGCATCACCAATCCTGGCTGGCGAGACTGGCGGTATGGGTGGTGGCTCTGCTGGTGGTGAGGGTGGTGCACCGGCATCCGGTGGCGGCGACTTTGAGTTTGGTGTCGACCCTTCAATGGACCCGGAACTGGCTCTGGCTTTGCGCATGAGTATGGAGGAGGAAACTGCTCGTCAGGCACGCGCGACCGCCACAGAAGGTGCCGATGGCAAGACACAGCTGGAGAGCGTACCGGAGACCTCCGAGAGCCAGCCTCTGCTCGACCAGAGCGGTCAGCCCAGTGGCAGCGGAGGGTCAAAAGACGACAAGAAGAAGGATGGCGATGATGACAAGATGGACACTGCATGAGCACTGGGTTGATTAGCGCATGGAGATTAAGGAGTTCTAATGTCACACGACCACGGGCAGATATCGTCCAAATCCGTTTTTGTATCAAAGCATACTGGGAGTCGAACCATAAAGACGAATCAAGACACTATATCACCACTTTACATTTGTTCTCGTTGCAGCACTCATGCTATGGGTAAGCGGCTGACAAAGAAAGAAAAGTGATACAAGTAAATCAGATATATTAGAAACTAGATTCATAAGGTCATCCGACAGAACCCTCCAACCACAAATCACTCCTTCTCGTACACATAACCCACAATCTTCCTCCCGATCTTCTTGGGCGGCGGCAAAACCTCTCCATGCCCACACTCTGCAGTCCTGACCACATTCCTTCCCCTCACGGCNCCCGAGAATCTCGTCCAGTTGTCCCTTGAACGCTTCCTGCTGTCTCTCCAATTGCACCGAAAAGCTCTTTTTCATCTGCTGCATCTGCTTGTCCATCTTTGCTTCCAAGGCTGAAAATTTGGCATCTTGGGTGGAGGATAGNNATGGGAGATTGAGGCGTTGATTGTTTCCGCTAACGTATGGGTCTGTTTTAGTTGTGTGGTGAGTGCTTTTTGGGTTGAAGTGGTGGTGTCGAGGGTGGAGTTTAGAGTCGAGAGGTGTTTTTTCGTCGTCTTTTGATCGCTCGAGAGGGTTTGTAGGAGGGTTGTGTTGTTTGTAGTGTCTTTTTGCAGTTGCTGGAGGACATTGGCGTTTGGTGCTGGTGCTGGTGCTGGTGCTGGGGGTGTCTCTGTTGCTGCCAATCGATCTGTGATTCCGCGCAAGATGGCCGTGGTCTGCGATGCCTCCTTGTGCAGCTTTTGCAGTGTTTCGGTGTGGGAAGCGGGTTCCGGGCGATCTGTCAATGCGCGAACGGCCTTTGTGTTTTGCAAAAGCTGTTTTTGAAGTTTCTGGAGTGTTTCTGCTTGAGCAGGGTCGCTTTCCGGCAATGGACGGTTGTAGAGATCTTTTAGCAGTATCGCAGTCTGGGACACTTCTTCTTGCAGGTCGTGCAGGATTTCGTGGTTTGGACCTGGAGTGGGTGGGGGTTTGAGATACAGCTCTTGGACCCGTGAGCAGGTTTCTTCAATCACTGATTGCAGGGATTGGAGGGCGGCGGCTTGTTGGTGTCGGTATTGGACGTCGCTGGCGGCATTGTTCGCCGTGGCGGCTGCTGTCAACTCGCGCAGAACTATTTCGTGGTCTTGCTGTCTGCGGGCTAGCGCTTCCATCTGTTGGGTCATGCGCTCTATCGTTGCGGATAACTTTTGGAAGCCCCTGGCACTGGCTTGCTGGCCTTCGAGCAATGCATCCAGTTGCAAGGTTGACTGACCAACAGACTTCTGGATGTGGTCTGAAGCCAGATTGAGCTGCGCAAACTCCATATTGCTTGCGCCTGCTGGGGTGAAGGGGTCCTCAAGTCTTTCGAATCCTCCAAACACATGTCCTTCGCTCAAGGTGGGCATCAAAGGCGTACGGACCGATGAAACGCGTCTTTGCGACGACACCTGTTGCTGATGCGAATTCTTGTCGTCCTTTCCATCAGTCTGGCGATAAGACCACTTGTCCCTCAAATGCGCAAACTTTGGGTTCTCCCATGCCTTGATGGGAGTCCGGTCGCTCTTGAAGGAGAAAAGATTGGGGCTTTCGCGCAAGGTATCGGGATACTCGGATTGCATCAATGTCCACCACTCCTGCGCAATCTCGGCATCGGCGAAGCTCAGAAGATAGCGAGCCTTGTTGATCTGGAAAGGGCTGATGAAAGAGCTGCGTCTGCGACCGTATGCGAGAAAAGGCAGCGTGGGACTGCTGACAAGAGAGTCCAAGGGTTCTTCTGAGCTATCGCTGGCGATACTGCCTCGCGTCTTTCTGCCCGTAAGATCCACCTCGCCGGATGGCATGTTGGCATCGAAACTGTCGTTGCGCATCTCTGGCGTCTTCGGGGTTTCGCGTATGGCCTTGTCGATGTTGGGCGCACCCACTTCCATGGATGTATGGTGTAGCAATGTCCAGTCGTAGCTACAGTAATTTGCTAAAAAGAAACACAAAGGAATGGTTTCAACGGGGACGTTCTTCGGTTTTCTTGCCAGCGCGATCTGCAAACAGTGNCTGCAGGGGAAGGAGTTTGGATGATGCTTACAAGGAGCTAGCCACGACAGACTGCGAACGATACACAGAGCCATTGTGGTCGTGCCATAAGTAGCCATTTATTTGACCAGCGGGACTGCCTGCTTTCCTGGTTTTTGTTTGTTTCACGTCATTTCTAATCTATTCGTCCAGCCCATGTTTGAGGGAGCGGCTAGAGCTGTCATTTGTTGTTTTGTATCTTGGGCTGGTGGACGGGCCAACCGGGAGTCCAGCTGCCGCGCTTGGGTGTGACACGCCAGGGTCTTTTCTGCCCCGAGCCGCTTTCGACGACAGGAAGAAGAACGGTGTGCAGACTCTGAGGTCTGAAAGACTTGATGTATATCAGAGATGCATGATGTACGTAAAGATAGAATGCAGAGGCTGAGAGCGTTGCAGGAATGCAACGGTCGCGCAAGCTTTGGTGCTTGGGTCTGACGACACAATCTGCAGTTTCGCTCGTCGTTTGAACCTCTTGAGATCCTTTCGACTTTTCGTGGAAAGACCTGCATACCGAGTGCTGGAGTCCATTGGGTACTCAATCCTGGTTGACCCAAGTCATGGTCGAGGTCTCTCTCCGAGACATGGTTGAATCCTTCCCATCCTTGCGAGTCATACAGGACTGCTTCATCTCGAGCTGGTAGAGGTCCAGTGCCTACAACCCTAGTATCGACGACTTTTCTACACTCACCTTCCTGAACGTGGTATACTGGTAGAGGTTCATCAAAGTCGCAAATATGCCCAATGTAGGTTCAAGAGGCTATGCTGAAGAGGCTGTGTTTGTTATTCTTCTATTTTCAGGTCTGCAGATACCACCAGGCTGGGTGGCTTCATGGGTAGGCTGCAGTCGAAGGATGGCGCGCTTCGAAACAGCTTCTCCTTCACCACTCGAAATCAAGGTGTTGGCGCCTACGACTTTCCGAAACTGGTTCAAATTCTGCATCCAGGCAGCTGCGGCTCTTTTCGTGCTTCTGGTAATAAATAAGTGACCCTATCTGTGGCTGCATCTTCAATTCATCCTCACCATCACTTTCGTCTCCTGCCTCAGTCAAAGCTATCCTCAGCGAAGAACACTTCTGTCTCTCTCTCTTCTCATTATCACCCCGCACCTTATAAACACGTCTCGCAAACATGGGTCTCATGTCCAAAGCACGCGGACTAGGCCTGGGCATTATGATCTGGGCTTTGGCCGTGCCAATCTTCCTCTTCACACGTAGGTGATGCGCATGCTCACCAAGACCAACAGCGTCTAACACATGTGCAGTCTTTCCACTCATCTCCTCGACCTCTACCGGTCTGTCTGGAATCTATCTGCTTACGCACAAGTGGAACAACGATGACCACAGCTGGTTGAGGCTGGGATACTATGGTGAGTCGCCATCAAATTTAATGCACACCGTAGAGCTAACGATCACTCCAAAGNGCATGTGTATCGTCCACAACAAGCACGGTGACCGCTGCATGACCACTACTGGCCGCTCAAGCAAGGATCTTGTCAAGGGCTTCAACATCGACACCGATAACAAGGGAACCTTCGACTACGATCTCAAGCTGCAACACGACGTCTTCGTCGCCTTCCTGACTGCTGGTGGTGTCATCTGGTTCATCTCGCTCATCTTCATCTCTCTCGTCATCCTCAGAGGCTCATCTGCCGGACGCCTCATTCGCAGTGCAGCAAAGGTCACCAGTCTTGCAGGCGCCACCTTGTTGATCGCTAGCGCATGGGCAACCAATTCGGCAGTCAAGGCCTTGGAAGTCTCGACCAATGGTTCAGTCCAGGGCGGCACTCTGCTCTACGGACTGCAATGGGTGGCTGCTATCCTGGCCTTCATCTTTGCTTATGCAGTCAGCTCTGTGGCCGATTCAGAAGGCGGTGGAAAGGCTTACCACCTTGGACGTGTTTGATCAGCCGTAAATGATCGTGCCTGCACTCGACTAGTACTAGAAGCCATAGTCTCCAGACAGAACGATGATGGAAACAATGCACCACAAATAGCAGAGCATTACGATTGACAAAATTTCTGACCGTAGAGCGTTCGAACTCTTGAAGCATGTGGACTTGTAGAAGAAAGCAAATTGTTGGTAATCTCTGCCTTCATTTGTGATGAACTCGGAGACGCGTAAAGAGCAGAAGGACAGGGTCGGACCCAAAAGCATACGGTTTGCAACGGCTCAAGCTCGGGCCTTAGCAGCTCGTATATACAGGTACGCCTCCAACCCAGTCGACCACTCCTCTCGCGATCAACCAACAATGGACTATACATTTGTCATCAACGGCGACCCGAACAGCCGCAAGAGAANNAAAGCACCTCAAGGAGCATGCGAAACTTGCAAAAAGCGAAAGGTATACATCTAGCCTTTCGAATCCTCTTTACAAGCAGTGATTGAAATAGTCGAGCAATAATAGAAGCGATGCACACACGGCGTAGAGACCGAGAACCATCATCATCATACTGATCTTCGTCCTGCCTCTTCGACTCCGGGCAGAATCCAAAATCTGGACACGCCGTCAGCTGTGTTGGACAAGTCTACTACCATCTCCGGTGACGAACGCCAACATCATGCGCGGCCTTTTGACCATCCATCAAATTCCAGATTCATTGGAGATCTGAACCCGGAAGCTAGTTTGGTAGCCGAACACGATCCTGGAAGTGGAAATCGCGATAGGCATGATGTTGGTATATGGGTGGGTGAATCAAGACGCCACACATATGATGTCCGACATGATTATGACCAACGCAAAAGAGAGTCTACGGATGTCAACTCTCCAGAGAGGGAAGGTTTGATTGGTGGCGAAGAGCGAGTCCCACCTTCCGCTCTGATGAACACGCAAGACAGGGATGCGCTCATCGACATATACTTCGGACGACTGAACCCGTTACTGCCGATAGTGGATGAAGCCACCTTTCGAAATTCAGAGAGAAAGTCCCAGCTCGTTATACACGCGATGTGTTTGGTCGCGTCTCGAGATCAGAAAGCAAGACGCTATCTCCGCTTCCTGGAAAGCCCTGAGCCACTTGCACCGAGGATATTCGCGTCTAGAGTATATGCCTGCCTGCGCTGGGGGATCCAGCTGGAACGCGAGCGCGACAAAATCAACCTGATACAGATTTTGGCATTAATGTCGCTGTACTCTGAGGGCCCAGAAGGCACAGTCGACGCGTCAATGCATCTATCGCAAGCAATACATCACGGTCAGACCATCGGACTACATCTGGGTCGTTCCAGCGGACACGGAGGCAGCCAGACGAGACTTTTCTGGTCTCTGTGGGTTCTGTCAAACTTCAACGCAGGCTTGAATGGAAGACCGCGTCAGATCCTGGACCTTGACATTGGCCTCAAATTGGACGAAGCATACGAGATATCCGCACCAGGAACACGGGTATTGCTCGCCATCTCGCAGCTACTCACGAGAATCATCGGCCTGTATCAACCCACAGCTGCTCTAGATATCATGGGTATCGAGGAGGATTACGAGAGTTTCGAGAACATTTTGGATCGGTGCGGTGCTTGGGATCTCGAACCCAATGTTATAAGTAAGCGAACATGCTATGTATTGCTGAAATTACCAAACCTGACAATTTATCTGCTTAGCANNTCTTTGGAGATATACTACCACGGCGTAGCGATCATATCTCATCGCGCTCGCGCCACCTCTCGACCACTGCTCCCAACGCCTTCAAGCTTACGGCAAGAACTTTCAGCACTACAGATTGTCACGATCCTCCGTCACATTTCTCCTAAGAATCTGGTACCACTACCCCTTATACCCTATGGCATCTCACTCGCCGTGTCGACATTCTACAACCAGCTCCGTTGTGCTCGCACCCAGACAAAACGCACAGCAGCTCGTGAGCATATAGACAGCTGCGTGCAAGCCCTCGAGCAACTGAGCGAATGGTCGCAGCCAGCAAAAAACATGGCAACGCTAGGACGCAAAGCACTAGAGCAGACGGCTCACATGGCAGCCGCAACTGTATCGCCAGAACTACGTCGCACATCTCGAGTTCACGCTGGGCCTGCCGAGTGGCGGCCTGCAGGACCACCTCATCATCAAATGGATCAAGCTGGCATGCAGCAGAACAACACTTCTGCCGCTCTCGCAGGCCAACACCCACATCCCGATGGCGGGTTGAGTGACTTTGACATTGCCTATGACGGGTTGATGGACATGGACGCCGTGTTTGGCGATTTCCTGAACATGAATTTGCCAGACTTTGGATTGCCGTTTCAGTGAAGATTTGACAAAAGCTTTCCCTGGACATATATCAAGAATTAGAAAAACTATTCTGTATCATGACAGCGCTATAATTAAATGGGAGTGAGAAGAGAATATGATGTAGTTAATGGGTTTAGGTCATCTCTGAAGAAGGATTATCAAAGCGGATACACTCTCCCGAGTTTCTGTCTAAGTCGTACATGATATTGTGAAAAAAATGTATGATGTGATTGTGAAAGCCGAGGGTCAATAAATAGTAGACCCGAGTGACCTGCCTCCTGATTTTCTCACAACTGTCATAAAACCTCATGTATGACCCCTTCTCCAAGAAGAGGTGTGGTAATGATATAATTCTATCGAATAACACAATCTCTTTCCTGTTTGAAGCATGGCCCATGGCGATAACCTGGAATCACTTCTCTGCATGACCATCTCTGACCTCAAAAGACTATTGTGTATTTATATAGCTACATCGTGACGGTTTTTGTACACAGAGAGATGGTAGCTTGCTGATACCCCTCCGCATAGTGTGAGTCTTTATGCGGGAGATTTGAGGTCGATACTTACCATATGACTCTTGCACTGCAAGAAATATCAGACAAAATCAATAGCATCCAGCATGGTCCCACTCTTTTCCATTTTCCAAACAGTCTTCCTCGACTCCAAACCCCTTCAAAAATGTCGTCAACACCTACAAACTCCCAAGACTTCGATCCTCCACCACCATACTCGGCAACCACCACAAACCCCAGCACAAGCAATGCCACCATCACCAACACAACTGCAGCAACACCCTCGTCACACATGACCACCCAACCCGCAATCCCCGAATATCTCATCTCCAGCCAATGGCAACACCTAAACAAACACATCCCAAACCACTACTGGATAAAAATCACCAGAGATGTCGCATCGGCAACACTGACCCAAGTCCACTGCGGCATCAGCAGATACCAAGACGACATTGAAGGACCCGATTGTTTCTTTACCTGTGACTTGCAGCCACGCACTCCCGATACCAGCAAGTTTGAGCTCATCGTCTTGTGTGCGCATATTGCCAGAAATGCAAGGGGTCATCGTGGGTGGCCGAAGGAATACTGCGGTTGCAACTTTGGTGATATCAAGCAAGGTGTCAGCTGCAACAAGGACGGTGCATGTTGGGTTGATAGGGCTTTGCAGTGGTTTGATGCTTGGTTGGTTAGGAGGTGGATGAGGCAGCATGATGGACTCTGCTGTTGCAGGTGTTTCAACGTGGAGAACTTGAGCTGTGAGCTTCCGTTGTACTCGAGAGTGTAAATGGTGACTGTTTCAATGCACGAAAGTGTTTTTTTGAGGTAGAGGTTGGCCAGAGAAGAAGAGAGCGAGGTCCACGCAAAGCCGGTTTTGAGGTCTGGCCAGGGGTCCGTAAGAGGCAACCACCTCCCACGGCAGGAGGCACCCACAAACCATGACGGCAGACTTTGCGTCTTTCAATGCAAGAGCTGAGCTATTTGGTGTCTGTACAAATGCACAATGATTAGTAAATTGTCTTGCAGCCCACTGAGAGTCTATCGTCTGTCCACTCTCAATGAATACACATTCAAACACAACGCAATGAAGTACGACAAAATCAAAAACAGTCAAAGAACAAAGTGCTTTTGCAATGTAAATGCTGGCTATCATATCTAACCAGACTAACCCCTTTTCCTGGGAGCGGCAGCAGCAGGAGGACCAGTCTTGATGACATTCAGCAAATCTTGAAGCCCATCCGGTTGAACCGACTGAGCAGATACGAGACCAGCCGTTTCGTCGACAACATTCTTTGGGTCCGCGTCGCCGACCATGTCGATGTTTGTAGCGAGCCATTGCTGGAAAGGAGCAGCGACGAAGAAGCCGTCGGCAGTAAACCACTGCATGAACGGCGCCGAGATTTCCTTGTCGACGGGAGGGATGGTGTTGAGTGACGAGGGGTGGAATGTGACGTTGAGTCTGTATGTAGGGTCGAACTTGTCTGTGCGGGTCGAGATGGTGATCNNTGGGTTGAAAGCGTCAGTTGGCGGTACAGACGACAAAAGAGCAATAGGACAGCAAAGAAAACTCACCTTGCGGCCTTTCCAGGCACCGACGTATATCAGACCATTCTCGACCTGCCAGATCCAGTAGGTAAAGGCGCCGTTCAGGAGAAAGTAGACGACAACAGCAGCCGTGGTGAATTGTTTTGTAGCCTCAAAGCCATACTTGTAGTCCAGGGCAAAGGTGACGGCGGCGATGATGACGGCAGTGTATCCTAGACCGAGCTTGACGTCGGTGTACCAGTGCGACTGGCGGAACTTGAGGCCGTTCAGGTAGTTTTGCAGGGCATCGTCGGTCGTGTTCTTGCAGTCNTGCGAGAGGTGTCAGTCGCAGTTCCATGAAGACATGTGAGAGGACTGGATACCAGAAACGTTGTAGGGCGATATTCTAGATTCGTCGGCCATGTTTGCGAGTGGTGGAAAGAAGTCGTGGTCGGGTGGTGGATGACAGAGTTGAAGATGAAGCGTGGCCGGAGCTCCAACATTGCCGAGACGCGGTGACTGCGACAGACAGCAGCAGCAGCAGCAGCTGCAACAACCGCGAATCCTCGACCAAGCACTCGACGACACCACCAACCCATCTTTGCTACCATGTCGCCCGTCATGGCCGAGCCCGTGGTGCAGACCATCTACAGAGATCCCGCTCTGTTCTACTGGATCCTGCTGCCCATCACCGTCGTCATGGCGAGTCTCCTGCCCTCCCACACGGCACCACCACCACCACCACACAGCTAACCACGTCCACCAGNNGTCCTCACCGGCATCCTGCGCCACTACCTCTCGACCCTCCTCCAGTCCGCCCCCAAGCAGCAAGCCATCAATCTCGTGCGCCAACAGCGCTCCCTCATGCGCGGCGTCAACCTCCGCAACAACTACCACCAGCTCTCCCCCTCCTCCTTCGCCGCCCGCAAGGCCTACATGATCCAAGCCTACAAGGACGGCTCCTTCCTCGCCGAACCCGACATGCGCGGCCAACCCAAGGGAAACCCCATGGCCGACCCCGCCGCCATGGAAGGCATGATGGGCATGATGAAGGGCCAAGTCGCCATGATGGTGCCCCAGAGTTTGATCATGGGCTGGATCAATGCCTTTTTCTCTGGCTATGTCATCATGAAGCTGCCATTCCCCTTGACTCCTCAGTTCAAGTCCATGCTGCAGTCCGGTGTCGGCACCAGAGACCTCGACGTCCGATGGGTCTCGAGTCTGTCTTGGTACTTTTTGACTCTGTTCGGTCTGCAGCCCGTCTACAACTTTATTCTCGGCAGCAACAACGGTACGTTTTTCGCCTTCCGTCTTCTTTCCAATCTATACCGCAAACTGACACGACACTCAGCGGCCAGTCAGGTCACGCAGCAAATGGCCCAGGCTCAGATGGGCGCCAATCCCATGGGTGGCCAGGATCCCGACAAGGACTTTTTGAACGAAGCCGAAAACCTAGAGGTCCTCGAGCATCACTGCCTTCTCGACGGCGTCGAGGACAGACTACTGTCCACTGTGGTATAGACTTGGACATTGCAATGTATAGTGTCGTAATTTTACTGTTGATTCACGTAACTATGTTTCCAGTATTGCACTGCATTGCGACATCTCTACGGACGACACAACCATGATACCTAACCATAATGTCTTGCGGCAAAGCCAACATTCGAAGCTGTGGCCTCTGCCTCATCTTCCGACGACGCACTGAAGCCACCCCAGCCGTCAAACTCCTCGGACAGCTTGACGGCTGCTTTGAGGAAGTAATGGTCCTCATCGCCCCATGTTTTCGCAGCTTCTTGCATCGAGCGACAGGCTAAGGAGAAGAAAGGTTAGCACAGAATAAGACAAGACAAGTAAAGATATGATCATTGATACCTTTTNACAAAGTGAGCATCTTTTGCCCACTTGCCGTTTACAGCTCGGTCGGCTACCCATTTCCAATCTCTGCCTGCAAGATCGACGTTCGAGATTCTGCTGTTGTCGATAGCTGGGCGAAGTTGACCAATGTATGCCGTCAGCAGGAACAGCCACCATTGTCTGAGCAGAGGAACGTGACATGTCGCACGAATCAAGGGTGCGATCACGCGTACGGCGTGCGAGCTGGTGAGGATGTGGACGAGGAAAAAGTCAAACTTGTGTCCTTGCTCGTGTGTACCGACCAGCAGAGCAACCGCAGCACGTTGAGCAGCTTCAAACTGGGACTTGGGATCCGTGATGGTCCAGCTGTTCCAGTATTCGAGCAGAATGGCCTCCTTCTCTTTATCCTCGGTCAAAGGGCTGTAGTTGTCTTCTCCAGGCTTTTGGAAGAAAGAATTTAGGCGAGAGTCCTGATGCACCTTCTGGATGACTTCGAAGGGGTCTTGCGAGGACCAGGGCGAGGGCTTGGTGTATGACGGGTCGTCTAGATAGACATGTTGGTGGTTGTAGAAGGAAGCGACCAGGGCGAGCGATTCAATGGCGACTGTAGGAGAAGCGAGTTCGAGGGCGAAACCGAGGTGAATAAGAGGGTGTGCGACTNNAGAGGTGGGTTAGAGAGGCACTTGTCTGGACGAGTGTGGTGACTTACGGCCGGCAATCAAGTTGTTGATCAGAGGCTGCTTGCCAGAATAGAGAAAGTCGTCGAGTAGCTCTCGCCAATCGTAGCCGAACTGAACGAGCTGGTCCTCGAGGAAGTCTATCCATGCACGCTGGTANCCTGCAGGCTCGCATCAGCTACCACGGTCGTCTGTCTTGTTGCGGGCCTCATACTCTCTCTTTCCCAGATAGTCACGCCAGTCATGTCTTGATATCTCCGAGGGCGAGTCTTCCCATGGCTCGAGGTCTTTGGACTCTTTCTCGTAGATGTCTAGTAGCTGGTCGACGTTGGCACCGAGGAAGAATGCGGATCCCAGGATCNNTAGAGGGACATGACCTCAGCACGGCGTGGAACAGCAAGAGGATAACAAGGAGAGTTATACGTGGGGCGAGTGGTTGTGGAACTCGAGATGGTGGTAGATGATGGAGTGGTTGATGTGATTGGCCTTGATCAGGTGCTTGAGTGTTCTGGCTCGTTTCTCGGGCGTTTCTTCAATGTCGATGGACTCGACGGGCGGCAAGTCGAGCTTTAGGGCGGATCCATAGCCACCAGACAGGAGATTTGAAAAGAAGTTTGAGCGAAAGGAAAACATGGTTGGTTTGGAAAGAAGAGTCGTCAGGTCTGGAAAGTCGAAAGCATCAAGGCAGCCGCATCATGTCATCTCGTCTGGACCCTGTCTGCCCCCGCATTCTCACCTTCCCTCACCACATTCATCTTCTGTCATGCCATCAGCCATCTTCTGTGTGCAAAAGAAGGTCGCAGCCTTGTAATCAACTGCTCTTCCACAATGGTTTGTATGATCATTGTTGAATACGGAAGTGTATAGTCAGTCCTCTGATCAAAGGTTTAAGCGAGGAAACACCTGGATATAATATTCCCTTGGTGAATCTTCTTTTCTTGTTGAAAGCTGTGAACCAGTACTCCCAGTAGCTGTGATCAATCTCATCAAGCCCACGGAGCATATTTTCGATTGGCAGGTAGTCCAAAAGTCTTGCGGGGTAGTCATCGCACACATAGTGTCTCTATAAAGTCCTAATCATCGAGGAGTAGACCGTCCGCGACTCAATAATTACTTTGTCTGGACAAGCACCCTGTCTTGGCTTTGCGACGTCGACGAAACCCAACGCATTCCTTTTCCAATGGTCATGTACTTCAGCACTGAGACACTCGTTTACATCTGCTTCTGACGCGAACGTGAAAAGCATTCAGCAGGCAGTCCCGCTCCTGCCCGGACATATATGAGCGTTCCATGAGCGTCACATGCCCAGGAGCGACGACAGTCCTTACGACACAGCCCTAGCACACTCACCAGCACAATCATGTCTGATCACGGCAGGATGGCCTTCCATCGCCCACCTCCGGCCGACACCAGCGACGAGTCAGGAAGCGACTCCGACAATGACGGTCTGATGCGCCGAGCACGCACCTCGACCGACATCAGACAGCTGGACATGAAGATCCTGGAAAGAGAGGAAGAGGCAGAAGAGTTGTTGACTGGCAAGGAGAAAGATGGAAGACTCCAAGGGCTTTTTGCACGTAAAGATGGTCCATCGAGCAGTGTGAAGCTCAGCAAGAGGGAGCGCAGGAGATACCAGCGTGAGGCTCAGCGCAAGGGAAATCAACAGCATCAAGAGGGGGAAGAGAGTGAGTTGATGTATGACATGGAAGAGGGCCACAAGGACAGCTCCGACTCGGCCAATTCATCAGACGTCGACCGGCTAAGATTCAAAGAGTTGCCACAGCCCGCCGAACGTCGCGGCTCGCGACTCTGGAAGCTCACAGCCATTCACATCGTTATCATCATCGCCTTCTTTGGCCTTCTACTTGGTGCTTATATGGCATCTCGCAACCACAAATCTTTAGCCCGCCCTCAACTGAACACTCTTACGAACGGCACTTCCATCTTTGCTCCAACAACCATCCTCATCTCGCTTGATGGGTTCCGCGCTGATTTCCTTCACCGTAACATCACACCATCATTAAATGCATTTGTTCGAGCGGGTGTTTCACCAGAGTACATGTCGCCGAGTTTTCCTTCTGTCACATTCCCTAACCATTTTACCCTTGTCACCGGCCTATATCCTGNNGAAGCCCATGGAGTCGTCGGAAACAGCTTCTGGGACCCTGAATTGAAAGAGGATTTCTTCTACACCGATCCTTCCAGGAGCATGCAGCCCAAGTGGTGGAACGGAGAGCCTATTTGGGTCACCGCCGAGGAGCAAGACGTTCGCTCTGCAATCCATATGTGGCCTGGATCCGAAGCCCACATTGGTATCGAGCCTACCTTTGTCGACAAATATCAAGGTCACGAGTTACTCACAAACAAGGTCGATCGTATACTTGGTCTGCTTGACCTCCCTGGGCCTTTCGACAAAGGTTCAAGCTCTGATACCCCAAGACCGCAATTGATCGCCGCCTACGTGCCGGATGTTGATCGTGATGGTCATCTCTACGGTCCGAACAGTACCGAGATCAGATCCACCATCTCTAGTGTTGATACTATGTTGGGCCAGCTGTTCTCTGGATTGGAGCAGCGAAATCTGACAGACATTGTCAACATTGTCATAGTCTCTGATCACGGCATGGCTACAACATCGACTTCTCGCTTGATTCAGCTCGACGACATTATCGATATGTCCGTCATCGAACGCACAGACGGATGGCCTCTCTACGGGCTTCGACCGAAGAACGAATCAGATATTGAGCCCTTATACAACCAATTGGNNAAGCAAGAAGCGGCCAACATGAAAGGTTTCGACGTCTATCTGAAGAATCGCGACATGCCTGAACGTTACCACTTCTCGCAGAATGATCGCATCGCACCTCTTTGGGTGATACCCTGGACTGGGTGGGCCATCGTGGTCAAAGAAGAGTTCAACGTCGAAGAGGCGAAGAAGACTGGCCAAGTGTATCATCCTCGAGGTGTCCATGGATATGACCATGAACATCCGCTGATGCGCGCAATATTTGTGGCCAGAGGTCCTGCTTTCCCTCACACACCGGGTAGCAAAGTGGACGTCTTCCAAAATATTGAGGTCTACAACCTTGTGTGTGACTCTGTCGGAATCTCGCCCAAGCCAAACAACGGTACACTTCGTCTGCCTCTCAAACCCATCGGGCTGCATGGATCTATGCCACCTGCAGATTTGCCAGAAGACATGCCAGAAGACCCTGTTTCTAGTGGAAGTAGCGGCGAACTGAGTGCAACGGCTACAGCGCCGACTGAAGCGTCAAAAGTCGCGGAAACAATCTCGTCCCTGACGCAAGCCTCACGACCAACAATTGTCACCACAGACGCGGCTACTCCATCACGACCAGTCATCCATGATGATGTAAGCCAGGAAGACGAAGACAAGAATGGCAAAGATACGAACTTATGGTGGGACTGGGTCAAAGGAAAACTTGACGGCGCCAAAGATTGGGCGACAGGAGTATACGACACAGTATCCGACAAGATCTCGGGTGCTGCACCGGATTCAACAAATTGATGCGATAATGTTCTACTCAAAACAACTCAATGTTCAGGCTGCTGCCTTCGACTTGTTATCCTACTCGGTGTTTCTCTTGGCGTGGAAGGAGTGTGTTTTAGTTGACGAAGCTTCATACACTGGACCACAATTTCGAGCCTCTCTACGCACGCTGGAACAATCCTTGCATCATAGCCTCTTGAAGGACCAGAAGCTGGACTGCAGTATCTCCTGTGATCATAATGTCAGCGTACTACCCACGAACTGATCCTCCCAGTCATGAAAGTTGACTTTATCACTGGTTGATTGCCACGTGCCTACAGGCTTTCCAGACGCTATCTTGCTCTATTTCTGTTTCCTGCTCCAATTCCCAAGCCTTCACCAAGGCGGCTGCCTGATGAGCAGGAAACATAAGCTTTCTGTAAGTCAGCTGCCAGTATTGCACGAATCCCCAGGTATAAGTCCGCTGTCGTCTCCCGTACTCTTTTTTCTTCCTTTTGTCTCTTGTATTTCCAGCAGAAGTGTCGTTATCATACCGCCTTACAACCTCTTATCAACTCAAGAATACCTCTGTTGTACTGAGACATCATTCTCCTATTACATCTCGTCATATCTCAGAATGGCTTCTCACCACAACAACAACATCACCTTCGGTCTTGAATATGAGCTGAAGCTTCGTATTACGACCAGTCAACTTCAAGAAGAGCTTCAAAGCGATCCCGCCACCAAGAACGTCCAAATCGTCACAGACCCAGGCCAGGTCAGACTAACGAAAGTCGGACCACAATATCTCCAAAACAACTATTTCAACTTCGCTATTCGCGACGATAATCACCAACCTCAGAGAACAACTCTGGTCAACAAAGTCACTCGAGAGCAATGCGACTTCCGGGGTTACTCTACAGAGGTCTTGAGAGTCGTTCAAAAACGTCTCCAAGCCATCTCTGGCTACGAATCAACAGCTATATATCAAGGTCAAGGAAAGCAGGCCGACTTCTCATCTGCTCCTCTTTATTTGACCCATGATGCCAGTCTCAACGGCCTCAATAACGCTGCCAAGATTGCCACAGCTTTGTGCGCTCCAGATCAGGCAGATACCACAGACTTTGTTGGAACAGAGATCGTGACTGCCCCTCGCGACTCACCCCAAGAAGCCTGTGATGAAGCCAACAAGATCTCGGCAGCTCTTCGTAGCGACAGCCTGGACTATCACATTGATGATGAATGTGCCATGCACATCCACGTCGGCAAACAAGACGGCACTCGCTTCGACATCAAGACACTACAACACCTCGCTTATCTCGTACTGATCTACGAACATGAATTTGCTCGCATGACTGTACCCCGCAAGCGCGGAGGTGATTTCGAGACCAGATCAAACCGTCTCGATTTCGCCACCGAGTGCCCGTCGCCAGAAGTCCATCACGCATATTTGTGCGACCAGGAGGGCAACGTTTCCGAAGGATCTGTGGAAGCGGTCTGGAATTACCAGTCGCTTGCAGAGATTCGCAAGGCCCTCTTGCAANAGGTGGATTTGGCAGAGGATCCACACGAGGCTTTTGTCAAGCTCATGGGCGACAAAGGCCACATTGTCAACTTTTCGTACAGCGCTCGAGACGTCCGCAACAATGAACCAGCAGCCACAGTCGAATTCAGACAACATCACGGCACTCTCGACGGCGAAGACGTCCTTCATTGGTCTCGTCACTGTACAGCCCTCGTCGCCTTGGCTCAGAAATATGCCGACAACAATGCCCAATACCCAATCACCTCCTGGGAAGACAACATTGACATTGAACAACTATGGAGGGAGATGAAGCTGCCCGAATCAACCAAGCAGTTTTATCGCAATCGTATGCTGGAGTTTGATGAGCGTTGGCCCGACGTCCATCAGACTCCTCTTTGCGAACCCGATATGGTCTTTGATGACGATTTCTCTTTTTCCGACGAAGAGTCTGAAGGCTCTGCACCCAGCATGGCAGAAGACGATGTGGAGGAGGAGGAGTGTTAGAGGATTACCTTATGAGGTTCTCTCCACACGAGGATGAAATTTTTGGTCCTCTATCGTGTCCGCGTCCGGGATTCTGATGAGCGTTGGCCCGACGTTCAGCAGATTCCTCTTGCGAATTCGATTTGGTTTCAAATATACAGGAAAAAGTGTTGAAGTGTCACCTTACGAGGTGCCCTTGACACAAGGACAACAGGTGTACGGCATTGCTGGTGGTAAATGTATGAGCATGTAATCTTCTTGTTTCTCTTTTCCCGCTGGACATGGCTTTCGCTAGTGGGGGTTTTAACGAGGCAAGATAGCGTGCGAGGAGCTTTGGTTAGAATGATTCGCATTACAATGTACTTGCAAGCTTTATCATTGGTTGTTTATGTACTGTTTGGACATTACGATGGTCAGAATTTGGTACTGCAGGATATCAAGACAACAAAGCCCTTCCACCTCAATCCATTTTCGTGCTTTCCTTCTCTCGATGGGACATGTCTTTTTACTTAACCTTCATCAATGTTGTGTGTCCTCATCTTCCTGAACTTCAGTAACTATAGATCTACAGTCTTTACTAACACAACATAAAGGCAGAGAGATCGCACCAAACAAAGAACTCACTTTAGTCGTCGTCGCGTATGGTTGAGGACACGACATAAAAGTCGATGATGTGCTGCAGTCGGTGGTCTTTTGATTAGCGCCATCACATCCACTCTTTCAATGGGTTGTGCTTGCGCCATGGCCTCATCCCCCATCCCAAAACGCCATGTGTTGCAAGGTGGGAAACGAGTCAAGGTTCTGTCGATCCCGTTGATCGTGGATCGGAACTCGACAACCGATGCAAGGACGAGGAATACTCTCTTGGTTGCAAGTCACTGGCTGCACGGCACAATCGCAGGAGATACAAGAGACGTGTCGCAATTTGAACGATTGTATAAATGTCAATTTTAGGTGCGAAAAGATGGGTTGATGAAGTTGATCATCAAATTGAGACGTTCTCTTCGTTCTGGTGTAGAAGATCTGCTAATCAGAAATTATTGGGAACCACCTCGGTGTTTGGTGGAGAAGACCTTGCTCGTGTTTGAAATCAGAAGTCCCAAGCTTCCCAGTCACAATCATGACGACAAGAAACTTCCTTGCAAGACGGGCGCATGACCAAAGCCGCATGAAGCAAGGCAAGTAGTAGGACGGGGTGTATCTTCCCAGCCATCTTCGCACTGTGGTCTGTATGTCCGAAGGATGGGACGCGGTCCTTTGTCGCGATGTCGAGGTGACGCCGAGACTTGTGCATACGCACCCAACAGTGGGCAAGGTGGGGTCTTCTTGCACGGTTCCTGAGCGAGAAAGCGATCACTCCGCTTTCACGGTCCTTTCAGGGCTACCTTTGTCGACATGGCGCACAGTGACCTCGATGGCAATGGTTCGGGCCCACGGCGAAGTCCACCAGTGGGACACCCGGTCCAACTGCGCACCGAAGAGAAATATGACGACTTCACATGTGACTGACTGGCCCAACGAGCGCGCGCCTGTTCCTGGCGCTTGCATGAGGCAAAGCAAAGCCAGACGCACAACAACCCTTCTAGCCAGGTCGAAGTCGTCGGGTACCTGAATCTAGAGACAGGCGCTTGGGAGGGGCGCACCGTGGCTCCAACCTTTTTCACGTTCTTCAAGCTATCGGTGGTCCTTAGCCGCACGTCTTCAACCAACTTTCAACCTTGTCTCCACACCCGAACATCAACCATTCATGGTTAACCCCTGCGCACCGGACGGGCCGTGACCCACAATCAACCAACACGCGGGACTGCCGCCGAGAGAAGTCCAAGTCAACCGCCTTGTGCACACTGCACAGCGCACGGCGCCTGCAGTTGGCAGAAGGTAAATCTTCTGCTTTTGCATTTCTGCCCATCCTCATTCGTTGCTCCTCGCCCCGTCGTTGACACGTCGTGGATGGTGGGTGGGCTCGTCCACCGATTCGACGAGAAAGCGAGGCCATGAAAAACTTTGGGTAAAAGACTTCAGCGTGGGCAGCACGTCCATTACACCCGCGCGTATATATACTGTAGTAGGTCTCTCTCCCAATTGTGCCTTTTCCTTCTATCCAACAGTCTTTACTTTTCTCTCTCACCATCACTCCCTTCGCGCCAGGTTCCTGTGGAATCGGCAGACATTCCTTTACGGTTTCTACACCATCACCCCAGCACCCTTGAATACTCCTTCAGCCAGTTGATCTCGGCATTTCACTCCCTTTGTCTATATCTTTCACCCCGAAAAAACCATCAGACACAATGCAGTTCTCTATCTCCACAATTCTGAGTCTTCTTGCTGCCACTGCAGCTGCTCTTCCCACTGAGAAGGTTCTCCAGAAGAGAGGTACCATCTCTGCCACTCCTCATGTTGAGTACAGCTCCAGCGTTGGCGTTCTCGGTTGCAAGATCAACACCAACAGAGTCGCCTACTGGCCTATGAGCGTCGGCTGTGACAATATGTGTGTCAAGGTCAGCCACCAAGGTCGTTCTCTCCACCTCCTTCGCGTTGACCAGTCTGGAGGTGCCTACGACATGAGCTACGATGCATGGAACACTCTGGTCACCGGAAAGAACGCTACTATTGACCCTACTATGGGCGGTGGTGTCGACATGGAGTACGAGAGCGTCGACATGGACGAGTGCTCGCACCTTCTCCACGACTCTGACGGCAAGCTTGCATTCTCCGCCGCCAACAGCATGAACTTCATCGCTTCCTGCATCAGCGAGCCCAACAGCTGGGTTGCCAAGAACTACGGTCTCTGGAACATCTTCAACTCCATCTGCACCAATGGTGTTGATGAGCAGTGCACTTTGGACTTGAGCGTCAGCAACCAGCCTTCGTGCGGAAACACCATCCTCGGCATCAACACTCCTCTCAGCGGCCAGAACGTCACCAACATTGCCTACGGTACTGGAGCTCGTGTTGCCGCTGTCTAAGCCATGCGCAGTATTTTGGAATCTTGAAGATATCACAACTCTTGGAGCCAGTCACCAACATTCATTCGCTTCCTGTCACTCATTCACCCACACCTTCTACCATTCTCCTGTCTTGAAGACAGTAGCAACTTCCTTCACTTCTTTACCAGTTGTGTCACCCAAAAGTGCCTGCATGCAGGCCGCACAACTTTGGACACAGTTTTATCGGGTGCTTTTTCTTGCGCTTTCACAGGCCGGGATTTTTTTTTTTAGACATGATTTTCGAGACGTATTTATGACATATTTGGAAACAAAGGGGGAGACAGCAAAAGTTCTATATGAACGAAGAATCAAAAACTTTTCTTATCACAAACTCATTGTCTCTGATGTTGTTGATTTTGAATTTGGATCGTCGTTGTGTCTCAGTCGAGGCATAGCGATGTGCAAGCATTATCATTATGTATGTGCATAAGATGCGGATATGATTCTGTGGACGACTTGATGGCAATGCGATGCCAACGTGCGTCAAGCTTCTGTTGTTGCGAAGCCATCGCTCCAAGCTCCCAGCGACACAGAGCCGCCGAATGGCGAATACAAGGTCTGAACACGAACAATTTTCCCTGACGGGTGTCTCTATGGTCTCGGAAAAGGATTGTCGAGAAAAAGAGAATTGTTCTCGTCGAAGATGATCCAGTGGCTGGACGAGGCATGGCCGACCAACGAGCAGGCAATAAATAAACATCAACACAGAGCACCAGGTGCCGGCCCTCTAGCCTCTCTTGGTTTCTCGTCTCTGCAGCTGAATGCCCCATGCGTAGAGATCTTGGTACAACAGTCCATGAACACTCATAAGGGGTTGATTAGATGTGCTACAGCAACAAGCGTGTCTGCTACAAATGCCCGCTGACATGAGAGACTCTACAGCTGGAACGTCGAAGGGTTCGTACCTTCCACCACTCCTCGTCCTCGTTTTGTCCTGTCAGTCAGAGCAAAATGCGACATGAATTCTTCCTGCTGCCATGGTGATTTGACTAACACCTACACTTCCTCATTATCCCCTTCAGCCTGATTTTGATGACACGACCACAGTCGATCATTTACAAGATTATCGGAGGGCCCGGCATCCTACTCCCTAGTGTAGGCTGTATTCGTCGTCAACCTTGTCCGCTTTGCTCACCATGCAAGCAACCCTGTTTTGACATCGGACTGCCCCGCAATGAGAGCGTGAGCGACAAACAGCACTCAATTTCCTGTTCGCTCGCTTCCATAACTGCCTCGTGCTTGGCTGCATTGACACCGCAGAAGCTGACAACACAATCCATGCTTGTGTTGTGTGTCGAGACCTCCGCCTTGACCCCTCATGTGTATGCTCGGGGTTGCAGCGAGAGTCTGGTCTACTGTCTGGATAGACTACATAAGCATGCTAACATCTCATGTTTTGATGCGGAAATTCCCCTCGGACATTGGAGACCAATGTGATGGTTTCAAGCCTTTCTACAGCTCTGCTGTTTATTACTTTAACCAAGTATGCTCTAGCCCAGAGTTACGCCAATGCCACGACCAGTGCTGTACCAAGTTCTACCACTGTCAATGGCACCACTGTAGCCAATCCCAGTGCTTTCGTGACCAACCTGCAATTGTCTGTCGAAGGTAATCTGACCATTGTTCTACCAGCATTTTATTACAGCTTTGTAAGACTGACATCGTCCANNGACCTCTGGGATCTCTTCGTCGGTCCAGTCGATGTCGCAGACACCACCACTACTGTTCAGGCCACCCCTGTTCCATCCAGCTCTTTGATCCCTCCACCTTATATAGGCAACTATGCATTCCCACCTGGCCGTCAAATTCCCCTGGTCACAAAGAACGAAGCATGGAGCTTCCCGAAGGACTTTTATCTTGGTGTTGCAGGTGCCGCGTTCCAAATTGAAGGTGCTGCGAAAGCTGATGGCAAAGGACCTTCAACTTGGGATGTGAACATGCATCGTGTACCTAACTTCGTCGCTGACAATAGCACTGGAGACATCACGGATAACAACTACTACATGTACAAACAAGGTAAGTTGGAAATCCGCATGCTAAGATATAAGGGGGCTAACTTTAGTTCTTGCCAAANNGACATTGCACGTCTTGCTGCTATTGGTGTCAATGCATACTCTTTCTCTATTGCCTGGACACGCCTATTCCCTTTCGGTTCCGGACCAGTCAACGAGCTTGGTATAGCTCACTACAACATTGTGATTGACACGTGTATTAAATACGGTCTCACGCTCATGGCTACTCTCTACCATTGGGACATGCCTGCTGTATTGCAGAACAAGTATGGTGGTTGGCTGGGCGAAGAAGTCGTTCAAGACTTTACAGAGTATGCTCGTATAGCGTACGGTCGATTTGGGGACAGAGTTAAACAATGGTTCACCATCAACGAAATGATTGTGATCTGCACACAACAGTACCCGATGCCTGACGGATACTGGCGTAATTTCTCAATCCCAAAGATTGAACAGCAATTCGTGTGTAGCCGAAAAATCCTGCTTGCACATGCTCAGGCCTATCGACTGGGAAAGTTCATCGTACCAGACGCCTCTATCACATTCAAACATAACGGTGGATACAAGATTCCTCTTACCAATAGCTCTGCTGACGCCGAGGCTGTCCAAAGGGCATGGGACTTTAATGAAGGCGTATGTTATCAAACAAACAGCGATGACTTCTTGCTGACGTAAAGCAACAGTNGGTTCGCGAACCCTGTTTATCTTACTGAAGACTGGCCCTCTACTGTCAATGACCATGTCTCATTTTTCCTTCCTCCCTTCACGTCTCAGCAGAAGAACCTCATGCGTGGATCCGCCGACTTCTTCGCTCACGATGCTTACACAGCTCAATTCTACATGGCTCCTGACGCGGATATCGACTCTTGCATATCCAATTCTAGCAATCCCCTCTATCCTACATGCGCCAACAGTACCTACGCCTATGCACCAGCCCAAGGCAACTGCGTCATAGGTCCCGCAGCTGACCCTCACGCGCCATGGCTTCACCGCCCAACCGACTGGTTCCCAGCCTTCATGTCCTACATCAACACCACCTGGCCCTCCCCGGCAATCCAAGTCACCGAATTCGACTTTGCAGAGCCATTCGAGGCTTCCAAGACGCTACTCCAAGATATCCTCTGGGATCCGATTTGCACTTCATACTTGCACGACTATATGGAAGCTATACTCAGCTCTTTGAGCGAAGGTATCAATATTACCGCGGCATTGGCTTGGAGTTTTGTCGATAATCTCGAGTGGAATCAAGGTAAGAGCGTTAGGTTTGGGATGCAATATGTCAATTTCACAGATCCGTCGCTGGAGAGACACTACAAGGCTAGTTTCTTCGAGTATACCAACATGTACAAGACATATGTAGGGAAGTAGAGTCGACATGGGCAATAAGACAGGGCGTGAGCGACCCAAAGAAAGGATTACTAGTGTTCAAGTTGATAGCAAGATAGCCTTGATCGAACTCTATTCATGTTGATGATGGGACAATATTGCCAGGCTTCTTCTCTTCACGTGAGGCCAGTCCAGTACACATGTATCAGAAACAGCCCGTTTATTTCTGCGAAGTGAATAGTCCGTATTCATAAGAACGAGCAGCAAATATTTGACTTGACACAAATTCATAGGCCTTTTTGATTTTTTTCGATAACCCATTCCTTCCATCAACCATTTCCAAATTTTCTCTTCGCTGCACGAAGCCCCGTCAAGCAGTCAAAGCGGAGCTGCAGCCCAAGATGCCCATGCCGACAAAGGCAAAGATCATGCAAAGCCCTCTGTTGTGCGTAAGCTCGAGACTCTCGCCAAAGAGTTGCAAAGCCACAGAAGTCATGATACCAGCCGTTACAGCAAACATGGCTCCGTAAAAGTTTTCGCTGATGGCGACATTCTTGGAGCCTGCGACTTTGAAGATGAGAGCGGCAACACCGGCACCGAGAGGCTGAGAAGCACCACCGAGAAGCGAAGCCCAGAACATTGCTTTGGCACGGTTGTTGATGGCGAGGTAGAGAGGCAGAGCAAGGACGAAGCCGTCAGTGATGTTGTGGATGAACAAGGCCAAAAAGACGGAGAAACCGAGCTTGGGATTTGCGTGATTGGTGGCGAAGGTGATGAAACCTTCGGGAAGTTTGTGCAGAGCGATCGCAATAGACGTCTGAATGCCGATCGATGCAAAGACGTTGGTAGGGACATGATGATGGTGATGCTGCTGCTCTCCATCGGGTTGCTGGGTGCTGGACAACGAGGCATGAGACTTAGTGTGGTGAAGCGACTGTGCATCATCTTCTTCCTCCTCAATCACAGCGCCAGCACCCAAGCTAGGCATGCCGTTTGATCTTCTAGTTTGAAGAGCCGTGTCTGACGCTATACGGTTCTGATGTGCGGGACGGGGTGAAGCCTCTACCCTTGTACCTTGCAGCAGAGGGGTTTGCTCGGACGCGTTCGACTCGCCACGCAGAAGCTGCTGGCGGATGATGGAGCGGGTGCTTGCCTGTCTTGTCTGCATGTTCTTGAAACAATCCGCACCGCATGGCTCGCTGAAGCCATAACAGGGACCGTCACAATCGCAAGACGATTTAGATCTGGAAGCGATTGAGGAAAGTGTTTGACTCAAGCGGGCTTGCAGTGAGGGTCGTCTGGAGAGGCTCTTGCCAGGAGGCAGTGCCGCGGTACCGTTTTGATCAGCGGCAGCAGAAGTGGACTTGCGTGCTGAAATCTTCGGTCGTTGAATATGAATGTGTTCACCATGTTGCTTGATGGTGGAGTTGGATCCGCCGTGCGAGCGGTCGTGAGAAGGAGGATGAGCCTGCTCGTGCCTTACTTGGCCATCTTCTTCGGATGGCTCCTTGGCAGCGGCTTCTTCGTCGTGCGAGTGTTCGCAGTCTACCACATGAGATGGCATGAATAGATGAGCAAGTCGGCTGATGACTTGTATACCGAGGGCTCCTGCTAGGAAACATCCTATCAATGTCCAAGCAGCTGCTTTAGGAGACATTCCACCTTTTTGAAGAGAACTTTTGGCCGAGGGCATCATGCTAAAGAGTGCAGAAAAAAGCTGCTAGTGTTAGTTTCGAGGCATGAATAGGGTTGATGTGAAGACGATTACCATGACACCAAAACTCAGACTGAGTGACGAGGATAAGAACACATCACTATCCTGTATCCTGAAGTTGCGTTTGCCAGGAAATTTTCTGACGATTATGTCGACGCAGATGATGGAAGCGCCGATGATGCATGCTGCNCGTCACTGTCAATCGATGCGCAAGTGGCAGGCAAAGACGTCTGAAAACTCACCAGCACCACTGACACTGGCCATGACCCATCCACGTTCATCGTTTGAAAGACCCATATTCGACTATTTCAAAAATACCGATGCGGAATGACAAGCCAGAGATGATTCCTTCCCAGATGGACAAGGATTCGGCTGTTTCTAGACTCGAAGGCCGTCGCGTCTCGAAGGATCTGCTTTGTTCCTTGTTACCTACCCAAAGCGAACGTTGCCGATACCAGCGCAAAGGTTCGATGATAATATAGATTGTCTGTGAGACAATGAATATGAGGCTTCGGGAACGGACGAGCAGACGTCGTCCAGAAGGCTCTGTTGAGGTCGCGATTCGAAGGCGCGGGCCGAGCGCACCGTTTTCTCACTCGATGATGCCAAGACACCTTGATGGGCCCTGTGACGCACTCTTATTCCATTGGCTCGAGGCTTCCTTTTCAGATGTGTCGGTGAGCATACCTCTAACCTGCAACGCTTTTGTGTTTCTTTATGGAGAACACATGTTCACTCACATGTTCGCTGCTTACAGTGAGATTGCCAATCAATTTTCCGCAGACACCAACTCATGTGTAGCCTTTTCCTTTCGCCAAGACGGAAGGTAGCATAGTTTCCAAGCAGTAAAGATGTATGAATAATGAAGATTATATACTGAAGAACTGTACAGATGCCCCTCCGAAGACTTTCTATTCTAGAGGCACGATGCACTTCTCTTCGATCCACTTGGCGAATTGCACCGTCGGTGTGTCGACCACGCGCATGAAGAGATCTGCCGCCCAGATCGTACTTGCGATGTTGATGATTGCAGCTAGAACAAAACCAATCTCTTTGGTCAAATATGTATCATCTCCAATAGTACGCCAGAAAAACTCCATCGAAGCGTAGCCAATAGTATGTGTAACAGGACCATGCATGAGGTAAAGCGAGAAAGATATTTTGCCAAGATACTGAACCGGACCATTGATGAAGAGGCGCTGGAGAAGAACGGAGTTGGATGTCGACCAGACGAGCAGAACTGCAGCCCAACCGACCCAATAGCGTTGTTTGTGGTCACAATAAGAAGGAATCCAAGAGTACAATGTAGCCCAGCCAGGGGCATGTTCGACATGGACTTGTGGTTGACCTCCCAGGTATATGCCAACCAGAAAGACGAAAATATACAGTGCCGTCCACAAAGACTCTCGTGGTGAAGATTTTGGAAAAGAGAACCCGAGTGTAGGAAGAAGGGACTTGGTAACGGCCAGCGCTTGTCGGCGAAAATCGAGCTCGGCAAGTAGAAAGCCAGAATAGAAGAGAACCATTTCCCAGCGATCTTTCTCGTGGCACCAGACGACAAGGGCGACTAGGGACGTCATTCTAACAAGAGGCTTGAGACGCGCAAGGCCAAGTTGGGTCAAGTATAGAACGAGTGAAGATCGGAATTCCATGNNCTAAGCGAGGTACAGTCAGCGGTGCTTCAGACGGGTTTGAAGACGGTAGACTTACGGGATGGTCCACAGATGCTTATCAATCTCAATATCGGTGTCTTTTGTTCCAAAGCTCCATGGGTGGACAAATATCCACATCATCTTAGCCCAATCTGTTAATTGATGCCACAACGATCTGTAGCGTGGCATATGGAATTCGCGAACTTGGTTCAGGCGCCTTCCATCATATGCTATACCACGAGTCACGTCGTACGCGCCCAACCGGACTAGAACAACGATCATCAGAGTCGAGGCAAAGCAAGGTAGATAGAGACGAATAGCTCGCCGGAAAGTTGCCGAAGAGAGGGTGTGTAACAAGTCTTTCCAACTCTTGTTTCTCATGAGCTTGACGGGCTTGTACGAAAGGGCATAGCCAGAGACGACGTAGAATATGGATACCATGGCGGGTCCAGTGTATATGAATCGAATGAATGGGAGTTTGAGAAACTCGCGGTGCTCATTGGGCTTGCCGGTGCCGGCGAATGCGGTGAGGACATCGTGACTTGAGTAGGAGAAGTGGTAGAAGAAGACGAAGAGGGCGGCCAGTCCACGCATACCATCGAGATAAGCGGAGGGGTGAAGGCGTTCGAGCCTCTGTAAATCGGGATAGAGTTTGGTTTGGATGAAAGTTGGTAGCAGGAAGAAGAGAAAGCGCTTTGATGAAGTTATTAAATCCGACCATTTTGGATGTTGAACGCCCGAGAGGTTGATGTGAAATGTTGGTGATGGATTGCTAGATTTGGCTTCAACTGGTAGTGTCCTTGCCTCATCTCGAAAATCCTCAAGGAGATGTGACTCCTCCAGCACGTCCTTCTCATGGAATGTAGAACCCTCCGCCATGATGTGAAATGGATGAGCGAAGGAGAAGAGAAAAGGAAAGAAGCCTCAAGACTGGAGAGTTCTCTGAGGGCTGTTTCATCCCTTTGAACATCTACCCATAAGTGTCATGAGCACGTCTACTTGATAATCGACCGAAGTGAGATCATCAAGTAAAGTTGCAGGGCACTTCCGAGACCCCACCACTCTCATTCTGCAGATATTGCAGGGTCCCGAGCTGTAAGATGCCGTTTCGCGCCAGTCCTGCTGTGGGGCTGGACCTGTGACTCGATCCTGCTTCAGTACATCGAAGAATGTACATTTGAATATTATAGCATGTGGGTACTCGGTGAATGGCAAACTCGAGATCTGTAGGTCAAAGATAAGACGCTGTTTGCAAGTATGCGACCTTTTCCAACGGGTACCTTGGAGTCTGTCTGCACTGGACATTGGATGACGTGGCAGTTGCTTTCTCTGTTGCGCCGTTGAATGGTGAAACACCTTGCATTTCGCCCAGCTTCAACGGCAAATGCGGATTTGAGATTAGCGTAGAATTAATCCACTTCGGATTGACATTTATGTTCTAGCTACGCACAGCCACTAACAACTGTCTGTCGCAGTGGTTTAGTGGTAAAATTCGTGCTTGCCATGCACGAGCCCCGTGTTCGATTCACGGCTGCGACATTGTTTTGTTCCTCCAACCTTCATTATCTCTCTTCGTTCGTGTGTTGCGCTCCAATTCAAGCGGGGAATGTTCCCATTCAAAGCGGATATTATTTTAATCCTGTTAGAGTAGGATTCGCTCGCTGCTGCCTAGTCATAGGGTATTTAATCTCGGTCGTCGGCCTTCAACCACAACTCAAAGCTGGCAGCTCTCTTTTCTACCTTCATACATCATTCTGTTTCCGGCACGAATCCTCACAAGCTGACAAGCTACGACACGGTTCTCCATTTTACCTATCCAGCCGATCATGGGCGACGATACTTTCAGCCCCTTCTCGCGACTACCCCTTGAGCTTCGCGAAATGATATGGCGCTACTGCCTTCCGCATCGCGTGAGCGAGCTGGACTATCCTTCCGACTATATAGTCTTTATGGACCACTCATACAAAAATGGGGATGAGTTTCCTTGTCCACTCGTTCCGACCAGTTTTAGTAATGGTCGCCCGCCATTACTTACGCGAGTCTGCAGTGAATCGCGGAGAGTTGCCTTTCAATCAGGCAATTGGATTTCGGTGCTAGATCCCCAGGAAGTGGAGGACGCTCAGGAGCCATGTGAAGATGAATGGTGGGGCGGCCACAGTATGGACAAAGATGACTGGCAAGACCCTTACCGCGACTCTACACATCTACATTGGCACGCGGGCTATAGCGCAGACTGGGCCTATTCGACAGAGGGTAACCCGGTGGAATCTTTGGTCCGAGTATCAAAGCGTCTAAATGGGTCAGCATCGATCATGCTAAGCTACATCAGTGACGGCTTTAGACGCTACAGCAAGCAGAGAGACCTAGCGGCATTCAAGCTACTGCCCAAATGGTTGGTAGTCGCAAGAATCATTGTCATACACCTTGACTCCGCACATGCTGCGAAAAGCGGCCTGTTCGGATTGCTCGAGACGCGCCTGNTGCAAGTAGTAGACGCCTATTCACCATTGGCCTCGCAGCTGTGGGAGTTAGCTGAGACCTGTGAGCGTGAGGCATATGCGCTCACAGCTGCTCAGAACTTCGCTCGAATGTCTGCAGACGACATGGACGCCGAGGTGAAGCGCCACGTGTTCAAAGTCTTTCAAGACCATGACTTGTTGAAGCGCATGCGGCCAGCAATCATGTTCAGGCTGTGTACGCGAATGTGCAACCACAGTAGCACACTGCAAGAGAAGCCAAAAGTATGGACAGGATGTTGAAGCCCAAGCTGCACAGTGCAGGCAATTCGAGGAATCCGCCTGGCAAGTATAGGGGAATCGGCGTGTGTCTAAACTACATTCTCTCATTATTAGCTATGACGCATCCACATCTTAAGCTGAGACAAGTCACCGATTTTCGTTCCAAGGGGAGCGCAGAGACCTGGGACGCAGGTGATGTGGCTGGCATTGCCAGGGCCGGAGATGGTGAAGGCGTAGTTGTGGTAGGATGTCCCGGTCGGGGGTGTGATGGTAATGGATTCGACGGGGCTAGTAGTAGAGATTGCAAGAGTGTTGTCCTTACCTGCGATCAGAGTGACCGAAAGGGTAACGCTAGATTGACCTGTGTAGTGTTGGAGGCACACGTACCAAGGCAGGTAGAATAGGGATAGTGATTGACGACAACATCTTTAGTGACCTTCAGCTTGAACACTTCTATTCGTGATGGGTACTACATCAGGTTTATAGTCCATGAATAAGTAGGATCTGTCTACTTTCGGTTAATAGCAGAGTACTTGCATGCAGCCCCGCATGAGGGTATCGGGTAACCTTGCATCCATATCAACTGTAACAGTGGATACCGACAGGTTCTTGTGTTGTATTTTACGGTCGAATTCGAGTCCATGAGATGATCATTGCAGGGCTGCTTGGCATCGTTGTGAACAAGGATCATGGTTCGAAGGCATGGTTCAACAACGAGTGACGTTGCGGGAGTGATGGCCTACTGCTGCCTCGCCCGCCATAAAGATTACAGTGACACTTTCGCGAGTGGAACGCTTCGCGAGTCGGACATTGTTTGATGGGTCTTTTGGTCGAAAATGGAGGCGAAGAGCCAGAGTTGCATCTCGGAGACGGCCCACCAGCTACCGCACTTTCCTGCCAAGACTCCAATCTCGACACATTACATTCCCTTCTAACCACTTGTGCGTCCTTATGAAGCTACAACCTTCTCAGTAACATCTCATCAAAGTCGTCACAATGGCATCTGCGCCAGAAATGAAAGTCGTCAACATTGGCACGCGGCGATCGCAACTCGCCATCGCTCAAGTCGACATGATTGTCAAGCATCTTCAAACCTTCGCGCCAGGTCCTGAATACAAATCACAGGTGGTCAGTACAATGGCCGACGAGAATCAAGTCAAATCGTTCCAAGATTTCAACGCAAAAAGCATCTGGACCGAGGAGTTGGAGAAATTGTTGATGGAGAAGAAACTTGATGTCATCGTTCATTGCTTGANNAAGGTAGGTAAACAGACGGCGGGGGCATCCTCAGACCATTTTTCAGTGAGTGTTAGGATTTTGATTTTTGCTTTCACAGATGTACCGACAACATTGCCTGAATCTTGCATACTGGGTATCATCTGCGAACGCGAAGACCCTCGTGACGTGATGGTGATGAAGGGAGATTCGACCTACAAATCCCTACAATCACTTCCTTCTGGCTCTGTCGTTGGCACCTCTTCCGTGCGCAGAAAGGCTCAGATCATGCGACACTATCCTCATCTGATCTGTGAGGACGTCCGAGGCAATCTCAATACTAGATTACGGAAATTAGATGCCGAGGACAGTCCTTATGCGTGTTTGATCCTCGCTGCTGCGGGCTTGAAGCGCATCGATCTTGGTTACCGCATCACACAGTATCTGGGCCCGGAAGATGGTATGCTGTATGCTCCTGGTCAAGGTGCATTGGCATTGGAAGTGAGAGAAGGCGACGAGCAGACGCTTCAACTACTGAGCTCGTTATCTCATCAAACAACGACCCTGGCGTGTCTTGCTGAGAAGAGCCTCCTGAAGACTTTGGAGGGAGGTTGCAGTGCACCAGTCGGTGTGCACACTGATTGGCAAGATGGTGTGTTGATCCTGCATTCTACTGTTACCAGCCTGGACGGCAAGCAGATGGTAGAGATGAGCATGAAGCATATAGTCAAAACAACGACCGAAGCTGAAGCCCTTGGAAAGGCATTGGCGGACAAGATGATTGCGGAAGGCGCAAACATAATTTTGGAGGAAATCAGAGCTGGTCTCAGATGATAACATGTATAACTCGATACTCTAACCAATGTATATAGTACCCGAACACGCCCCTCATCTCGATCAGCTCGTCTTTAGCTTCACGCACTGTCTGCGTCTGAATGTTCTCCAAAGCACAATGCTTGTACAGAGCTGGCGACACGACAAGGCTCATCGGTAAACCAGGGTTGGTGTTCTTCACGACGTACTTGTACCCTCTTGGGGAGAAAGTCAGCAAATTTAGCCCATAACAACATACTGAGGGCGAAAATAATCCACGAAAGACCCGCATGTCCAAAAGCTATATGCTGGCCTCTACCATCAAAGTGCGCCTGCTGAGAAAGCTCAGCTCTCTTCTCAGCTTGCACCTGTATAGTCTAAGCCAGACCCTCACGTCCCCCTTTGACGGTTCGCATAGACCCGCAATAGCACAGGCAATAACAGGACGCCTTTTGCACTATACTCCTTGATAGCATTGTCCAAAGGTCTGCGAGTCAAGACGTTCTTGCTACCACCTTTCTTTGTGGGTCAAACATGTCATGACTAATCTCCTTGCTAACCTGCCACTGGAGGGTTTCGCGATGAGTGAGGCAGCTGTCTTCTGCTACGTAAACCTTAGTATTCGAGAGTGCCACATGTGGTGCTGAGACGTGGACGCTGAGGCAAGATACTGGCAAGGCTGTATTGAGTTCTGATGACTTTAGGCACTTGTTGTTCTCAAGTCTGGCGGTCCAACTTGTCTCGGATGTCTTCGTCTAAAAGAAGGATGTCTGAATGCAAGGCTTTCTATTCGTTGTATGATAGCGTGTCGTCTATTGTAGTTCCTTCCTCATGAAAACGGCATACCACCACAGGGTCTCTCCCTGCTTGCCCACGCTCGTATACCTCGGAGCCTCCTTGTAGCTCCTGTAGCCCTTNTTCTGGTACCACAGCATATTGTTTGGAGGCACGGGTCTCTGTTCTCCGGATTCTTTTTCCCATTGGCCCAAGCCATCAGGGCCATCGACACCGCCGACGCAGTAGCGCGGGCTCATTGTGTTGATGGTGATGGCGGTGATGTTCTCAGCGCCAAAGGGCAGGACACGGGCAAGGCGCTCGCATTCGTCAATGGCAAAGGCACCCAGGCCGGATCGGTGGAAGGCAGGCAGGACGAACAGACTCGTTATGGTAAGCACGCCCTTGGCAGGATCGGCAAGCGTCGTGTCTGGTACGGCATCGGGCTCGGTGATGTCGACCTTGTCCAAGGATACGTGGCCGACGGGCATATAAGTGTCGGCGTCGCGCGTGAAGGTGGGAATGCCCTTGGAAGCGTCGGGTGCAAGGCAGATCCAGAAGAAGCTTCTCGTGCCGGCTTCAATGGCGGCGGCCCACTTGGGAATCTTGTCGCTGTTCCATCCGCAGACGAGGCGTTGGTCGTAGAGGATTTGGCGCTCTTGTTGGTCCTTCAAGTCGATTGGGACGAGCGTGGCCGAGGGCAGCTGGCGGTGCGAGACGGTCGCTGGACCGGAAGGCGCGTTGGTCGTCATGGCCGCTGTTGTTGTTTTGATTGCAAAGGTTCCTGCATCGTGTTGAACATGTAAGAGATGCCTTGAGTCAACATGGACTTGTAGATTGCATTGCACCTTCTTGTTCGGGACGCCGACCGTCTTCTCGGCCTTGGCGTTCACTATATCATCATCCTGCTCCATCCACTTCATCTCGCTTCCTGAACCATCTGGATGAGATGTTGTTCGCAAGCATTGATTCTTTGCTGCTGGCTTAAGGGCTTCTGCTGCTACTACAAGTGGTACGATCTCATCACGCCATCACGACCGAAGCTTCTCAGTGCTCTGTCTCCTCTCGACCATCGTAACATGCCAATACCTCTCTCTATTCCAGATCCCTCGGGTCTTTGTATCCGCCACTTGACATTCTCGACTCGATTCCAGATCTCGACCGTATCGTCACCTGCCCGAGCAACCAGTATCTCCCCTCCACTCACCCATTGAACTGCCGAGACAGCCGCATATCTTTCTCTCATCCGGTCATCGACCTTGACCTTGAAATTGCCAATCGTCTTGTCTTCGAAAGGCTCCCAGATCCACACATTGTTCGTCTCGTGAACAATGGCGATCTCGCCTCGGTCCGACCACGCTACACATCGGACCCAATGTCGAAGCTGCTCGTTTCTGAATCGATTGACTTGCTCTGCTGTTTCGGCCGAGTAGACAGCTACAAACGTTTCGCCACGGGAGTCTTGGTTAGCCATCCCGCAAAGCAAAACATGCTTCGAGTCCGGCGACCACGCTCCACTCCAACACTGCCCTCCTGTTGGTCCAATGACGTGCTTGCAATCACCTGTCGAGACATCGAAGATTCTGAAAGTGCCATCCCAAGCTGCTGTAGCGATGTACTGACTATCGGGACTGAACGCTGTCCACATGATGGCATCCTCATGGCCGCCCAGAACGTGCTTTTCGCACTTGTTGACCATATCGTAGACGATGACTTTGGGAAGGTCGGCTGGCGCACGAGGACCAGATTGAGTGCTTTCGTTTTGTATCAGGTAGAGGAATAGCTGACCATCCATGCTGAATGGATTAGAGCCGAATCCACTAGAGCGACCTGCTACATGAGATAGATGTCTAGACTCGACGCCAGCCCTCAACTTTTCGAGTGCCTTGCCATAACCTTCACGGACTGACTCGAGAATTGGAGTTGGAGAGTGAACACCAAAAGAGTCGTTCATGACAGACACGACAGGCTCCAAGGACCTTTGTAAAAGGTCATCCACGTCAATTGTATCAGGCTTGTGCGTCATGTGTCCATCCTGATCCAGTTCCATGAAAAAGACGGCAGACTTTCTCTCCTCTCTGTCTGAGGTTTCGATGGCAAGAAGATAAACTCCAGATTCAGTCGAGGCAGGGCTGAACATGAGCTTGACACAAGGAAACGCAAGCCCTCTGAATTGCATACAATGTTGCTTGGTCTCGAGATTGTAAACACCAACGACCGAGCCACTCGATGCCGCAACCAATTTGTCGTCATGGCTGGTAGCGAAATTCCCAAACTCGCCTGATTCCTGGCCGTCGAAGAATCGTAGCTCGATTTTGTCGTCTTCGTCGTCCCAGTAGCGATGCGCGGGTTTGCCGTTATTCGTGGATGCCCATGTTGCTGGTGTTCCATCGATTCCGAAATCGGTCTCGACCTCGTAGACGTAATCCGCGAGGAACAGTTTCTTGTTCATGTGACGAGCCATGTTTGACACGATCGATACTTGTATTGGAGACTTGAGCAGGGACTCATCTTTGATGATAAATGTTGCGGTTTTAGGCAGCACCATGGGTGTGAGTCAACTTCGCCCGCGGCTCTTGAAGGAGCGATGGCGTCAGGTTGCGAATCAAGCTTCCGTTCACATCAAGTTTGCATTGACATGTGTTGTGCACAAAACAGTATGGAATCAAAACTGCAACGCTAAACAGCGATTAAGATCTTGCTATAAAAAGTTTTTTTACAAGAAAAGGAATGATTGACTTCGTGGCCTTCGTTACATATGAGATAAAATGACAGCAACAGCTCATCAAACCGGTGATGAGGGCGGCGAGTGTGAATGCAATACCGATAATTCCTGCTCAATCTTGATATCTTTGCTCATGACCACACGTCCATTTTGGATGTAGGCCTTCTTGATTGCTGGTTGAGGGTATTGATAGCGTTCCTGTCGCATCAGGGATTTGAGACTTGATGGCCTCTCCAGCTTGGTCCCACTATCGATACGAGAAACATCAGACATGGCTGAGGGAGCTCTGGAATGTCTGGTGGAGTGTCTGGTCGATTGCCTGGATATCTCATTGACGCTTGAGATGGTCTTTTTGGTCTTGCGGTCTATCGTCCGTAGCTCTGTCTCGTCCGAGTTGCCGACGATAGTTGTCACGAAGCCTAGTCGTGCATCTCCATATTGATTCATCTTGTCCTCGAAGCTCATACGGGAAACATAGGTGCCGGGTGTGTATGTAATTGGCCTGCCCCGATGCGTGGTGGGCAATACGGTATGCTGCCTGCCAGGAAAACAATATCTGAACAACGGACGCAGGGTTGCCAGAGAGGCTGCTACAATGCCGAGTCCTGGTTCTACGATCGACCAACTTGCTATGTTGACCGCGTGTTCTAGGAAAGTCGGTGACGCCTCAATGCCGGGGATGTATGCTAGTCTGACCAATGAAGCAATGCTTGCTAGAGAACCGAGGCCGAGTAGACATCCTGCTGAGATCTTGGTGGACCGAGGGATAGCTGCACTCCAGATCACAGTCACCGGTAGAAGAGAGAAGAGCCAGTCTGTCAAGGCATTCATGCCGCCGGCAGCATAGTACAGAGGCTGTAGTATCGTATCCGACATGCATTGCTTCCTGGCTTCCTGGATGAAGAAGTTGTTGGGGTTGCCGCACTGAAAAATGACGATGAAAGTGAAAGCCAGGCCATAAGTGGTGTATATTGCAGTCGAGATGTATATGACCTTTCGTTGCCACGAGAAGTTGTCGGGAATGATGCGAAGGAAGAAAATTGCAAGGGCGAGCTTCAAAATGACTGTCGTGACGATGTAGAGAGACATGAAGCCCATGATGAGCTGCACTTCCAGTCAGCTTGTGTCCATCATTATACAATGGCGATTGTAGCTTACGCCGAATATAGTGTCAATCAGCCCGAACTGAGCTTTGAGCCCTTGCGTCAATGCTGTGCTTGCGGCATCGCTTTTTTCAATGTTCTCGATGGCAATGAGGCACATGCAACACGACGTAAAGACGCATAATGTGAGAAGAATCAACCAGTCATCCCAATGGAAGGATCTCAGAAGAAAAGCTCTGACGTATACACGCAAGGTTACAGCGATCCAGGCCAGCACAAGAAAGGCGACCGAGACCTGGAACATGGGCAACAAGGTATGTTCCAGCTCCAGCATCCTAGAAATCTCGGCGACGTCCATGTTGGTGACGCCTAGTGAAGCAGCTATCTTGGATGCGTTGGCCTCGCTCGACATCGACATAGACATTGATTTTTGTCGTTGGAAGACAGCGGGGAACCTCAAGGTTATGAGCAGCACCGGTGTGGAAGTTTTCAGCGGTTCATGCGTGAGCGTTGGATAACGGAATAGAGGGTGGATTCAGCAGGAGGGGACAATTGGTGACCCTGCATCTAGGCAAAGGAAAAGGGGTGAACAAAAAGGTAAAATACAATTGCTATGCGGGAACGTCGTCAAAAGGAAGAAGGAATGTTGGTAGACGCTTCACGTCAAGTGAGGAGGAAGAAGGAAGGTCCTACGCAGAGAGCGGCCGCGCACGACAAAATAGCACAACCAACCTGCTCAAAATACATGTTAGATCTATACGACCAGATGGACGAAGCACCATAATAGATTAAACCCGACGACTCCATGTCAGAGCACTTTTCGAGCAGCTTGATCTGCCTCATGGAATCATAGAAAGCACTTGCAGGGCTGGGCTTCTCTTGAGTCGCGACTACCCCTTTGGCCCCGTGCATCGGTCACACTCGGGGAATCCCGTCCCATGACGCCTTCCTTGTTCGAGCGACAGCTTGCTTGCGCTATCTCTGTTCTTTCCTCGACGTGCATCAACCGGCGGCGATGGGGTGCATAGGCGGCCACGCGAACAACGTAACGGTCGGTAATGCCATCGATACTTTGCTCAACCAGGAGTAAGTCACTCCCGCAGTACCATGATACATGTCGTAAACCGTCTTTGCCACGATCTCGCTTGCACGCTTCGATAGGGTCAATCTGTGTCGAGAAAGAGAGGGTTTTGTTTGATAATTTATCCTGATCAATCCCAAAGTGCAGCAAAAAGAGCAGAAGGAAAATTGGAGCTCAAATTTCCAACGCGCCGCCGATCAAACAGGCCATGTTGTGGGGTACTCTTCTCCCTTCTCTTCGACGCACATCGTCGGTTCTACCAATCACCATGCCACGATTGGGTCTGAGGTTCTTCTTTACAGTGGGCTCAATCTAGAGTTAGAAGTACACAAGCGCACCTCGATTTAAGTCGGATGGCGTGGAGGAAATTAAGGCGAAGGCTTGGAAGATCTTCACCAGCTGCACAACCAAATCTCATCAGCCAGCATCTTCGAGTAGTGGATCTGAATGCAAATCTTCCCAACGATACAGGTGACCTTATAATAGCCCATGATGCTGACTTCAAATATTTTGGTTGCAGCGCTTAGAGTCTTTTGTCGCGTGGTTGGCGCCTGCTATCACATCGACGGTCTCACAGCCTCCACAAAGTCTGAACAGCTTGGAATCACACCTACGACAGCATAGATGAAGTTGACATAGATTGCCGGACCACTAACCATCCCCCATATCCGCACGAGCAATCTGATATTACCAGCTGTATCAGCCTAACCGAGCCGTTGTCTTGCAATCCCCTTCCGCTCGAACTTCCATTTCTTTCGACTTACATCGCCAAACATTGTTTTGCGCAGCGGGCGTCGCTTTGCTTTCGTCATACTCTCCAAGTCTTCTGGACGAATGCAGTCGATATTCCCCATCGACTTTTCATACTTGACTCGACGCACATGGCCAGTCATCAATCCGCAACCCGCTAAAACCTCAAGTGGCTGGTAAGAGCAATCGTGTCATTGAGAAAGAAGATTCCAACCTCCCGGAGAAGTGTCCCAATTTGCCTGTCACATATCGCCTGCAACGATGGGCAGAGAATCATACCTAGTCGAGGGACAGTGGAAACGAACATGTATGCAAGATCGCGATAAGTTGTAGAGTCTGTCAAGCTTTACAATCTTGAACCCGGAATCCAGGCCATGAGGCGTTGCATATCACACACCACCTCTCTCGAACTGGCAAAGCCCCAAGACACTCGATCAACGACCGGAGTCATGACTGAATTCTTCCCTTTACTCAATGAGTTACTGGTTTCGATCATCTCTGCAGGTGTTCAACCCGGATTCCATGCTTTGATAGCGGTCGAGCACGGCTGTGTTTCGAGAAGACAAGTCTGCATCTTGCCCAAACTACGTTATATGCTGCATCGCCATGTATCCCCGTCCTTCATCCTGGATGCCTCGTGCTTATGGCTGGCTATCGAATCTCATTTGCGTCAACGCAGCGATGACCTGATCAGTGTCCCAACCAGCCTTGATTGCCTCCCGCATCACATCCTGCTCATTACTTGGAGCCATACCACTAGGAGCAGGTGGCCTTTTGTCGAGATTTGTCGGGAACGGATAGCCCTCGCCGATGGCTGCAATGACAGTTTCTACACTATCAGACAACCCTTGTGTCTTGTAGAGACTTTCAATGTCCGGCCAGCATGTTCTGACAAGTGGTATCGCGTCGATCTGCTCCATAGGCTTTCCAAACGCGCTGCTGATCTGAAGGAGATTTGCGCTTCTGTCGACATCGGATGTATTGTTGCCAGCAGCATGATGGAGAGCTGGATTGAAGAACACGCCATCACCCTTCTTCAGTGGCAGCGAGACCCAGTGTTCATCGAAGTACTGATCGAATTCAGCCTGACGATAAGCCATATAGCCTGAGTCGAGTCTCTGACTAAATGGAAGAAAACGCGTAGGTCCACTCTCCAACGCCATGTCGCTCTGCGCCACAGCACCTTGCAGCGTCAAAAATTGGCTCGCGTATTGGAGACCTTTGGGGAATCTGGAACATCCCTCTGCAGTCTGAAAACCTAAATGGTAGTCACGATGACTGGTTTGTGCTACTCCTCCAGGCTTGACAATATTCGTTTGTGCCGTGATACGGTATTGCTGTCCGAGCCAAGCTTCACACACTCGAGCTAGCCACGGATTGGAGTAGTACTGCACGAAAGACTTCGGGTCCTGCAGACCATGTTTGCTGAAAGAGTTCCAGATGCGCTCGTTCTTCCCATGACCAAAGTGGTCACCTCTCGTGTTTGACTTCTCGCGTTCGATGATTTGACGGAAGGCATCGTTTGTCGCATCAAGTAAAGATTTATCGGTATACATGTTCTGAACCACGAAAACACCGGGACCGTTGGCTAGAATCTCGTACCACTCATCCTGGAGCCTGTCTGCCGCTATCCTGTCGGATTTGTATTGCGCCAGGTTGTAGATGGGTATGTTCTTTTGAACATCAGAAGCCAAGGGGTAGTTCTTCTTGCTGACAGTGCGATTGCAGATGTCTGCCAGACTGGACACCTGAGGAAGATCTTCGATGGCGTAGAGCCTCGATGGTACTGCTGTTTGGAGTTTTTGGTAGTCATTGGCTAGCTTGACATCTGCATGGGGGCTCATAATGGCAGTAAGTGTGCAGTGGTGGGATCTCGAAGAGGGTGGTCGTTTTGGACACTGTGTATATTAAGCGGCTCACAAATGCCCTCGAAGAGTGGGGTTGGTGGCGGGGTGGACTCGGAAACACTTATCCGATCGCACCCCGACCTCAGGCACAGCCGTGGTCTTTGTGCTCGACAACTCTTCATGTATATGTTGAGCCCTGGCTACTATCTGGGGAAAGGGGAACACTTGTTGGCCTCAAGAACAGAGATCAATAGATCTCCAACACTCGGAAGGGGCGGATGAGCATGCCGCGCCTGGTCGAACAATGTTCTGAGCGACTACATTGGGTGTCTGCTTCAGTCACGCAACACTCTAACTATCTCGGTCGATGGAACTGAGCCCAACGATGCTAGATTCGATGTGAGCAATTTGCATTTCGAGGCTCGTGGTGATGATTGCTGCAGTGATATCCGCGATCGGCCGGACCGGTCAGAATGCTGACAAGCACACTATGCACGGGACTGCCAGACAATGCATATCTGGGGCAGAGCTAGCACAGTTCATCTAACAGAATCCTTTCGATGCTCCCGTGGTTCAAGGAATCCAAAATACTCTGTGATCCCTGGTCGATTGAGGCAGTAGCCGTGCACCGAACTCCGGTAAACTAACGTGCAAAATGTGGTCAAGACAAGCCTTACCGTTGGCTATATGCGAGAGCTTAGCATGTAGGTAGTGTAGGTCTCGCCAGACATATGGAGGGCAACCGCTGAGACCCACCGTCGCTGCCTAATCTTGATAGAATTATAGTCCCAATCCGATCTCTAGGACTTGAAATCTTTGAGTACAGTATTGCATACAGATACTTGACTGGAGACCGGTGTGGCTGACTGCTTCTGGACTTCGCTTCCCGCTGACTGTGCTCGCTGATCCTGGCGCGTAGATCTCGGATGCAAGCCTACAATTCAGACGCTGGATGCTCTAAACCACCATCCATATTGTGACCCGTGCCGATCTAATCTAATTAATCCTTCAAAAGCTATGGCAGGTATTTTTTAGGCAGATATGATTCCGTCACTGAAAGGACCAATTGTCCTACATAGATGATCGGAGTCCTGCCAACTTTGGGAATTTCTTCGAGATCACACTATAATAACAACAAGATGAGCGTACTTGAATATATTTTGCAAAACAAGTCCGAAAATCGACCGGATGTGGTACTTGATGCCCTGTTGAAGCATTTCGAACAACGACTGCGTTGCTGACTGTTCATGCAGGCATTCGTGGACGCTGACAATCCATCGCGAAAGTTGACATGGCAAGACAGTATTGATTCGATCCGAAGTGTAGCAAGGGGCTTGGCCAACGACGTTCATGTCAAGCAGGGCGAATGCGTTGCTTTGGTCAGTCGCAATGATATATACCACTGTGTTCTGGTTGTGGGTGTTGCTACTATGGGCGGGACATGTGTTGGCCTACCACCACACAGTACATCTGCTGAACTTGAGCGATATCTCGTGGCCTGTGGAGCCACCTGGATCTTCACTGAAGACGAATTCCGCGAGACTGTCCTTGATGCAGCCGCGAGAGCTGAAATATCAGAGTCGCGAGTCTTGGATTTCGACGTACGAACACCGAAAGAGAACACTACAAATCCTGTGACTTTCAGTAGCCTCCTTGCCGTGGACGCTAGTGATTACGAACCTCCCTCGATCTCAGGTACGCAGACTTATTTCCGCGTCCTCACCAGCGGTACAACAGGCTGGCCTAAGGCTGCGGACTGCACTCACCAGGCCATGATTTCACGCACGCCGAATCTTCACGCGTCCAAGATAACCCACAGAACACTCCATTGTACTCCACAGTATCATGCATCATCTATGTTCATGTTTCTAGCCACAATGATGGGTTGGCAGGTGACGTACATCTCACGTATCACTGAGCCAACGACAATCGTGGACAGTATCCACGCCTACCAGATATCAGCCATGACCGCAAATCCGCAGCTCTCAGACTCGATTGCGGCTGTGATTGAGTCGGGGACGCGATCGAAAGAATTGCTGGATAGCCTTCGCAGCTTCGCGTGCGGTGGCAGCGTCGTCACACAGAAAAATCTCGCCACTCTACAAGCGGTATTGCCGAAGGAGGCTAGTATCAAACTGGCTTATGGCAGTACAGAAGCTGGCATTGTGTTCGCACCGAGGCCTGGTGCCAAGGTTGATCACAGATATGTCGGAAGTCTGATACCAGGGACAGTAGAGATCAGGTCAGTATCTCATCAACGTAGACACATTGACTCTAGTTCTGATCTGTCATGCAGAATCATCAACCCCGATACGCTCCAGGATGTCGACAAGAATGAGGAAGGCGAACTGGTTCTTCGAGGTGCACCAGTCTTCAGTGGCTACTACAAAAATGCGGAGAGCAATGAGTTGTCGCACCTCACTGATGCAACCGGTCGATGGTATCGGACTGGCGACAAAGTCATGTTCGACTCGGCACGAGAGGAACATCGTATCACAGGCCGCTACAAAGATATTTTCAAGGTCTTCGATGGCAAGGAGGTCTCGCCGGAGGAAGTCGAAGATGTACTCAAAACACACGAGTCTGTAACCGACGCTGCGGTGACTGCGCGACCCGGCAGAAGAGACGATGGATACTTCGAACCCGTGGCCTATGTGGTCTGCAGCGAAGCAGTCGACCAACAGGAGCTTGCCAACTACGTCGCATCAAGTCTTTCGGCGTACAAGTCTCCGACAGGCGGTGTTGTGTTCGTCAAAAGCATCCCACGAACAGGATTTGGCAAGGTCTCTCGGCGAGAGCTCGAGCAGATTCTGCGAGCTTCTTCGATCGAGTACCTTGCGCCAGTCGTGGCTGTCAATGGTTATTATAAGCTGCAGATTTGACCGAATCATAATGAAAAGTAGTTGTCTGTGCGCCATGTTTGACGAGATCTCCATTGTCGATGTATTTGCAGTAGTCAGGTCGTTGTGTAGGAAAGGCGCGAGGGAAAGAAGGAGGCGGGGTGACTTCGGAAGCCATTTTCCGATGGCCTCTCGACCGTCCTTGCCCTGTTCGCGCTTTCCACCTTCTCTGCATCCTGACCGACAGGCCCTCGTGAAACACGTGTCATTCTGACGAAACTTCGAGAATGTTACATTGGCAACACTTTCACAGTCGCGATTGACAATCCGAAAGCTACACTCGTTGAACGACCACTCCGCCAAGGCCAACCAAAAGCCGACGTCAGCATCAAAGAAACAACGACTCCCTCATTGGCCGGCCTCGACATTATCCTCTTCAAACTTTTAGATGTCATCGAGAATGCTGTATTGAACACAACAAAGGGCACCCGACGATTCTCATCATCATGGGGGATCTGGAACAGAAAGTCAATAAGGCAGTCAGAAAGAACGCTTCTAACGCATGCAAGGGCTGTCGAGAGAGCAAAATCAAGGTGTGACTCGATCGTTACGTCTCTGCTTCTCCATATTGGCCGTGTTCCTGACGACGAACGGTAGNNTGTGACAATCAGCAGCCCTGCAGTGGTTGTGTAAAGAAGGATAGAGAATGTGTTTATGACTCTCGAGATGACAAAAGACGGTATGAGACACATGTTTAGAATCGATCGTCGAATTCTTTCTCATGTTGAAACGAGCCTAAGCTAACTTCAGTCAGGGTTCAGCTTCGTACTGCTGTCCACATTCTCGTCCGTCGCGTGCAGCAACTCGACAAGATCATTGTCGAAGCAGACATAGAAGTTCCTCCTTTGAACGCTGAGGACGATGAGTTCCTGGAACGTGTACTTGGTACTCTTGGTCTTTCAAATGCTCCACCATATGAGTCTTCTGCAGCCAAGAACATTACAGTACCAATCCGCCTTCCTTCCGAGCAACAAACATTTACACCTGAAACTCGAGCGTCCCCATCAGCAAGCCCTTCAGCCTCGGCCAAGAATATTGTGGCGCTCCAAAAAGTTGTGGTCGAAGATCCCTCTGTACATGTTCAAGACTATCAGTCTGACTTCAACGATGTCCCTGGAGTAACGGCTGGTATGCATACTCAAGCAACAACACAATTGCTGAACGCCAACGTCATTCCGGGCGCAAACCACATATCGCCAGACTGGCCATTTCCAACCTTGGACAACATGCTCAATTTTGATCTCTTCGACCCCAGCGATCTTTCCTTGCACTTCTTGACTGAGCCATCAGTGGACATGCCGCAACAACCTACGCTGCAGCATGGGTTCACGTCACATCATCAAATCGAACAAGCGTCACGTCAACAAGAAGACCATACGAGTCCTGGTGACGAAGAGAACACCGAACTGGTCAATCAATTATCCGCTCGTCTAGGCTCTCTCCGCCTGGCTCCAGATGGAAAGCTAAGATATTTTGGCACTGCGTCGAACTTACACCTGATAGAGAATCATAATAAATCGGGCGAGAACTTCATGCTTCATACTCCATCAAGAGTCAACATGCAGCGTCTACTCGAGGTCGCCGATCTAAGTCAAGTGGTAGACATACAGCTCGAAGACCATCTTCTCCGACTGTTTTTTACATGGCACAACCCCAGCAGTTACATTGTGGACGAGGAAGTCTTCTACATGGCTAGACAGAGCTGGTTTGATACTGGAGTTCACAACAGTTACTACAACGATGTGTTGAAGGACGCAATGTGAGTATCTTCGCACCACGCATAACGTGGAGTACTGATTCGGTGTCTAGGTNGTGCAATTGGCGCATCCTTTGGGAGTCATTCCAACTTGTCACTTATAACTTATCCCCGATCGATGCCTCAATTCTTCTCGGACCGAGCCAAGATACTGCTCGATTCTCATCTTGATAGTCCTTGCGTGGCCACTGCACAGGCGCTTGTAATACTTGCGAGCTACGAAGAATCTTGCCAAAACATCGCGAGAGGCTGGTTGTTTGGAGGTATGGCAATGAGAATAGCATTCGACCTTGGTCTTCACATCGACAGCAGAGGATACGTGGCCCAGGGGATCTTGACGGTGGCCGAAGCTCGTGCGCGACAAGTAGCTTTCTGGGGCTGCTATCTTTCGAATCTCCTTTGGAGCTTCCATCTCGGTCGCCCCTTCTCGATGGATGACAGCGAGGTAACGGTCCCCAAGCCTGATCCCAAGACTCTACCAACAAATTCTACTTGGCAACCCTACTCCGTCCCTTCGCTGCAGTTTGTACCGAACGAGATGCAGCAAAATCCATCAGAACTACCGGACATCACACCACAGATCTTCCACCACTGGCTATTCCTCTGTCAAAACATTGCCGTCGTGGGTCATGCGCTCTACTCCTACACATCAATCTCCAAACCAGCACTCCAAGAACTGTGCGAAGAAACAACAACCGAGTTATTCCACTGGAAAGACTCTTTACCCCTACACCTTCAAATCAACACTTCCGACACCGAGACCGTAAAATTGCCTCAGCTTCTCATGCTGCACATGGAGTACCATCACCTTCAAATATTTTTACACAGACCATGGACAAGCTCGCAACTGCAACCGCAACCCCCTCAAGGACGAGGTGTACATCATGCACGCCACATCTGCGCAACCTCTGCAACAGAAATCGCCCGTCTCCTCCGCATCTACGAGATTCAATATTCGTTCCGCTTCATCAATGTCGAAATTATCCGTATACTGTCTTCGGCAGCACTGATTCTAATCTTTGCCACTGTGCCGTTGCCGCATAGAGAGATTGATGTTGAAATGACTGGATATCTCAATACTTGTTTCAGAGCTCTCGAGGATCTCGGTGGGAGATATGATTCGGCCAAGGAGACGAGGTTTACGTTGCTGGCTATTCAGAGGAGATGGAATGACCTTTATGGTAAGAATACGGGTCAGAAGAGAGGGCCTAGTACGAGAAACCAAACAGCCCAAGGCAAGAGGGCCAGAGCTACTTCATCGTAGTATCTTGTTTCTGTATCAATGGTTTGGGCTTGTTCCGAGATTATGTCCTGTATTCAGAGTTATGCGGGATAGCCTTTGTACGGCAGATGGATTTGCAGCAAGCAAGACAAAGCATGCTGATGTTCTAGCGTGGCGAAACGAGACTACATGACATTGGTTTTCTACTCCATCCTTACATCACAACCGAAAGTCCTTGAACTCTTTTGATAGTCTCATGCTCCACCACCCTCACCTTGGTCGTGCTGATCTTGTTCTCTAAGATGACCCGAGTACAGGAAATAAGTCCTCAAGATTACCAAATTCCTTTTGCAAGTCCGCACGCTTGATGCAGCCACAGCTTTCGCTTTCTAGATGAGCATAAAGCGCAGCGAAGGAGGGCAGGCCCCTGCATTGGCAAGTGCTGGTGGTGTTAAAGCAACGGTAGAGTGAGCTCTCCACTGTCGGACTGCAGACGTCGTGATCCGGAGTTGCTCCAGTGAACTCGCCGAGTGGATCATGTTGACGATGATGACGGTAGATGACGCTGCAGTCCAGGTCCGGGCGTGCTCTACAAGATGTAGTCTCAAGGTGCTCGACGACCTCAGAAAGGGCATAAAAGCCAAGACGACAGAATGGACAGTGGATGACCTCGGGGTTCTCGATAGGCTCTGTCTGTAGTGTTTTCACCTCGGTGAAGGAAAATGGCGAGTGATCAATGGTTTGGTTTTGGGCTTTGGTGATGGCTCCGTGGAGTTTTTCCAAGAACTCCTGGGCCTGCATCTCGTCTTTGAAGGCACACGTGAAGAGCTCTGATTTCTTTGCATCTTCCGGGAAGACGATTAACTGTACAATCTTGGATGTGTTCAGTCTATACAGAGAGGCGTTGAGCGCAATGTTGACGTCCAGAACGACTTTGCTGAGCGGATCGGCGCGCATGAAGATACGAAGCTTCGCAGACTCTTTGCTGGCGAGGACGCGGATAGATCCGACACCTTGAGGGACCCAAGACGTGGTGTTGTCGTTCTCGTGTTTGACCAGTTTCATCACTCTGGAGCGTGCTTCGTGAACAAGGTGGAATCCAACAATGTCGTCAGCAGTGGAAATGGGCAGATATTCCTGTGTGTGAGTTGCGCCAGTCTCGACGCTGGATCTGCTTCCAGCATTATTGATCGTGAGACTAGGTGTGGTGGCTCGAGATGAACTGGCCGATAGATAGATGCTAGACCCTGGAGGAGATATATCGGTCTGGGTTGAATTGTCCTGGTAAGTGCTACTAGCGATGAGGGGAATAGACGGGGTGGATGAGATGGTAGCGGGACTGGCAGCCAAACCACTAGAGCGAGCAGGCTGGAATATATCAGCCCCTGGATTGATCCCAGTCCCGAATGCAGTACCCAATCTGAAAGCATCAGCCCGTCTGTTGGTACTGGGAGGTGTACGGCCATCTTTATAATCAACCAGTCTCAGTTCTTCGAAAGAGAATGCTGAGTAGGGTTGCATGAAGGTGATGGACTGGTAGTGAATGGTCTTGGACAATGCAAGATCCCACTCGACGACAACACTGAAAGGCAGGGATCTCGTGCCTGTGTTTCCAGGTCGTGAGTTTGATAATACCGGATTGACGAACTGTCTGGGTGCGATAGTTGGCGCCAGGGGGACGATTTGAAAAGGCGTGGCTGATGAAGCAGGTACCGTGTTGACGACAGGTGGATGGCGTGGAGCGGTGCTGGAATTAGTGGCTAGCAGAGTCGAAGAGTGAGCGGCAGCCGCTGAGGAGGGAACGTGAACGACGACAGGGGCAAGTGGTGGGCGAGGAGTTGGCGGTGCAGGGGCAGCGTGGATAGGATCTGCGCGAAGGTGAATGGCCGAATTCATGTGTTGAAACAGGCCGCTGGCGTTCTGAAAGTAGCGGTCGCAGCTAGAGCAGTACTGTGATGATCTATGGCCCAAGGCATTCATGTGTTGTTCAGCGGCAAGCTTGTTGACAAATCGTCTGGAGCACGTCTCGCATTTGTCCGTGAACCAATGACCAAGAGCATCCATGTGTTGTCTACAAGCTGCCCATGAGGCAAAGGTCCGCTCACACCTGTCGCACTCATGCCAATCCTCATCATCTTCTGAGCTGGAGGACTGCGTATCCCAGTGATCCAGAGCATTCATGTGTTGCGCAACTGCCTGTTGGTCTCCGAAGCGTTTGTCGCAAGTCTCACACTCGTATGGCCACTGCCAGTGATCGAGTGCATCTATGTGCTGCTTCACCGCTTGCCATGAGTAAAACTCGCGATCGCATGAGTCGCAATAATAGCTCATGTTGATCTGAGAGTGGGGATGATCTTCAGAACGACAGAGAGATGCGCCGTGCGCCAGGATAACCCTCTGTGGGCAAGCGAATTGAGTGTTAAGCTGAGGTGGAGAAAGAGTGATGAGTGGTGGTTCTCGTGGTGGAAGAGAGAAGAAGGAACGAGAGACAACAAAGCGGAGTGGTTGCAGATGATTTTGGAGGTGACTGTGGGTGAGCGAGCTGGGAACGCTCCTTCCATGTCAACACGACCGCGCGTGAGTCGCTAGCAACACAGCAAACGAATCTCTTGTGACGAAACCTTTCGAAACTTACTCGATACGCATCACTAAGTTGCCGATTCCATGCCCTGGCTATAACTCCGCCATCATGATACGTATCGCTAAACAGGTGTATTGGAAGCAGACGGCAAACGCAAATTATTGGAAACACATTATGATGAGATATACATACATATTACAGACTAAACAAGGCCAGTGTCAACGACGAGAAGCCACAGACTGTCACGCGCTGACATTGTCCGAAGATCAACAGCCACATATTTACCACTTCCAGGTTCTGGGACCGAAGTACTCGCCGTCGGCAACCGTCTTTCTGACGTTACCACCAGCACCATCAAGGGTAGTGCTGACAATAGTGGTTCCCCAGTAGTCGGGCATGCCCGAGCCAGGGAGTTGGATGCAGAAGAAGATGACAATGGCGCAGAGCGCAAGACCAACATCCCAAGCGGCCGAGGTGATGTAGTTGTACTCCATCCACCATCCACGGTACCTGTTACGGATGAACTTGTTGAAGGCCCAGCCGACCAAGACCCAAGAGAGCNNTGTGGAATAAGTCAGCATGATGTTTGGCTTTTGGTGAGAGAAGGAGTGAGAACTTACAATGTTCATGGCCGAATAAGGAGGAACGTAACTGAAACAAGCGAAGATGATGGGCATGCTGATCTTGCGGATCAGTGACATCTTGGGGAACACACGAGCGAGTCCGTAGACAATGAAGGGCGAGATGAAACCGGCCAGCCAGAAGTACTGGAGACCTTGATACACGGAGCCGGAGGAGAAGAGATGCTTGGGACCGATAGCACCCCAGATGACACTGGCGTTGTAGAAGGTCTTGATCGAGGCACAAGTGAAGGATCCTTGTGCTGCCTTCGTGCAGACATTCTTGATGGCGCCCATGGCCCACTCGACTGTTGCCAGCTGGCAAAGACAAGACCAGATAGTGGCAACAAGTTGAGCAGTGAACAAAGATCGCTGAGGAACATGCATGTAGTGACCGAGCTTCAGATCTTGGCAGAAATAGAGCGCCTGAGTCATGACGATGTATCCAAAAGTCTTGAACATCATCATGGCGATAGGGTGCCCAGGCTGGACGTAACCGATGATGAACTCGGTGAAGACGTTGAGACCCAGTTGGATGTTGGTGAAAGCCTGAATGATACCGATGGGAATAGTGAACACGGTCGCGATGACCAGTGAAAGAATGACGGAGTACCAAGCCATACCAGTCGGGTATGCCAGTGCGGAGACGAAGGCGAACGCGGTCATGACAGCCAGAAGACTAATGTACCACCAGGTGGGCACGAGTCTGTACTTGCGCATGATCTTCATGTGCACATCATCGAGTTCACCCTTGGAGGATCTCAAACGGCGCCAAATCTCAGCACCATGGAACAGGTAAGTGTGACTGACGAGTGCGGCAATGGAGGCAAAACTCATGCCATAGGTAAGAGCGAAAGCGGTCGAGAGCATCAGAGGCGAGTATGCCTCGTACTTGGCAGGATCGACAACATGCTCGGGTGTGAGGATTCTTGAAGTATTATAAGTATTACTATATTCAACACAGTCAGTATCGGTCACTCAAGCATTGCATGATCGAACCTACCCCAAGTTATCCAGAATACCGTTCTGTGAGATGGGCAAATAGTCGGCGTACCAGACGCCACTGTAATGCAGGGCAGGGACGACGAGCCAGCCGAAGAAGACGATTCCGACTCCGGTGTTGGCAAGTGCGTGCCATGGAGAAAGAAGAGGACTGCCGTAGAAAGAATTGATCTGAGCCCAGTCGAGGGTGAATCCAGTGAAGGGGAAGCCCAAGGAGACACCAGTCTGCTGGCCGAAGAGCTGGTTGACGACGACATTCTGGGGCTTGATCCAAGTGACCCATGCGAAGTAGCTGAAAGCGGGGATGATGAAATCAGGGAACCAAGACCAGACGAACATACCCACCATACAGATCATGAACCACTTGTAACGACTCATGGACCAGCCATTTGTTTTTGCGGGATCAGCCTTGCTATGATCGTGCAAGGCGTACATGAAACCAACGTTGACCAAAGCACCGGGCCAGATCATGGCGGCGGGCTCGACAAGGAACTTGCGGACGGAGCCAGCGAGACCAAAGCCAAGACACTGAGTAGACAGGGCGAACAGAGTGTTGAATCCCCAACCGAATTGGCTAGTATCGAAGTGATAGAACTTCTTCAGAGAGACAACGGTATCGACGAAGTAACCAGCACCACCACCGAAAGCTGCGTTGGACATGGCGACAATGATGACGTGCTCCTTGACGTTGAAAGGACCAGGGTTGAGGTTGGCCTTCAACCCGAAAAGAGAGACTTGCTTGTTAGGCATGACTTTAGCCCAGCCAACACCAATGGGGTAAGAGATAAGTTGTACGACGTAAGGACCAATCGAGATGTTTGGGTAGCGCAGCAGGAACAGAGCGTTGAGCGATGAGCAGATGGTGGTCATGATGAGACCGATAGTCCATGCTCTGATGGTGCTTGCGGGCACATCCTCATCATAGTTTCTTACGACAGCGCGGACCTTNGACAGTGGTTAGTCAGGGGACATCTCATCTTGACGACAGGCACTTACTTCGGGATAAGGTGAGTTCTCGATCATGGCGCCAACCAGTTGAGCCTCTCCCTTGGCGTCGTGGGCATCGGTGACAGCGTCAACCATCTCGATCGCCTCGTCCGACNNTGGAAACATGTTAGTATGCTTGATTCTCGCACTAGGACTGCTCGTACGCACCATGTTGGGGTCCCACATGTGATCCTTCTTGAAGGACTTGAGGGCATGATTGGCCTCAACTTCGGTGATGTCGCGAACATCACCGATGATAACCTCTTCTGCAACTCCATGTTCCGGGCCGAGCGTGCTGCTCTCGCCAACCTTCTTGGTCTGGCTGTCGAGTCTAGAGATCTCATTGACCGTGATAGGTTCCTCTTGGTTGGTGTTTGACCTCTTGAAGCCAAACCTCTTACCAATGCCTTTAGACGACATAGTCGCGGTATTGGGCAATGTCGATGATTGTTTTGATCAGATTGAAGAACAGGGAGTTGCTCTACAAGCAGAGGGGAATTGACTTGTTATAACTTACTTCCCCTTCGCTCGATCAACAGATAAGGTCGGCCAATGGAAGCCAGTACCCCTTCTGAATCAGTTCAAGAAGCAGAGGCTATCTGTTTGGGGAGGAAAGGCCGAAGCGAACCGTCTAGCTAGAAGCATGGCTTGGATAGACCTTGGGCTTGCTATCGTGCGGGCTCTGCAAGATGAGCTTCGTTGTGTGTGCATCGTTGCACGCGACCCGCCTAATTCATGGTTGAAGGAGGGACTAGTGGGGTAGACGTTTGCACTAGCCCTCACGCAAGCACTCAAAAGCAACTCTAACTACTTAATCTGCTCGACACCTTCCTCATCGGGACAGAGATCTTATCTTCTCGAGGTCACAAGTCGGAAACTGACGGACCTTGGCACATCAAGCTCAAGGGTCCAAGACCTTGTGCCAGAGCTTGAAGGGGCTTGTCGCTCGCCGGCAGAGATCTTGAAGAAGCTTGGTTGGCTGCTTGAGTCGCGAGCGAGTCGTGACTGGGAAGGAATGCTTCAATCGATATACATGCAGGTACCTAACAATACACTGCACGAGATGATGCAGTCTGCACGACACCCACCCACACACCTGGTTGTTTGACCGGCTGCGAGATCAAGATAGGCTCAATTGATCCTTCGAAAGTGGTACAAGTAATTACGTACCCGTTATCTAGGAAGACGCTGAGAGGTGGAAATAGGCGAAGTGGCGCCTCTGAGTTATCCCGAGGCTCGTAATTCTATTTCACCATGCTGTGGCGCACAGATTCTCCTTTCAAAGGATACAGGTGTGTATCTCCATGCGACAGAACGAATCTGTTGGTCTTGTAGATTACTGTGTTAGTGAAGCTCTCAAAAAGAACAGAGTGCGATGTTGTGTGGGCTATGCGACCGAGGAAACTGGACGTTCAAGAGTTCTGTCAACATCATGACACGGCTGGCCAGTGTTCTGGCCTCTGCATCTGTGCGCGACACGAGCAAACGATTCAAGGGGACTGCAGATCGGTGCGGAGGGAATATTGCGGGGTACCGACATGAGGAGACAGATCTTCAAATCCGCGGACTCGCCTCCAAGTACATCTCGACACGACACGGCACAGGCAATGTATACAGCTGAGATGTCGCGACAGAAGTGCGCGTACGACAAAGGCTCATCGTACAGCCACCGATCAGCATACTCGCTGCTCACTGAGGGAGTGGACCGTCCAGGAAGCACATACACTAGCTCAATGTCGATTTGGTCCTTCTTCAACAGAGCAACTCCATGTCCAATGGCTTCCATGACTACTCGACGAATATCAAAGCTGCAACGCTTTCTCCTAACGCCTCGGTTGTTGACAACCTTGAACGACAATCTGACTTGCCAATTTAGGATAAGTTGGTTCTGTTGTCATCGATACTCGCAACCGCTTTCCAGATCTTCCAAGCTTCATGCTTGATGGAGTGTGGCACTTGATGTACCTATCTCGGTAGCTCTTACCACAATTGGTTCTGTTCAAAGTCGAGGTCAAGAACTGATGTTGAGTCTACCACCCTGACCTGATCCAAAGAAGACCTCCATCGATGCTGCATCAGCAGAAGACCGTCATCTTGATGTTCACAGAACCTGCTCGTGCGTTGACTTGAAAGAGTACATCTGCTTCAGTGTTTGCTCCAATCATGAATCGTTGGTAGAGGTGCTAATGTCTTTCGCGTAGTCTCTTCAGAACCACTTATCCGCCCCAGATTTAGGCTCTGCCGACGGAGCGACCTTGAACAACGCGAAGATCATCTTGCGCAGTACCAGGGCTTGCTCAATCTTTAATTGCTCTCCAAAGTATCGATATACTTCTGCCACATAAGTCTTCGTCTCAACAGTGGCTATAGAACTCGAACCAGCAACAAACAAGGGCCATAACACGCCATAACCAGACAGAGCGCGCATGATCGGAAGGTCACTCGAGGCAGCCTCAGGTACAAAGTAGCGGACCGGACGTTTGAAGCCTGACCATGGCAACATTTCATCGTTCTTGGAGGTGTACTGTGGCATCCCAGCCAGTATCTCGGTCTGACATTGTCGCATAATGGTTTGTGAACGGGCCCGCGCCGACTGATGTGCATCCGAGTCGTTCGCTATCGACTGAAGCACAATTTCGTTAACCATGATGCGACTCGACCGGTACGACGCCCATATGTAGTTCGTCGCCTGATCTGCATACCGCAGCTCAAAGCCAGGTAAGCCAGCCTCGGCAGAGTTTCTGTGGACAAATCGTGTAATGATCTCGCCTTTCCAGCCTGAAGGCACCTTGGCGAATGCCCCAGTGAGCTTTGCATCCAACTCAGCTACGCGAGATATGATCTCCTCGGGTGACGTGATTTGACAGTGAGTGACAGCGTGTCTAAAGTCCGCACATTCGAGATTGATCCGTTGGTATCTTATTGCAGGGTTGTCTGGCTCGTAGAGATACTCAAAGATCTTGGACTGGAGGAGATGGACGAAGGGCGGAGTGGGCAGGTTGCGAAGCAGACATATAACGTTGATCCCGGTGATGACATGCAGAGTGAGTACGCGGCCCGAGGTTCCTTGGACACCGTCCAGACCACGAAGGCTGAGTAAAGACGCCGAACCATTGACATGCTGCTCCCATGCGTCCAGAGTACGTGTGACGCCACCTGTGAGAGTCTCGTAGTTGGTGAGGACGAGGATTGCGAGTAGGGTCTCATCTCGCTTGACCTGGGACGGATCTCGAAGAGCGAGGTTTGTAAGATTCAACGCGGTAGCGTATTGCTGCTGTGCGGAGGTAAGCAGGCGCTTGTCAGAGTAGTGCTTGGACAAGTTGGCAATGCCGAAAGCTTTGATGCTGGCAACGAGATGGTTGTTGTCGGGTGCATGGACACAGCTGAAATGAACGTTATGATTAATGACACAATTGTTGAAGAAGAAGGCAAAAGACAGGTCTTCGCTATCCATGGAAGGAGACACATGAGCGGAGATGGCTGAAGACGAGTGAGCAGCGGACGAACCTCTGTCCGAGCCCAGCGAGAATTCTGGTTGGCAAGAAATGTCGAAGTCGTCGACTGCTTCTGGTGTTTGTCTCTTGGAGCGAACACCAAGAGCTTTGGCGACGACTTCGGCACTCTGGTCAAGTATTCTCAACCCTTCCTGCTGGGGATAACCAGGACATTGACGATGTGCGTTGGCGCAGCGTCCACAGCCACCTGGTCGGAGGTCACACTTCTTGCGCCGTTTACGACACTCTTCACATCCCTGGGATGGTTTCCCACGATAAGGCATCAGCGTCGTTAGAAGGGTCGACGAGCGCGAAGGATTCCATGAAGGGAAATAGAGCGAACAAGGCTGAGTAGAGCTGATGCTTGTAGGAGCGACCTAAATCCTTCGGGAATCAAGATCGTCGAACGCTTTACCCGATTGGGAATGCAACGCGCCTTCTCTCTACGTCGCACGGTCGCAGCGACGACTCCTGCGACGAATCAACAACTTGCTTCGGAGACAATAGCTGTGATTGAACTTCTGAAGGATTTTGGCCTTGACATGAGCTTGTTTCCGACTGCTCGCCATGGCATTGCTTGTGCAGTCAGACCTAATCCCAATCCGGACATCTGCGCGCCCTCTGAAGCACTGCCTTGAGACAAGGATGACCTTGTAACGAAGACTGAAAATGCATATAAGGACCTGCTTGTCCACACTTTGATTGCTGAACCTATTCAAACTTCAATCCGTCATTTCAATTCATCTTTACAATCCTCGACCATCACATTTGCATCATGTTGACTTACCGCAACGACGTCTTCATTGCCGTCCTGGCCTTTTACATCTGCACAGGAGTCTTTTCAACCGTTCGACTCATCCAACATGGACTCCGAAAAACAGCCAGTGAACGTCTCCTTCTCGTCTTCAGCATCGGCAGAATTCTTTGTGCTGGCTTCCAACTAGCAACCATCGATTATCCCACCAACACATCCATCTGGGCCGGCTATGTCACGACCTTCTCGATCTGCGTCTCCCTCTTGCTGTCGGCATCGCTCGTCCTTCTACGAAGACTTGCTCAACGCGCAGGAACCGACTTCCCTGTTGTTGCTGGTCGCGATTCGATGAAGTTCTGTCAGATTTTGGTTACCATCGGTCTTATTCTGGGCATTGCAGGCGGTATCAGAGCAGACAACAGCTGGGGGTCAACCGGATCATACCAGCCCGATGCTCTCCAGAAAGCCAGCGTCATCATCTTCATCGTCTCATGGGCATTGGTCGTCTTCATGACCATCCACACACTTGGCAAAGCACATGGCGCATCTTCCCACACACAAAAGTTGGCAGTCGGCGTGTTTGCAGTCAGTCTGCCCTTGTTGGCCGTACGCATTGCCTATTCTGCCGTGTCCATCTTTGCCCACCCCACATCTTTCAGCTCCATCAACGGCAGCGTCACCATCATGCTGTGCATGGCATTGATCGAAGAAGCCATTGTCGTCTTGATGTACGAGGTACTTGGCTTTGTCACGCTTGAGAAGGAAAAGAGAGTCAAGTCAGTCAGCAGCGACTTTGACCAGCAGTCCACCATCGAAACCGGAGTCTATGCTGGAAAGTGAGACTGAAAACATAGAGCCATTGACGGGAACCACGAACACATATATACTGAGTCTTTGGGATGGCGTTTTTCTTCTCTGATAGAATCTGTAATGAGATATAGTCTGGAGTTTCTGCATTTCAAGAACAAACTTCTGTCAAATACTGTACCTCACTACTACTCTTCTCATTGTTCGAAGAGAATGAAAACGTGATTTCTTTCATCCATCTTGTGCATCTCAAGAGAAGGAGCAGAACTTCGAAGGCAGATTGTTCGCTCAGGCTAACAGTGAACTCGAGAGTAGGGCAGCAGTCCTTCGTATGAAAGCATGGCACGGCATTTTGCGATGCATACTGAGTACCTATAGTTGTGAAAGACCTCAAGGGCGTGCTCCATGCGGTCCTTCCAGGCGTGTGCCGAAAAACAATGCGATTGTGTTGGATATCAAGGCTGACAATATGGAAAAGGCCCAAGACGCAGATGACAGAGTAGGGTTCTGGTAAGCACACGAGGAGGTTTCATCGCGCAAAGAATGACAAACAGAGCCTATTCGATGGATTTGACACTGGGTAATCAGACCGTCGCCTCGTTTTCGTTCACTGTATGTTGGCCGAGATGAGTTACTGATCCTAAGAAACCTGAGCCACAGCTGGGAATGAACGTAAACGAAGCCTTGGTGAATTTCTTGATTCATAAGAGTTCTGAAGGGTACAAGCGTCGAGAAAAGAAAGATTTACTCCCAGAGCAGCTTCATCACAACACCTTTCCAACCCTTCCGCACCGGCTCGGGTGTCTCAGGATTATCTCTGATCTCATCCAAGGCAGCTCTGAGAGGAATATCTTCGAGTGCGACAATCTTTGTTCCCTTGGTAAACTTCCATCCAAAGTACGCGATTAGGATCAGAGGAATATCGCTAGTGATACTGTCAGTAGACTGCTTAATGTGACAGCACAAAATCACCTACAGATATGCCGAGATGAACGAAGCAGTGCTCCACCCGCCACGGGTAAACACAGCGAAACCATTGGTTAGTAGAATCAACAGGCAAACAAGTAGTGCAATAGCAGAACTGTAAGCTGTNTTGTTGTGTCAGCAGCCACGATTCTAATCACTTAACAAGCCATCAAACTTACGAGTCCACTTGTTGTGCCATGGCAACTCCGTCCTCTCGATCCCCTGTTTCTTGAGCGCCGCCATCAGTCTCAAATGGCAAATCAGTACACACGACCAGGATATGAGCACTCCACAACCGACGAGATCGATCATGTAATAAAACACGGTTAGAGCTCCAGAAGACAAACTCATAAAGGCCAAAAACATGAATAGAGTCTGTACCAGGACGCACATGTAGGGTACACCCCAAGCAGTCGTGCGCAAGAAAATAGCAGGGGCCTGTTTTTTCAACGCCAATGAATAGAGCACACGTGTTCCAGCCAGGAGAGCCTGATTTGAAGACGACCAAGCGGACGAAATGACCACGGCGTTCACGATTGAAGGAATGGCCTTGATGCCTGCCGCAGAAGCAGCAATCACAAAAGGACTTTGGGCAGCGGTGCCACTCTCATCCTCAAGACGTGGGTCATCGCTAGACACCAACATGCCCACGATCAACACCGTAGCGACGTAGAATAACGATACACGTGCAAAGACCCTTTTACACGCCTTCGGGATGTTCTGGCGCGGATTCTTCGTCTCTGCTGCAGCCATGGCGATGGATTCGACACCGGCAAAAGAGAAAACCGCATTGATCATGACACTCCAGAAACCGAGAAAGTTGCCCCATGCTCCAGTAGCAATGTGTTCGACAAAAAGACCGGGAGATTTCCAATATCTGAAGCCGATGCGAGGAACTCCAGATACACCGCCAAGGTCGATGCAAAGACCCAGAATGATCAAACCAACGACCAGTGCTATTTTCAAAAGTGCGAAACAGAATTCCACCTCGCCGTAAATGCCGACGAATGCAATGCCGACCACAAAGGTCAGAATGATGAAAATGACAATCCACAAGGACGAGTTGATATCAGTCCAGTACTGAAAGAGCACGCAAATAGCCGAGATCTCTGAAGGAATCGACAGCCAGTTGCCGTAAACAATGTTCCATCCTATGGCGAAGCCCAGTGCAGGATCGACGAGAAACTCTGCATGGCGGACAAAAGATCCAGTGACCGGGAGTAGAGCAGTAACTTCTCCAAGAGCGAATTGCACAGCACAGACAATGAGACCGACAAAAGCATAGCCAAGCAAAGCGCCCAAAGGTCCACCAGTCTGTAGAGAAGATCCAAGTCCCAAGAAGAGTCCGGTGCCGATTGCGCCTGCAGCAGTGTCAAATGATGCGAGAGGGTGAGTCTGAGGTGCAATTACCNNAGCTAGCGCAATCATCTGAATATGCCTCTGCCCCAACCCACGTCTTAGATCCCTCTCCTCGTTTTCAGTGACAAAATCGCCATGTTGCACATTTTCATGCACGCCATAAGCGCCCACGTTGGCAGTCTTGCCTGGCGCATCTCGAGCGCCCTCGATGGACATTCTGACAGTAACTACTCTTCAGAGTGCTATACCGTCAATATGTGGAGCAGAATGGACAGGAAAGAGAGTTGTTGATTTTCATAGCAGTGTGGTTTTGTCAAGGTTCTCCATTCCTTCCTTTGCTTGCCCACGAAGGGTCGCGTGCTTGGAAAGCTTAATCGCGCCACCCATCTTAGATAAGCTCTATTCATCTTGGGACATATTAGCCGAGCATTGACACGATTCATCTACAAACATTTTGACGATGTTTTGCTGGAGGCATCGTCCAGTGTCGCAGTCTAAACCTGCGTTTGATGCTGCATTCGATCAACTAATTTCACCAAGAGAGATTTTACAATTCAAGAACGGTACAGCACTGAAACAGATAAGAAGTGATCCTTGATGGTCCAGATCTATAAAAAGCAATGCAGTGAACAAAGGAGATGAAAACGTAGTAGTCAGCCATCTGAAGAGACAAAAACAAGAACAAGAGTCTCAGACAGCCAGCAGGCCAGTGACATATTGCAGAATAGCAATCAGAAGAAGACAAAGTTACGAAAATGGTGGTTGAAGGTCAGTAGAAATCAAGTCAGCCTACTCTCCTCGCCGCGGACGGTTTGAGGTGGGCAGAGGCTCGGCAGTGAGATGTTGATTACTCGTAGCTGCACCATTGGTATGTGTGTGTCGCAATGTGCCCATCATGTGTCGTCCTGCACTTCTAGACAAGGAGCCAACATCGTGTTTGCCNTATGTCATGTTAATCTTGAACTGTGCAAGGGGAGTTGTTCAAGGAGACTTACCATCACAGCACGCCCTCACATTCTCCAACCTATCATGGTTGTGCTCATGTCCCCCNAGCACAGCACCCAGATCCTCAGTACTGTCCTCAACCACACTTGCATCGTATATCGTCGGTTCAATTGGTCGACGAGTGCTCATTGCGCTCTTGCTTCGCCTGCTAGAGAAACTTCCACGCATGCTTCCGCCAGGACTCTTGAACAAGCCGTTCATAATACCAACGCGTCCTTGGGATCCGTCAGATGAGCCTGGAGTCTGTGCACCTCGTCTCAGCGACGCAGCTGCAGCCTGGCGATTGGCAAGGGACGGCACTTCGGATGCGTGAGGACGATGTGGTGATGAATTGCGCGTTGTCCTGCTGTTGTAACTGCTGAGACTCATACGAGTGCGAACAGTGTTACGACTCTGACTTCGCATTGTCGGGTTGAACTCGTCAACCATGTCTTGTGTCAGATCTTCATTCTCACGCTCGGTTCCAGTACGAAGTAAGAGGTAGGAGAGTGCGTTGAACCATGTTTCATGTCTCTGAGCGGTGGGAGCCGTGAAGACAATCTCACGACCTGGGGTTACTATCACCAAGCTCTTCCTATGCAAGCCGGGCGGATAAGCGTTGTCATCTGTAATGACACGGACAGCTTCAATAGCAACACTCTTTGCCTTTGACTGTTGCTTGCCAAGTGTTGATGGGTCATGCTCACTCCAGTATAGCGTTCTGGTATAAGGGTGCACCCAGAAGAATCTTCTGTGTCTTGAGGCACTAATCTCAGATCGACCAGCTTTGCGTGTGTACTTCCAAAGATACTCTCCGATCATGGTCTGAGTGATAGCTTGAATCATGCGGGGATCAGTTGCAGGCAACATGTCTTCGGGATACAGCACACCTCTGCCAGGTTGAATGCGCTCATCCACTTCCGAAACGAAGCTCGAAATAGAGCTGGCGCGAGTTGTAGGAGACATGGGGTCGGGACGACCAGCAGGAATTGGCGCGAGGGCACGGTTGACAGTACCGCGTCCAGATTGAACAGATTTGCTGATGCTTGGAGTGCGAGAGCGCAGCGACGGAGGAGGCTTGTTGAGTGAGCCTGTGGGAACTGGTGGTGGGAGCATTCCAGATTGCAGGCTCTTTGTTCCTGCAGCTGCAGCGATGCGCTGCGTGTGGTCCGAAGGAAGGGGAGGTTGAGAGGTAGAGTTTTTGTACATGCTACCAGAGCTGGCGGGACGACGAGGAGCTTTCATGTTCGCACCTTCAGCCATGTAAGGTGTTTCGGAAGCTCGTCTCGGGCTCTCAGGTCTGAGGGGTGTGCCTTCGTCAATGTTGACAGCAGGAATCGTCAATGGAGTCTTGCGGCGCATCATCTTGTCAATCTCGTCAGAAGATACCATGGTCTGCGTTCCCATCTCGGAAGTGGGGGTGCGCTTGATGGCAGGTCTTTCACCGTTGTTCGACATGCTGCGCTGGCTAGTACCAACATTATTGGACACCTCAGCGAAGGGCTGTCTGAACTGGCCATCCTGCTCAATACGAGAGATCGAGTCATTTTCGTCGGCAAAGACGAGGGTTGGTTCTCCATGGTTGCCGCCCTTGAGCGCACCAAACAGTCGAGGCTCCTGAGTCAACGGTCCATCTCTGCTACTGGTACGAGGAGGGAACTGCGCTCCAGAAGCAAGGAAAGCAGCGCCGGGACGAACGCCATCAGTTCCTGGAATGCTGTCAGAAAGAGCCTTGTCATCGTCAATGAAGAACACGTCATCACGCTTCGAACCATCCACGGCAGGAGAGAATGAATGTTCATCCACGATCGGCTCCCAGTGTTGAGATCGAACAGTAGAAAATTCGAGTGCATCTCTCTTCGTATCGACTTCTTTGTCAAGTTGTGGCATGCTTGGGGTGCGTGGCTCGGTATGAGAAGTGATGAAGCTTGAGAACTCCAGCAAAGGTGTCTGCACAAGCTCTGGCGAGGAAGCCAATACTGGCTCTGATGACATAGATCTGAAAGGAGACATGGCGAAAGACGGAGCTTCCTTCACCAGTGGTGCAGGTGTAATAGGCTCTGTGTGCGAAACAGGGCCGGTGGACATAGCAAATACCTCGGGTTTCTTGGCTTCGACCAGAGGCACAACAGGCTCGGTGTGTGTGGCCGCATATTGCGAGATGGAGAACTTCTCGGGCTCCTTAATGATAGGGGCCACAGTGACAGGCTCAGTGTGATGAGTGGAGAAGGTCGACATAGACAACATCTCAGCCTCCTTGATAGGCATGACAGCTGGCACTGGCTCGGTGTGAGATGACGAGAAGGTTGTCATGGTGAATTGTGGAAGCTCTTTGGGTGCGTGCACTGCAGCAACAGGCTCGGTGTGAGTGCTTGAGAAGGTCGCCATGCTCAAGGCTTGTGCTTTGGGTTGTACAGGCGTCACGGGTGCGAGATCCTGCGAAACGATACTTGCGAATTCCTTTCTGGCCTCGGCTGATGCATCAGCCTTGGACACAATCTCTGCTGCGGGCAATCTGAGAGCTGCAGACTCCGAGACAGGCTCGCTCTCGTCAAATTGACCAGGCATGTCGGACGAGGCAACAGATGGGACATGGATACTATCTGCGGCTGCTCTGGACGTCTCATTGTGGGCAGCATCTTCACCATGCGAAGTCGAATGACCAAGTGCGAAACCAGCGACGCCAGCAATGGCAGTACCAACAGCACCAGCGGCAGCACTGACGATAGACTTGGACTCTGGCTCCCAAGGTTCAGTCATCATAGCAGAATCGACCATCTTCGGTCTCGAGACTTCTGTAATGATGGGGGCCTCTGCAAGAGTTGGCTTCTTGGCAGTTTCGGGACTCATAGGAGCAGATTCAATGCCGGCATCAGTCGATGTTTCCTCGCCGCTGTCGCTGTCATTGCTCAAGCCGTCTAGCTCAGCACTGAGACTCTGACCGAACTGAACAGGAGTCCTCTGGCTGGCTTGGCTGGCAGGACTGTCGTCACTAGCAAAGACAGCGCTATTGCGGGCAGAGCCATTGTTTGAGCGACGACCCTTACTAAGACGTAGCTTGTACTTGGGTTGCTGACCTTGTATGGGCGTCTTGACGTTTTCGAACTCGTCGGCAGAAGTAGATGCTGTTGACATGAAAGACAAACGATTCTCGGCTTTGTTGGTCGCGTATGGGCCGGGTCTGGAAACAGGTCGAGATGAGGAGGAAACGGATCGAGATGAAGAGCCCTGCTTCTTTTCGGGACTAACCTCGGTCTCGGTCAAGTCATCGCTACTGTCGCCATTGATTGTCTCTGCGCCGGTCTGGAAGGCAGCCTCAGTCTCTGTGTTTGTGTTGTCATCGTCCTCATTGGCTGTCTCGAAAGCATCGGTTGTACCTCGCTCGTCGGCAGTCTCGAAGGCATCGGTAGTCTCGGCGCTCTCGGGCTTGCCAAAGGCACCTGCAGTTCTGCCAAAGTTGAAGTTTCCGAAGGGAACAATGCCAGCGCTGATGTTGCGAGTAGCAGGGCGGCTGGGACTCTCGATCAGAGATTGGTCTTCCCATTCGTCGTCGTCCATGATGATCTCGTGCTTAGCGGATCTAGCAGCTCCCAGCTTGTCGGCGCGGGCACCCTTGTTGAACTTGATGCCGCTGTCATCGGAACGACGCTTCTTGCTCACGGACGGGCCTACACCGCCGTCGGTGCGCTTGTTTTCCAGCTCATCTCTGGCATCTTGCAATAACCGCTTGAGCTCAAATTTCTCCGTCTTTTCACGATGAATGTTGTTTTTCAAGTTCTGGATCATACGGTGGGCGTGGGTAAGCGAGGACTTGAGGGTTTCGGTCTCGAGCATGCCATGTCTTGGAGTGGGCTTGACAGGCGAGTTTTGCGGCGAGACGTCGGGAGTTGCGACCTCGGAATCACCATTCTCGCGGCCCAGAGAGCGCTGATTGTCTTGGGGTTGGCTGTCAGCGTTCCATCGTGCAGCTACAGCCTTTGCCAGCTGAGTGTTCTGGGATGTCAGTTCCTCAACCTTCTTGAGCAGCGCGTCGCGAGCTGACTGATGATTGTTGACGTCGCGGCGTAAGGTGAAAAGCTCGGCTTCATGATGCTTTTTGATAACCTCGTGGTCATCGCTAAGTTTGCCATGAGCGGCCTTGAGGTCCTCCAAGTCGCGTTGTGCCGTATCTTTCTCGGCCTGAGCGAACTTGAGCTGTTGTGACAGACGCTGTTCCTTGTCGGTGGCCTCTTTCAACTGTGCTGTCAGGTCTTGCATCTGCGTCTCAAGGTTCCAATTCTCGTCCTTGCACTTCTGCTCACTCTCGTCCAACATGCGCAGCCGCTGCATCAGACTGGCGATGTCTGTCTCGAGCTGTTCTTTTTGCGTCGTGGCATCCTTGAGCGCATTCTCCTTTTCAGCCAGGATGGCCTGCAGTTGTCTGACCTGGGCAAGAAGAGAGGTACTGATCTCGGTCGCGAACTCGATGTCATGGACACGGTTGGTGGGCTGGTTACGTTGCCTTCTGGAGCCTTCGGTGGGAACGCGCTTGACTGGGGAAGGGCGAGCTTCGGAGACGAAGAGGGCAGGACTCGACGGAGCAGCGCTGAAGTCTGTTGAGACGATGCGCGACTTGGGAAGGAAGGCACGGGCGGAATCTTTGCCAATTTCAGTGTAATCCTTCTCCAGCTGATCCAGCTTTTTCTGCAGCTCAGGAGTGATGTCCTCGGATGCGCCCTCCTCGACCTCCTTCAGACGGGCAGCCAGATCCTTGCGCTGTTGCAGTAGGGTGGTGCCAAGCTTGGAAGCATCCTGAATGCGGCGCTCTGTGTCCTTGAGATGGGCCTCGAGCGCGCGCTTGGCCTGAGCTGGAGAGCCTGAGTTGTACAGGGAGAAGACTTGGTTGTCAAAGGAAGCGTAGCGGTGCGGGCTCGGCTGCGTGGCATTGGGATTGACAAAGGGNTCGTCGCCGTTTGACGACAGGTTGGCGGTCGTGGCCATGATTGACCTGGGCGGGTGTGCGACAGGGTCGCGACACGCGGCGATCGAACTTATTAGTGTAGTCGAAGAAGAAGATTAGTGAATGAGCTGCATCAGAGGCTTGAGTAGGCGATATGATAAGTTATGCGGGATGTTGTTGTTGTGGGTTGCCGGCTCCAAACACTGGGCGGCCGTTGGAAGGTTGTTTTGCGGGTGAAATGACAAAGTAGAGGAAGAACAGAAGAAGACAAAGAAGAGATATGAATTGGAGTGGTCTCGACGGCAGAAACAGGACTGTTCGACGCGGCTGCTCTCCCTTGACAGCTGTCGGGAGTGAGAGACAACTCGTTCGACGAAACAAACACCCAAGACAAGACAGACGGCGACGGGAAAGGGAGGGGGAATGGAACGGAAGTGCACCCTCAACCTGGAATTGCTCCGGTCTTGGCGCCTTTGTTTGGCTCCTCTCGGCAGCCTGACTATTGTCGCCCCCAGTCTATAGCCCCCAGTGAGCTTTTACATCCTCAGCCCATACAGTAAGCGCATACGATAGCTGAAAGCTTCAACATCCTTCAACGCCTCAAGAGTGTGTCGCCGACCTATCCAGCGATACGGTCATCACATTCAATCGAGCTCGACTCGGCTTCGATCAAGCCACGTCTACGCAGAAACGTTAACTCTGGCGTCCAAACACAGCGGGCCCGAATACCGGCAGCCGCGCAGATAGCATCACGAATCGTGCATGGCATGCAGCTAAAGGCGTCTGTCCGTCCTGCTACTCCGACAACCACATGAACCACAGCATTATTCGTGTCTATGATCAAGGTCTGAAACACTTGGATCCACCCCCGTCGTTCGTTCGCGGCTCGGCCCAGTACCTGTCATTCATTGTCTGATATGACTGTCTATGTTCGGAACGTCTCTCTGTTTTGCTTACAAGTTGTGTTGACAGCCACTCTCTCCGAGTAGCGGACTGTACTTCCATCAACATTCCGGCGCTGACGCATAGCTTGCTCTGGTAGATTTGCTGCAAATCGCCTCGACATCACCGGTCTGATCCTGTTCTTGTTGTCAGGCCGATACCTCATCTGAGCTCTTTATGACGTTTGAGACAAACAGCTCATCCTCGATTGCATCTCACGGCCTGAAGATATCGGCGCGAAAAATGTTTTCCCTCATTTCAAATTTTCACATAAGCGATGCACTGTCCTCGCCGACATCCATTCTCTACTCGGGGACTCTGTTGAACCAAGCATATGCTATTTTGATCAACTTCCCTAGGGCCAGCAATGGCTTTGCATATCCTGGCCATTTCGCCGCACTCGCTGTCTTCAGTGGTGCCAGTACTCTTCTCTCTTCGCCTTTGTTGTTGCCCGCTTCAACCTCCAGCCCTCTGCAGATGATTGGCAATACGCTCATGACCATGAGCGTCTCGCTGTTCAGCTGGACAGCATACACAACACAGAGAGGACGACTCCCGGCCATCTTTGGTGGCAAGACCCCAGACTTCATCATCGATTATGGACCATTTGCCTACGTCCGCCATCCTGCCTATACTGCTTACCTCCTGGGCTGGACTGGAGTCCTTACTGCTCTTGCAGCTAGGGACGATGCTGACTGGGTGGTTCCGGCCCTGGCTGCATGCGTTCTGGGCATTGCGGGTGTCTATTGCACTGGCGTACACATGGAAGAGACGCAGATGCTGTCAGGCGAAGAGAACGACGGAAAGGTTGACCTCAGCAAGAGGTACAAGGAGTACATGGGCAAAGTCAGATTTCGATGGCTTCCCGGTCTCATTTGAAATACCAAGGAGATGTGCAGTGTCAAGCATTGAATTACCAAAATAGAGTCTCGTAGGGAGAACAATCGTGAGACAACGTACAGCACTATATTGCAGTTCTCCGACCAGATCTTTCGTGCTTGAACAAACGCGATGCGCGCTGCCAAGTATCAAAAGCGCAAGAACGTGGCAGTCGAATGATGGAAGCTCTTTCCTTGTGAGAACAAACAAGTCAAGGTAGTATTGTCAAGAAAACGAGGCGAATCGACCACCGAGACAACTCATTCAGCCAACCCCAATCAGCCATCTGGTACTTTGAGACTTGCATCGAAAAGCCACGAGGCCAAATCCTGCTGGTCGGCATACTGTACCACGTCAAAAACCCCCGCGCGAGCTAACTCAGCAATAAGGCCAGGCACACCAGCAACAAAATTCATCGCATTCCTCTCTCATCGCAGCAGCCATCGCGCCAGGGCCTTGGATTGCCAAAGTCCACAGCTCCCTCTTGCGCCACAAAATCAGTAGATTCAACCTGATCCAAGCGTACATCACTCGCGACAATGATCTCGTCTGGTCTTGTCATCTTCCTCGTCATTCTCGGTTGTGCCGCCGTTTGTCTCTGCTGTTATGCCCTCTTCACCCTATCCTTCGGCAAGCGATCCGAGCCCGTTGACCGCAGCAGACCTGCCGCCGTTCAAGAAGAATACATGCGCGAAGTGCGACAGAAGAACAGAGACACCATGTGGGCCATGAGCGGCCAGAGGGTTCGCTACGATCCAAGCTATGCCTGATCCATCACCAATCCTGCACACTGTCAACAACATCCATCAACTTCATGTCGATGATCCAGCTGCACTTTCTCGACAGTTATCCCTCGCGACCATCTCATCATTGCGACTTCCTGATATGCATCATATCTTAGTTATCCTCGATGCCGCTGTTTCCGGTCATGTCGACATGAAGCATGACAGCCCTGATATTACTCTCGAGTCTATCGGTGGCTTCGCCATGGCAGAAGAACAGTTCAACTCGGCCTCGGCAGCGTCCGCGCGACATATCAATGACCGGATGTCGGTCGCATCTTATAACCGATTGCTGGTGGCATGTATCTTCCTTCAGGCCGGCCACCCTTGTTAGTGCCGCAACAGTGGCCTTGTACAGCAGACAAATTACACAGAATTCATCACGTCGCTGACTGTCACATCATTTGTGTTTCCTGTACCTATCCCACTCTTCCCTCGACCCGAGAAGAGAGTGCTGTAAGCTTTGTGTTGTAACTATTGTTGATGTAGAATGGATGGAAGCAGAAGCCAAGGCCTGACAGGCTGCTGGGGCTGAAACAGGAAGACGCGTCGGATCGTCGTTCGCATGTCAAATTCACTGGCTCCACTTCACAGTCGCAGCCGCAATCCGATTCTTCCGCTCGCGCCATCTTTTGGTCAATTCTGTCCACATCATTGTCGCAGTCTGATCAACATAGACGACGCGTCGTCTTAACTCAGACTGTCATGTTAGAAACCACAAAGCAGCTTCACTATCTCTAAGGCTGCTTGGTTGGAGCGATCAAGGGTTTGGGCAGCGGAAAGCGGATACCGTTGCAAGCTCGCAGCTGCCAAACTTTGACCAAAACGTCGCCCGAGATCCGCAGCCCTGGGCTGGTATACGAATTCGACCCATACGCGTACGACGACGAGAAACTTCTGTTACCACAGATTGTCGCGTCTCAGCCTCAATTGTTGCCTGTTTCGGTATCGATGTGTCAGGTGCTTCCCTGCTTCAGCTCTCGTTCCAGTCATATGTTCACATTTACCGTTGGGCGTCACGAGCTTACGCACACCACGTTGTCTACAAGTAAATACCAAGAGTAGGTCTCGTCAGTTTTTGTCTCTTTTTTCCTCTCTATCTTTCCGACCATACACCCTCGACTGTGTCACTTCACTCGCTCGCTGCAACCACTCGCTCGCTGTACACATCCTCGCAGCTGCAACATCTGTCTTGTCATCTCAAGCTCCATCAACATGGCCCTCAGTAACGGAGCTATCATTGTCATCGTCATCATCTGCTGTGGCGCGTTCGTCTGCTGTCTCGGGGCGATAGGCTGGGTCTACCGTAGACAAGACTTCGATCAACAAGGAGCAAACTATGGCTGGCGACCAAGCAACGATCAGAACGACTACATGCGAGAAATGAGGCAGAACAATACCAAAGGCCTTCTCCATGTTGCGAGATATCACGAGAGAGCTTCGAGTTCACATGCCTCTGATTCAGCTTACTCAAGCCCGAGTAGGAGTATAGTCTGATTGATCTACCACGTTCGCCATTTCTTGTGAGTATCTTGAGGCTCTTCATGATGCGACATGGTGACTGACAATCATTATAGATGCCACTTCCTAGAGTTTACTCGCTCAAATCTGTTTAGAATCAACAACTCGAAAGGACACGTCACCCACATAACTCGATCCTCTCGCTCCAAACATATGGCCTACTCGATCCAAACAAGCTTGACACCACTATCATATTGTCTCTCACAGCTTCTCAGCTCTGACAACCTCGACGCATTCAGACACTTTCTTCACGAAGAGCAGTAGTGTCTACGACTTGCTACGACACGTCCGCTTCGCCAACCAACATGGTCCCAGATATTCGCTCCGCTCTCTTTCTTTTTCTTTGCTTCGCTTGTTTTTAGGCGCATATACCCCGATCCTCAGAATCATGCCTGGGTTCTGTTTTCGAACCCTGTTTTCTTTGCTTTCTTTTGATTCTTTCTCAGGAATAGTCATCTCACAGCCCACCGACGGCCAACATGTTGTTTTCTGATATATCCTATTTTCTCTTTACTCTGTACGAATCAGTCTCATATTGAGACTGTTTTATCCTAAGCTGTGCGTGTGTTCGATCGTTACCGTCTGAACCTAAGAAATCATCAAAAGTTTAGTCCCGATCACAGTCAAAGGTTTCGAGGAATTGATTTCTGTAGAAAGTACTCATAGTGTTCGAAGACCATGCGAAGTTTCGCATCCGAGATGAAACCCGTGCTTCACGTTGTAAGCATCTCTACTCCAAAAATGCACATGTACCGTGTTTCAAACGCATCAGCGTTGTTCTCGATCGCGATCACATTTCTGATGAACATATCGTTGCCCCATCGTTTGTTCAGAAGTCGTGTTACAGTGGCTGGGAGAAATAATCTCCAAAAGGACAACTGCGATTGTGCCGCGCACGGCGCAAGAAACCAGGACCCCACATTTGACGCAACTCGAAGTTCGGGTTGTCAACGCTCTCCCACAGCATCTCACACCAACATAAATCATGAACATCCAAGAACACGCATTCCCACAAGAAATATGGGCTGAACTACTGACACATTGTTCTCAGGGGCAGCTAGTCACTCTCTCTCGCCTCTCTCCATTGCTCCGCACAGAAGCTCGCAAGTTGTTGCTTCGAACAGTTATATCTAAACACCGGTCTCAGACTGACCACGAGGCAGTGGGGGTCATCCACAGACCATGGGCGTTTTATGAGCTTCTGAAGGCTGATCTAATTGACTGGAGACGAATGATTAGGTCCGTCAAGCTGAACTGGCTGAGCGAATACGTGGACAAGGATGGCAATAATGCGCTTGTAGGAAGAGCGAAACCTGTTGAAGATCATCTCATCTTCAAGACTGCAGTGTTGCTGTACGAATGCCATTATCTGAAGGAGTTCCACTTCAATATGAAGTCTCTTGCAGTGGCCACAGCTATGCTCAAAGATGCGTCCCCGCCTCTGACTTCTATCGACTTCTCACTACCTCACCGATACAATTGGGAGGACATCTACAGAGTGTTCAGTCTTCCTACCCTAGTGACTTTGGTGATTCGAAATCTGCTGAGTCCAGATCGACCTGCCTTCCGGTTTCCACCTCCCATACCGGATGGTTTGCACGACAGACATGCCATCTCCAATATCCAAGACCTTAGTCTTTTGGAATGTGGCCCTCTCACGCAATCGATATCTCCTTTGTTCCAGTGGCCGAGGAACCTACAAAGATTGAATTATTCTCCTGCAAGGTCAAAGTGCGAGCCATATTGGCGTACTATTCTGCGGCGCACTGGCGATATTTCGGACGCGGTGGATCTGTCTCTCCAAGTCCTCGCACCCTTGCAATCAGCATTGCAAGAATTGCAATTCGATCTTGGCTTGGACAGACACTGGATTTTACCCTTCAGAACTGGAAGGCTCTTTGAATCTTTTACTAAGCTGACAAAACTGACTGCTCCTGTCGAACTGGTCATGTATTCGAGAGGTCTCTCGCGCTCGAGATACAATCTACCATTCTACAACAATCTACCTTCTAGCCTACAGGGCCTCGAGCTCAAGTTTACGATACTGACTTCTTGGCATTCGCGACCCGCTCACTCTGATCTCGATACAGAAGCTTGTCTGATTTCTGATCCTGCGCATCAGTTGTTCGACGAGCTGTCGACTCTAGCGATACAAAAGGATGGACAATTTTCAGGGCTGCATCGACTTACACTCACGGGAGACGGAGATAGAGCTTTCTTGGTCAGATGCCGCCATGCAGATGATGCCTTGAAGGATTTGGAAGATAATGATGTACAAGTTGTTCAACGCGATTGGTGTCGACAGTCAAAGGAAGCTTGGATCTGAATGTTTTGTGTCGCACATACTGAATCTGCCTTCAGAGTTGACACAAGGAACTTCGTTCAAAAGGGGCATTGCTCCCAACCACGTTCTATGTATCAATTTGTTCCCAACCATGAGGATCTGGTCTTGATATTTGAACCTGGAGAACCCTACGACAACGCAACGAAAGAGTCTGCACGCAAAAACTTCGACGCAACGGCTTCCATCGAAACTGGAGGTATCAGTAGATTGCTCTCCGAAATCACGGCCTCGGATGGAGAAAACGACGACAATCCCTGATGAAAGAAAATACTTCTCAGATTCCTAGTCTACATAGATCGCCCAAACGATGCATTTTCAGTTCCCAATCTTGAAACCCCACCAAAAGAGAATTGAACCAAACTCGGTTTTGCAAAGCATTAACCAACCACCATCTCATGTCACAAGCTGATCCCTATATGCTGAATTCTTACATGGCACTACTGTTACTGCAAACAACATCAGGAGCACATGAACTAACATAGCCAGTCGTAAACACCGTAGTCGTCAACGTCTGCAACGCAGGACAAGTGGATGGTCGCACGGTAATAGTGACTAGAATAACTCATCAGCAAACGACTCAGAAAACAAACAGAACCAAAAAAAAAAGACTTACTGGGACCAGTGTAGAATGTCGATGTCGAGGTGGGAGACATGGCAGTACCAGAGCGACCACCCATGGTATCGCTAGCAGTAAAGCTAGATGCGGCGCCAGAGCCAGCAGAAGAGAAAGGACCAGAGGAAGCTGCACTAGACACATACGACGATGCAGCAGAGGAAGCAGCGCTTGAAGCGAAGGAAGAAGCGGCAGAGGAAGCTGCCGAAGATGCTGCAAATGACGTTGCACTGGATGCCGCGGTAGAGAAGCCCGACGAAAAGGCCGAAGAATAAGCAGAAGAGAATGCCGAGGAGAACGCGGAGGAGAACCCGCTCGAGTAGGCAGAAGAGAATCCGCTCGAGTATGCAGAAGAGTATGCTGTCGAGGAAGCAGTGGAGAATGGAGTACCGGACCAGGTTGTATACCATGAAGTCGAGAACTCGGTGTACACGGTCGACACAGTGACACTGATTGGCACAAGCGACGTAGAAACGATAGTCGAGCTGGCGGGACAGCTAATGACACCGGGAGAGCATGAGGTGATGGTGGTGATGTCAGTACTGTAGATTGTGGAGGTTATGACCCCCACCGCGCTGGAGCTTGTGGCGGACGGCAGAGAGATTGTCGAGATCGTCACGCTGACGGGTATAAGCGAGGTCGATACAATTGTCGAGCTGGATGAGACAATGGTGCTGAGGGCCGTGCTGTAGATTGTCGAGGTCACCACACCAGTAGATGCAGTTCCTGAGCGACCTCCGGTGGTGTCGCTAGGCAGGAATATCGAAGTCGTGATAACACTGGTTCCGATAGGGACCAAGGTGGTCGAGACCACTGTCGAGCTTGAGGACACAACTGTGGTTAGACCAGTGCTGTAGATTGTGCTTGTCACGAATGCTGGTGTAGATGATGTGCTAGATGCAGCGGCACTAGAGATGGCAGTGCTTGAGACGACACTGACACTGACTGGGACAAGCGTAGTGGAAACCACAGTTGATCTTGCAGGACAGCTAGTCACATCCGAGGCGCACGAAGTGACAGTACTGATATCAGTGCTGTAAATCGTGATTGTCAAAGGTCCACCAGGGTTCGTAAGTCTGGTAGCTCTGTATCCAACAACGCCAGGAGGGAATGGTGTGGTTCCGGATCCAAGATCATTCGCGTTGTGCAACTCACACTGTAGGGTATTCTGAAGCCAAGTAGCAGCCAGACATCCAGCAGTTTGACTACAGATGTTGATACAAACGTTCAAGTTTCGAACGCTGGTAACGGTAGTGATGCCTACGGTATTGTAGTCGCTTGTGCAGTCAACGCTGTAGTTGTTTGGAGGGCTCTGCGAATCCATATAATATTTGCCACAATAGCTCGAGTAGTCAGTCGCCGTAGCGCTTGACGCAGAGGAGACTGTCACACTGACGGGGACAATTGTGGTCGAAACGACCGTCGAGCTTGCTGGACAACTCTGAACATCTGGTGGACAGGAAGTGACCGTGGTGATGTCAGTGCTATAGATTTTCGATGTGACTGGTCCATCAACAGCGTCTTGAGCAGGAGCACGCTCAGCGAAAAGTATTCCAGGCGAATAGCCAGTACCAGAAACTTGTGCAAACATCTGGCAGTTGCCTGTGTTGATGTTGTACGCAACGGCTCGGCAGTAACTAACACTATCGCACTGGAGCTGACACTCGTGGAAGGCCGCTTGCTGTGCATCGGTCTGGCGCTTTTTCAAGCCCGAATCGGTGACATCCTCGGAGTGTAGACTCATCATCATGTCGTCGAACATCAAAAGTTCGGCATCACGCTTGGTATTGTCGCTACTGGCAGGCACGATCACAGTACCTCCCGTGACACCAGTATCGCATTGATGGACATAAGCCTTGCCATCAGCGTCCGTACATATGACGTTGTTGACATTAGGGCAGGCGGGCTGCGTGCAAGCAGGGGCCGGGGCTTCCTGAGAGACATAGGTGGCGGAAGGCGCTGAACTAGGATCAGAGCCAGGGTTGAAAGTGCTGTAAGCCGAAGGTGTGATTGGGACACGAGTATCGGATGAAGAAGTGGAGGATGAACTAGACGTAGGAGACAGAACCGCAGTGATTGTAGAGAATGATCCGCTGACGGCTAAGCTGGAAGAAACTGAAGATGGACTGGACGTGGAAGAGAGGACAGCGGTGATTGTAGAGAACGATCCGCTGATGGCTGAGCTCGAAGCGGATGCGCTTCCAGATGAGAAGACTGCTGACGATGTCGACGTCGAGCTCGGAGCAGCCCCACTGGAAGATTGACTTGACGAAGTCGACGAGCTGAGGTTTACAATCGAGGACGCTACCGAAGCCACGCTGGACAATTGGCTCGACAACGATGAGCTGCTTGCCGAGGAGGCCGAGGATACAGAAGATCTGCTAGACTGTTGTACGTTAGAAGAGGATAAAGAGCCCGAAAAGACGCTACTTGCTGAAGAGGGTGCGGACGAGGAGGAAGTGGACGACAAAGGAGAAGATGAGGAAGCAGACAACGAGGAAGAATTCGACTGTGTCACGCTAGTAACAGAAGATGATGAGCTGGCGCCAACTGTTGTGCTTGACGTTGCACTGCTCGAGCTACTACTGCTTGGAACATTGCTGCTGCTGGATGATGTCAAAGACAATGCCAGACTCGAGGACGATGATGATGATGACAAGGCCGATGTAGCACTCGAAGTAATGCTAGATGCAGAACTTGAAGCAACACTTGACAAAGAGCTCGCTGAAGAGCTGCCAATGCTGATCGACGAGCTCGACGAAAGAGCAGATGAAGAACTCGATGATAGAGCAGATGAAGAACTTATGCTGAATGGTAGAGCAGATGAGGAGCTCACGCTTGATGACAGAGCAGATGATGAACTCGATGACAGAGCAGATGATGAACTCAAACTCGATGCGGCGCTCAAGCTTGACGACAAAGCGCTAGAGATCGTAGACAAAGCTGATGAAGAGCTCAGGCTCGATACGGAAGAGCTCAGACTTGATGAAGAAGCGCTCAGGCTTGACGACAAAGCGCTAGAGGTTGAAGACGACGTTGATGAAGAACTCAAGCTAGAGATACCGAGAGTGCTTGAAGGGCTCGATGTGGCCGACGAAGAACTTGGGTTCGATGACGTTTGGCTCGACGATTGGCTCGATGATAGAGAGCTTGACGACGTACCAGATATCGTTGTCAGTGTCGTCGCCGTAGTAAGAGTAGTCGCTGTCGTTAACGTGGTCGCTGTCGTTGGCGTGGTCGCTGTCGTTGGCGTGGTCGCTGTCGTCGGAGTGGTTGCTGTCGTAGGAGTAGCCGGGACAGAGCTCGATGAAGAAGACCCGCTTGGGGTACTGTTGCTTAATGTTGACGAACTGCTGAATGACGAAAGACTGCTTGACGATGAAAGACTGCTCGACGATGAAAGACTGCTTGACGACGAAAGTGAACTACTTGAAGACATCGAAGAACTTGTCGAGGATGAAAGAATGCTGCTCGATATTGAAGAAATGCCAGATGACGATGACGAACTCGATTTACTCGAGGAAGAAACACTGGAAGACGAGCTGGATGCAGAGCTCGAGGCCGCAGACGACAAAGAACTCGATGAAGAAGATCCAATGTTTGAGGCCGAGGTGGAAACAGAACTGGATGATGTGGAAGAGGAGGTGGGGACGGTGCTTGATGAAGTGGATGGAGCGGAAACGAAACTGGATGAAGAACTGGAGCTCACCAAACTAGATGTGGACAAAGAACTCGAGCTAGACGTGGGGTTTGATGAGGTCGAAGATGTGGTCAGAGACGAGGTGGTAAGACTGGAGCTCAGAGGGCTCGAGCTGGACGAAAGACTCGAGCTAGATGAAGCAATCGGAGAAGTTGAGGATGACATGGTGGTGGTAGTAGTGGTCCTAGCAACAGCCGCTACACCTTGTCTGATAGCTCCTACCTTACCCTGACCAGGCTGGAATCTCAAGTTGGCCATATTTATCTTGAGGTAGCAATTGCCAGACCAGGTGAATCCGGTACATCCGGCCACACCATCGCAAATGCCAAAACAAGCGTTGAAGTCACTGCTTCCGCCCGAGTAAAGGGTTCCACCCCCAATGGTGTCGTTGTTGCATCCAAGAGTGTAGATATATCCGCTAGAATCAACAACATTCTGCTGGTCATTGGCAGGGCAGGCGTAGCTCGACTGAGAAACTACCGGACCTGTGTATGTACTCGAAACACCTCCTCCTGAAGTAGTGGTAGTGGTGGTAGTAACCACTACACCACTTTGAGTCACCAGGTTGGCTCTGACGGGATTTTGTGATGCCTGAACGAAATCACCACCAGAAGAAACGTATGGCGCAGTCACACGCTTGATGAAGCATGTGCCAGCACTGAAAGTGAAAGAAGTACAAGTCGGATAGTTATCGCAGATCGAGAAGCACTGCTGCCAAGTTGAAGCGGCAATATTAGTCTTCGCACCACTCGTAATGTCGTAGCCACACATGATGAAATAGTAAAGACCATTGACACCACCATCGCCAACGTATGGATCGTAGTAGTATGTTCCATTGCTAGCAGGGCAACTCGGTGTGGTCGTATACACCGGATAGCCGTTCAGACTTGTGCTTACTGTGTTGCCTGCAGCCGATACGGCCGATGCAGACGTGGTCGGGGTTCCACTGCCAGATACAGGTGCAGCCGTTATCAAAGAGCTGGTCGAGGTGATGCTTGGAGTGCTGGAGCTGGAGCTGGAGCTAGCAGTGGTCAAAGTGGAGCTGGAGCTGGAGCTGGTAGTGGTGTAGGTAGTCGTCGTGGTGGTTATGGAAAGTGTGGAAGGACATGAGATCGGCTTGGCGGTTGAAGTTGAAGCATAGATTGACGACAAATAGTCCTGACTTGGGCCGGCGGGGTTGGTCCATTTGTAGAAGAAGTTCAATGAGAGCGCAGCTGCATCAATGTATCCACCATTAGTGCCAAGTGAATATTGATGCGGCCAGTTTGCGAGACGGAACTGAGTAACAAGACCCAGCAACCCACTGAGAGAACCAAACTCGGCTCTGGTCACGTTGCCACCATTTGTTACAGTAGTGACATTGTCGGTCGTCAAGTTGTTGCGTGTAGCCCAATCCTGACTCCAATGGGGAATTGCCGGCAAACAGTATCCTCTACGGCCGCCGCCGATGTATGGAATTGTGCCGTCACCATCACCATGGAACTCTACCATCGGCACTCGTCTGGACGGGCTACACACAGAGTGCACCAGATCGTTCGTCGTGACGGTGTTTGGGAAACACACCGTGTTCGAGTCGCCTGTCTGGGTGTAGTAGGCTCCAGAGTGAGGTCCAAACGCATTGAACACCGTGGACATCACGGGATCGCAAGCCATCACGTTGACTAAGCCACCGCCGTTACTGAAACCAGCAGCAAAGATGCGGCTTGTGTCGATACAATATTGAGACGAGATATTGGCTATCAGAGCCTGGACAAAGCCCATATCATTGATCGTGGTGTTGCCAACGTAGCTCGGGTCTCCTTGCCATGTGGGCTGACCGGTAGAGTCCTTGACTGCTGTAGGATATACCGCGATACCGTAGGGGTTGATTCTTTCAAGTGAGTAGCCAGTTCCGCTTTCTACAGCAGTACCACTATCGCCTCTTCCGTGGAAGACCAGGATGAGTGGTGCCGCATTGTTGATATTGTAGCTAGACGGCACATGAACGTTGAAAGTGCGCAGATAACCGTCGGGTCCTGTACCAGTAAAGGCTGTACTAGCTCCACCAACACTGATCTGAGAGTTCACAGCCGTGCCGCATCCTGAACTTCTGTATTGACCATTTGCGGTGGGTGGAGGGTAACCAGGTGGAGCGACGTAGATGACGGCAGTGTTGCCGGTCGAAGGTCGGACGGTGTTGCTGAAACTCTTCTTCAAATAACAGGTGGTACCAACATATGTGACTGCAGAGCATATACTTGCTCCAGCGGCGCTGCAGTAGGCCATACATGTCGCGAAGTCGGGAACATTGTTGTTTGACGCGTACGAGCCAGGCGAACTGTCAGCTGAACAATAGATTACGTATTGTTGGCCGCAAGAGTCTGTATAATAAGTCGTGTTGGTGCTGCCGGAGGCACAAAGTCCATTGGTGCTCTGAGCGAAAGTAAAAGAAATGAGTGACAGAATGAGCGTTGTCACTCGTAGGGACACCATGCTGGCGACAGATTACGAGAGAGAGAACGCGTTTACGAGAGGGAAGAAGCGGGTAGTGGGAAGACAGACTCATATTGGCGAATTGTTGTTGACAGGGAGCTCTGGAATGCAGACGGTCGGTACCTGCATTCCAGGAGATATGATCAACTCACTTACATACAGAATCCCGGGACTTGGCCATGAAGCCTCTGGTAGAAGCAAGGAATGCCCTCAGCCGTCCTGTCCGCACATTCGACAGAGATTCTTAGAATATCCTCATTATCCAAGATCCGATGCGGCGTGAATCAACCTTTGACGCGCTCTCGACCATAGCGAGTCATCGATCTTGTTAATCGTGTTCCGACAAAGACAAGTCTGTCGGGCGGGAGCCATCCACACATGCGACCCGTCGGACGTGCTTTTGCGAAACGTCACGAATGTCGTGTGCAATGGAAGCATTAATAATCAAACGAGGTCTTATGTCAGCTTGAGACCCGGATTCTGTAACGTTGATCGTGAGGGCGAATGATACACAAGTTTGGAGAGAAGTTGCGAAAGTGTGAAGTAAGCGCGTGTGGCCCACTGGCCGATATCGGTACACGTTCTGCTTCTAGGACGACCCTGTCTATACATTTTAATTAACTTCTTTTACCTACTATACATGGTAAACTGTTGTTTAGACGGAAAAAGCAACGTAAAGATAAACGTCTCCTGACAATGACGGAGGTTTTGGAGATGTTCCATTAGCAGTCTCGACGCGGATACGCGGATCCATATATCTTACAAGTCACTAAATCTGCTTGCTCGTCCCCATACGAGTTCTTCAGCATCCTTTCCGTCGTGAGTTTCTGAACACAGAGTGATCGATCGAGAGATTTTTTGTTGACGCGTCAAATACCAACTGAGAGCTAGATTGCATCAGTGGCCAGGAAGGTTGACGTGCGATGGCAGAATTGTATTTACATATGATGTGTGTATAAATCGCAACCATCGGCAACGCTTTGACGCGGGCCATTCATTGAGGACACAGCTCTGAGGAATGTTCTGTCCACGCACCTCCAACCTTGGCCAATATTTGCGGCCCCTGTGATAGTGGATGGACTGCACAAACTTCTGGTGATCTAGGATATCAGCTACAGCTTCGCCTTCTCAGCCCGGCTTAAATAAAGCTTCACCTCGACACCCCGTACACCTACCAACATGCGCCTCAGAATCTTACCACTCGGCGATTTGGGCACTGCAGGCACAAACACGATATTCCCTGTCAACCACTTGTACCGCACAGTCTTGGTTTCCATCAGCTGCTTAATGTCTTGAGCCAGTGCCTGAAGCTCCGGTGTGATAGGACCATTTGGTGTACACTGAGCTAACAAGTGTTTTGAGGAAGGCACGACGTAAGCTCTGGGTAACTCCGTCGCGAGGCCGGCGTCAAAAAGGCCATACACAGCAGCGTCGGCCACTGAAGGGCTACCGCAAAGGATGTTTTCGAGCTCGGAAGGCGAGACCTGGAAGCCCTTCACTTTCATTACATCCTTCAGGCGGTCGGTTATCCACAGATGACCTTTGGCATCAACTTTGCCTACATCACCAGTATGGAACCAACCTTCGCTGTCAAGAGCTTCAGCGGTGGCTGCCTTGTTGTTAAGATAACAGGTCATGTTTGTTGGAGATCTGATTCAGTCAGCATTACAGCGAGGCATAGGAGATTGGACAAAAACCAACCTTATCAAGACTTCGCCTTCGAGCCCCTTGGCCACGACTTCTGTGGGATCATCGACAGACACAATTTTGAGCTCGATTCCAAAACATGGCACACCGGTATTGCCAAGTTGCGGCTGGATGACTTCCCAAGTCTCTCCGACTTGGTTGCATACAGAACCTGCTTCTGACAAACCATAACCNCTGAACATGTTGTCAGAGAACATTTCACGCACATACCGGGATGAGCTCACCAGCTTGATTAATATTCCTAGTCGTCGATAGACTTGCTCGACAATTTCTGATGGTAAAGGAGCGCCTCCACTGACAGCGCCCTGGATACTCGTCATGTCGTAGTCATCCAGCATGGGTGATTTGGCAAGTATTACAGCGACTGGAGGAGCCATATGTAAGAAGGTAATACGGAAGCGTTGTACGTGATTAAGCATGAGCTTAGGGTCGAACTTTGGCATTACGAAGATGGTAGCTCCAGACGCTACTGCAAGAAGCAAGACGTTGCACAGTGCAAAGATGTGGTAGAATGGAGCAAAGCCGAGCCATCTTTGATTATCATCGAATGCCTGGTTGATATGCCAAAGTGAGTGGACATTACTGACAAGCGCTTGGTGAGATAGGACTACGCCCTTAGACTTGCCCGAAGTGCCGGATGACCAGAGGATGACCGCAGTTCGTTGCTTGAATTCGCCCGCCTTGAACTGAATAGGGGCTTTTNNCAGTGGTCTGGAGGCCAAAAGTGCCTTCCAGTTTTGCGAATGTTGGTCCAAATCAGTACCCTTGCAATGAGAACACGGGAGACCGTACTCGTCATGGATGGGATCTACGATATAGACACGGCGTGTGTTGATGAGATTGGCCTTGACTTTGGGGCTATCACTCTCGGTGATGGCTGCATTGAGAACCTGTAGGCCTTCTGGTGTAGTCACGACAAGTTGAGGTTCCGAAGATTTGAGGATCCAGGCCAGTTCACCAGAAGTCAAGCCAGGATTGGCCATAGTCACAGTCAAGCCCGAGGCGAGGACACCAAAGAGCAGAGGAGCAAAAGCCAGGGAGTTGGGTAGGTGCAGCAGAACAATAGGGGAGATGATGGGAGTATGGCCAGTCGAGGACAGGGGAACAGCAGGAGTAGGTTGTAATCCCAGAGCATGCAGTCCAGCTGCAATACGCAACGAGTCGATGCGGACTCTGTCCCAACTGACTTGTGCAGCNTACATGATGTTGGTTAGAGTATCAAGAAGGCAGATAGAGTGCGACACACCTGTGAGAGGGTCTACAAGCAGAGGTTTGTGAGGAGCTATGTCGGAGACTACATGGTTGCGAGATTGAGTATCGGGAGCATGTTTGGAGACTGGGCCATTCTTTCGAAGAGGATTTGAGAAGATGAAGTCAAAGATGTTGGCCGAAGGAAGAGCTGGAGGAGGAGCACCGACGTAGGACAGTTGGGCGTCAGACATGGTTACAAACAGCAAAAGAAGAGGCAGTTGATGGAAGGCTTCAGATGGCAAGAGCTACTCGATGGGTCTACATAATATGTTGAGAGAGGGCAGGAAGGAGAGGATGACCTCGGGGATGCCACATTAACCGGGGTAAAGTGTGGAGAGTTGCCGCTCACCGCCCTGGCCCAAAAGGGGAAGGCGCCAGGGTGCAGCTGGGCAGGTGCGAGACAGCAGGGGGAAATTATTACAGCCAGAGATTCTCGTACGAGCAATCTCAACCAACATTGAAGCCTTCTTTCTTTGCTTTTGTCGAGACCAATTACTTTCATTCAACGAGTCACACCATGGCAGACAACAAGGTATACCGCGCGAGCACTTTTGCGCCCGTCAACATTGCCGTCATCAAGTGAGTCTGGCACAACAACCAAGAAAACAGACGAGCTGACAACTGCCAAAGGTACTGGGGCAAGCGCGATGCCAAACTCAACCTTCCTACCAACAGCTCCCTGTCCGTGACGCTCTCGCAAGACGATCTCCGCACCCACACAACCGCCTCGTGCAGCACCCAGTACCCCAAGGACTCCCTCACCCTCAACGGCTCGGATCAGGACATCTCTGGCGCCCGTACACAAGCCTGTCTGGCCGAGCTACGTACCCTCCGTCGCCAACTCGAAGAGTCCGACTCGTCGCTTCCCAGGCTCGCCTCGCTGCCTCTCAAGATTGTTTCGCGCAACAACTTCCCCACTGCCGCCGGCCTTGCCTCGTCCGCCGCTGGTTTCGCTGCCTTTGTTCGTGCCATTGCCAACCTGTACGAGCTAAAGTCAACACCCACCGAGTTGAGTCGCATCGCAAGACAGGGTTCTGGCTCAGCATGCCGCAGTCTGTTCGGAGGTTACGTCGCATGGCAGATGGGCGACAAGAAGGACGGAAGCGACAGTGTAGCCGTCGAGGTTGCTCCTGCAGAACACTGGTCCGACATGCGCGCTGTCATTCTCGTTGCATCTGCCGAGAAGAAGGACGTCAGCAGCACTTCCGGCATGCAACAGACTGTCGCAACCTCGACTCTCTTCGCCGAGCGTATCGCAAACACCGTGCCCCGCCGCATGCAAGAGATGGAGAAGGCAATCGCAGACAAGGACTTTGCTGCGTTCGCCAGCCTCACCATGAAGGACAGCAACTCGTTCCACGCTACCTGCCTCGACACCGAGCCCCCAATCTTCTACATGAACGACACTTCTCGCGCCGCCATCCGCATGGTCGACATGATCAACTCCGAAGCCGGAAAGACTATTGCTGCATACACCTTTGACGCCGGCCCGAATGCTGTCGTCTACTACCAGGCCCACGACGAAGCCAAGGTCGCCGGTGTCTTCAAGTCCGTCTTGGGCGACAAGGAAGGCTGGGAGGGTGCTCGCGGCAAGTCTGTCGAGGCTGCCAACACTCCCAAGGACTCGCAAATCGCTGCTGACCGCTTGAAGGAGGGCATCAGCAGAGTCATCCTTACCTCTGTCGGTCCCGGTCCCATCAAGACCGAGGAGAGCCTGATCGATGAGAACGGCAACACCGTCTGAGATGCTCTTCTTCTTCCGCTTCTCCATCATGATTTGATAGACATAATTTTTTATAATCACGCATCTTCGCAAGAGCTGCAGGCCGTCAAGCGAGACGCAAGAGATACCATTTGTTTTGAGCCCAAACCTGTTTTTTCGCCTCTCTGAGCCAGTGTGAGCAGAGCAAGAACTGCTCTCTTGCTTATCATCTGACAACAAGCTTAACTGCCCACCATGATTCTGCAATAAATTCCAGTGCCTGCGAAGCGGGTAGTGACACCCCATCCTGCCGTGCATGTGGGGATGACTACCGACCGCTAGTACCTGCCGCCCTCACTTTGATTGGCACATCTGCATCCTTCAGGCACCCACCGATATCATGAATCCCCAGCTGTAATCCATATTCAGTGATTAGCACCAAGTCTTTACATCTACTCAAAGCAAACATGTCTGATTCCGACCATGAACCTCCTCCAGCCCCAATACGCAATAGGACCAAACCACAACGGACGCTCGCTTGCGCATCATGTCAACAGCGCAAAGTAAGATGCGACCGTAAATTCCCGTGCAACACTTGTGTCAAGGGAGGTATACAATGTATACCGGTAGCTGCTCCTCGACAGCGACGACGACGCTTCCCTGAAGCAGAGTTGTTGCAACGACTCAGACATTTAGAAGACTTGCTCCGACAACACGGTATAGACTTTGAGCCTTTGCATGGAAGTCTCGCTGAGAAGAATTCTGTTTTAAGGAATGAAAAGGAGAATGACAAAAATGGCAAGGAGGGCAGTCCGGAGATCAAGACTGAGACCACGTTTGAGGCAAGGTGTGTTCCGCTTTTGTTGTACTGGANNCACTGCTTGACTGAGAGTGTATGCTGACCAGACCGCCGTGTTCCCAGAAATCTCTGGCAAGCCATGAATCAAAAAGTACGACTCAAAGGCAACCTCTCACTGATGGAAGAATATCTAATCACCGACAACCAGTCTCCCAACCCCAACGACTCTGAAGAAGAAGACGACAATGATAGCGACAATGTCACTAATGATCTCCGCGATGTAGCTGCCAAAACAACTTGGGATCAGATGTACAAGAACAGTACCGATTTCTTGCTCTTTGGCTCTTTGATTGCAGATGTGGATCTCACTATTGTACATCCTCCTGATCATGTGCAGATACTCAAACTCTGGCAGATCTATCTCGAGAATGTGGATCCATTGCTCAAGATCACGCACACGCCTACTCTGCAAGTGCGATTGATAAATGCGACTGGAGATCTGGGAAACGTGGACTCGAAGTTGGAGGCATTGATGTTTGGCGTATATTGTGTTGCCATCATGAGTCTTTCCAAAGCGGAGTGTCTGATCATGTTTGGATGTGAGAGAGAAATTCTCTTGCAGAGGTATCGATTTGGTTGTCAGCAGGCACTGCTCAAGTGTGGGTTTCTCCAGTCTGATGACCGTGATTGTCTGACGGCGTTGTTTTTGTATCTGGTAAGACATACTGCAGGCTTCTATGCTTGCTCAACCGCTAAACCTGTTTAGGTTGCCGTGAGACCGGATACCGATCCTCGATCTCTATCGTCTTTGTTGGGGCTCACTGTACGTATCGCACAACGCATGGGCCTGGACAATGAATCGTCGAATGCAAAGTGCGGTCCGCTGGAGGGCGAGATGCGTCGCAGGCTATGGTGGGCTCTCCTGCTCTTCGACAACCGCGTCTGCGAGATGGGAGACTACAGAGCAGTCACTCTCTCTCCATCATGGAACTGCAAGATCCCTGCAAATCTCAACGACAATGACCTTCAGCCCGCGATGAAAGCGATGCCAAAGAGCCACGACAGACCGACGGAAACGACAATGGCCATCCTGCGCTATGAGGTCGCAGATCTTGTTCGCCACAGTCCTTTTTTCCTCGACTTCACTAGACCGGCACTGAAGTCCATTGCTGCACCAAACGATCATGGCGGCACTCTAGAAGCTCTCCAACAAAAAATTGAAGACAAATATCTATGTCACTTGAACCCAGAAAACCCACACCATTTCATGACCCTCTGGCTCACACGAGGTCATGTGGCTCGGTACCTGCTCTTCCAACACTTTTCCATCTCACCAGAGACCCAAACACAACAACAACGCGATTCTGCAGTCACCTATGCATTGACCATGCTCGATTGCGACACCAAAATCCTGACTCACCCATCCACAAAACGACATACATGGTTCCTCTACTTTCACTTCCCCTTTCCTGCATACATACACATCTTACAATATCTTAAACGCGAGCCTTTGGCTCAACATACGCAAACTTGTTGGAAGACTATGAGCAACAGTTGTAGAGTCAGGTTTGCGGACCCCGAGCAAGATGGTCATCCTTTCCACAAGACTCCCATCTTTAGGGTGTTTTTGAGATATATCGTCAAGGCTTGGGAGGCTAGACTTGCAGCTACAAGAAAACAAGGAAGGAAGGATGAAGAAACGCCATTTATCGTTGAAGAGTTTCAGAGGAGAATGCAAGCGGCGAATGAGGATACCAGAGGTGATGCAGCCATGTCTTTTGAAGCTGACGACCCAACGATGCCGTTTCCTACGATGGGGATGGGGGATTCTTGGGACGAGACTAGTGGGCAAGGTGTCATGGATGTTGCAGATGGGTTCTCCAGCGATAGTCTAGCGGATGTTGATATGGGTGCTCTTGATTTGACTGGAGTAGATTGGCCGCTGCTGAACATTCCAGGTTCATGAGTATCCTGGACAACACACCGTAGCATTACAGCCTTTAGATGCATGATTATCAGCCACTCTGAGGCAGAACGAGCATGACATCACACAGCATCCATAGTGGCTGCCTAATCAAGCCATGGGTGCCTTCCATAGAAACACACCAACTGCACCCCTTCAACAAGCGACCAACAAATCTAAACTCCACTCCATCCTTGCAATCACAGCATCCAACCTCCACCAAAAACATGCAAACCCCTCAATCTCTTCCCCAAACCGACCCAGCAATACCCTCTTTTCTCCAACCCAAAACCCCCACAAACCCCGTCACAATACTCGACTCCATAAACATCCAAATCTCCACCATCTACTCGACAGCCAAAGCACACCCTCATGATGAATCACCTCCTCATCTAGACCAATCCACCTACCTAGACATCTACAACACAACCCACAATTTCTGCCTCGCGATAAAAGCCAAAGACACTGCAGGCCACGGAAACCTTTTCTACCGCAATCTAGCCTCTGGAATCCGAGTCTACTGCGCCAGCACCCGCGACTGCATCTTCAGTGTCAGCAGCAATACCAGCGATGAAAAAGCTTCTCGGCAAGTTTTGGTATCGTACATGTCTGCCTATCGCAAGTTCGCCGCACTGGCAAAATTGGTGGGCAATCTGTTGCAAAGCTGGGAACGCCATTGGTTGCATAGGCAANAAGACGAGAAAAAGATTTCCGTGGCTTCGATTGAGGAAATGCACAAAATTGTGTGGAGAGAAGAGGTATTGGGGATTGGTGCAAAGGGTGCGAAGGACAAAAAGTGGTTCGAAGAATTGGCTGATGCGGTTGCGGTTTTGAGAGATACAGAGGCGGGGATGACGGAGTTTGATTTGTTGCTTGCGAGGGATTTAGTTAGGAGTTTGTCTTCGATGGGGCTTACATTGGATAGTTGAGGTTTGAAATCTGGAATTGTGGTCTGTATATTGTTTCTAGAGTGTATCTGGCTTCGATAGCTGAAAGCCGCTAAGCTTGACAATGCAAAACAAGGATTTTACAATTGGTAAATTGGATCCCCAAAATGAATATAGATTGAACTCTTTTGTCCTCTAGATATGTATCCTCGGCAATCCAAACCAGCCCAAATTTCGTAATCGCTGAATTATCGACAGCCACAGAAGAAAATGCTAGGCTGTGCAATCATTGTGGAGTGCAAAAAGACAGACTATCATGAGTAGGATTTGGATCCACGACCTCCTGAGATGTCGAACTGTCGCTGCGATTGCACAGCGCAAGCAAGATGTGGCGGGATGAGGTTATTCTCACGAGATTCAAAGCTTCGAAAGGCGGGAAGGCTCTGCCGTGACTTGAAACGTGACCAGCACGCTTTACCTTGATAAATCTTGCCAGTGAGTTCGGAAATATTGTTCGATCTGCGGTGAGTCCAACCAGAGCACGTCTTTCATGTGGGCAAGGATTTCATCCCATCGATTCACCTGTAAGGATGCAGCGACAGCTCGCGCTCTTTCCAAAAGCATGTCATGATGCGCAGTCCCGGTCGAAGCCGCCATGCCAGTCGCAAGAAGCCACAGCCACATTGTACCAGGTGCTGAAGCATGTGTTTCCAATATCTTCAATGAAGTCTCGAACCGTGTAAGAATTTGATCCAGCAAGAATGTGTGCGGATAGTATGTTGTTCCATGGATGACAAACATATACAGGATGATGCCGTAGCGTATGCAATCAGTGATCGGATAGCTTGTTAGATCAGAAGGTGGACCTAAGAGCCGGTGTATCACAAAACATGTGAGGTCGTGGATTTGCGTGGTGGAGAGGGAGCTATGCTGTGCTTCTTCGAATATGTTGCGGAGACGAGTGAACACGTTCGAAACCGCTGCATCGGCTATTAGAGCCTTGAGGGTCGGTGTGTCAGGTTGAATGACAGGCGGGTTGAGATGCCACTCTCGGATAGAAGGTACGCCGCATCCAGAGCCAAAGTCATCCTGGGTCTCGAATTGAGGATAGCCTGTGAGAAGCATCGACACNCCTTCGAGACTTGTAAGAAACATACTTCAGACATACACAAATTCAACTTACCAGCTTACCATTCGCGCAGTCAGTGGGCTGGTCTGCCTCACACCGCGAATACCGCCTCTCGTATCAACCATCCTCTTTACACCCTCAACATGCATCCGACTGAGCATGATATTGCCTTTTCCAAACTGATGGTGTCGTGGAGATCAGTCATGTGAAGAAAACGGAAGAGTTCTAGGTGAGCATACCTCGATGGCCGCCAAGGTGATGACGGAGTTCAATGTTCCATCCTGTACAGCAAGTGTTTGGTCTCCAATCTTTCGTCGCAGTAAAGCAACAGAATCAGCCATAAGAAGTTCAGAGGTCTGAAATCCTTTTTGGGCCAGCAGCTCTTCATCGAGACACGCCGTTTGCAGCGATACGTGAAACAATGCTGGGTCTCCTAGAGCAAGTGGCCACCAAGAGATGAGAAACGGATTCGAGGCTGCATTCAGATCAAGAGGGTAGTATTGGAAAGCAATTTTAGTAAGGACTNNGGATTGGTCAGCAGCACTCAATACATCCACCTTGCAGAGAAGGAGCGTACAAGTATGAATGAGGCGTTGAGTATGTTCTTGAGGTAGTCTGGTAGGCGGATGCGAATCAAACGGATCCACAGAACCAGATTCACACATCTCGAAAGATCTCAGTGGTATTGATAGTTGCCGACATTGACGCTCCGCGACCGACAACGTCGCCGTCAAAGGCTCATTGGCATAAATGCATTGTACGTTGCGTTTCGTGCATCGAAAGCAACGCGGCGTGCGAAGGTCGCATTTACTCTTTGACTTGGCACAGGCGCCACAAGACCGGCGAAGAGTTTGTCGCATATCGGGTAAGAAAGGAGTGTTGATGGTATGGGTCTTCGAAGCGAGTTCATAACATGGTCAAACATCAGACGATTGAGGACAAGACTAGGGCAAGAGCGAAACCATTCTCATCACGAATCCCGATACTGAAGCGCCCGAATAGCCGCGAATCATGAGACTTACGTGCCTGCTAATCTCCATTGCTTTTGAAATGGGCGACAGAATCGAAGCGACAAGGTGGAGGAAGGAAGACTGACCTAAATAGGACTAGACTCCGAAGACTGCTCAGGAGACTAGTCTCGATCGGGTCACTGTACATTCATGCATTCTATCTCAATTTCTCGATGCTTCAAAGATGATTGCATCCCGAGGGGAGGACGATGTTACGTGTCAGTCTCCATGGAGGGGAAATTGCGGTGTTGAGAGGTCGCGATGCCCGTGGAGTACATATAACAGGCAGGTGTGCCTTCCTCTTCACTTCAACATCTTGTTCCATCCATCGTGACAAACATGTCAACGTCAACCTCCAGTTTGAGTCTTGCAATGAGCAGCAACACAACCAGCGTTCACCCAGAAGAACTACAGCTGTGGCTTCCCCAAAGTGTTTTCCGATCCATTCTTGCCGACCGGTCCACTTGGCAGTATATCGTAACAATCCTCGTCGGTTTAGTGGTTTATGATCAAGGTGAGTAGTACTATCAGCTCAGAAGAAGCCCAATTGACACTCAATCCANNGTGATGTACATCAGAAGAAAGGGCTCCATCGCAGGTCCATCGTTCAAGATTCCGCTCATGGGCCCGTTCCTTCAGGCATTGGATCCAAAGTTCGACTCTTATCTCAGACAGTGGGCGAGCGGACCTCTTAGTTGTGTCTCGGTCTTTCATAAGTATGTTCTCTCCATGTCTGTTGTTCAATGGCTCTTACTTATAACGCACACGCAGANNTTCGTTGTCCTCGCATCCGATCGAGACCTGGCCCACAAGGTGTTCAAGTCGCCCGCGTACGCCGAACCCTGCATAGTCCCTGTCGCAAAGGACATCATCGGCCACAAAGCATGGGTATTCCTCCAAGGTCGTGATCACGCCGAGTACAGGAGAGGTTTGACTCCTCTCTTCACCAACCGAGCCATGGCGACATATCTCCGAGTCCAAGAAAAAGTGTTGGCTGACTACTTCGAAAAGTTTGTGGCTGCCAGTGAGGCGAATGGGAATAAGCCACTGCCATTCATGACCTTGTTCCGGGAGATCAACTGCGCATTGTCGTGTCGTACATTCTTCGGCGATTACATTTCTCAGGATGCGGTCAAAAAGATTGCAGACGACTATTACCTGTGCACTGCCGCACTGGAGCTAGTCAATGTTCCATTCTCGATATATATCCCAGGGACAAAAGTGTGGCGAGGTAAGCGGACGGCTGATGCAGTCCATGCTGAGTTCGCCAGATGTGCAGCTGCATGCAAAGCAAATATGGCGAGTGGCGCAGAGCCCACCTGCACAGTCGACCAATGGGTGCTTCACATGATGGAATCTAATCGTTACCGCGAACAGGTTGCTGCAGGAGAGACCGAGGCGGAAAGACCTTCGAACCTGATCCGCGAGTTCACCAACGAAGAGATTGGCGAGACGCTGTTTACCTTCCTCTTCGCTTCTCAAGACGCATCCAGCAGCGCAACAACATGGCTATTTCAAATCCTCGCTCAACGGCCTGACGTCCTCGACAGATTGCGACAAGAGAATCTGGATGCACGAGGCGGAGACAGGAACAAACCATTTGATCAACCCATGCTAGAGTCTTTGACCTATACCAATGCTGTCATCAAAGAGCTGCTTCGCCATAGACCACCCGTCATCTTCGTCCCGTACTTGGCTACCAGAGACTTTCCGATGACATCGAGCTATACTGTTCCAAAAGGTTCTATGATAATACCATCATGCTATCCGGCTTTGCATGATCCTCTGGTCTATCCACGCCCAGATGTCTTTGACCCTGATCGCTGGATAACTGGCGACGCCGAGTCTAAGACCAAGAACTGGCTTGTCTTTGGAGCCGGACCGCATGACTGTCTTGCAAGGAGGTACGTACCATTGTCGATGGCAGGCATGATTGGTAAAGCAGCCATGGAGCTTGACTGGAAGCACCATGAGACGGAACTTTCGGAGGAGATCAAAGTGTTTGCTACGCTTTTTCCCATGGTAAGTGCTTAAGGTCGGTCAGTCAGAGCCAGTGTTGCTTGTTACTGACTGTTGCAGGATGAGTGCCCTTTGGTCTTTACTAGGCGCCCTTAGTGCCGGAAGAGATGTGAAAGTAACTTGTAGGGTTTGAAGGACCACACGAGGAAACTCGGGGGCAGCAACCGTAAAACCTGGACAGAGTTGCTCATGTGGCGAGGTGAAGAGAGAAAATAAGCCTGGTTTAATCTCAATCGAGCGAGCTATTGAGAGCGGCTGCGAGTCTCCTTTGTTCTGCCTCGGCCAATCGATCAACATCAAGCCTCTTGATGCCATCCCCCAGACTCTCAATCTCGTGATCTAGATGCTCCAGTCTCTGCTTGACTTTACTGTCCGTAAGGTGCACATTGGCGTAAGGAGAATAAGCATACAATGCTCCCATTAGAGTTTGCAACTCCCCATCGGCCATGTTGATAGATTCGGCCACCTGAGCAGCCACAGAGAGTTCCGTAGCCATTTGCAAATCCTGCAAGCGTGATTGACGTTCAAGCACTGCTATCCTCAAAGCTTGAGACACAGCCTCGGGGTCTGCTGTAGTCTCGGTGGGGATGCGTATACCGTGATGACCAAGTATTTCCAGAACAGGATCTTTGGCTCCTTGACGGTGCAAGATGGGATTCGTAAGCTTCTTGGGTGAGGCGCTTCTGGCTGATGGCTTTCTATTGAGTCTAGGCTGTGGTTGAATCTGTGGCGGAAGTGTTTCGGTGAGTGCATCTGAGACTCGCGTGATCGTAGAGTTGTAGGCCAGCGCGTCTTGAGTACAGGAGGCTAGATTATCGGTCTTTTGGGCGAGCTCGTCTAGCGTTCTCACGACNCTGGCGATGTTATTAGCTAAAAGTTCGAGCCTTGAAGGGTCAATGCGAGGACATACATATTCGAGCCAGCTCTGTTGTTCGAGCTGAGCTTGTGCGTCGCAGAGTTTCAGAGCATTGACGATGGGTGCTCGGTAGCGTCTGCTGATGGTCATGTCGAGGACTGAATCTACTTCTGTAACCAAGCTCTCCAGTTCTTGAGCCAGCGCATATGCCTCAATCGCGGCTTGTCCATTTGTTTCATGCTCGAGACCGTCAGTCTCATTGGCTAGACTATCGAGGGCCTCGACATAGGTGGAGTTTGTCCTGTCTTTAATAATTTTGGCTTCCAGCTTGACCAAAGCGCGCGACAGGGTATTGAAATCAGGAAGTCGCTTTTCGCACGATTCTAATGGAGCGAGTTTGAACATGACTTTTTGTAATCCATCAAGCAGGCGATCGTCTTTGTCTAGCTGGCGTTGCGAGGATGTTTTGAGCATGTCCAGACTCGATTCTGCATGTCTCCTAGTCACGCTAACGCGTTGCCGGACGGACTCGGTAAGTTCGTTTGTTTCTAGATCCAGTTGGGCTTTTGTTCGTGCTTGAGTTGATCGTTTTTCGTCGGTGTTGGACATGGCTGATGTGGGTCCTCTATTGAGTGTCTGAAGCTTTTGCAAGGCATCTCGTTGGGCTTCCAGAATGGCTGTTTGCTTCTCTATCGCTGCAGTGCTGATCTCCAAAGAATCGATGGCAGATTCAAGATCAGGTTCTTGCATAGGCCGTGGCAGTCCTTCTGCAGAAGGAGACTTGAAGTTAGATTGAGAGATGTATGCATGCNNCTTTGATACATCAGTCCAAGCCGGGTACCTTTCTTTGTACAAAACATACATGTCAAGTTCCTCTGGGCTAAGAAGAGTTACAGACGATAGATATTCATGGACCCAGGAGATCATGGAATCCCTGGTCTGAGGAGAGTCGAACAGCCATGCCAAGTCATCATAGCCCAGACCAATGTCACGTTCTGTCAAGACTGCAAGCAAACGATTGAGAGAAGCGGCAGAGTCCATGAGTTCGTTCTGAGTTTACGGTATACTGGCATGTCGGGATAAGAGGCATCGAGAAACAACAAAACACGGGCCGAGGCAGCCAAAGAGCCCCACCATCTCGTCGTGCCAAGGCCAGAGCTTCTTGTGCCTTCCAGATTCGAAGTGGCAGACGAGCAAGAAGAAAGCGTTCGCCTGGACAACACGCACGATGCAGTCTCTACGACTCTTTCCAAGGCTACCGACCTCCCGCGTTGGCCTGCGGGCAATTCAAGCCTGCACCCAACTCCGCACAGCAACAAGCTCATCCACATCCTCGGCCTCTGGACCTGCGCGAAGGAGCGTTACCATCGCCAACGACACTGGCCGCGTGCCCTGGTCCGAACTATCATGGCGCGAAAGAGGTGCCCGTACAACACAACAGTCAGCAAACCTCGCCGTCGTCATTCTGGGTCTCGTCATGACTGGGGGCGTCGCGACCGTCCTCTACCTTGAAGTCTTCAGCAGCGACAGCAAGACGGCCGTCTACAACCGCGCCTTCGAACGCATACGAACCGATCCCAAGTGCATTGAAGTGTTGGCAGGAAGAGGCAAGGGCGGCGAGATTGAGGCCTGGGGAGAGAACAGAGTGCGCAACAGTCGCTTTGCAAGGGACACCATCTCGTAAGCCTTCTCGCCAGTCGGCCAAGTTCAAACAACCCAACTGACATGCGTGCATAGATCCAAATCTGAAACTGACCGTATCGGAACAACACATATGCGCATGCACTTCCATGTTGGAGGCAGTCTCGCTACAGGCACCGTCAACGTCCACATGACAAAACGCCGTGATGACAGCGATTTCCACTATCACCATCTGGCCCTCGACGTTCCCGGCCACGAGCGGATTTGGCTTGAGAATGCAGAAGCCTGGAAGCTTGACAAGAGGAGCTCGGGCAAGATGTTTGGCGTGCGCTGGTGGTGAGTTCGTCGCCTGTTCCTCGCTCAGTATTACCGCCTTGGTCGTCGTCGTCTCCAATAACCTGGTTGTCGAGACTACATGGAGCTGAAGCGGATACTCGATGTGCATGTCAGCGACTTTGTCCGCCGATCGCAGCATAGAGAGCAGAGAAGGATGGCCATCGAGCCGCTTAGCCTACGTCCATGCACAAGATCGAGAGGCACACCTCCCCGAATATATCTTGGCGTGTGGTATGCGCTTGTACAGGGCAACGCGCCCTGACCGGTTCCGCGAACAGGGCAGCAGCCACTTACTGCGTGGTTGCGTTATCTTTGGGGGGAGGTTTGACTCGGTCAATGCATGCGAACTGCTCCCTCGATACACTCACGCAAGTGGCGTGCCATCTTGTTGTCGATGCTCTGATGCAAGTAATCGTATGGCTTGCCAAAGGCGAGCTGAAAGAAGGATTTAGTGTCGGGGTCCGGCGTGCGGGAGCGCGATATGGCGTACGTGCCCCTCCGGGGGGAAGAGGCTCTTTGCGAGCTCGAGCAAAGACGCATGTCTGTCAGTTCCTTGCATGCCCCGTACAGAAGTCTTTGACACCAGAGGCTTGAGAAGTGAATTGGTACCTACTCCTTCCATACATATCGACGATCGAAGTCAAGACGCACGTAGTATTGTACCCAGTAAAGGGTATATCGAAGTTTATAGAGCAAACAACCAAAGCGGATGTTGCTTTGTACATTCCCAAAAAGAAAAGGCCAGAGCCCTGTCGATTCTCCATCTCCCCTATTGCAACTCTGACCCTCCCAAAAAGTGCCGAGGCCAGCGGCAAGCTTTGTCCTGTCTCCATGCACAACATGAACCTACTCCGACACCAAACTTCCCTTATCTCCTTTAGGGATGTCTCGGTTGGAATGAAGAGGTTCGCATGCTAACCTTTCAAGATCAAGGTAAAAAGACTCGAACTTCGTCGCTTGGACAAAGCTTTTTCCGATCATCGATTGGGCACATGCAAAGAAAAAAAGCCACACTTCTCCTGAAAAGATGTCACTTTACCTAGACAAGGAAAACTCCACAACCCTTGATGCCTTTTTGGGGGAACCCTTGCTTCGAGAAGGAGTTTCCGTGAACGCGTGGGAGTTCCATGGAGCCTTTGATGGACGGAGAAAACCTTTCGAAGGGATGGAGTGAGCAAGGTCTTTGCGAGCAAAAGGCATATCTGTGGTTTACCGTGTTCTACTTCTGCGATTAAGACAACGCAAGTGAGGTTGGTCCTCAACCACCATACCCTTCCTTATACAAGGGGGCTGGCTAGATATTCGCAAACTTCCTTCTTGTTATCACGTGCACTCGCATTCCCTCTCTCTTACACCAAACCCCGTGACTTTTGCTCCGTCAACGCGTAAACCATCGCCAATCGCCCAATATGATCAAACCAGATTAAATGATATCTTATCAGCGAGAAACCCGCAAACCGCTCTCCCCCCATCTCGCTTGACCCAAAAGTCTCCACAAAGAAAACAGAAGTCTCTCCTGTTGAGTAGGGGAGAGAGAAGGAGAGAGCAGAAACGGTTTTCTTTTTGGGTACAGTTATACCGTTCGCACCCGTCTGCCCGTTTCGTGTTTAAAAAATCCCATGAGAGGGGGGGCAAAGGACCGTTTGCTTTGTTTGGATTTTCCTTTGGTGTTGTTGTTGTTCAAGCAAAACAAATAATTAAACCAGTAGAAAAACAGTTGGTCACACAAGATGAGAGAAAACAATGAGAAGAATTCGGTCTTTGTGTGGGAAAAAAATGAGTGTTTTGAATGTTGATGTATCAAGAGAAATATTCCTTCATAGCTTTATCTGGATGGGAAAAAGAAAAGGCCAGCGATAGGCGAGTCTCTGTATCATACATAAGAAAAACACAAGTGGAAAGAAAGAATAAAATGCCCCTTTGAAAACGCCATCGTGAATGGGTCGTGAAAGTTGTACATCATACCTCGGAATGCATCTTGCAGCATGAGGATTTTGAATTCGTAGCATGAGAGAGTATCTCTTTTGTATGAACGAATGGCATTGTGGTATGCCTCGGCGTGCCTTCGAGCTTTGTGCTCGGGCGCCTTTTCATAGTTCGTAGAGATCATGATCGAAAAGGGTGCGGCTTTGGGAAAAGCCTGATGGTTTGAGGAGGTAGTGGGTGCTCTGCCTGTGGCCAAGAAGGCTTCGGCAAAAGCTATTGGCTGATTGTTCAAGGCGAGCCCAAGAAACCAGAGTGAGCGCAGTTCTCGCAGGCATCGCCGCTGGAGCTGCCAGAGAGGACGTAGCCGTTGCAGTTGCGGGCGTAGAAGTAATAGCAGCGGTTGAAGCTCAAGTCGGGCATCATACCGGGAGTGATGGGCATTGCGGGAATGTCCTCCTTGTCGTCCTCGACGGTGCGGAAGAGAGTGCCCCAGCGATGCTGGTTGTGGTTGCTGGTGCTGCCCTTGCGGGACGAAGGACGAGAGGGCACCGGAGGAGCACTGGCGTTGATCTTCTTGGAGGCAGCCTTGAGGTGAGTGAGGGAGAGGGCTGAAGGACGTCTGCTGCTGGTGGCAGAGATGGTTCCGTTGGTCTTGACTTGGCACAGGCTGTAGTCTCCCATGACCGAGTCGGTACGAGAGTCACGGGTCACACTGTAACCACTCTTGGGTGATGCCAAAGGGAGGTCATCCTCAGAGTGTCTGTTCAAGAGACTGCGGAAGCTGTAGCCACGGTGTTGACGCGGCCTTGAGACCTGCTGAAGAACAACAGTGTTCTCCTTGCCAGACTCATCCGAGTCGAACGAAGGTGATCTTTGGAGACGGAAGGGAAGAGGAGGAAGAGACTTGTCCTGTCTACAGGACATGGCAGTGCTCGGTCGGCTCACGGGTCCTGATGAAGCCATGGACTCTGATGATGAGCAGTTGCGGAGAGCGGGAAGAGCTGCTGGTGATGGGAGAGGAGGAAGAGCACGTCTGGCATAGATGTTTGCATTGGCAGGAGCCTCGAAAGGAGTGGTAGGGCGGTCGTGGAATGCATCGAGGCGGCGAAGATTGCTCTTCTTGACCGGCGACACCGAGCAGTCGTCGGGCTGAAAGTCGAAATAGCTCATAACGGCAGCTGGGGGTTGTTGGAGAGAGGATGTGCGAGGATGCATGGTGGCAGCCAGGGTTAAATGAGGGTCAGGTTGGAAGTTGCAATTCGCAATGGATGTGGATGATGATATATTGATAAGGGAAACGAGTGGCTGGCTTGGTATCGTGTCGATCTAATGTGGCGGAAGGATTGTAAGGAAGGAAAAGCCGTGGTGATGATTCGGATATTAGAATGCAGAGAGCGAAGCCTCAAGTATCTATACAGAATGCGTCTCACAACGAGACACCGCAACTTAGCTCTGACATCTATCTTGTTTGCCGTTGACCGTTCACACTGGCATACCTGCAGCACCGGCGAGCTTAGACTTTCGAGGGGGTCTGGATGTTAGATCTTTGGCACGCAAAGATCACCCCCTGGGATCCTGGTGTCAAGAAGACGTTGACGCTTGATGGCGACTGAATTGCGAGCTTGACAGCACCCGCGAACGGCACTCGTGGCCCGCTCCGTCCGCGCCTTTCCTCTTTCGGCACCAGAATCCTGGCAGTCCCGGTTCGCTCCCGCACCGGCGGCGCGCTAAAAGCGGTCGCTATCCGCAGGGCTTACAGCCCCTGGAACCACTTTAGAGTTCTGGGCTTTGTGGCCCTCTCCACAAGCGCCCGTTTCTCACTCTTTCCCGCGTCCAAAGGCCTCCTGCTCCCTCCTGGAGACCTTCTTTCCTCCACTGTTCCGTCGCCTATTGAGCGTTGTGGTCGCTTCCTGTTTGCCAGAGGCAGCGCTTCCGATGACTCGATTCGCTCCGAGTGCCGTGACCAGACCGACTGGCCATCTGGTGACTCGCGAAATGATGACCGTCCCCCACAATCTTAGAGTCGGGCACTATTGATGCTCGTCACGAACGTGTCTCTGTCTGACGCACACAGAACAACAGAGCTGAAGTGACTGACATCATCTGTAGTATGAGCATCTATTCGTGGTAATAGGGATTCACTTGGGTGTGTGTTCAATTCAATCTATCTCAACCCAGCTACCACGCTCCTGGAGGCATTGCCAAACTCCCGAGGTCTGGTCTTGCCAATGCAGACCCCTCCTTTTGCGGGCCGAGTGGGACACCTGCTTGTTCTTTGGGGAGTGTGTATGCAAAGACCACATGCAGGGAGGACTTTAGGGTCCTTGTTGTGCAAACGTCTTTTCGACTGATTTGTCCAAACAGGGAGGTACAAATACATCTTCCCTCACCAAAACGAGTCTTTTCCATCTCGCGATCGTCAATCATTCTTTCTACATCCACAACCACGATCGTGGATCGAAGGCCATCAGAAGCCTCGGAGTGCTTTTGCAGCCGTTGTCCAAAAATGTCAGCACAAGGCGAGTGCGCTCGAGCGTTTCTTCTGGCATCAACTCCGTACACGTCTGTGCAGCAAAGCAAACGGTATGCCTCTCATGTGTCATGGGGAGATTTGCACCGCCTGTGCATACTTGCTCACACAACAACCGCCTCTATCTTAGTTTCCTCGTATACAGTTCTCTTGTCGATAAGAATCACAAATCAATCCTATCAGCGTGATAGCACTAAGGATAATCTTCTTGTGATAGACCAAAAACATCCATTGGAACCGTTTTGTTCATCTTGTTGCTGTGCACAACCAACCAAGCCAGAGAAATCTTCCTTCGTGAATGATGAAAGGTCTTGAGGAGTCTCGATCTGTTCTTGCTCATGGTTGCCAGGGCCTTGTCCCAATTGACCGCAAACCGGAATAATGAACAGAGATCCTTTCTGGTTATGCACACTGATTCATGAGTGTCTAATGGGGAAGGTCAAGATGTACCTACCAGATGTAGATATATACATTCCATCTTTGGTGTCTGGAGAGATGTAACGATTCGGGCTGCGCTCGCATAGACATGTAGCCTTTTGTTGATACATGCCATATCCAAAAACGGAGCAAGCCCAGGCCGGAGGGGTCCACGAGTGTGTCTGCATGATCACCATACGGGTGCATTAGCCTGCATGGGCAGTGCACGATTAATTCTCCGAAAGCAAGTTTCATGTTTTGAGCCCTCGCGCACCCGTTGTACACATCTCAATCTTGCACATTGTTTGTTATACGGAGCAAAGCACATACAGCACAAATCTCCCCTGACAGCGTTCGTCGCGCCTCGGGAATCGGAAAAGCCCCACTGGAAAGCATCGCGTCTCTAGTGTTAGTCTGAGCCTGTTCAGGAGGTCGTTCGTAGTGGGCTCTGCACATCGCTTGCGGGAGCGTTGCTGGAAACAATTACAACTTTATCAACATAGCACAACGAATATCATATCATGCTTTACGGTGTAACCACTGCCAAACATATCTGAGTTTAGAAACGAGCCAGCTGAAATGCATCCTACACGATGAAAACTTCGTCATGATCCTCATTGAATGACGGACATTATCGACACTGAAGATACACATTGATATAGTAGGGCGACCAAGGTGACCCGAGCAGCTGGTCCAGCTGAAATCCTACTCGGAGCCTCCCCCACTCCACCAACGCCTGACCATGATGTAAGAGCCGTCAGAAGATCATCCAACTCATAATCACCTAGAGATTGGAGTGTCCGGGCATAAGCAGTTCGATGCAATTGCCCAGCATGACGGATGCCTCATGGAGCAGTTCCCACCGGGTCTTGCTGAAAATCTCTTTCAGAAGCATCAACATGCCCAACATCCCATTGCGGTGTTTGACGTGCTGCAGATCATCGGCCGATCTGACCCCGCCAACACGGCGAAGGAAGCCGCGCAAGTCTCTGAATTGTATCTCATGCGTCCTGAGGGTGTATGTAGGGAGCGGCGGTGCTATAGGCCCGTCCAAGCAAAAACCGTAGGTCCATACAACCAAGGCAGCAAAGTAGAGCACCCAAGGCCGGTTGAGCGAATTGTCGTCACGAGCTGAGTATGCCAACCCTTGTCCACTAGAGCGTATCCCCGAGGAACCGTCGCCCTCTGGCAGCAGTACCGCCGACAAGAAGCGCAATGCATAGAACACCGCATCACGAGCCCCATGTGATGGTGCCCAAGTCTCCCTCAACTTTTTCGAAGCCGCCGCATGATCATTGGCCGTGATCACGCGTCCTAACGAGCGTTTTGCTCCAGCAAGAATCTGGCAGTCAACAATGTCCACGTACATGGCCATCCGTGCCAGGTGGTGGAGCACAGTGCGGGATTCGAATACCTTCTCCTTATCCATAACGTCGCTGAGCATCCGGTCTTGCAAGTATACCGGTATGTTGGATGATGACTGAGCCAAGGAGAGATCAAAATCACGCCTCCAAAAATCGCAGGCAGAAGCCAGCTGATCACTCCAACTGCCTTGCTTTCCAACTCCGATCGAACTTGCTCTCACATCTTGCATTCTCATATGCCAGCTGACCGACATCAGGCCTGCCATGATGGTAACCCGGCCAAAGGTGTTGGTTTGTACGTGCTGACTGTTTAATGTTTTCTTCAACGCTTCGAGGAAGCTCATCGGTCTATAGCCACTAACTGTAAGGCTGTGCTCGTGACTTCGTACCTCAGCTCCACTGGGAGCAGCCCAGAGAGCCTCATCACATGGTAGGGGTATTCTCATCTCATGGGCGACCATGACCGCTTCGTGACCAAACATAGTCGCATGAGTCGTGTCAATGATGAACGCTGCGAAAGCTGTTCGACGTGTAGCCTCGTTGCTGATCCAATTGTTCCACCATTCGTCCTTGGTATTACGGCCACAGGTGTTTACGCTGCCATTTGGACCGGGAGGAGTCCTAGTTGGATCGATATCATAAGGCGCGAAATCGAGAGCAGCTCGACCCATCAATGAGCTTCCGCGCCTCATCAGGGTGAGTGTGGTACAATGGTGCACATGTGCCCTCTGGTGTAAGGTTGTAGTCGAAAACATCTTCTCGAAAACCTCCAATAGCAATAACGCCTGAAATATCCAAAGCTTGGCTGGTGGGATGAAGTCCGGGTCCTCGAAGATCATCCGGCGAGTGTGCCATGCTAGGAAGGAGGCCAACTCCGCCGAGGCTTGTGTGACTTCATAGCCATAGGATGGCTCCAAGCAAGAAGCGCCCAAAGTCATAATGGCTATGAGCAGGAGGTCTGGACACGTTTCGGTAGAGAAAGTAGATCGATGCAAGATTGGCAGCTGCGGATGTATGTTAAGCCAGAACGAGCTGCAAAATACTTGCATCATCCGCAAGCTCAACACATGTTTTTCTCCGCCGTGACTACCAGTCAAGGTCTTCTCCCTTTGAGCTGTGACATGAGCGTGCCTACTGTCTCTGAAATCGGAGATGACTAGGTCGAGTAGGCGCTGTCTGCGCGGGCCTGAGAGGACACATTCTGGTTGTATGCTGTCTTGCTCAGTTTTGGCGACTGGGCTTGGTCGAATAAGTGACTCGAGATATACTTCCCCGTTGGAGGATTGTATGTTATCGAACGGCATCTGTAGACTCAAATTATAAGGTGCTTGTAATTGTGGTGAGAAGATTTTTGGGTCCTCCTCGAATAACCAGCTAATGAACTCTGCACCGGGCATATCTGGAGGTGATGGCCCGTAGTTCTCGTTGAAAACCGGGACTGCCGCACCCGCAGGCAGCTGAGAGAAAGCTGCAGGGTCCACGAAACCTGCAGCTTGCTTGTTGTTAAGTGTCCCTTTGGAGAGGTAAGAAGTCACTGAGTCAGATCTGATTCCTGTTGGCGAAGTGACTTGCGCACTATAGCTATACTGAGGTAAGGTGGGCAGGTTCGTGAAAGTCGACGGGGACCTTCCGCTGGAAGGCGGAGGATAGGGGTGAGGTAGGTAGGCCCCAGAAGCATTGATCAGCGGATTGAACAGGTTTTGCATTGGGTTGAGGTGATACATGTCCATCGAGAGAGTGGGTGGTATATTAGGACGAGCGAAGACAGTACTATTGGTCTCGAGGCGTGACTCGTCCAGCCGCTCAGCCACCGCCCCAGAGGTCGCCAAGTTGCTTGACGTAGCTTGTGTTGTGTCCGAGTGATTCAGATGAGCAGCCAGTCGGGAAGCTATGGAATCGCTTACAGAATTGGGTATGTTGGCATAATCAGCACTCACCATGCTACCGGCAAANGGACCAGATGGCATAGCCGAATTGAAGTGTTCAGACTCGGTAGTCAAACGTGGATCTAGTACTATGGAGTTGAAGCTCAGCACAGGCTCGTGTGGCTTCGACGTAGTCGATTGCTCGGCGATTTGTGGCTCAGAGCTGTCCGAAGCCGTGGTAGAGGCTGCTAGTTGAGCCATTGGAGATTGTTCTTGTTGAGCCTCGGCGATGTGCGAGGACTTGAGCTTGCCCTGCTTAAAGGCATCTCGGCGATACAAGTGCGAGTTTTCCTTTGTATGTCTCTCCCGATGTCTGGCACAAAGATCCTGGCGAACGAAGTGGCGGTCGCAGCCTTCGAAGTCACAGTTGAATATCTGCTTCGGAGCGTCTGCTAGCACATCAGCTGTCAATCTAGTGGCACAACCATTGACAGACCTACGATTCAGTTGATGCCTGTACAAGTGTTCGGCACGTGAGTAACTCTTGTCACAACCATCGTGGGGGCACTCGTATCTCCTGTCCTTCGGCTTGCTAGTTGTTCTCCTCCTTTTAATAGGTCGAACATTTGCTTCGTCTTCAACAGTGGGAATTTCATGAGACTCGTTTGTCTTGTTCGCTCCTTGTCGACGTGAAGTCTTGGTGGTTGTTTTTGACTTTGATTTCATGATGGATGGAAAGTGGCTGGCTGTGCCGAGGCAGTTTAGAAGACCAGGCATTCATCAGCAGGGAAATTGCTGATGTGAACATATGTCAGATCTCAGAAGGTAGGGTTAGTGTTGAAGACTTCCTATGTCATATCACTGTCTTGCTGCCAGGTAGGATCAGGAACAGTGGATTGCGGTCAAGGGTGGCTCTTGTGGTACTTCACATGGCAACCCCGGATAAATGAGAAACAGATGCGGAGAAGCGAAAGCTTGACACGGCGGGCGCTGAGTGGGAAGCGGCAAAGAGCCCTGGAGGTTGTCACGGGTGGCAGAGCGGCTGTCGACAACAGGTGCGTACTGGAAGGCAACAACAAGTGCACCCCGAGCGATGAAGACAAGTCGACGGATCACGACGTGATGGGCGGCGGCCACAATCACGCGCCCGCCCGACAGCATTGCCAAGCAAGCCTTGTATCTGAAGATCCGCGAGTGCCAAAGGCAGGCCTAGGCGATCACGTGTAGAGCTATGCAGCTTTTGAAACAGTCGGGTGCCTTGAATGCTCGTGAATTCATGTGTTGCGTACGTACCGTCGCCGGATGAAGTGTACAAAGCCATGCCTATGCATTCCCGACGCCTGTCCATGTGTTACCCTGCCACAAATGCGCCTTGGACCCGCTGGATGCACCATGTATGAGAGAACCTAAACCAATCGCTTGCTCGTAACGTTTCTCAGCCTTTATGTGTTCTTGCTGTAGTATTGCTGGTGTTGTTGTTCCTGCTCCTCGTTGAGAGTGCTGCCTGTGGGCGTCTTCTTCAGCTCTGCCCAAAANGCCTCTCTCTCACGCAGCAAGTCATTGCACCATGCCTTGACCTCGGGCAACTCGATCTTCTGAGCGACCCAGGAGAACTCGCCCAGGTCGATGCGGCCCTGGTGGGAGCGCTCATACTCCATCATCTGGAGCAGAAGCTCGATCTTGTCGACGTCGTGAACAAACTTGCTCTCGAGAGTCTGGCTGTCTTCATATTCTTGCCAAACAGCGCGCATCTCTTGTCCCGACAGACCCCCTCCAACCTTGCCAAGCAGGGTCGAGCAGATGTAGTCCATGGTGTCGGCTTCTCTTCTGTTCTTCTCGGACTTTGGAACGCCGTCGACGGGTGTGATGTCTCCAACAAGGGCTTCGGCCATGTCGTGGATCAGAGCCATTCTGGTGCAGCGCGGCACGTCAAGACGAGAAGAGAGGGAAGCGGGGCAGAGCATGGTGATGATGGACATGCGGTACATGTGATCCGAGATCGACTCTCCTTGATCAATTCCGAACCTACGCCAACCTTCGCGTTTGGTTGTCTTCAGGCGCTCGAGGAGATGGAAGAAGGGTACGGGCGATGAGGAGTGCTTCTCAAGCGGGGCCATAGTTGAGAGGACGGTTTCGGGAGTCCACTGCGACACTTGGCTTGGGGTGAGGAGGCCAGATGTAGGCTCNTGTGCGACAAGTCAGCATATCATTGCATGTGACAACAGAGTGAGCTTACTGGGAGCCGAGTTGGTTACGGCGGCATCTTCTACTACGCTGGGAGCCATATCGGAGGAAGCTAGGTATGCTTTTGTCGCGTGGTTTCTCGGTGGCGAGTGGTGATATAGTGATGTCGTCGTTGTCAGAGCTTGGGAAAGATGAATTGCTTCTCGACCAGAAGATGGGCAATAATTCCACTACGGCGTTTGTCGGCCTACGCGCCAAAGTTGGACATCAATCAATCCACGCGGCGATAGCCGGTGTCTCCCCGACAGAGACCTGGTGATCGCACCCCTGTCTAGTATCTTTGCATATAGAAACAAGGACTGTGAGCAGTTTATTTGCTTCATGTCAAAGGGCAGACGTAATTTGGCCGCTCTTTCGTGAAACACATGTCAAGTTCTATACACAGCACAAAGGCGTGAAATCGGGCAGCAGTCTGGGCGTCGTTACCGCTCTTGACCGATGTTTACTCGGTTCTGTGTTGGGTGGTCTTTGTTTTACCTTTCAACTCATAACAAATTCTAGCATCGTGCATGCCTAGACCATGGACCGCTTCTAGCTAGGGCTACGAACTCTCATCACCGACTGCCATGTCACGACCCGAATCTGTGGCTGGGTCAATCCCTAACCTCAGCCATGCATCGAGACCGCTAGCAACAAAACCACGCTCGGTCTCACCCTCGAACATATCACTTTTTGTGTCCAATCTTCGCCTCTTGAACCTCGATCAGCGTCAAGACTGGCCGGATATCACTATCCAGACTTTTGATACCAAGGATGCACTCCAAAATCAGAAAAAGCGCGTGTCTTGTGTCGAATGGTCTCTCTATCGTCTATTTGAGATATGGGACCGGGAGACTACACGCGATGTAAGGAGAATTTTCTCCCTTGTCTTGTACTTGCGTTTACATGAAANNCAGAAACTACAACCCTTCTTTCCGCCTCTAGAGCCAATTCAGTCTCTCAATTTGCGTGCAGCACTATTCCGATGCCTCAACGACTTGAAAAAGAACGATGTCTTGGGTCGAGAGGCTACACTGCGCAAGACTATGCTTGACGATTGCAAAGGTGACAAGTTCGAAGAAGTATTGCTCCTGTTCTCTGCTGCTGTGGTTCGAAAGCATCTTCTGTCGACTCGCCGGAAACAGCCACAATCCATTGCAAGGAATATTGCACTGTCGAGAAACATCGACAAACGCGACCTGAGTAGTATTGCTCCTCTCTCCATGGCCTACCGTGCTTCTATGGCAAAGACTCTACAGAGCCGAGCAACTCTGGATATCACACTCGACAATTTTCGTACATCGCTCTACGAGAAGACCAATGATTACCATCAGCGTCATCTCGCCCTGCTTGAGACGCAAGATCCAACCATAGAGAATCTATCGCCTGAGACCGAAAAGTTGATCAGACGGGAACTTCGCCAGAATTGGGTTGGCGGCATAGAGGGCTGTGATACGTTGCTAGCAGGTGCTAAGGTAGCCTCCGCTGACGCGTACATGGACTCTGTGTTCGATGATCTGTGGCAGCACTTCCGTCAGGGTACAACCCCTCATGTGCCTCCTGAAAGAGTATCTCTGCTCGAGACATTGCAGTCTCGTGTCGGTGAGCAGAACGACCGTTTGCGCATGTGGAAGGCATACAAGGATGTCTTTGAGGGATCTAACAAGCCAGCCGACCCTGTCGGGGAACCTTCTGCACCCCATCGCCAGAGGTCTACAGTGGAGGCTCATGGTTTGGACATCTTCAACAGACACAAGAGCATTGATGTAGATCAGATACCTCCTGGCTCCATGGATCATCCCAACATCGATCACATGGTCGATTACGAACAGGTACTTCACGACATGAAGCAAGGTCTATCTGATGTACGCAAGAGGAAGCAGAAACCTCAAGACCAAGCAAACTTTGCTTCATCGGTCGACAGGATAGGCCGTACAAACACTGTGTCTAGACAAGCACCTATACCAGTGTTCCTTGGGGGCTTACATGATCCTAAGGAAGATCTGTTCTCGCCACTGAAACGACCATTGCTCGAATCTGCAAACTCAACTCCTTTAAGTACATTTGGTGAAGCACACAAGACGCATCAGTGGCTATCACGAACACATAGCCAACCTACGACCACGCCTCAATCCACGAGAAGTCAACATGGCTTGGCTATGAGTTCGAGAAATGAAAGTCCATATAGCTCTGCACTGAGGCAACCAGAGTTTGCAGAACCTAGCCCTAGTGTACAAAGGGACAGGGAGAGATATGTCAAAGCACACACTCCAAGTTCTATGAGCAAGAGTGAGATTGACTTGAAGTACAAAGAGGCATCTCCGAATATTGAACAAGTTGTCTCAGCAGAGTCCGGACATACAGACTTGGTTGACAATCCCATAACGTCTCTGGAACATAAGATTGACCAGATGGGATTAGACGAACAAAATCGTTCGTCTCCATCTCCAGAACTGCCAAACTACTCGCTACCAACACTCTCGAGTCCACCAGCACCGATTTCTAGGCACCAGAGTCCACGAGAACAACTCAATCTCTCAGAGCGCGCTCGGATGTCCATGGCTTCTTTCCGCAGCAGCGAAAACAGCCAGCCATTACCTCAACCAACCCCTGACGCGCCGACATCGACTATAGACTTTGAGGCTATAGGCACACAAGGCCGACGTATCTCTCTTGCTGACCGCGCCCTGGCATCCATGACCCAAGCATCTCTGAACCCTCAACCTCAGCGCCGCACAACAACCAAAGAACGGCCTAAATCGTCCTTCTTGCCTTCACAGTTCGCCACGCCCCTGAAAAGCGGCCGAAATTCGCTTGGTGGTACGCGCGACACAACACCCAGGGACAAATTGTTCGAGCAGGATGCAGAGTATGCTAGCGTCTTCAAGTCTCGACCAAAGATTGCAATGAGTCCTGTTCTATCGCCGGAACTAGATTTGCAGATGGAAGATGCGGAGGACTTTAGTTTTGAGGGTGACGCAGAGGGAGCAGAAAGTATGATGGGATTGCAGAGTTCTCCATTGGGTAAATTCGGGGTGTAGAAATGGTTGGTATCTCGGATCCTCGGGCTCCACAAAGATTGGATTGTGGTCAGGTCACAGCTGTCATACACAGCCATACAAGTCGATAGTAATACAGATTGAAAGGATTCAATGGTGCTGATCGGTTCAGTCAGATGTCGTATTCGCGAGCAAGATTGCTGTGCAGCAATTTGAATGTGATAGGTTGTGACGAAAAAGCAGGGTCAGTCAAATCGTGATGGTCATGTTGTTGCCTTTTCGGGAAATGGGATTTGACGCGAGACGCGGAAAGTGCGACGCGTCGTCCCCCATCCACGCTGCTCTCAATTGTTTCTATACATCAACAGTTGTACAATCAACACACTGCCAGTTCACAATGGAGGACCAGACAGCCGAGATCAACGAACTCTTCGCAGTCCCAAATACAACACTCGAACGCGATGTCTTGGGCGAGCTCAAGTCAATCCTGCGGATTCACTCGCTTAGCCCTCAGGAAATGTTCTTCAAATGGGAAGCGTACAGCTTGAAGATGGGCCCGAACACCCAGATGAACTACAAGACGGCCAGGGAATTCAAGAAGGATCTTCAGGATGCGCTGGAAAGAGAGTCGAGGGGCAAGGCACACATGCAGAGCGCTCAGAAGAGGAGCACCAATGGCACTGCGAGGAATGCCAACACTGGCGATGTCTTTGGCGTGTATGTCCATCTGACCTGCTGATCTGGACCACATATTGACTTTGGCACAGCCNTGGACGGACTGGTCGCAGGCACGCCGTCTCGAGGCNCCCCAATGAAGCGACGAAATGACTTTGGCACTCCCTCAGCAAAAGCATCCAAACTCAACCAGACAAGTTCTCCAGCAGGCGAAAAGACACCCACTCTCGGTGCTACGGTCGAACCACCTCAACTAGGGTAATGAAATTCGCATCCACCTGATGCCGTGTAGAGCTGACACTGGTCCAGAGCCATACCCTTCGCCGAACGTCAAAATGCCGGTCAGATTGTCGAACAGCTCAATGGCCACATCGAGATGCCCNCCGTGCCCTCAACAGCACCCACCGAAGCTCGCGTTAAGCTAAAAGCCAACACCGACATGGCTAAGTTCGGCTACCGTCCTATGGCCATGAAGCTTTCAGAAGCCTCCGAGTTCCTCGACGAGCGCATAGACGACTTTGTCGACATCATACAGAAACACCATCAATTGCAATACTCTGCCTTTGGCAACCCCGCTGCTATGAGTCCTACTCAGATTGTAGCTGTGGGTCGTATCGCTTCGGACACAAGTGAGGGGAGAATGAACGCAGCATCCATGGTCTTGGAAACCAGCCGTCGCATGGGTGCTGGTTTGCGTGTACCTCTACGTATGGACAAGGGAGGATACGACTTTTTCCCTGGCAAGATTGTTGCTCTTCGCGGCAATAACCCGTCAGGCGAATATTTCAGTGTCACCGAGGTTCTGGCTGTACCATCGCTCCAGCCGCCGGCCACAGCACCCACCAGCATTGACGTACACAATGAACGCTTACAGAGCGACGACGGTACCGAGACGCGCCCTTTGAACATCATTATCGGGGCAGGTCCCTACACCACAGACAGCGACCTCTCTTTCGACAGCTTACACGAACTCTGCTCGCAAGCCGCAGAAACCAAGGCCGATCTTCTCATCCTCAGTGGTCCTTTTATCGACATCGAACACCCCAAAGTTGCCAGTGGTGACTTTTCATTACCTGCCGACACCAAGATCGACCCTTCTTCTGCCACTCTTACAGATGTCTTCCGCGTCCTTGTCTCTCAACCACTCTCACGCCTCGCCCAAACATTACCTAGCATTACCATCATCCTAGTACCGTCAGTCCGCGATGCTGTCTCAAAACATGTCAGTTGGCCACAAGACCGCCTGGCCCGCAAAGAACTCGGTCTGCCCAAACAAGCAACCTGCGTCACGAACCCCATGACCGTGTCTTGCAACGACTTTATGACTGCAATCAGCAGCCAAGATGTCCTCTTCGAGATGCAAAGGCAACGCGTGGTCAGCGGTCTCAACAGCGATGCCCTAGCCTCCTTGGCTCGCAATCTTCTCACCCAGCGCCACTATTTCCCAGTCTTTCCTCCACTGCCCAGAGATGAAAAGGCGTTGACTGTGGGTGCTAGTTTGGACGTTGCGTACATGAAGTTGGGCGAGATACTGACCGTCAGCCCTGATTTGTTGGTGTTGCCTAGTGTGTTGACGCCGTTTGTCAAGGTCGTGGATGGAGTGCTTGTGATTAACCCTGGACAGGCGAGTAAGAAGAGGGCTGCGGGTACTTATGCGAGGTTGATTGTTGGGCCGAGGGAGTTGACCGAGGATGAGAGGGAGAAGGATGAAGATGTTGATCATCAATTGTTCAATAGAGCGAGATGCGATATTGTCAGGATATAGGGTACTCTATCTGGAAAGGAAGTCCAAAGAATCGTCATCTTGAGTTTTCTTGTATCGTTGATATGCAACGACGAATGTGCTCTAGCCTCTTTCACAACTTTGCCTTTTCTTTGCCTTCCACCACTGGATCGATGTTCGTCTTGTCATGCTCACACGTACTGCACACCCTCCCCCTCGCATCTCTAATCACACCCCTAATAGCCGCCTGCTGCCTCCCCACATGCACAACCTCACACTCGACCCTCACTTGCTCACCCACCCTCACCGCACGCACATACTTTACATCCAAAACCCTGCTCACGCCTCCAAGCATCCAAAACCCCGGTGTGGAAACAGCGGCTAGAGCGAGGGTTGTGCAGTTGTCATAGATCAAGGCGTGGGCAGCTCCGTGCAGGTTTCCGAGCGGGTTTGCGTAAAAGGAAGGTAAGGTGTAGGAAAATGTTACCAGAGAGGTTGTGGGTGTTGGTGTGTGCACGGAAAGGAGGGAGAGGGGTTGTGTGCAAGGGGTGCCGGTGTAGAGGGTTGAGCTGAAGCGCTGGAGTAAAGAGGTTTGGTCAGTTTGATTGTCTTTGCTGGTTTAGTGGTGCAAGTATCATGGTTCGGGGGTGGTGGGAGTTGGATATGCTGCAACTATTATATACACATTTTTTGATCATATCTGTTGTTATTTCCTTTCTCTCTTTTGTGTTTTTTGCTTCTTTTATATCGAGATGATGATGGTTCCAAAAAGATTGGCAAACAAGAAAAACAAAAACTTACATCTTCGCCTTCGTGTCCACTCGTGTGTATCAACATCATACGCTCTACTTTCTGCCTCGGCGACAGAGTGTCCCAACCCTCATAACCCTTGTCCACAAACATGTCTTGTGGCGTCTGTGGCATCTGAGATTTGACGATAGACAAAGATCTTGACACCTTCCACAATGGGTGAATTTCCCTCGATGAAAACAGAAAGAAAATGGCAGAAAATGAGAAACAGATATGGGAAAAGGAGAAAGGTAATGATACAAGTCTGTTTGATATTAGCTTCGATGGAGATGGGGGGAAAAGGATGCGGAGAGGGTCAGCCCGCGAGCCTCGGCTCCGGGTTTCTCGTCTTGTTCTCACCAAAAATACACAACGTACATAACATTTCAGTGGAAGGAGAGCGCTCAAGTCGACTACAAACCTAGCTTCGGACGCATCGATCGACATGCCCTCTGGACCTTTGATCAATGCAACAATGCAGTACGTGATGAATAGACATCAACGGAGAGTATACAAGTAGATTAGCGAGAAAGACATGATTAAAAGGAGATATCAGTTTGTCTAGAGAGAGCCACATGCAACAACGTAAAACAACAAATAAGCCCCATACGCCTCGCTCACTTTCGAAAGGAATTGAAGAAACTTGCCAAAAACAAACCACCCTCGACATCGAAAAGAAAAAAAAAAGACAGAAGGCAAAATATGTACAAGACCTCCTTTGTTTTTAGACCAGAAAGAACGACTCCATATGAACCCCCTTATGCATGATATCCATGTACCCTAATTTTTTTGTTATGCAATATCACACGCCTTCTCTTATCCCTCCTCTTCTCTTGCGTTTATCCTTTTCGGTTCTTTCCCCAGCGCAGGCGACTGGTGTGGCCAGAGGAAGATGTGGCGGCTTCTTGAGGTTTCTGCGGCTCGGCGAATCTGATGTTGGTTGGCGGTTGGCGAGGCGCATCATCTTCGTCCTCACTGTCGCTTTCGTCCTCTTGGGTGATACCTAAAGCGCCTTCTCTACGTCTGCGCTCTGCGGCCGTCTCGCCTTCAGTGTCCGAGTCCAGGCGGGACTTGCGAGGTCGTGCACTGCCGCTCGCCACGCGAACATCTCGGGGACGATTGAAGTAATCGGCGCCCGGCTCGTTTTCGACGCCTCCTGCGAGTGCTCCTTCTCTGCGACGGCGCTCGGCGGCTGTTTCCGACTCGATGTCGGATGGATAGCGACCTTCGGTTTGTAGACGAGGAGGCACTCTGGCAGTGCCATCATCTTCGCTGTCCTCCTCGATAGTGTCCTGACGTGATTGTTCGGCGCGCTCTCGGGCTTCTCTGCGTCGCTTCTCGGCTGGTGTCTCGCCGGCTCCGCTTGATCTGCGGAGATCGCCAGTCACATCGTGGAAGGGTACAACTTCGTCGTTCGAGTCGACCAGAGTCAGACCTTCGGGTCCAGAGGGGGCATCTGCGTGGCTCGGCATTCTCTTGACTTTTGCGTTGTCGGTCAAACCAGAATGGCCAGTCTCTGCAGGAGACTCTCCCTTGAGGTTCGTCTCGGTATCTCTGCTGGGCAATCTGACAGGTCTATTCGCAGGCAGCGACTCTAGGCGGTGAGGAATCGCATCCTCGTGGCCCTTCTTGGCGCCTTCTCTTGCCTCTCTCTTGATGGCTTCGGGAAGATCACTTTCTTCAACAAGCGAGGCACGCTGCTTGGCGTTGAGGCTCGAGATCTGTCTGACAAACTCTGCTTTGCTCATTCTCTGACCGCCAGCAACTGAGAAGCGCAGGCGCTCATCATCCTCGGCCTCTTGCTCGGCCTTCTTTCTCCTCTTCTCGTCTCTGGCATTGGAGGCGCCTTGCTCTGTTTCCTCGGCCTTGCGTCCAGTGATACTCAGGGCGGTTCCCATGCGAGCAAGACCTCGTCTGGTGGGGCCAGCAGCTTTGGCACCCTCGGACGATGCGCTGGCTTCTCCCTCCTTCGCCTGCTTCGATTTCTTGGGCGGAGCCTCGATGTCGTATTTCTTCAAGACCTCACCATCTTCGTCCTCGACGATGATGGTGTTACCGAACTGGTAAGCACGTGCAGGTCCTCTCTTGGGGGCTGGCTTCTTGGGTGTTGGCTTGTCGGCGTGATCCTCCTTCTTACGAAGGCCACCGAGATGAGCCATCTTCTTGCGCCATTCCCTTTGAGGATGTTCGATATCCTTCTTGAATTCGTGCATCACTGCTCCGTCTTCATCTTCAGCGTGGTTGTCCTTTCTACGAGCAACACCATGGTGGATATCTTGATCGTGCATCAACTTCTTGAGTTCGTCTCTCTCCCGCTCCTCTCGTTGTTCGTCTGTGTCGCCTGCATGGGTCTTCTTGACAGCAAGAACGTTGCCTTCTTCGTCTTCATAGACAGTCTCACCACCCTCTTCGTAAACCTCACCTTCAGGCTCGCCAGGTTGATCAGGCTCGTCATCGTCGCGCTTGGCAGGGCCCAATGGTGGCTTGCCGTTGGCAGTGCTAGGCGAAGCATCAGACTCGCTACGAGAAGTAGATTCCTCGAGCTTCTCGCTGTCAGTGCGTTGAGGTCTAATAGCGGATTGACTGATAGGACCACCAGCGCCATATTGCGACTTTCGCGAACGACGTCTGCTCAGTGGGCGAGCAGGAGTGTCATCTTCGCGTTGGCGGCGAAGGAAGTTAGGAGGGAAAGCACCATATTCGCCCTTCTCTTCGAGCGACTCATCTGTGTCATCAGGTCTTTGTTGAGACATGGATGTCTTGGAACGCGACTGGATACGAGGAAGTCTGTCCATCCATGACTGATCGTTGCCTTGAGTGTAGGACATTGTCAGGGTAAGGGTGTTGATATGCTTTCCAAGGGTGAAGACGGCGATTGAGGATCCGTGAACAAGAATTGAAGTGATTACCAGGAATGTTGTGATGGGCCAGATGAGTTCAATAATGTTAAGATGTTCGAACCCAGGCTCGGGTAATTCGCCAAGTGGAGTTGTGGTCTCGGTCTCAAGCTCGGCTCTAGCCAAGATAGCAACAAAGATTGCACCGACACCGATGGGACCAAAGTGCCCAGCGAAAAGCGCCTCTCTCCAAGTCTTGATATCGGGTATGAACGGTTTCAGCGCAAGCATGATGGGTATACGACGGAACAGCAGGACCAGAATTGCAAGGACGACCAGTCTCCAAGCACTTAGACCAATAACGGCGGAGTCAAATTGGGCCCAAGGAATGATGGTACCGAAGTAGACGAAGAAGGCCAAGTTAATGAGCAAGTCGATGACGTTGGAGACGTGAGACTCTTCAGTCTTCTCCGTGAACCAACCATCGTTACTGAAGCCAACTCCGCAAGCAAATCCAACGAGCAGATCATCCATTCCTAAGATCGAGCCAGAACCAGCACAGAACAAGGCCAGGACAAAGTAGAAGACCAGGAAAGATTCACGGTCGATCAAATTGCGTTCGTGTGCAAATCTGACGGCATGGCGGGCAATGTATCCCACAATGACACCGTAGATGGCACCGAAAACACACTCGTACAGAATCGATACGCAGAACCATTCGAGAGCAACCTCGTTGGGATGATGATGGTAGCGGATGATGTAGATAGCCAGATAAATGAAGGGAAAAGCCATGCCGTCGTTACAGCCGGACTCGGCAGACAGCAAATCTCTCAAATGCTTGGGAACTCTCTGAGCGAATTTGCCTTTACCAACAACCGAGGAGGCAAGAACGGGATCAGTAGCAGTTACACAGGCAGCAACACAGAGACTGTCCAGCCAGTTGAGTGGTGGAATGAGGGCCCAGATGAACAGACTGGTCACGAGCCATCCAAAAGTCATGACGGGGATGAGAAGAAGAGTGACGGATCGCCAATGGCGCTCCATGTAGAATTTTGGCAGTTCGACTCCTACGGCAAAACATTGGACGACGAGAACGATGCGGGAGAACTCCAGGGTAATGCGATCCTCGTTTCCCCATGTGCTAGGGTCGATGAGGTTGGCAGCATGTGGACCGAAGATGATACCACAGATGGTGGCGACGGTGGCCTCGCCAATGTATAGTTTTNNTTCTTTGATGAGGGACGAACATAGCATGAACAGACTGGTAAAGCCGCCGAGAATAATGTAGACCAAGTGCGGCTTGTCGACGCTCAGATGTTCCCAGGCCATAATGGCAGGATGGGCGGGTGATTAGGTAGTGGTAAAGGAACGAGAGTGGTGTTTAGGGTCTCGTGTCGTAGTGGTCGGGGTCGGGAGCCAGAATAGATGTCGACAGTTGCATGCGGTCGTTGGTGCGCCCAGTCGCCGCTCCCAAAGGCTATGGTAGTGTGTTTCGTATTAGTAGGTCGTCGTCAAGACGAAGAGGTCGATGGACGAAATGGAAGGCGAGTGATTCGAGGACCGAAGAAGCAGGACCCAGGATCTGTTGACCAAGGACGAAAGTCTTGTCGCTGACTCTTTGCCGACCTTGGCGGTATGAAGCCAAGCAAGCACGTTTGGTGGGATCAAGATCAGGACGTGATTGCAGTCGTTTAGGTGCGTTGGAAAGTCCAATCCTCAGGTCGCGAGTGTCTTTTGTTCTTGTCGTAACCGCGACGAAAGGTGAGTCGTGCGTGACAGACGTCTAGGTGCGGATTGGACTCAACCAAGACAGTCAAGGAAAATACCAAACAAGCGGCGAAAAACGGACAGGATGACGACGGTTGGCTCTCGCGCTCTCCAGGAACCCCACAACAAGTGCGCCTCGGACGCAAATCAACTCCATGCACTCCTTGGCATGGAATCAACACAATCTACCACAATCAATTTCCGCGTCATTGCCTGCCCAGTTGTCGGTTGAGATTGCTTTACTCTTGATTGCCTGACGTACGGTGAGCCCGCCGTCTCGACTTCAAGCCAATACACCGGTTCACAGATAATAGCTTACGCCGTCTTCTTGTTCTCTTTTGGCTCTTGCTTGTCCACAACCTTCGGGTGGGGCCCAAGATTCAGACATCCCGCAAGGAATCACCCCAGAGCAGTCATCGGCAAACCCTATTTCCTTGTTATAGGGGGGTTGGTACGGACCACCACCGCCTATCTCCTAGTGCGAGGAACGACCGTCTTTTGTGTATCTATGACTTGGTTTATCGAGTTATCACATCCTTACTGGTGAAAACATTAACATGGGAAAGGGACTGGCCGCCTAAAGTCGGAAGGATGACCTGATGGGACTTCTAACCTCTCAAAAGCCGCGGAACCTTTTATGCTTCTATCTCTCAATGACGCGCTGTGAGTGCTTTTGTACAACCCATTGGAAAGACGAAATCCAGAGAACAAAAACGCCTGCCCAAATGCTGCTGCTGCTGTGGTGCTGCTCTAATCGCAGTTCTTTAAGAGGCTCTGCCAGCAAAGCCAGACTCTGTATCTTTCGTCTTAAACCTTCAAACTGGCAATATCGGGGGTCTCGTCGGTGACCTGGACCCCTGCGCTGCCCTTTTCTGCGCCGCCCGAGATGTCACGAAGGCACTTCTGCTGACCTCCACGGAGGTACTCTTCGTATTCGCCCATCTGCTTTCCGGCATCAATCCAGCGCTGCTTGTATGCTTCCCGGCGTCTGTCGCACTCCTTGTTCAAGGCGGGCCAATATGCCTTGTGATCGTAGTCGAAGTTCAATTCACCACCATAATCCTTCCATAGCTGTTGTGTAGGCACGTACTTCTTAAGATCCTCGTTGAACTTCATCTTTTCCTTGGTGACGGGGTCGATGAAGGGCGAAATAAGCTTGAAGAAGGTACTGACATACCAAGGCACNTGTAACGGTCAGAGATGTACATGCAGACATGTGTGGCTTGACTTACACTGTGAGATCAAGGCTCTGCCAAGTCTCTCTGGGTTGTGGTTTTGTAGGATGTTCAGAACCTGTCTAGCTTGACCAACGCTGGGCGTGCTACCGCTCGTAGCGCCCTTGAAATTGATGAGGAGGGCGGTCGTCTCTTGTCCAGGGCCCATCATGTCGATGACTCTATCCAGCATGAAAGCAAGGTGGTGAATCTGGCGGTCGCTGTTCTTTGTATTTTGCTTGCCAGGGTTGAGGTACAGACAAGGGCGAGCGTTAATGTCGTAGCCCATGATGACCTGCTTGCCCGTCTCGTTCTCTGGAGAAATGTAGTCGGCGGTGAAAGTGTCGGCACCATATTCGCGTCTCCAGGAGAGTGTACCTTGCAGACGCTTGAGGGCGCTAGGAACGTCCCACTTGGTAGCACGGAGGTAGCGAAGGAGACACTCGCGAGTCAACCACATGCGCTCGTGGTCTGTGATGGGCTCATTGGTGGCATCCTTTAGTGTGTTGCTAGGGATAGTGGTCCATGTGGAGACGGTGGAGAGTACTGAAGCATACTTGGACTCTTGGTCGGCGGTCAAGACGACAGGAGGGTTCGGTTTGCACTCAGGCAGAGCGACGGTCAAGGGAGTCTTGATAGGTCCAGTTGGCGCGGGGTCGGTGATGGCCTCTGAGCCCGTTGAAAGGGAGGGNGCTTTGCTCGAGAGGGATGGAGCTTTGCTTGAAGTCTTTTGGATGTCAGAGCAGTTCTTTGAGCACCTGGAGCTTCATTCGATACCTGGGATGCCATCTTTGGGTGTGTGTGTGTGTCGGGAAGTTGTTGACGACACGGAGGGGTAATTTGATCAAATATTGAAAAAGGATGCTGAGCTATCTTTGATAACGACACTCAACACGTTGAACACGACAACACGCAATATGTTCGATACGGCGGATAAGACTGAGGACTCAGAGAAAGAGATGCAACAATTCAACAAGACACTCGGCTTGTAGATAGCTAAGGGATGCCCAGCAGCGATGGCGGCGACGACGAGCGTCATCTCACTATTTTCAGCCGCGCTCTGACCCAGGCCCGCGCTCTTGTTTCGGCTTCCGGACGAATGCTCTCCTGACGACATGCAGACACTCATCATTCTGCGCTTTCTAGCATAGCATGGTTCGTGAGTGACACAAAGACGCTCTTTACGGAACATGTTCTGTACCTGCTGGCCAAGCCAAGAATCAAGTCATGTCTGAATAAAGGTTGGTGGAAACATGCTCTAGTATCACCCGCGTTTCAGTAAAGGAGAGTCACAAAACTCGGGTTTGAAAAATGGATCCCAATTCATGTCAGTGACAGACAATTCCTTGTATAATTGATGATTCAGTGGAAAGAAAGATTCAGTATCATTAAACATACGAACACATCATGAATCTCCAGGTAAATGCTTCAAGATAGAAATAAAAGATTGTCAAGAGTACAACCCTGGCTTGATGCATGGAACGATCAGAAAGTAGATTGGATGGATACGCATATCACTAGATTGGCTGTATTGCTGAGATAACTTGTTCGCCTCATCACCATAGCTTCTGAAATGTAGGTATTTGCTTGTATCGCGTTATGTGAACGCCGCAAGATAGTCTCTCACTATCGTCCCAAGCATTTCTACCACCTACGGCTCTGTGGTGAGGAGGAGGAACGCTTCGGACGACTTACCATCCCGAATACGTCTGCTTTGCTGGCACCAGGGCCTCGAGAATTTGATGCCACTGTGGCACATATCGAGTATGCCTTAGGCCGTCACCAGCTATCTACCGATCTCGAATCTACCAACTCTTGTCTGTGCGCAAAAGCGATTGACCGATCCGTCGAGAGCATCTCTCGTAAAGACTAGGTCTTCTAAGTGAGCAACGTGTACTTCCCGTCCTCACTCCCAGCCACCTTCTCTATTCACTCTATCAACTTCTGTCATCATCCTCTCCATCCACCTCCTCACCAACTCCCCATTCTCCCCTTCAACTTTTCTTTCTCTCTCACTACAGCATTCAGCTCCATGGTCAGCGCCACAATCTCATCTTGCACTTGCTCGACCATCTTCTTCTTTGCTCTCAACTCCTCGTCACGGTCTTTGAGCTTGCGCTCGAGAGAAGCAAGTTGGCGGTGCACAGAGGTGAGTTGGGCGGTCAACGTCTTGTTGGAGGTGACGAGGGAAGTGTTTGTGGTCTCGTGGGTTTGGAGTTGTGATGCGAGGGAGGAGCGGGCAGCTTGGGTTGCGCTGAGGTCTTGACGTAGGCGGGAGATTTCGTCATGGGTATGCGCATTGAGAGGGACAGCGGTAGAGGTAGAGATTTCAGGGGTGGCAGTCGCTATGCTTTTGCGGTCGGCCAGACGAGTGTCTTGTGGTGGTGTTAGTGGATAGTTGTGGAGGTGTAGACGAGGCTGCATTGCGTACAGGCATCGATGCAGGACTTGTGAGTGGATTCGCGTCTGTCGCGGGCATCGAGAGCCGCGAGGTAGCGCGTGCTCCAGTCGGCCATGTTCACATTGTTGTCGTGTGTGGTCGTTGGCATCAAGAGTTGGTCCAGCAATTGTCGCTATGTACTAGTCATGACATGTGACAGCGCCAAGCTTTTGATAGCAGTGACGCGGATCTCTTTCTTCTTCCTTTCGACAAGACACCCGGCACGGTGGGACTGCAGCCTTTCGAGCTTGCCTGTCAGACATCTTTCTCCAGATTGACAGGCTCAGAGTTTCAACCTTGTGGATTCAGGCAGCAGCATTCTCACGGTGGCTGTGTCTGTGAACACCCTCAGTCCACAATATCATGCTCGTCCGGAGCACAAATACTGTGCCTTATTGAGCATTTAGCAACAGCCAGACATCATACGTAGGCAAGAGATGCGACTTCTTGTTCATTTATCGAACGCAAATGCTCGATAATCATCAAGGTAGAATATGTCATTGTCAAATCCTTCCGCGGTGCTTTACCGGAACATTGAGAGCAAGAAGGGCTGAGTATGCCGACACAGCCGCCATCCCCGGCCTTATTCCCTATAGCTAAGCCTCACCTATTCTATCCCCTCTCCCCACACCTGTCACTTCTAGTTATATACACCTCTCCATCCACTGCACCTTGCAACAACATCGTTTTAAGCACATCACATTGCGAAAATACAAAAATCATGGGCAGACTCTCTCACGAATCCTACAGCTCGCGCTCCTCTATCGACACCACCTTGAACGGCGAAGGCCTGCCCCTCTACTCGGACATCTCCGTCACTTCGCCTTCCGACCTCACTGCTCCGGGAGAAAAAGCAACACCGGACGAAGTGCGCGAGTTTCTCGTACGCTTGCTTATCAAGAACAGAGGGCTGCACCTAGACCACGCAAGAAGGGTAGCTTCAAAATGGACACTGGGCACCGGTCGCGAGTTATCCTCATACCCACCTCTACTGTACGCAGAAATCTTTGGCTTGGAAGATGCTTGGATGGTGTACAAAGAAGCAAAACTCTTTATCCGTATGGAGAAGAAAAAGGGCAAGCCTGATACAACATGTAAGTCATGTTTTACTGTCGGTCTGCCAGAGTCACACTAATGTTTTGTTACAATCACAGGGATTGCCGTTGGGATTCTCCTCATGATATTCGGCGGTTCGTTAGCAGTGCTCTTGCTAACGAATATCGACAAGCACACCGCTGTCAAGGTCATCTCTGGCTTTGTTTCCGGCATATCGGGTTTCCTTTTCCTTGTTGCCACCGTGTGCGCCCTCGTTGACACAGCCACCGAGGAGACCAAGATTGAGCTTGAGTTGGCTGCCGGTCTGGTCAAGAAGGGCAAGGACTAGACACAGGGATGTACCCAAACTAATCAAAAGATTCTTCGATGTCGCTTGTTTTGACCACCCTGTATTGATGGCGTTGCAGATCGGGGTCTTGTGATGTTGTGTCGTAGGATTCTTGCCAAGTTCTTGGTATACCACAAGTCATACGAAGCACAACCGTTTCTTTTTTTCTCAGCCATCGCTTAGGCTTGATTGACATGACTGACAAGGCATCTTTCGAAGTGGTTGTCGTTGTCGTTGGAATTCCATCGCTTCTGGATGCTTCAAACCAGGCAGAAAGGCGTAAGAAGGCTTGATATGCCTTGACCGAGGCTACAAGGCGCAGCAACTACGAGGTGAATAGTGGTATAGCCATGGTAGTCGTTCAAGGTCATTTAGAGGACCAATCGTTGTCGTTCTCGAGGCACACGGCAAGGTATAACATAAGGTATAGTGTGAAACGCCGACATCCTGGAGGATGGCTTGGTATTGTGATCTACACAAGTTCAGCTGAACGGTGGACACAGCATAGCCGTTTCTCTGCAAGGCAGCCGAGAACAAACACACTTAGGAGAAAATTCAAAGCTATAAAGCTGGCATAAGTGGCTCTCGCTGTGTCGTGGTATTTTGTGTCAACCATACGGCGAGCAAACAATTACGAATTCATTGAGCCTCGACTATCGTCATCTCACCATGCGCACCTTCCATACCGCCTTCCTCTCCACGCTGCTTGTGGCAATGTCGCATGTGGTCCAGTCTCAAGACTGTGACCTTGTCGACCAGCAAGCATGCTGCTACGTCGAAGCTGATGGCGGTAGTGACACCTCCTATTGCTGCAACGGCTCTATCGTGGGCAACCCAGGCAACTCCGGCGCATCGGCTCTCAACGATCTTACTTGCTGTCAAGATGACGGACGCACGGGAATAAGTGTCGGCTTCGATATCACGACCTGTCGAGCTGGCTCTGCCACACCTCTGACCGCGAAAGGAACCGCGGCAAGCACTGTTGCAGACGTCATCAAGAGTATCAGCGCTTCGAGAAGTGCTAGCAGGGAGTCATTGTATAGCTCGGCATCTGTCTCAAGAGCAAGTGCTGCTGCTGCCTCGGCGTCGGTGACAAGCACTGGGGGATCTGGTACTATGAGCTCGTCGAGTGGATTGACCGAGTCATCTTCCAGCAGCGTATCGAGGTCCGGATCTGGATCGTCTTCCTCGGCTGTCGCAGCTAGTACGACTTCTTCATCTGGTTCAGCGGCAGCTGTGAGTTCCTCTCCAACAAGCACCGGCGGTGTTGCCATGATGACCATGGATGCCTTGAATGCCGCAATGGCTGGTGGACTCGCCCTCTTCGCAGCTGTGTTGTAGCTGAGTTGGCCATCAGAATGATCGAGTGGAGCCTCCCTCCGTCAAAGCTTTGGAATCATATCCTTCCGCGTTGCTTTACTGTCAGCCTATACCTACATTCGCTTGTCGACAGGGTGGATTGTGCCTTGCCGCTTCTGCATTGAGCAAAAGGTGCCAGCACGACTCGAACATGATGAGGCCGTGGTGCGTGTCATTGCTTGTAGCTTCGGCATGGAGGCTGACGGCTGAAGATTTGCTTCCACAGATGCTCTGCAACTTACAGTCAATTCGATGACATTGTCATACTCTGACTTTCTGGGCACGTTTCCTTGGTTTGCTCAGCGGAGTTAGGGTCTGTAGGTCTGGAAGCAGTGCTAGTCTCGTATTTCCTGCAGCATGGCATGGTGGACCAAGCCCAATACAATACAATCGATGGCTGTGCTAAAAGAGTTCGACGAAGCATAGCTCCACCTCCAGACTCAATATCGCAAATGTGAATGATCAGCTGATGTAGTGACAATGAGTGTGGCAGCGCTGTACTCGATTCGAGAGAGACTTTGCCGAAGTCTATCGTCAGTCGTTCCACGATTAGCTGTTCCTGCAGCTATGTCGTCGCCTTGCACCTGGTGTGGTGGTGTTTGGTGGTGTTCGTAGGTCGTACCACTACAAAGTTCCGTCCGACTGCAGTTTGTTACAGGATTGGGCGGTGGATATGCAGCAAACAGTAGATACATGTCTACATGGCCAGCTGAGAGAAGCAAGCGCTTACTCACGATGCCAAATGCAGTAATGGGCAATTGACCAGAACGAGGCCGACCTCGCCAGAGACTGCGCAAACCAGTCACCCTGCCGTGTCTCGGAGCATAAAGCGATGGAGGCCAGCTGAGAAAATAGCGAAATTGAATGAAGGAGGGTCGGCAAGAGTGGACGGGAAGAAGCCGAGATCCTTCGCGTGGTACTTCCCCCGCCGTACCCCAGAAACAATGCAAGAAACGACAGGCTCGGAGTCCGGGTCGTTCTTGGCAATCCTCGACCTAACCTCCTTCTGCTTCTAAGTTCCTGGCTCCTGTCATCTTCATCATTCGCCCAAGATAGATTCTGCAGCGCAGCAAAGCTAGTCAGCTCTCTGTCCTGACGCAGGCAATATGGCAGGCCAAGGGCAGCGTTCGACTTGGAAGGCCCATGATCAGACCCACACTTTGACACGTGCTTCGACGACGACCACTAGGACGTAGGTTTGTGCCTATGCATGTAATCGATAAAGCGGTACAGAGTCTTGGACAGTCTCATACCGACACTATGCCTCAGCTGCCATTGCAAGTGGGGAGAACCAACAATAGCATGCATCTGAACTTCGGAAGAGTCGAAAAGTGGCTGGACATTGCATCGAGACCGACTTGACCAATCACACCATCATGTTCGAGCATCAAAGGCAGAAACCTACTGCCGACCTTCTATGGTCCAGCGCTATACTTGGCGTCCTGAGAAGATTTCAGCTCGGTCATACTGTGCCTACCATCATGAGCCTGCTGGCCATGGACTTCCCGAACCTGGACACAGCAAAGGGAGCTATCGAGCCCCACCGGGGATGCCATGTCGACGTCCGTTCACAGTATATGGTCCCTGCTGTGGACAAGTCTGGACTGGCGAGCAAGAGGTATAAAGCATGGCCTCTTCTCCCTCAACATTAAACTACCCAGCAACAACATCTCAGTTCCAACCAGCTACCAAACAAAAAACTCTTGCTACACTCTTTCTTCTCTGCGATTCAATATGCGCTCTGTCACTTTCATAGTCGGCCTTGCAGCACTTGCTGTAGCCTCTGCTGCACCCCAAGTCTTTGATCCCGAACAGCTCGCCGACCTTCCTGCTCNNCCCCCTGTCTCTGATGTTCCTATCGGAGCTGGTACCGAGATCATCCCTTTGGATGTGAACGCTGCCGTAGCTAGTGCTGTCGCCGCTATCATTGCCGACCCATCTCCTGACATCGACGCCAGCATTCCAGCTGCCATTACCAAGAGGTCTCCCAGAGGAAAGGCAAGACGTACTACTGGCACCTGTGCAGCCCAACCTGCGGGCTACGGTCCTCCAGTCTTCCCAGACACCGCGGATGCCTTCCAGAATGATCCTGACTTCGCATACGCGGCTAACAGCGCCCAACCCCCATCTGGGTATGATGTTCAGTTCACCAACAAATGGGCTTCAGTCAGTGCTTGCAGCTACCAGGGCTACAAGACCTACAAGACCTACGATGTCAACAAAGCAGCCACCGATTGCAACAACATCAAAGGTTGCAAGGGATTCAACATTTTCTTCGAGCGTGATCCTACTCAGGCAAGTGTCAAGGTCTCTCATGTATGGAATGAGAACTAACTGTGATATNCTCAGGACCCTGGTCTTGGCTGTGATAACCCTGCAAGTACCACAGTGATCAAGGTGAATATCCTCATCACTCTTCTCAATGAACTGATTCTGACAAGATTAACANAGGCTTCTTTCTGGGGCAATGTTATTACTTCTGCCTCTGCCACTAACAAGGGACAATACCGATCCAACTTCCAAGTAGTCATTGCCGGCTCTAACGCCTACAATGTCAAGCAATGCAGAACCGATGTATATGGCTGGACTCAGACTCAGCTTGGCGACTGCTCCATCAATGCTCCCGCTACCCCCTGCGCCCCGGACGGCAAAGACGCATACCTCACCATGCAGACTTTCAGCGACGGCAACTTCGACAACAACCGCTGCAAGGCTCAATGTGATATCATCACCGGCCAGAGCTCGGACACGCCCTGCAACTTCTTCACCTCTTACATGTCAGTCACGGAGGGCAAGTGCGGTATCCAGGTGTGCGCTTTCTACAAGCGTGCCTTTGACCCGAGCTACTGCACCAACAAGGGCGATCCGGTCAATAAGATTACCAACAAATGGGCTTCATCTTTCACCAAGAACGGCAACAATGGCGCAGACATTTGTCCCAGCAGCGCTCCCAATTACTTCCGTCGTTGATTTCGGTCCTGGTTTCCTTAGGATCGACTCGAAGGTCTCGCATTGTTCATGATCGACACGTGTTTGCTCCTGCCATTTATTTTTCCCATCCTTTTTTGACTCTGTGTCTTCTCTGTCTTTTGATTCCTTCAAATATTTATTGCGAGTTGGTGTTAGCAATTCTGCAGATGGAAGAATTGAACTAAATCACTTTGGTTACTCGTTTCGAATCTCTCCAATGTCACTTGCCTTGGGCTGTCCAATGGGTAGCTTGTAGCATGACTATGTAAACACTTTTGTGAATCCCATGCTTATCTGCGCCAGGGCTTCGGCTACATAATATGCATTTTGCTTCTCCAATCCAGACTGAGAATGGGGAACATATCACTAATGGGCACAACTGCTCTTGAGGTCGGAGCTGTAGTTGATTAGAGTTCAGGAGATGACCTTGGTGGAGGATGTCACTTTACTAGAACGAATCTTCTCAAATGTGTACAGACGCACTTGCTACATACTTGAGCATTCTTGTGGTTCACTGGATTACTGCCCCTTGCTCAGATACTTGGCAATATCCTGCTGTTGGCGATGTACGATGTTCATAGCTTCGTCGGTGTCGTACAAATCGTACCAACCAGGCGCCTCGTGGGGAGGATCGCCAGCCCAGACCTCGCCAAATGCGTTCGCGTGCTGTGTTTCTGGACGGTAGAGTCCGCCGTATGCCCAAGGACAGGTACCGACGTACGAGCCATTTTCAGACTTGAAATCGTCCATAGCGGCGCCGATGATTGTCNNTGTGTTAAGATTAGTGACTGATAATAAACTGATGTACAAGGGACTTACATTAAAGTATTCGTCCTTGTTGCTGGCTCCTGCAGAGCTCAGATACAGATACTCTTTGCCCACATTCTCCCAGTTATTTCTAGCCATCCCAAACTCCTCCAAGAAAACTGGTTTGTTGATCTCCTTACTCCATTCGCTAGAGTTAGCCACGAATGCGGTGGCAAAACTCTTTGCGGCTTTGAGGTTTGCAGAGGATGAGTTTAGCATATCATATACACCCCAGTTCTGCACCCAGCAATGGGTGGTGCCATAATCGACGGTAGAAAAGTTGTGGACGGCTTGGTAGTACCATTTTCCCTGCTTGCCTTCGAAACCGACGTTGACAAGTTGGTTGGGGGCGAGAGATTTGATGTAGGCGCTGCTGTTCTTGACCCATGGTATGATGGGGTCTTCTGGTGCGGCGGGCAGCTCGAGAGAGTAAGGGCCAAGGTATTCGGTTGGGACGACGGCAGGTTGAGGTTCATTTGCCAATTGCCATGTCATGACAGTAGCGTCGTCTTTGTATACGCGGCCGTTAATTGAGTTCTTACGGTTCAGCACTTTGGAGATATGCGCGTGATACCACTCCTGACACTGTGGGTTGGTGTAGAACTGATTTGCGTAGGCGGTGAAGTTACTGTACGGTGCTGCATCTACACCCTCGACCGTGTAGTTCCCCCATCCGGTACCAGGTTCCGAGCGCTGAGGGGGAGCCGTCAGGTTCCACGACGAAGGATAGGGGATTTGGCTGTTGTTTGTCGCCCACGAAACGTATTGGCCGTAGCCTCCACTCCATTGCCATGTGTTCGCAAGGGTCATGGTTGCTCTCATACCTCGCTTGCTCATCTCGCTCAAGCAGCGGTCCAAGCCTACAAAGATGGCTTCGTTGTAAGCACCAGGCGCTTCCATCAAAGCAGGATACATCCTGAAGGGCTGGTGTATAGGGGCGCCCTCCGAGGATGCCATGATGCGAAGATGGTTAACGCCATGAGCTTTCATTTGATCCAGCTCGATGATGAAGCGAGAGTGATTGCCTCCCACATGGTCGTCGGCAGCCAAATTCATGCAAGACCAGTAATTAAGTCCGGTGAGGTAGACGGTACCCTGACGATCTTTGAGCCTGAAACCATCAACCGAGACGAAATCGTCAGCAGTAATGTCATGGTTTGTTTTGGGAGGATGCGATCCATGAGGTACGGCAGAGATGAGTGTGGGAGTAATCGCGGCTGCTGTCAAGACAGAAGCCCAGGTTGGCACGATCATGCCTGCTAGTTTGATGTTTTTCTTTTTTAAACAAGCAGGAGACAACTTGAAGTCATGACAGCAGCACCTTCTTTATACTTCGTCACCTTAGGGCTTTCCAGCAGCAATTGTGCTCGGAGGTCGATCCTCATGATGGCATGAGGTTGCATTCTTCACGAAAGCATGCTTCTTGCAGCAAGCATGGTCAGAGAGTTGTACAGAAGCCCTCGAGCCCCTCACTGCACCTTGCTGTGAAGATCGCAGTGATTTAGATGTGATGTCTGCCGAACCCCGCTGTGGTAATCGGCGGATAAATGACAGATGGGTGGAAGAATTGTGGAGAGAGCTTGTGCGAAAAGATTTCGGAGAACGATGCTCCGAGGCTCAGATTGGACTATTCCTACAACCCAAAGCCATGCATCGGACTTGCATCACTCAGATTTGGTCGACATGGACACAGCCATGTCGTCTCGCTGCAGAGGCTTGCCCAAGACAGGATGTCGCCGCTGGCCGCAGCTGTGGCCATCATCGATGTTCACAGTAACGAAGACTAGCTCCTGAAACTGCTTGCCGCTCCCGTGGTCTTAGGATATCCCCAATAGCTGAATGGCCCGGTATCAGAAAGATCTTGGTATTCGCCAACGACTGAAGGCGATGTGCTGGATGTTCAGAATGATCGTCGACCTCAAGTCCTGACACCAATTTCAGAGAGGCTTGGCATACATGGTAAGCTGAAGATTGCCGTACGCAATACCACAACTTTTACTACACAGCTGTTCATACCATCTCTTGACACATCATCGAGGGGAGGCACCCTGCCACATATGATGTGAGGCTCGTTGTGTCAGTGCCTGCTCACCCTCACTAGAGCCTCATTAGAAAAGGTGAGACATTGGCTCAGATTGGCATCCAACGTCCCTTCCAACGGTAACACTGAATCCCAACTCGAATGAGATGGGTCTGCAAGGCCCCGGAGCGCTGCCCGATAACTCTTTTGTGCATCTCATCGTCGTCGCCCTCGACGCCATGGGCGGTTTTGATTCTTCTACCCACTCTGTGACCATATCCAACAATGCGTCAAGCAGTTAACTTATGGCTGTTTGGCGTAATCTTGACATGCTTGATCCTATCGCTGCTGACAGTCGTCTTGAGGACAATCGGACGACGAAAGAGAAACTCTCTACAAATGGATGACTGGACCATGGTTTTGACCGAGGTGAGCCTATAATGGACTGACTGTACCCGATGCTCTTGTCATTGATGATGATTTAGGNTTCTCTTCATTCCATGCGCTATATGCGCTTTGATGTCCACCTCGAGAGGCTTGGGTGTCAGAGATGACCGACTGAATCCGACTCAAATAATAGAAGCGTCAATGGTAAGTTCTCGACATATGTTGGAAAGACGACTAGCACCATCTCACATGGTATGAACAGNNTACTTTACTATATTCGACCTCCTCTACTGCATTACTCTTGGTCCACTAAGATGCAGTCTCTGTCTAACCCTGCTTAGGTTCGCTACAGGGAAACGCATGCGACAAGCCATCTATATCATGGTCATGATTCATATCACCACAACCATAGCATGCTTTGTAGGCTTGATGACATTGTGTCGGCCATATCGTACCAACTGGCGACACTTTTACGACTTTCCGGGCTATCCGAAAGAGGGATCCTGCTTCAGGGGTGTCGCTATCGAAATTCTGGTATACATGTTGACAGCAGTCACGTCCATATCCGACTTGATATGTGTCATCATTCCTGGCATTCTCTTCTGGAGATCACGGATGAATCGTCAGAAAAAAGTCATGGCATGGATGCTACTTAGCTTAGGCCTGCTAGCCTCAATAGCTACGTTGGTCCGACTGCCTTTCACGCCATACTGGGTTGCCAAANAAGATCGTGTTTGGGGTCTCGGTATGGCCACGCTTTGTTGTTGTGTCGAAATCTTCTTGGGAATTCTTGCTGGATGTGCTTCTGCTCTCAAGCCCTTCGTTGTCGGTATAGTACCCAAGCTCAGGTCACACTTCTTATCAGGTCAAGACGTATCGTTGCCGACATCGAGTTCAGGCAGAGTACGCGATCTGGAAGGACTAACGTGTTTCTCCTACAACACTACCGATCTCAAGACAATCCATTCCCCAAGAGGTGATGTAATTTGGATTGCGCCCATTCAGGACCTAAGCTCGTCGGATTCGGGATCTGCTCCAACAAACAATCGTAATAGCGTCTGAAATACTGAATGCTTCCCGGACCGACACTCCGCCAGAATGTGGGGCAGAATATTTACCCCACCATCACATGCTGGATAATCACCTGGCGGCTAAAAGCGTCTTGGGGTATGGTTAGAAGAGATGTTGTCTAGATATAGGCAATATGCTGCTGTCGTGTAGCATATATCACTGGCCAGCGCCCTGGTGACTTTTCCACTTTCTGCAGCTTTTAAAAGTTCATTCACCTTTCCAGTCACCAAAGATGGCTCCTCACGCAGACACCGAAACCAGTTCGATCCCACATTCAAACACGAATCAGTTCTCCAACCCACCATGCTCTATGCTGCATGTTGAGGGTGCAGACATCGTCGATGCCTCGGGCTCGAAGGTCATCCTCAAGGGCGCAGGCCTCGGTGGTCACTTGAACTTTGAGAACTTCATTACTGGTTACCCTGGACATGAACACGAGCACAGAGCCGCAATGGCTGAAGTCCTGGGCAAGGAGAAGGCTCAGTTCTTTTTTGACCGCTTGATACATTACTTCTTTACTGATGCAGATGCTGCATACTTCCAAAGTCNNTTGTAAGTATAGTCTTGCTATACCTCAACGTCATTACTGGAGCTAACTTAGTCCTCGCAGGGTCTTAATTGCATTCGTATACCCTTCAATTACCGTCATTTCATCGACGACGACAACCCGTCTGTGATCAAAGACGCCGGCTTCAAGCTGTTGGACAACATCGTCGACATTTGTGGTCGCCACAACCTTTACGTTATCCTCGATCTTCACGCTGTGCCAGGTGGACAGAATCAAGATTGGCACTGCGACTCCGGAATCGGTAAAGCTCTGTTCTGGGACTTCAGACTCTTCCAAGACCAGATGATCGATCTATGGGTGCACATTGCCAAGCACTACGTCGGCAACCCAGTCATCGCAGGCTACAACCCCCTCAACGAGCCGGCAGACCCCAAGCATACACGCCTAGTTGCTTGGTACGACAGGATGGAAAAAGCCGTCCGAGAAGTCGACCCCGACCACATTCTCTGGGTGGACGGCAACACGTATGCCATGGACTTTAGTCACTTTACAAGAATCATGCCGAATACAGTCTACGCCTGCCACGACTATGCCAATCTCGGCTTCCCCATCGAAGGTCAAGCTCCATACACCGGCACCGAAGAGCAGAATGCCAAATTGCGTCGCCAATTCAATCGCAAAGCAGAGTTTTCGCGCCAGCACAATGTACCGTTATGGAATGGCGAGTTTGGACCTGTGTATGCGGATCCCAGTGCGGATTCCGATGCCGAAAAGACAAACGTCGGCAGGTTTGGCGTGCTGAAGGAGCAGCTGAGCATTTATGCCGAGTCGCAAATCCATTGGACCATTTGGCTGTACAAGGATATTGGATATCAAGGCATGGTGCACTTATCTCGCTCATCACCCTATTATCTGCTCATTGCCGAATGGATCGCCAAGAAGCAACATCTAGCACTCGACAAGTGGGGTGTAGTAGACGAAACCGGCGTGTCCTCCACTTACGACCCTTTTCTCGCCGACATCAAGAAAATGGTACCTGAGCACTTGCACAACACAAAGTATCCCCACCACTGGACCATCGAAAAACAGTTCAAGAGAATCATAAAAGAGTGCTTGTTGTCAGATTACCTAAGCCTGGAGTTTGCAGAGCTGTTCAAGGGTAAAAGCGAACAAGAGCTCGATGAACTGGCGGCGAGTTTCAAGTTTGAGAATTGTGTTACCAGAGACAGATTGACCGAGATCTTGCAGGCGGATGCCGCAAAGTCGAGGGTTGAGTAGTGTGGACATGAGCTTTGGCTGGGATGTCAGTTTTTCAAATCCAATATGGTGTGAGCTCTCGATAGCTCCTTCCTTCTCTTGGTAAGCCTGACTAATCTTGAGACTGGGAGCAGTGCTATGCTACCAAAAGAAACACGAACGCTCGAAGATATGTGGGCACGTCGGGATCGTGCAACACGCGTTAGATTTTGAGCAAGTCATGGGTTGTCGAGGGATGACCGAGCGAGCCAGACAAGATGAACCAGTATTCCACCTGCTCTTTTGCCGATATAATATGCTGTTCTCTATCATATCTATATGTGATGTCGTTGCTTTATACGCAAGGCCCTGATTTTCGATGTTTCAAGGCTCCTTTATCCAAGAGTCCAGCATGTCTTCTGGGGCGTCACGAACTAAAACGTGAATGTGGTCAACGCCACGGACGCTCTGCAGCGCAACCCAATTCTTGAACCAGAGAACGTGATCCCTGCCTTTGCCTGTGCCAAAGACAGAGTCCAGTTTGACTGCGAAAGTGTTGTTGACAAAGTCCTCAATCAGTAACCTAGAGTGGTCGGTGACATCACCAGTATCGGGGTCAGTTTCGATAGGTGTTTTTGCCCAGACGCAGATGTGAACGATGCCTTTGTCCAGTCCATACGGCCAGTCGTTCTTGAGAATCCTAAAGTCGTCTTGGATCTTGAATGGGGTAGGGTCACGGAATACAAATGCCGGAGGATCACCGGGAGTCGAAGAGGGCAATGGAGTCCAGTGTAGGCGCTTCTGAACAACGAAGTTCGTGATGGTGCCGTACTCTGCCTTTGTCTCTGAAGACCATGCAATATAGCGACGAAGGTCGGAAGGACGACGCTTCAACTTCTCCAGGCGATTGGCAGCTGATATCTGTCAGGGACTAAAGCACGCGGTGGCTCAACAAAATGGTATACCGATGATTTCTTTGAGTTCCTCCCATGTAACCAACGAAAAGTCCTCATCCTTCATGGCAAGTATCTCGCGGTCAATTGCCGTCAGCGGAAAAGCATGGATGTTTGCGGCCATGATGTAGATTTGTCGTGACGGAATATGGCCGCCCAGGCATGTGCAAGAGTGAAAGTAGCACAGCAGATGCCGGGTTTGCTATCCCGATGAGGCAGCGTGATGGACCAACCCCACCATCGGCCACGACCCTGATCTGCCCGGCCCCAGAGCACTCGAAAGCTTCGAAAGTCGCGTGTTCTTAGAGTCCATCTCGGTCTTGTCTTTCTTCTTCTTCTTCTCGACCCATCCACCACTCGCCATGTCGACGAAGCACACGTACAAGCCCACAGGGCCCTTCGCTCCTCAGTACATCCAGGGTGTTTATGCTCCCTCGGCAATTCTGATCGTCGGAGCCGTCCTGGTCAACAAGACCTTGGTGCCTGTTGCCATCGCCATTGCTGCCGCTCTCGCTGGCTACCAGTTCTTCAACAACCGTGAGTGCTTTTCCGTACCTTTTAATGACCGTGGGCAGCACTGACATATTCGCACAGAGGTCAAGAAGGTGCTTGATCCCACCACTTTCCAGCAGTTCCCCTTGACCGAAAAGATTGTCCTCTCGCACAACACGGCCATCTACCGCTTTGGCCTTCCCAGCCCCACCTCCATCCTCGGCCTGCCCATTGGCCAGCACATCTCTCTGGCTGCCACCCTGCCCGTCAAGGACCCCAAGACTGAGATCACCTCTAACAAGGAGATCCTGCGTTCTTACACTCCCATCACCGATGACACTACTTCTGGCCACTTCGATGTCCTCATCAAGAGCTACCCCACCGGAAACATCAGCAGACACGTCGCTGAGATGAAGATTGGCGACACCATCAAAGTCAAGGGTCCCAAGGGCGCCATGGCCTACCAGCCCAACATGGTCAGCCGCTTCGCCATGATCGCTGGTGGCACTGGTATTACCNCCATGTACCAAATCTCAAAGGCTATCCAACGTGGCCGTGCTTCGGGCGACAAGACTCAGGTTGATCTGATCTTCGCCAACGTCAACCCCGAGGACATTCTTATGAAGGACGAGCTCGACCGCATGGCTCGTGAGGACAGTGGCTTCAGAGTCCACTACGTCCTCAACAACCCTCCCGAGGGTTGGACAGGTGGTGTTGGCTTTGTGACTCCTGACATGATCAAGGTACGGAATATATGACATACACTACCCTCTTTGCGAACCCAATTGACTGACTGTTTCACAGCAANNCACTGCCCTGCTCCCTCGCCCGACATGAAGATGCTCATCTGTGGACCTCCTCCTATGGTTGCTGCCATGAAGAAGGCTGCCGAGGGCCTTGGCTACCAGAAGGCTAGACCCGTCAGCAAGCTCGAGGACCAGGTCTTCTGTTTCTAAACATGCAATCGATCTTAGTCCGAGCTGCGTTTAGTCGGCCTTCTTTGTATTGAAGGATGGTAAAAAGTGTGTATAATTGTCACGATCTGAACGAGGTGCATCCAAGGAGCGAGCTTTTGCGGAGCCGATCTCATGTCTGTAAATGTGTAGATTGTATGCACATTATCTATATTGCATCTTCTGGCCGCCTCGCTTTTCCATCTTTTGTTGACGCTTGCTTTGCGCGCCACTCGAGGCACCCTCGGCGGGCATGGCACCACCTCCCATGAGGCCCTGGCGAGCACCGGTAAAGGTTGTGTATGCCAACCAGGCCGAGTAGAGGGGGATGACGGTNCTTCGGCGAGTCAGTAAAGTAGGGAAGTCGGGAAGAGTATCGAGGTGACTCACGAAGAACCACCAGGCCCAGTCGCCCAGCAAAGTGGTCAAGACAATGCAGCCCCACGACCAGTAGACAACATCCCACATCCATTCTGTCAAGCCCTTGGCCTCGAGGTCCTCTCCAGCTCGCTTCAATTCCTTGCCATTGGGGCCGTCGTTGTAGGTAGGACGACCGACACGCTCAAACCAGAATTGGATGAGCAGGGACGGGAAAGAAAGAAGGAGGTATGCCCAGAAGGAACGGCGCACAAAGGTGAAGCGCAGCAGAAGGTGGAAGGCGTGGACGCCCAATGCGATCAGATGGGTGCGCTGGAGAATGGCGGCATTGCGAGCTGCCTGGGTCTTGAGAGCTTGCTGTTGAGGTTGTTTAGAGGACTGAAGACGAGCAAAATGGTGTTTGGATGCTGACCCTGGCCATTGAGATGGTGTATCGCGATTCAAGCTGCCCCGGTGTGGTTGCTGCAAAAGAAAGATTGGAAGGACAGAGAGACACACGCGAGCTGGCCAGATGCTTTGGTGGGGAAGGAGCGATCGGTGGCTCCCGGCTGGTGACGCGCAGTTTCTCAGGCAGGTGCAGGTTGCTCCAAACAATAAACACAGCCTTGTCAACGCGCATAACATCCTACATCCACATCTTTGCCTGCACTTTCCTCGGCTTGCGAGCATCTTCTCTCTGGAACTAGCTGCAGCATCTATCATCGCACTTACATTCTCTTCCACCTCATCACCTCGACGCGACTTGGTCCCTCCCACCTTCCCACCTTTGCATCCCACATGGACAAGCTGCTTTGAGGAAGCCACGCTGTGGACTGATCATCATCCTCGATTCGACCTTTCAATCGTTCCGCCTCTGTCCCCTCGCTTTATCTCGACATCGCCCATGTATCTACTCCAGACATTCATCCGCCCGACTCGACCCATCACCTGTGTCCTCGACCCCTCGACCTAATCGCTTGTTCTTCTTGGTCCCACCCTTACGACCTCCCTAGAACCATGTCGCACAATTCTACTCTAGCTGCGACACAATTGAAACAACTCATTTACTACCATTTGGACAATGAGTCGCCCGAGGACGCAAACTTTCTTGCCGAACGATTGAACTCCATCGACCCTCGAAACCCGGACTCTTCGCATCTTCTGGCCCTAACAAATTACCGTTTGCGACATTTCAAAACAGCCTATGACTGCAGTCAGAAGAGTGGCGCAAATGGCAGACATCTAGGTTGCGCTTATGTTTTGGCCTTGGCCTGTCAAGAGCTTGGGAAATACAATGAAGGAATTGCAGCTTTGGAGAAGGCTAGGAGCCTTTGGCAAGGCCGTAGCCATTGGGGTGTGTCGGCTCGGTATCTTCTTCAAAGCCCAACAGCCATGCTGACTCGGACAACATAGNGTAAACACACAGAGTCTTCAACCAGGCATACTCCAGACGCTGCAGCTGTCAACACTCTGCTTGGGAAGTTGTGGCGTGGCCATGGCGATTCCAGAAGAGCCGGCGACTGCTACATCGAGGCGCACAAGAGTAATCCATTCACGTGGGAAGTGTTCCAGGGTCTTTGTGATATGGGTAAGAACCAAGCATTCGCGAGTTGCGTGTGGAAATACTGACATTTCAAGNGTGCCGAGATTGATATCGCAAGTTCCTTCAGAATGACCGCCGAACTTGCCTCTTCCATCTCCAGTGCTTCTGCATCAATATTGAATCAAGAGACCGTCAAAGATGAACCACCGCCCATCGCACCCGCCCCAGGTTCGAACAGTGTTAATAATATCCACACTCTTACCCCATCAAACGACCCCTTCAACCCAGTGAAGAATGGCGGAGACATCGTTGCACAAGCACAGAGTAATTTTCTGCTACCGAGGATCAAGTCAAAAGGCATTTTTGGCAACAATGGGTCCAAGCCTACCAGTCAGCCGTCGTGGGACACTCCAACAGCCAATGCCATGTCTGCAGATGAGGATGTTGAGATGGGAGGCCTGCCACAGGAAGCGGTCAGCGCAGAAGATCCACCAGCTGCCCCAACACGAAGATCAAGGACTGCACTCCAGAGACTTGGACTGGATGCCGGAAAAGACAGTCAAAAGGCTCGCGCTGCAACAGTCAGAGGTCAGACGAAGCCCAGCTCTGAATCACTGGATACCGATGACGCGACGAATGCCGCGCAGAGCAGGCGTCTACAACACAAACGAACAATATCTGGACACAGCGCACAAATTCCGGATGCCGAAACGATAACATCTGCTCCAAGGAGGAGCAATCGTTTATTCAGTCAGATCACAGGATCAAAAACAACAAGTCGGGTGCCTGCCGATAGCAATACCTTGACAGCAGCTAAGCGCGACGAGGTAAAAAAGGCCAAGGCTACAGGAACGAAGGGCAGAGGACCTGCTCAAGTGGGTCGTGTGGTGAGTGGCAATCGTAAAGTCATGCCACCAAACCCGGCGGAGATAAAAGACATTCGCGCACCTAGTCGCAATAGCGCAGCTCCGCCTGTGCCATTACAAAAGCAGGCTCTCGAATCAACGGTGGCTGTTGAGATTGCATCGACAGAATCATTATTGTCTACCTTGAGGTCATTAGGAGCGGCTTACTACCTTCTCAGTCGCTACCAAGTATCATCTGCGGTTGATGCTTTCAAAGCTCTCCCTTCAGCGCATCGAGAATCACCATGGGTCCTTGCTCAGCTCGGCAAAGCGTACTACGAAGCGTCAGAATACTCGTCGGCAGAAACATGCTTTGCCAAGTTGTTGAAACTACAGCCGACACGGATCGAAGACATGGAAGTGTATTCAACGGTCTTGTGGCAACTGAAAAAGTCAGTGCAGTTGGCATTCCTGGCGCATAATCTGAGAGATCTTGCATTCAACTCCCCACAAACTTGGTGCGCGGTTGGCAACGCCTTCTCTCTGAGCAGGGAACATGAGCAAGCCATTGCATGCTTCAAGCGTGCGACACAAGTGGACCCGGAGTTCAGCTATGCTTGGACACTTATGGGTCACGAGCTTCTGACCAACGAGGAGTTTGACGCGGCGCTTGCATCCTTCCGCAAGGGTATCGGAAGTGAAAGGCGCGGATTCGGAGCGTGGTATGGTTTGGGCAAGTGTTATGAGAGAATGGGTAAATGGGAGGAGGCACAGCGGCACTACCGCATCGCATTCAGTATCAATCCCAGCAACCCTGTCCTAGCGGTCTGCATANGGAGTGGTGAGTTTGGTAAAGATCCGATCCAAAGCACAACAGCTAACTGAAGATGACAGATCATGGAGAAGCTTCACCATCCCAAAGCAGCTTTGACACAATACTCGCACGCGCTGAATCTAGCGCCGAACTCGGCACTTGCACGATTCAAAAAGGCTCGGGTTTTGATGAGTCTGAAGCTCTATCCGGATGCTCTCGTGGAGCTGGAAGTACTCAAGAATTTAGCACCAGAGGAGGCCAACGTTTTCTTCTTGCTCGGAAAGTGCTTCAAGGGACTTGGAAGACGAGCAGACAGTGTGCGCACTTTTACTACTGCGCTGAATCTTGATGCAAAGGTAAGACTCGAGGAAGATGATGGCGTATGCGCTTGCTAATGAGAAATAGNNGCGTCACAGTACATCAAGGAGGCCATGGAAGCTCTGGACGACTCTGATGAAGACGATATGGATGACGACTGAGCACATTTGACGACTCGACATGATGAGGCAGCATAAATCAAGATATCCAGGGGCGTTTCTGGAGCAACTCGAGCTAGCATTTTGCATTGGCGTTGGTTGATGGCTTCTCGGAGTTAGCGAGCTTAAATGCTGTGTTTCAGCGACGGCGCAGGAATGGTTTGACGCAGACTCAAGCCCACCGGCTACATGGACCTGGTATAGTTCTTCTGGCACCAGGGGTTAGGTTAGGCACAGTCATCGGGATGTGGGATACATAGTCTCGCTTGTATTCTGTATGAAGACCTAGTTTCAGTTGCGGCATGGCTGATGGAAAATCACATGCATGGGCAAAGCTCAGCTTTTGCGTCACGCCAAGCAAACAGTGCAAAGCCGCGCTCGATTTATCAGCACCCAAAAACATTTCCATCCAAGAACGCATTGTTCTTTTCAATCTCTTATACACCTATACGAAATACCACGAATCCATACACAGCATGTCTGCTCACGAACCGCACGATGAGGACGCCAACGTCCCCGAGGACGACGACGAGATGTTCAACCCCGAGGATATGGAGGAAGAATTCGAGGGCGAAGGCGAGGACATGCCCATGTCCGACGACGAAGAAGGAGGAGCCATGGAGGAGATTCTGTTGCAAAATGACAGCATTGCACACTTTGACGCACACAAGGACAGCATCTTCTGCATTGCCCAACACCCCACCCACCCACAACTCGTCGCGACCGGCGGCGGCGACGATGTAGCTTACCTTTGGGACTGCTCGCCGCCGCAAGCTCCCGTCCTGCCCGCCTCGTACGAGAGCAACCCTCAGCCCGTCGAACGCCACAGCCAGGAAGCCTATGTCAAGCTCGAGGGCCACTCCGACTCGGTCAACGCCGTTGCTTTCTCATTGCCCGACGGCAAGTTTGTCGCTACCGCTGGTCTGGACGGCAGACTCAATGTCTTCCACACACCGCAACAACCACAGGCCGAGCCTGCAAAGGCTTTTGCGTCTGCCGCCGAAGTCGAGGAAATCAACTGGCTGTTGCCCTGCCCCAACCCGACATACCCCAACACATTCGCTCTCGGCGCCAACGACGGCAGTGTCTGGGTCTACACAATCAACGAACAGGATGCTGCAAGTCCGCTCACCATTGTGCAAGCATTCTACCTCCACCAGGCTTCTTGTACCGCTGGTGCATGGACGCCCGACGGCAAGCTGCTGTGCACTGTTTCCGAGGACTCGAGCTTGTACGTCTGGGACGTGTTTGGCGATGCCGCAGCCGCTGGGCTGGCAAACCCTTCTGGTCAGGCTGTCGTCGGATTGAATGGCGACGACGAGCGTTTCCTCGTCGAGGGCGGTCTGTACAGTGTTGCCGTCTCGCCCGGCGGTGCTCTCGTCGCTGTGGGAGGTGCCGAAGGCCAGATCCGCGTTGTCGGTTTGCCCCGTCTCTCCGTGCCCGCAGGCCAATCGGCGACTGCAGGAGCCAAGGGCGCCGGTGCCCGCGGCAAGGCTGGCGGTGCCAAGCAAGCAGGCGGCCCTCGTGGCGGTCAATCAAGTGCCGCGGCAGGCCAATCTGGTGTCATTCTCGCCGCGCTCGCTGCCCAAACCGACGGTATCGAGACCTTGTCCTTCGCACAACCGCCATTGACGCTCCTGGCTGCTGGCAGTGTGGATGGCAGTATCGCGCTCTTCGACGTGGCTCACAACTTTGCCATCCGCAGACACATCAGAGACGCACATGAAGAAGAGGCAGTCATCAAGGTTGAATTCGTCAATGCGGGACAAGGTGGAAACAACTGGATGCTCACCTCTTGTGGCAATGACGGTGTGGTGAGGAGATGGGATGTTAGAGGTGGTACTGCTGCTGCCAATGGCGGTTTGAGTGGAGAGTGGAGGGGTCACAGAGGTGGTGGCGAGGGCGGTGGTGTCATGGGCTTTGTCCAGGGTGGTGGTGGCAGAGCTATCGTTACTGCTGGTGATGACAGCGTGTCACTTGTCTTTAATGCACCTCCGCAATAGAAGAGGCAGGGAGGAAGCTGCGAGCAAGTAAGAACATTGTAGATACCCTTTTGGATGCCCAGCGCTCCAGATGAAAATATATTTCTCAAAACTCATCTCTCTGACTATGTTTCCGCGATGACCTCGGCCTTGAACATGTGGTCTTGGTCTTGCGCCTCAACAGTGTCCATTTCCCTAGCTCTTTCAATCCTTTCCTCGGTCATGAGGTATGCTCTGGGCAATCCTTCTTCTACAGCTTTCTCTATAGCCACATCCACATCATCTCCCAGCACCATAGTCGCCACACTCTTTCCACACAACCAAGCATTAGGCATACCATGTCCGGTATACCCACCAAGCACAAAAACACCTTTTGGTCCNGGCACCTCACCCACCCAAGGCAAGTTATCCCTCGAAAAGCCCATGATGCCCGTCCATTCGTGTGTTGCTGCCAACTCCTTGTCTCCTTTTCCGCCAGAAACGAGTAACCTCGGCAATGCAGTACGCAGATATCTCGCTACATTTTCGTCTACCTCTGCATCATCGCTGACCCCTAAACTAGGCCCATAACTCCTGCCGCCCCCGAACATGAGGTGAGCAGATGAAAAATCAGGTCTTTGGATAAGATAGTCATCCATCTTAGGCCCGATGAATGCAAAACTGGTTTTCGTCCTTGAGAGGCCTGAGAAGGAAGGTCCGGGGAGTAAAGCAGACATTTGACCGCGGCAAGGCACGATCAAATCTGCCAGGTGGGGCAAAAGATGTGAGGTATATGCGTTGGTGGCCAATATCACTTTCTTTGCTTCCACAGTTCCTCTGTTTGTGTGGATATTCCAGTGTCCTTGGCTAGAGGCAGTGATGGAAGTCACTGATGTATGGGTTTGCAGATTCAGAGTTGGGGTTGTGACAAGACGTTCCCAAATCGCGGTCACCAGTTTATAGGGCCACAGTCTTGCTGCCACATCTGTTATCACCGCTCCCTTGGCTTCTGGTACTGCTAATCCTAGTGTGAGCAGTTCCTCTGCTGTTGCGACTACCCTGCACATTTTGCCTAGCTCGGGGTTGGTTTGCTGGAGAGTGGTCACGGCATGATGGGCAAGAGTGACTTCTTGGTCTGAGTAGAGGCCGCGGATACCTGGTTGAGCATTCCATTCGCAGGCGATCTTGTTTTTGGAGACCAGATCCGACAGAGCGAGAAAGTTGTCGTATTCGAAGTTGGAGATTGAGGGATCGTGAGGGTGTTCGTAGAAAAGAGGCAGACAGTGGCCGCCATTTCTAAGTGGAAAGGGTCAGTCATGTGATCAAGTCGCTAGACACAGAAGGTGGCATTCTACGGTGTATTCTGAGATGGAAGAGGTTGTGAAGATTGATGTTTTCTGGAAAGTGAGTGCGGTGTGTCTGGGGTTGTCGTTTCCTCATCTTGCTCATGGGTCTTGCCAATTTCTTGAAGAACCAGAGCAGGTACGACCAAGAACATCATGCCAACCCTTTTTACAACGCACTCACCACCAGATCAGGAAACGCAAGAAGATAGCTAACTTGCAGAACAGCAGAAAAGAAATGCAGATGCATTCTTACCTCCCAGTGGCACCCCAACAAACCTCTCTAGCCTCTAGAACCAACACTTCCTTTTTCACCTCTGCATTCCTCAGCTCTTCGAAAACATGATGCACCACACTAGCTCCACTGATGCCGCTTCCTACAACCACGATATCGGTGTGTCGAGGCAAGTCTGTGGTGGTTCTGTGGCCGAGGAGTTTGGGCTCGGTGTGCCAGAATGACGCAGAAGCATCTTTTGATGGAAGACTTGCTGGTTTTGACATTTTTGTACGAGTTTGAGATTGTTCAGGTATAGCGTGCAGAGGAAAGAGTGTTGGTGGTTGGAGTGGAGGTGTCTTGCTCTCGGGTGATAAGGTGCCGAGGGTGGATCCGACAGGGTGATCCGGCAGACTTCTGACCAAGACGTGTTTATGCCGTCAATATGATTAATCCAAGTACTTTGCGGTTGATTTATGCTTACTACGAAGGCCATTATCATAGTACTCACTTTGGGTCCCTATTGTCCAAACCTCGCGACATCTGATGAGATTTCCGACTACTTTATGTCCAAATCCTCCTCGGACCTCCACTTTCCACTTGCTCTTCACTGCACAGCAACTACGCTCACCGATGATACATCAAGACGATGGTTTGAAACGTGTTTAGTGATCGATATTGACATGATATAATACAAACGCTTTTTGAAGCGAAACAGAAACAATGATCGAATCGATGACATCTCCTTCATTAAGCACCAGAGGAATCTGCATCGCAAGGACTTATTACAAGTCTCTTTCCTTCCCTCTGACTCTTTGGGTGAATTGATGATAACAAGCACAAACGCCACTACCCAGCCACCCAAACCCCTCCCTTTTATACAAGACGCGAAATGCAATGCGATTACCAGTTTAATGTGGTGAAAACGGGAGCATCCTATGCTTGTGCTTCACCAGACACAAAGCGAAGATTGACGCTCCAGTCCAGACCAAATTGAACCTTTTCGCGATCGCTGAGAACGACGTTGACACCAGTGTCTATAGCCGTGACCACCCAGGCACTACCTTCGCCCTCTCGGATCGCCTCGAGCAGACCCAGTACTGGCACGCCGAGTGCGAGTACAGCTTCAGGGCGGATAGCCAGGGGTTCACCATCGACAATACTCGAGCTTCCGTCTACGTTGTCAAAGCCGGAAGGAATGTTGATGCTGACAACGCCTGCACGAGATCGGTTTGCCCAGTCGATCATGTCACGAGCCTCAGTGCGGAGATCGTCGTCACGGATATCCGCGTGGCGTTGGCCGTCTAGGAGAGCGTCGACAATAATGACAGGAGGTCCTTCGAGTTTNTTGATCTGGCCTGATGTACTGCGCCAGCCTTCTATACGTGCGGCCTTGCGTCCTAGAGCCTGTAGCGAGTGAATGTGCTTGGCGAGTTGTGGGTGCCAGACGCTGGGGTTCGAGAAATCGAGGACGGAAATGAGCACTTTGAAACCACGGCTGTAGAGATGACGTGCGCTGGCTATCGCACGAGCACCGGTTACGTGATTGCCAGCGAGAATAACCACCACTGGTTTCGAGTTTGAGTTGGGTAGATTGCCGGCGATCTTTGAGTTGCGACGTGATGCACCAGGCTTGAGGGTGCTGGTAAGAACGCTTTCTGCGATACCGCGGGCAGCGTTTTCGGTGATAGCGTCGGCGCTGATGCCAATATTGGAGATTGCATCAGCTTCGGCTTGTCGTAGACGGTCGGGGTGGTAGAGTGAGCAGGGGTATTTTGACTTTGGCGTCTTGAAGTGGGGTCGAGGGGCAGCAGCAGCTTGTTGAGCGAGGCTGAGCTGATTTAAAGAATGCATAGGAGACTGGACAGATGGAGGAGAGCGAGCACGGTTAGGGTTAGGCGAGGAGGCAACAACAGAGGAGCCTCGTAGAGAACTCATGGAGCGGTTGAGGGCAGTCGAGGCCAATGAAGCAGCCAGAGGATGAAGAATGTCTTCCGGAAGGCCACTGTTGCTCATGCGCGAAGGGCGCTTGTTTGATGTACGAGATGGAGCACGTCTTGAGTTGGGGCCACTGCCAAAGTTGAGCTCTGTATCGGCATCTGACGAAGACTCGAGTTCGCTTCCGTGATGCTTAGGCTTCAGGGTTGGAGAGAGGACATTTTCTGTCGGGTGCAGGTTCTTGCCTCCGTATGTGCCAGGTCGTGCGAGTCTGTTGTGCGAAACCAGTCTATCCTCGTCTGCGGTCGTGTCCTCGTTACGGATCTGATCAAAGACAGTTCTCTTGTCGAACTTGGAGAGGTTGGCTTCGAAATCAAAGTCACCCATGTCGTGGATATCTGTTGCTTCTTCGGTAGCCCAGCCGTTCTGATCTCTGNNGAGTCCATTGAGTGGGCGCTTGGCCTTCTTCTTGGTCTTTGAAGATGCAGATGCAGCTGATGTGGGTTCCTTGAGCAGAGGAGTCGATCGCCAGCCCTTCTTGTTGGTACTTGGAGCGATGGTCATGTCGTTTCCATTGCGCGAGACATTGGGAGACAGGGTTTCCTTGACGGTTTGCGCCTCGGTGGCTGCAGCCAGAGGGACCTGGATTGTTCTTGGGCCTCTTCTTCCGCGTCTTGTCTTCTTGGCCGATTGAGTGGCATTGTCTTCGGCATAATCCTGCTCTTGTGTGGTGGATGGCTCAGCGGCATGGGCGACGAATGGAGAGGTGTTCGTGGGTGGAAGAGCTGCAGCGGCAGCCGACAGAGCTTTCTTGCTGGGGGTGACAGGAGCCGAAGGTTGCTGTGGCAAAGATGGTGGAGGAGGCTGGCTGCGAGCAGCAGGCGCAGGAGATTTGGAGAAGCTGAGGATAGCTGGGTCGACAAAGGAAGGAGTCTTCTTGGCCAGAGGGCTCTCGACGCGCGCTTCGTGAGTAGGGACAGGGAGAGGAGGCGGGAATTGAGCGGCACCACGCGAGGCAGAGATGTTGGCAGCAGGAGTGTGAGGCTTGGAGTGAGCCTCGAAGTTGGTCTCGACGACTTGCAGGTCCTGGATCAGGTGAGCGGGCACGTTGTACGAGGGCAGCGAATTGCCAGATTGCGGGAAGAAGACGTTCTCCAGGGCCAGTGTCTGGCCAGCGATGACATGGGCGACGCGGCCAACCAGAACAGCGCCGGGAGGCTGCTGCAAAGTGACACTAATGGTCATACCAATAAAGTCGGCCATGATGTCGTGTGCTGATGTCGGATGATGCGCAGGGCAATAATTTCATGCGCCAGTCTAGACAGCCAAAGACGCCGAAGCCTTTTTATCCCCGACTATCCCCGCTGCACTCATGCACGTCATTTTAGTTGATAGTGAAGTGTCTTGTAATACGCACTACTTTCTATCTACAGCTTGATCTCGCCCTTGTAGCCTGACACGTGAGCAAAGTTGGCCTTGAGTGCCGTCACACTCGTCTGACCCTGCTGCACCGCCCAGCCGTCATTTCCAGGTCCAGCCTTCTCGACGCTTTCATAGACATCCTTGAATTTGGGTGCCCACTTGTAGTGTCGAGGTGCCCATTTGCTGCTCTCTTTTGTGTCGTTCTGTCCCTGCTTCGGCTCCTCTCCGCCTCTGCTTTCCTGCTTCCTCAGCTTTGTCTCTTCAGCGTCTGCATCTTCGACCACACCAGGTGTTTCGTCAAAGCAAGAGCTTGATGACCACTGGTTCTGCAACATCTCCGTCCACACTACGGGCTGCTTCTCCACGCCATCCTTGACAGGGACATTGATTGTGTAAACGCGACCGGCATCCCACTGTTGGTTCTTAGCCAGGTACTCGATCACACGCACGCCCTGTCTGCAGCTCTGTGCCACAATCTTGGGGTCGTTCAAGCGGTCGAAGAATGCGAATGAGATGGCAATTGCCTTTGCTCCACACACAGCTGCCTCGAGAGCGGCACCCAGGGTACCCGATGACAGGGCAAAGATGGCTGTTGTGTTGCGTCCGTAGTTGGGCCCCGACACAACCAGATCAATTGGCTTTCTGTCCTTGAAGCAGTGTGCCAATCCAAGCTGCGAGCAGGTCGCAGGTGTTGAATTGACCAGAACCCATGGCTTTCCCTGCTTCGACTCTTGTGACTTTGGTGATCCATGCTCTTCAGTCTCGGGCCAGTAGTATGTTGCTTGGACCNNTTTGGAGTGTAAGTATCATGACCTCTAGATAGTGTAGCTCGTCCTACGAACATCCTTTCCAATGATATGGGCCTTGCCGATCCATGATCGTTGCTCGCTAGGCAAGATCACAGAGACCTCGTGTCCAGCTTCTTCCAGGGTGCGTACAAAGGCGAGGATATAAGGGGACGATTCGTTCGACGGCGGCCCGTCATCGTTGGTCACCTGGTCCTGGTCAGATCATGTCATTGTGATAGAATCGAAAGGCGTACAAGGATATGCATCGTGAAATGATTGGTAAAATATATAATTGACAAAGATTGTTCAGATGTTCGTTGTTGACAAGCAAAGAAGGTGCTGCCAAGCTCATCATCCCACTTTCGTCATCGTCCGGACATCTTCGCCTTCTTGATTCCTTGACGCAAACATACCATTCATCTTTCTGGCTTTCTGAATCGACTACATCCAGCATGCCGTCGAAGAAGCAAGAGATGCCACACTCATAAGAGTTTGTCGTCGAGGCCAACCACAGAGGTTCATTCGAAGATTTGTACCTCGCATTGCTCGCCGCCTTCCAGGAATCAGAGGAAGCCTACAAGATTTGTGTCACTTCTGCTCGCGCGAATGCGGCAGTATATAATCGAGCCGATCGCATGAAATACTTGCTCGACGAAGGTCACATCGATATTGATAAGATAGGTGCGGCATCAATCTCCTTGGATCATCCCTCAAAGAACTCGCTGCCCTGCTTGTTTCTCGAGGCTGGGACATCAACCAGCGGCAGTTTATACATGGCACGTACAAGTTTCCAGCAAATCATGAGTCCGACAAGAAACTGGTACAGCTTGTTTGTCGTGACGACGAGATGGTTCGTTGGTGTCTGAAACATGGTGCAATTGTCGACGAAACGGATGAGACTCTGCTCGCAGATGTCGCGTCGTTCGGAAGCACCGACACTTTCAAGCTCCTTCGTGAGCATGGTGCGCCCATCAGCGATTCGACTTTACACAATGATGCCTGGCGTGCCAGACCTGAGATGGTTACATTTCTCGTAGATGAGATTGGCTTGGCATGACCTAACTATTGGTGTCTTTCGTGAGTGGGAGCAGAGACAGAAAGTGATGGATCGGGAAGAGCCAAAGACAAAGAAGCGGAAGATAACCAACAGTACCAAATCTGCATCTTCGAAGGAAAAGGGCTAGTTACATGCTAAGAGTATATCTCTTGGCCGCGTCCGAGGAAAAGATGTGAATGGAAGCTTTGAGCTCAACCCGCCCGATGATATTGTAGGTGAACAACATGGTGAAACCTTGTGTTGTGCTTACCGGAGACAGCGAGATCATGGTCTCAACGTGTTGGGTGATTGATGTGGGCGGAGGCTTTTGTCGATGCCAACTCGTACGAGACACATCGTTTGCGTCCATTCTCATTCATATTTCAAAGTGCAGCTTGAAACACATCTCGTGCCTGGCTTGTATAAATCCTTCTTCTGTCACAGCTACGTGACTTTTCCTTGCCCAACGACGTATCTGAGCACCGCAACATCAGACCGACCATTTTGTTCCTCAATCACAACCACGATAGCACCATGGCAAATCTGCTCTCTCTACCAATCGAAATCCTTTGTCAGATCGCCCAGCATGTCCCCACTGGAGATTTGAAGAACATGCGTCTCGTTTGCAAGTCGCTCCACAACGCTGCAAACAGACCTTTCGGCCTCGCGTACTTCACCGATCGCCGTCATGTCCTGTCTATGAGCAGCATCAAGGCCCTGCCAGAGATTGTGACCCACTCAGGCTTGGGTCCGTACGTCAGCTCGGTTACGATGATCGCCCTATCTCCTCTATCACAGGACCCCTACGATTCCTCTCAAATGAGCCTTCTGGAAGCATTCGTCAATTCACGCAGGTACATGCGTTTGATGAAGCAAGTGTTTGACAAGATCCTCAAGTACCAACGTTCTGTCCACATCGGCATCTCTGAGCCGGACCTTGGACAAGGCCTTGGCTGGAAACTTCAACAAGCCTTTGGCTGGGACGATATGATGACCGCTGCCTTGAACTACGACCACTGTCATATGGAGACGCTCGATAACACCCTTCTTGCTGCAATTCGAGCCAACTGTCACGTCCGCTCTCTCGAGTTGAGCATGCACCACTACAAGTTCAAGACCCTTCAAGAGGCTCTGGAAGATCTTCTCAACCCTACCCGCCCACCTCTCAAACTGACCATCCATTGCGTCCGCAAGCGCACCCGAGAACTCCACAGCCCTTATACGATCACCTACGACCAATCAAACGGATCTTTGAAACTGACTGGCTGCGACGTGTACGAGCTTGCGAGAGCAAAAGCAGGATCTACCATCAAGCTTACATTCGCTTTCTTGCTCTCTCAGACCACCAAGCTCATCCTCGAGGACTGCCACCTTTGCTCAGCAGAAAGATTCCGCGCCTTTCTTGAACTCGATGCCAATGCTCTCCGCAAAAATCTGACCAGCGTTCGCATGCAGCACTTCCGTCCCTGCCGTTCGCCTGGAGCTGATGCAAGACGTCACTGGTCAGGGATCCTAGAGTCACTGTCTGAGCTCCATGGCCTGAAGTACTTTGTGATCGAGGGACTCAACCGTCCTCGTGATTGGAAGCTGTTCCATCTTCCTATTACCACCGAGAAGCATGAGATCAGTGGAGATGATGTGGCTAACCAGCTCGAGGCCATGGCTACTCTCGTGGCTACAGAGCCTCAGTCGCATGCCTCTAATGCCATCACTAGCGCCGACATCGATGCAATCGATGCGCTGATTGACTCCAATGGCGGCATGCAAGCTCTCTTCGCACTCAACACGAACATTTAACCACGGCGACTTGATCAGACGCCGAAGGAGAATTTCTCTTACTTCAATCAAGTCCTTGCCATCGAAGAGTGCATACAAAGGACACCATGTTTTGTTTCAGCACAGTCATCCCACACATTCCTGCTTTCTTCTGGACGTTCCAAGGCACGAGCAGGGGTACATGGCATTGCAGGCATTTCAGCGAAAATATGGCTAAACAGACACAAAGACGCAACGAATATCCGTAGTTATCCTTTGAAAAACATGACTTTTCTTCTCATACAGATCCCACTCGAACGTGTATATATAGAGCTTCATCATGTAGTTGTGTTACCATCAACTTTAGAGCAAAGAGTGATGAGTACTAGACCGAGACTTGATGTATGCTGCCGACCATTGGCTATCACAGTGCTCTATTGTCTTCTGCCTCTCGTGCGTTTTCTCAAACCAGATCCATCAGCTTCGAAGCTAACGATCCATGAGAAACAATCAGGGCTGGTGATGACATGCTTATGCGTACGCTGGGGCGGCATGGTATAGTGGCCAAAGGGCATCTCGACTATGCAGACAACATCAACTTCATCGGAGTATCGTACTGCTATTGTTTTAGCCAGAAGGACGGGGCGGTCATGTTTCTTCATTCCTGTTGTGGCTGCGGGAACGTTCAGTGTGACATGTGGGCGTTTCGGATGATAGTCTTTTGGTTCTTTTACAAATGTGAGCAAAAACATATTCAACTTCTCTCAATACAACTCCGGCCGTGTGCCCAACTTCGTATACGATTGAGCATCTACCCCTATACAGACATCTTCATGGCAATGCCCTTGTGAGGATCATAGCCAAGAACCTTGAAATCCTCTACTTTCCAGCCATCGATAGAGAGTTCGTTGTCAGACTTTTCGATGACCAGTTCGGGGAAGTCTTTTGGTACACGCTCTATTTGGAGCTTGAGAGCATCGACGTGATCGCAGTAGACGTGCGCATCACCCATGGTATGCGTAAAAGTGCCGGGTATCAGATCGCACACCTTTGCTAGCATGTGAGTGAGCAGAGCATAACTGGCGATGTTGAAGGGGACACCTAGACCCATATCGCAAGATCTTTGATATAAAATCGAGTGTAGGGTGCCTTGCTTTGAGCCATCTGCCTTGGTAGGGGCGTCCTTGGGGAACGAGACGTAGAACTGAGCAAACATGTGGCAAGGTGGTAGAGCCATCTTCTTGAGATCTGCAGGATTCCAGGCTGAAAGGATGATGCGGCGGTCATAGGGATTGTTCTTCAGTTTATGCACGACCTCTGCCAGTTGATCGACACCTTGGCCGGTATAGTCGGTCTTTGCATCCTTGTACTCAGCACCAAAGTGACGCCATTGGAAGCCGTAGACAGGGCCGAGGTCACCGACTTCGCGATGTGAGAGGCCGACTGAGTCGAGGTATTCGCGCGAGCCGTTGCCGTCCCAGATCTTGATGCCTTGTTCGGTAAGGGGCGTTGAAGTGGTGCTTCCAGCGACGAACCATAGGAGCTCGGCGATGACGGCGCGGAGGAAGACGCGTTTTGTGGTGAGAAGAGGTAGAATCAACCTTCCGGTGTCCTTGTCGGAGAGTCTGAAGCGGAGTTGGTTGGGAGCGAAGATGGAGTATGTGCCGGTGCCGGTTCTNGATGAAGGGTCAGAGATGTGTGAATGGTAGGCAAGTCAGATAAGGTACCTGTCTGGACGATGCTCTCCCTCTTCTAGAATGTCACGAATCAAATCGAGGTATTGGTACTCTTCGTGTGAGGCATGTTGGCGAGGAGCCTTGTGTGTGGGCGTCTCTTCGGGCTTGAGTTGGACGTCAGGGCCGCTGGCAGGGCCGAGTTCTGTTGTTGCTGAAGGGGACATTCTGTGTTTGTGTATGTTTGTGTATATTCAAGAGGAAAGTGCAGGACGGAAAGGCACAAGAACTGGCGGTTGCGGAAGACGCGACACGCGTAGATTGGTTTTGGTCGAGGGCCGAGCGGCCGCTTTCTCGACCGAAGGCCGTGCACGGATGATGGAATTGCGCATGTGAAAGTGCAGGTCGTCTCGACACTTTCTGCGACTTGGACATTTTGGACACTGACAGCGATCATGGCGGGAGACAGACGATGGGCGACCATCCTGCAAGAGATTGCCATCGCGGCAGCCGCTGTATGTCTAGGCCCTACCACTTTCCCATTCAGCAGCCATGACTGACGACAAGATGCGATTAGCNCCATCATGGCCTTCTTTATCATGCGAAACCTACTGGCGCGAATGGATCCTGAAGCTGGCGCCAAATCTGAGGCCGAGAAGAAGGCTTCTGCTGCCACTAGCCGTCTGTCATCCATCTTCGCCAGCGCTCCCGACGACCATGACGACGAAGACTCGGACGACTATGACCAAAAGATGGAATGGGAGAAGCGCTCCGCCAATCTGGTCCTTACTCCCTATGAACAAACCATCGCCATGGAAGTCGTTGCGCCTTGGGAAATCCCCGTCTCGTTCGACGACATTGGTGGTCTAGACGACATTATTGAGGAACTGCGCGAAGCCGTCATCTACCCTCTCACCATGCCCCACCTCTACTCTGCTACTAGTTCTCTTCTCTCTGCTCCTTCTGGTGTCCTCCTCTATGGTCCTCCTGGTTGTGGAAAGACCATGCTCGCCAAGGCTCTAGCCCACGAAAGTGGTGCCTGCTTCATCAACCTGCACATCTCTACTTTGACTGAGAAATGGTATGGTGACAGCAACAAGCTCGTCTCTGCCGTTTTCAGTCTTGCCAGAANNAAGCTACAACCTAGTATCGTCTTTATCGACGAAATTGACGCCGTCTTGGGTCAAAGACGCAGCGGAGAACACGAGGCCAGCGGCATGGTCAAGGCAGAGTACGTATTCGCGATATTCGCTACCGGCCAAACACTGCTAACAAACTTACGATAGANNTTCATGACACAATGGGACGGCCTGACATCTTCAAACTCCCTCGGCGAATCCCAGCGCATCTGTGTGCTAGGAGCAACTAACCGCATTCAAGACATTGACGAGGCCATCCTCCGTCGTCTGCCCAAGAAATTCCCCGTCTCTCTCCCCTCAGCCTCTCAACGCCGTTCCATCTTCTCTCTCACTCTCAAAAATACTCGTCTCTCTCCTCAGTTCGAGCTCGAAACCCTGGTCAAGGTCAGCGCAGGCATGTCTGGAAGCGACATCAAGGAAGCCTGCAGAGACGCCGCCATGGTCCCCGTCAGAGAATACATCCGCGAGGCAAAGTCGCGCGGTGCAAACATGAAGGGCGTAAAAGCCGAAGACGTCAGAGGCCTACACACCGACGACTTTTTCGGCAGAAAAGGCGGTGCATTGCAAATGAGGCGGCAACCCGAAGTCGACGAGTGGGAGGACTCGAGAGCCAGTCCAGAAACCATGTCGGAATCTGATGACGACCCGCAAACCTCTGTGCCGGTATAATGTTGGCTTCCCATAATCTCATGACTTGTCTTTTTTTTTTGTTCTTGCTTTTTGCATTTTCTAGGGCGTTTTACGTTGATGCATTGTCAATATGTTGGACCCCCCTCTATTATCTTTTGTTCTTGATATACCCCCCTGTCTAGAATGCAAGGTTTTCTGCTCTTTGCCGTAAATTACTCCCCGAAGCGAATCTTCATCACCGCTTCCCTTGGATCTTGACTCAGCAAAGTCACGTTGCGTCGACAAGTCGACTATCCCTCGTCTCTTTGTGGGGATGTATTGCGTTTGAAAACCATAGCGATCAAGTGGATGATGGTACATTTCTTCAGAGTCGTCAGCAGTCTTGGAGATCTGCAGCATATCAGGAGGTACGAAGAACGAGAGAAAGGGCTACTGTACAGGTGCACGTGCTCTGGGAGAGTAGTTCATGGTAGCAATATAAAACGTAGTAGTTCAAGTAAGTACAGAAAAAACAGGGAAAGAAGGGACAAGAAAAAGGAGACTTTCATTTCCACATTTGTTCAAAATAGAGAAGGAACAGCAGCGCCGCCACAGCCACCACACTACCTTCTCGGACCACCAACTCTGCCAAAGCCCAAGTTACTTCTGGCAGTGGTGGCGATCTTGTGGATACCCGTACGCTTCTCCCAAGCAGAGCTGCGGCCCTCGACGATGGCGACAATCTCCTCGGCAACGCGCAGGGCAAACATGTCACGGCCACTGCCGCGCGACTTGCGCTTGGAAGCGGCGTCTAGGATCCATTCAAAGGCGGTGCGGCGGCGTTGACGCAGACCCAATGGGACGGGGATTTGGAGGGCGACACCACCACCGGCGGCACCGCGTTGTGAGCGGATGCGCATGAGGGGGGCGATGCTGTCGACGGCGAGGGTGAGGTAAAGGACAGGGTTCAAAGGAAGGTGGGATGGTGGGGCTNNGTGGGAAAGTGTTAGCGGGAGAAGATGGTAGATGGGCAGATGAAGAGTCCACTCACGGGCACCGGGCAAGAGCGGTCTACTGGGATTGTAGTTTGGAGGAGACTGGGTGCGCAGATACGTCAGGATGGTAGACATGTTGCGCTGGGCGACACTGAGCTTGCCATGCAGCATCATCAGGTTGGTGAACTGGCGCACCACGGGGTCGTAGCGGTAGTCTTTGTGTGCATTGCTGGGCAGCGGCAGAGCGGGCAGACCAAACTTGTGTCCAACAGGTGCAGCAGCGATGGGAGTGGCAGGGCCAGAGAGCTCCTGAGCACCAAAGTTTGTGTTTGCGAGAAGGGCGTCGTCGAAGGGGCTGTCGTTGTGCTCGCTCAATTCCTGGTTGCGGCGGGCATATGTCGAGAACGAGCGTGTTTGCGAAGGCTTGGGAGGGACCGCGCCGGCCTTGATGCTGTCCTTGAGCACTTGGGGTGCCTTCTTCTGTGCTTCCTGGTCTTCCTCGAGCAGNCTGCACAATGTCAGTCTCTTTCCCACTCATTCCACAATCCAGCCATGACACACCTCCTGCACCGGTGTACCCATTTCCAAGTCCGGTCCTGAGCCTCCCCGGATCTTTTCAATCTTTGCCGCCTCTTCGCTAATGTGCTCTTGCTGGTTCATGTTGGGTCCAGCGCCTCCGCTCTGCTTGGGGTCCGTTGCGTAGTTGCGGCGCCATGATGCTGCGATCGGGCTCTGGATAGTCGCGAATGCCCTAGGGCGGAAGGCCAATGCCCTTGACGTTGCAAAAAGGCTCATTGTGATGTGTATGCTTGAGNNTTTGTCGTCGTCGCTGTTTCTTTCTGGCGATGACTTCAGTTTCCGTCTGCACAGCGTCAAAGTCACATGATTGTACTGCTTATGCATTGCACAACTCCCGTCGATACGTCCGATGTCGCATTCTGCCACCTCTTTTCTTGCTTTGCTCCTACGCACATCTGATCTCATCACCATGATCGCTCGATCGGTTGGCAAGCGGAAGTAGCATGCAAGATCTATAACACTGCTTGTTATGAAGATCACATCACTCAAGCTTGAAAATTATGCAGTCGCAAGCGACAACTCTAGAGAGCAATCGTTCAAACATTATATCTAGTGCACAAGATTGGGAATATCGACAAGAGACTCGCAAAGAGTGCAGAAACATCAAAATACTTTGTACCTCTTGGCTGAGGATGCATAATCAAAAGCAATAGAGCCATGAGCGATATAGAATACAGGTCAGCTCAATCGATCAAGCTTGATTCCTTCCAGACTTCCACATACAAAGACCGAGAAAGCATCGGAGAACATAGACTGGAAACCAGAGGCCTCTGTCGTGCGGTACCTCTACTACTGCTATGCCGTTCCCTATAATCGATCTAGCTCTGGTTACAAAGACCTGGAACCAGAGAAGCGCCACGACCGACAAGGCCATCGAAGTATGCCAAAATGTTTTGCAGAGGCACCATATCAACCTCATTGCCTAGTGTAGGGCTCGAGCTTCTCAATACCTGTCCTCCCCACAGAATACGGACAAACCACTCATTGTGCTTAGAGTAGAGTTCAAAGACAACCTCAGAGCCCATGCCAGGCCAAACCATCTCCTGAATTTGCAGCAAGGCCAACAGGCGAGAGATACTGCCATCGTGAGCAACGTCATGTCTATAGATGACGGAGTCGTTGCCAGTTTGTGCGGCACGGAAGTGGTTCGCTAACTCTGCGACCCAAATACCGTAGCTGCGACGGGCATACTCGAGAGTTTGAGGGCCAGCTGAGCGGTACAAGAAGTTGTATTCGTACTCACCCAGGCGGAACACCTCATTTGCCTGAGTCTGAGTGACGCAGGTGCCGGTAGTACTGTTGCAGGGTAGAGGTTTTGAGTGACAGAGACGAGCAGAAAGATTGTCAAAATAGTGGTCCCAGGATTGGTGCCAGGCTGTTGCACTGGATGAGATACCAGATATAGCATCCAGAGCACTAGCAAGACCAGATGAGGCAGCCAAGTGAGCGGTCCAATTTGCGTTGGTGCTGCCTACACCATAGGACGAGTAGAGAGAGGATGCAGAAGAGCACGTGTAGGCAGGTTCCAAACTATCGATCGAGGCGGGCTGGATCATCAACGGAACGCTCTTGTCAGATAGCGAAGGATACATGCCAGGAATCAGATTGCTCGCGACTTGAGAGGTGATGACATTGTTGGTCACACGAAATTGGATTTTGCGAGAGTCATACTTTGCTGGCAGGAAACCAAGCAGACCGTGGTAAACGCCAAAGACGTCCTTGCCATGCTGATGGCTATCGTCCAAACCTCCCGAGGTCAATTGAGGGAACTGACATGTACCATTGAAGCCTTGCGGAGCCAAGGGATTTGAGGGAGACGTGAAGACACTCCAGTATGTGGATGCCGAGGTGTTGGCGTTGGCACCAGTAAACGTAGCACCACCGTAGTAAAGACCCTCGTCAGAGCATTCCCACGCATAAGACTCCCGAGGGAAGGTGTTGGCTGCATAAGGAGTACGCTTATGGTGGCGATGGATAACGTGAACATATTGGAGTTTGTAGCTCGAGTTGACCTTGGGATACTCAGAACAGCGGACGTGAGGCATATTGCACCAGTTGTATGTCGCTGCGAGAGTCAGTGAACTGATCGTACGAGATTGATCCACATGTGTACGCCATTCTGCGATATATGTCCTCCGATCTGAATTCAAACCGTGCACGCAGCTGAAGATCTGATGACTTCTAGTATGATAGTCCCTGATCACATGAAAGAATCCACAAAGGCCAAGTCACGACAAGCAAGATCGAAGAAGCGGCGGTCTGATTAACTTACAGTATGGTAGGCTTGCCGGAGTTTTGGACGAATTAAACACAAAACCCCAAACATCAGTGCCGTTGATGACGGACTTGAGGTCGCTGACCTGGGTAGACGGAGGTGCATGCCATGACAAGTCGACAGTCGTGTTTGAGGAAGACACAATCGAAGCAAAAGAGAAGAGTATCGGGAAAGAGTACAGATAATGCATGGCGAACCAGGTAGTCGAGGCAAGCAAAGCAAGTGGAAGCAGATAGGAGAGCTGCCACATGTTGGACAGGTCTGGAGCCTACCTTTTATGGTAGAAGCAGAGTTTCGTATTGCAGGCAGGGTGTGATTGTATGCTTGTATCAAGAGTGGAGTTGATGAGTATCAAGGTCGGCGTGCAAGACTGGAGAGACACGATTGGCTTGAGTCGACGGCAAAGAGCGGCCGACGATGGAGGTTATGCCTGAGCCGCAACAAGTGATTGCCTCCCGGCACACATGGTTCTTGTTGAGCTCATGGATGATAAATGGAAAGACATGATATACTTTGGCGATGAGATATTGGGAAGAGTCAAGACGGTGGTGCAGAAGGTGGAGTTGGCTGGAGGCGCCGTCATCAAAGTCTCCTTGGAAACAGCAGCAGCCAAGCCTTGAAGGAGCATCACGGCCGTCGCTAAACAACACGAAAGTCAACATGATCATTCCAAATTGCCTGTGTCGCACTTTTACAGTCTCTAACATATCAGTCGTCCTGAAAACAAATACTCAAAACACCCCATACAGAAATCCCCAGGGCATCAAACTCATCCAGCCAACATTGGATTGTAATCAAACAGGGTCTGTGCGCATATCTAAGTGACCTCGGATAAGACCATCGCAGACTCGCATGGCCTGAACGATGCCTTTCCGGATACCAAAGCGCAAGGACAAGGGCCCAGGATACACTGCTCTGGATGGACGATGGGTTGACGGCGACAAAGAGCGCCTGTCAGACGATGACGGCGCATCCGACTCGAATGCGACACCAATGTTGCGACGCGCCTCTGGTGCTCGCAGTGCCACCTCGTACCCCCTGCCGCCACGTCGCTTTACGAGATACTTTACCTTGATCATCGTCCTCATCTTGGTAGCACTCGGCCTCACGCTGGCCCGCTTGAGCGCCCTGTCCGAGGCATCATTACGATCTGGTCTGTCAAAACCACCGCCTCCACCACCGACCTGGGAGAGCTTCCCCTTCTTGAAACGCTACCATGGCGGGATTCGGACTCTAGTCTCCCGCGCCGAGAACAAGCCTGAATTTCCAGACCCGGACAACAACACCCTAGAATCCACGGTACAGAAGGACCAGGAACAGCAAACCGCACCATCAGACGACAAGGGTTTCCAAAAGAGAGATATACCACAAGGTCAAAGGTTCAATCCAGTCAATCAGGATGGTCTTGTCGAGTGCTATCTCAACGAGGAGAGGAAGAGCAATGTTCCACAACTATTGGCATACCCAGGCGTACCCAAAGGTTTCCCGGATCCCATCATGGGCTCGTACGAGATATTTGGTTTGAATGGCGACGTCTGCTTCGATCGTTACGGCAGATTAGGTCCATATGGCTTGGGCTACAGCAAGAGATGGGGTGGTAGTGGTGCCGGCATGGACGGTCATCGCGAAGGAGCAGAAAAAGTATGGGACGGCAAGACCGAAATTGACTATCGTGAGGTCAGTTGGGCTCGAGCTCAGCAAAAGTGTGCTCAGAAGAACAAGCATCGCTTCAAGCCTGTGCCGAAAGCCTCAAGTCACTTCTTCACTGAAATGGCTGTAGGAGATCCTGAGGGTGACAAGCCTAAGAGAGAGGAGAAGCAAGAGAAGAAGCCCCTGCCCAGACAAGCTGTTGTCATACGAACATGGCACGATTACCAATATGACGATGAAGACATGTTTTACCTGCGCGCCCTGGTCAACGAGTTGTCTCTGCAATCTGGTGGCGAGTATACCGTCCACTTCTTGGTTCACGTCAAGGACAATGATATGCCCATCTGGAGCGATGAATTCACCTACCAGCGTGTTTTGAACGACTCGCTTCCACTAGAATTCAGGGGCATGGGTACACTCTGGTCAGAGAGACAGATGGGCCTGATCTACGGAGGCATAGCAGAAACCAACTACCGCGGTCTCCCAATCCACGGTGCCTACAGGTCCACAAACATGCCTCTGACCTACTTTGCTCACAAGCATCCCGAGTACGAATTTTTCTGGCATTGGGAAATGGACATTCGCTACACTGGCCACTTCTACCATCTCTTCGACAAGGTCGGCAAATGGGCAGATCAACAACCACGCAAAGGTCTTTGGGAGCGTAACGGCAGGTTCTATATCCCATCCGAGCACGGCTCCTGGGAAGACTTTAAGCAAATGGTTCGCGTGCAGACCGAACACGGCACAGCCCACAAAGCAGGCATGTACGAAAAAGTGTCGGGTACGGAAACCGCTCAGGCACGCACACCTCCCGTCTGGGGCCCCATGCCCCCAATCGGCCAAGGCGACAAGACAGAAACCGAAAACGACCCTCAACCTCCCACCACACCAGACAAAGACAATTACTCCTGGGGCGTGGGCGAAGCAGCAGACTTTATAACCTTCAACCCTCTCTTCGATCCTCACGCCACAAATTGGATCCTTGCAGAAGATGTCACGGGCTACAACACTTCTGCAGGCTTCCCTCCCCGCCGCACAGCAATCATCACCGCATCCCGTCTGTCCCGCCGTCTCCTAGAAACCATGCACCGAGAAACTGCTCTCCAGCGCCACAGCATGTTTTCAGAAATGTGGCCTGGGTCTTGCGCTCTGCATCACGGATTGAAAGCCGTCTATGCACCTCATCCCGTCTACATTGATCGCAGATGGCCGACTTCTTACCTGGCTGCTGTGTTTAACAATGGCTTGCACGGTGCTTCCGGAGGCGCAAGAACCAGTGTGTTTAGTGATGAACGCCAGCACAATTTCTTGGGCACGACTTGGTACTATCATGCAGGCTTTCCAGGTAATCTTTGGAAGAGATGGTTGGGGTATAAGGTCGATGGCGATGGGGGTGAGATGGAGGAGGTCGAGGGTGAGGGTAGGATGTGTTTGCCGGGTATGCTGTTGCATCCGGTCAAGCACGTCGACTTGATCTATGAACATAGAGAGGGAGAGTGAGAGAGCCATTGACCTCCTGTTGATATGAAACACAAAGCAAGAGCCGAGTTTGCTTTGCACAGAGTCGAGTATGATGAGTAAATGCTGTGATTGACGAACACCGAACATCTTGGCCTATCCCACCGTGAATGAAACAATGCAATGAAGAAGATCCACGAAGCCCCCATCGAAGAATGACCACAAACGCTATGCAATTCCCCCAAACTCCAACAACAACAACAAGACAAAAACCTCCATGCTTTTGCTTTTTTTCAATCAAATATGCCCAGGCAACCTCAAATCATACTCATCTTCCACTGGAAAAGCATCTCGATCTCCGACTTGACTGCCCACACCATCGTCGTCGTCATCATCTTCATCATCGCTCTCTTCCTCGTCATCTTCGTCTCCTTCTCCGTCATCATCTTCCTCTTCATCGTCAGATTCGGAGATGTCGCCAAAGAATACTCCCGCATTGCCTTCACCCCAAAAACTACTTTCATGCGACTGTGCGGTCGGTGGTCGTCGAGAATGTTGCTCGGCATCTTTTTGTGCGGCATCTTCTACATTTTGAGGTGGGTTGGTGGTATTGGCGCCAGAGTCCAAGCCTTCGAGATAGTAGCGCATAGGCGACAGACTTCTGCTGAACCGTTGAAGGATATCATAGGGTAAGTTGCGGAAAGCGTCACCAGCGCTTAATGCACGCTCAGTGTTCAAGCGTTGGAGGAAATCATAGGGCAGATTACGGAACGCATCGCCAGCACTCATCGCGCGTTCAGTGTTGCGAAGGCTTTCTTCGTATTCGGCTTGAAGGAAGTAGCTTCTTCCTGTGGGTGAGTGCGGTGCGAAGACTGGTTGTTGGACCGGCAGGTGTTGTTGAGGGATGGGGATCTGTGCTGGCGAGGATGGACAGCCATAAGCGCTATCTGCTCTCTCTTCGTCGCCTGTCACTACAGCCGGTAGTGCGTTTACGCCAGCGAACTCGTGGCGACGGACAATTGGTCGTGCACCAGGTGTTTCAGAACCTAAGTAAGCGGTCTGGGATGTGTTGTAGCCGTCACAATGGGGACACTTTAGACCGAGCCAGTGGAAGGCGGACCAGCCGCGTCCTCCGCAGTCATTACAGCCAACAAACACCTTCCGAGGTACTCGCCGATGCGTAGGGTTCGCTTTTGCAGCGGCAGAGTCTTCGAACTCGTCTTCTGGCATGGGCTGTAGACGGATCTCATCATCGAGTTTTCGCCATTGAAGCTCCATGTTGACGGCAGATTTGTTGCACACCGGACAGCGATATGTGACGTGCATGAGATCTTTGTAGCAGCTTCCATGCATATAGTGACCGCAAGCCAGACTCACTACCGGCAGCGATGACGAGAAGAGGTAGTCGAGACACAAGGGACAATCGCAGTCTGTCGCGCGTTCGACGCAGGGATGTGTACTGCTGGTGGATATAGAGATACAAACGTTGCATCGCTTGCAGTGGACATAGTCTTTGCCTAGACCCTCACCACGACGACAGATGCCACAGTCATCGCAGTGATAGATGCTTTTTGTGCTGTCATTGTCCCAGAGCTTGCATTTTGAGCAATAGTAGTAGGCAGAGTCGACGCCACAGTTGGTGCACGTTGGACTGGCAGGTTGGGGAGTACTGCAGAGCATGCATAGCATGTTGCGTGTCATTTTACGATTGAGTCCATGAGGAAAGGGTAGATTTGGTGAAGCGTCGTGGCAATGGCGGCATGGATGCCATTGGTTGCAGTCGAAGCATTGGACTTTGACATTTCTGCTGTAGTGTGCGCATCCCAAACCAGTGCCTTCGTCGTTGATATGGTCAGCGCAGTAGCTGGGCTCGAGGTCTTGATCCGTGATGTTGTATGGGTTGTCGTTCGATTGGACAGGGTGACAGAGGGGGCCTTGATGGAATAAGTCGGGCATATCGTGGTCAGGGTTGTTCATGGTGATGTAGTCCTTTGTCATGAGCAGATGCATTGCTCTTGCCTTCTCTTCTGTCGAGGCAGCCAGGTTGCGGATCTCGTGCATCTTGGACCTCAGCGCGCGCATGCCATCGTCCTCAGGCAATGACGTGCCAGGCGTCGGCGACGCTGCCCGCCGGTCGACATCCAGCTCCAGAAATTGAGAAGTGTTCGCGTTGACGGCCATGTTGGAGATGTTCCTCCTCTTGAACAGACTCCTTATGTATGAGGCACGAGTGTCGAGTCAATACGTGTTTGAGGGCAGGCTATGTTGGTCTCAGCCCCCGAGATGACGAGCGTTGGGCGGAGTGAAGTCAAAGTCCCTGGGCAAGTGTCGTCGCTCCGTATTGCGTTATATGTATATTTTCCAATGGTCTTTTCAAAGAATTGCAAGTGTCCATGTCACACGACAGGGAAGAGCAGTAGCCCGAGGCTATGGAAAGACTTTTGGTCCGTCACGGCCATTGGTCGCTGTCATACGATTTCGTCCGCCATTCCATCATCATTGACATGTGCAAGCCCGCATGTGATTGCCAAGACCCCTCACGAACCACCTTCAAAACACCTCCTGAACTCCCTTGCTCTCGTATACTCCTTGCTCTCATCTCTTCGCCTCAATTATCCGTATACGCACGTATTTCACATGCTTGGCACCGACGCTTTGGCAGGCTTTTCTCCCATCCCTGTCAGCTCCACCGAGTCCGTAGTGCTTCTGATCGCAACAATTACTTCTTTTGGCATCCAAACCTAATCTCGCGATCTCCACGTCCACCTCAAAATCAACATCATGCCACGAGCACCATGAAGCTGTAAGACTGCCGTCCACCGCTCTTCCACTGGAGGAAAGCATGTGAAAATGGTCTGGGAGTTTTATGTCTTTTCGTCTCGACTCCTTGCGCTATGTTAACAGAACCATCATTAGTGCTCGAGAGACATTCTTGTCCCGCACCCGGTATATTGATTTGTTAGTTAGAGTCCTCAGGTTTGTACAGCATTTGTTTTGGGGACGAATTTGCTTTTATGGCAATCGCAAGCACGATGGCTTATACCACAATTGTGTGCTGAAGTGGAAGTTCACCCTTTGTTATTGGTTCCAACATAACGTTCCCCCACGTACGGCCACAGTCAGCTGAAAACTGGGCATCCCGTCCGCTCTGCCATACATAAGCAGTTGAACGGCAGATTAGTACTACGGTGGGTGACCACGTGGGAATCCCTGCTGCTGTACGTTTTGCACTCCCTTTTGCCGTCAGGCCATCGTGGAGGCTTCCTTTGCATCATGAATAACAAACGTTGACATCTTCCATCATCGCTCACCAACCAGCATCGTACTCCAGAGCTTGCAGCTTTTTACACTAGCCTCGAGCAAATCAATAGCCGTTCCAAATTGACCCTTCCAGCATCCTCTGATGAGAGCGCCAAAGCACAGAGCATCTACTTCCGGGTGTCTTCCTGCTTCAAAGTGCTCAGTGATTATCTCGCCCTCGAGTTCTGCAAAGGGGGTNTTGCCGACTTCCAACTCGTACAGCGATGAACCCAGTGCGAAGAGATCCGAAAGCACAGTGCTGTTGCTCTGTGGATCACGCGGCATGAAGTGGCTATACGATTCAAGACCAAGACTCTTGCTACCTGCTAGACTTGGTCGCTCGTTCGCATCGTAACCAGAAGCGTTAAAATCGCATAGACGAGCGTCGAGCTTTTCGTCAAGTAGCCACTGGTCGAGTCTAAGATCTGATTGCCGAATGCCGTTACGGTGAATCTCTGCGACTCCTTCTACCATCTGTCGCGCCCATCTCTTCAGATCTGCTGGTGTGACGTTTTGTGTCTTTGCGAGGTGGGCTCTAAGGTTGCCATGAGGGTAGCATTTGAGAATGATCGAATCCTTCCCATGACTAATGTATTGGCATTCGGCGATTCGAGGATGTTGTCCGAGGATGAGATAGATATTTGCTTCGTTGCGCATGGCATCAACATTGGCCTGTATTTCCCATGCCTCTCGTTCGGTGCATGGCATTTTGAGCACCAAATTATGAATTCGGTAAGTCTGTGCAAGCCCTCCAATCATGAGGAGCTCGGTTTTTACGGTGAGTTTGTGGTGTGGATGCGGTTTGGTGGCCCTCGTTTTTAGGAATGTTGTTGTGACAAGTGCACCCAAAACGAAGGCCACGACAACTGGCATGGTCAATCCATATCGGACTGTCATTCTGTCGAAAAGGCTCATTATGGTTGCTTTGTGAAGGATAAAATTAAAGATGTGATTGGACGTGACCTGTTTGAGTGATGTATAAGAACGAATTAATCTGGCGCGCTTGTCAAATGCACGTGACAATCGAACCTGCATACATGTCTTCTATGGATTTGTAGGCACCAAAGTGCTCTGAGAATCCCGGCTGCGGTATCCAAACTTCTGGCCTTCCAGTCAACGTATCATCCACATGGAATGGCCTTGGTCGTTGCATGCCGATCGTTTATTTACTCTGGAATCACTCCGACACATCCATCGGTGCCAAATGTTTAACTAGTGACTTAAGATATGTCTCCTCGGCTCAGAACGAACCAAGACAATATGGTATTCTTCATAAAATTCCAAACATGTACTTTGATAGAGATAGATGGGCAACGCAAGCGATTATCCCCGCAACCGTGGTACGCGGAAGACGTTTCGCTCATTGGCTGGTTAGTAGGTAGAGTCCGTCATCCCATTCAGGAGTATGACATGATGTCGCCTGGAGATTGTCTGTCACAGGAACTGCTCATTGATTGCATGTAGGAACAGTATGCAGGTCATCTGTAAGAATCATCAAAGTCGGGAAGCCAACGATACTAGAGTTGAATAAGTGGACAAGACTGTTCCAGTTCGGAGGTCGAAAGCCAGAAGTTACCAAACAACCGTGATGATGTTCTTACAAGGAGTGGACCGCCTTAGTCGCAGAGTTGATCATGGAAGATAGAAAAATGTTGCTGCTCACGCCAACTCAACTTCGCTCAGACCTCAAGGTAGCTTCGTGGGATCGATACCGTCGAGCTGCGTCTTCCGTGCGGCCTTTCTTTGAGCGTTNCTACATTCTTCGTACCCTGTAGGCAGCGCATCTCTCCAACCTCTGTCTGCGTAACACTTGGTACAAAGATTATGTCCGTCGTCGTGAGCTTGCCAGAAGAGATGGGCTCCATTGTTTCTTGTGCGGCCACAACCAGTGCAATGTAATTGAGTCCGCTGAGGATAGGATACTGGGGTGTGAGTTTTCCATGGAAGTTGCTCGCAGATCCAAGCTTTTCTTGCACACCATGCCCGTAACGCTTTCGGCAATGCTACTCGAGCCTTGACCTCGGGGGTTGTAGCGTACTCTCTTGCTAGCTTGACCTCTCTCTGGTAATATTCAGGGTCTGCAGCTCTTCTCGTCCTTTTGCATTGGCGGCTCATTGCGCGTCGACGTTCACTCCATTCGGGATCTGTCTGTTCTTTTCGCTTGTGCCACTCACGATATTCTTCAGTGGTCCAGCGTTTCACACAAGCGCTAGAAGTGAACAGGCGTAGCGGTTGCGAAAGGACATTGAGAAATTTATGTGGACCAGAAATTCCAGTCCAGAGGAATGGAAGCATTGAATGGACGAGGAAAAAAGGTTAGCATGATTGTTCTTAAAGAGTTCTGCTGCACAGCGATAGAAGTATGCGTTTCATGTGGTTAGCCGAAGTTCAACCGATGGATTTCGCATGCAATTCAGACCTGCTCCTGTATCATAGGGGCATACTGTGCTTGTCTTGAAGATAGAAGTGTCCACTTGTCATACTTCAATGTTGACCGAGCTGTAGATTAGGGCCTTGCCTCCCGTCGGCGAGTTTGCATGAACGAGACACGAGGCTTTGCGACCACGGTCATAATGTCGTGAGTGCCATCACCATGAGGGGAAACTTGTCATACCACGATAAGATCTTACCAGTATCTTTTGTCTTATTGGCTACAATGAAGAGTTCGTTCCTGTACCTGAAGCCAATGCGTGTAGGGATGACCATGAATTATCGAGAGGTGACCAAATCGTTTCGTCGATGGGAAGTTGCGCACCTGCAAGTTGAGTCGCATAGCTCTTGTGTTATATAACTTGCTTCACACCTCATCTGCGTCTGTCTCTCTGTTTCTGTCTCTATCTATTGAATCTTCACCGCACAACAGCAGAACAATTTACCAAAGCAACAGTCAAGCATCATGCAGACCTCAAAATTCCTACCTCGTGCTTCGGTGCATATCACCAAGCAAGCTTCCCTGCCATTTTTTCGCACCTTCGCCTCGTCATCAATTGTCATGCAGCGTGTCTCGGAACTCATCAAGCACGACCATGATGAACTGAGAACCTTCAAGGACAATATTCTCAAGGCCACCACCGACGACGAGAAGGTCCGCTGGCAGAACCAGTTCACATGGGAGCTGGCCCGCCACAGTATTGCTGAAGAGCTGGTCGTTTACCCTGCCATGGAACGAAACTGGTGTGTTCATGGCCCTTTGATTGGTCAATCACAGTTCCTGACACAAACANACAGTCCTGGAGGCGAGACCTTGGCCAACAAAGATCGCGCTGAACACAGAAAGGCAATGCTGTCATAATCCACATGACGACTGTCATTGCTAACCAGGATCACAGNNGTCAAGGAGCTTCTCTACAAGTTCCAAGGACTGAAGCCCGACGTCGAAGACTTCGAACCAACTCTTAAGGCCCTATGGAGCGAACTGGACCAGCACATCAAGGAGGAAGAAAATGAAGACCTGCCTCATCTTGAGAAGCACACCCCTACAGACGAGTCTGCCAATCTAGCTGCCAGCTTCAATCGCACTAAAGCTTTCGTTCCGTCCAGAAGCCATCCTTCTGCTCCCGACGACGGCGGACCTTTCGAGACCGTGGCTGGGCTGATGGCTGCTCCCATGGACAGGATTGGAGATATGTTCCGCAAGTTCCCCAAGACTCGTTGAGCATAATACTGGAGCTAGCCTTCATGAAAGCATCCATGATCCAGGCATGAGAATGACTATAGCTTAGCTTCGCTCTAGTACATGATAACCGATAAGTTACCTACCACCTAGCTTTTTTCGAAGCCCTGTTGTCCGTGAGCTTGAATCTACTGTTGTAGGCCCAAATACTGTTTCCCTTTTCTCCTATCGGGGACTCGGACTACATACACAAGACAAACAAGTATATCATTCAAGTGGAAATGGAGACGTGTTACTAAATTTGCATCGAGCGTCAGTGGCCTCGTGACTGGTGAGCTGTGCAGTTTATGGCCAGTACCTAAGCCTCACCAGAACCGATCTTGTGCCGCATTCCAGTGACCACGTTAGTCGTCTACTGAGTCGATCAGAAGAGATGGACGGGCAGACGATGATGACGGTAAGGTTCATGGCTGGGTTCATGTAGAGTATATCCACGAGTTCGGACATGGCCTTACACACTGATAAATCCCCAGTGCTGCTTCGCGACTTGGATCCGTATGTTTGCCTCTGAATTTAATCATATCTATCTCATCTCGTTGTCTTGGCACAGAAGCAGAATGGGGCTTGAAGAATTGCGTCTCCAGGGTAGCTTGCATCGCTAGCTGCATACAGTACCTAAAGGCAGCGTGCCTGAAAACCAGTCAACTGTAGCATGGTGACTGTCTGGGATATCCTAAGAGGTAGGACTAGACTGGTATGCGAATCACAATTGAGTGCTGATTTGTGCTTGTCATGAAAACATAGTCTTGGATGGTGGATGTGTCGGATACGGCGGTAGCATATGCAGGGGAAAAAAAGGAGAAAAAAGAAAAGACAAAAGAGAAACAAAAGAAAAGGAAAAAGGCGGCATTGAAGATGGATGGAGTCTTGGCATCTGCGGACGGATCGATAGAGCAGTTGACTCATGTGAATTTTACGATTTTGTAATCACATCACCAACTCAGCGCCGTCAACGTCGCGACAACTTACCAAGTGGTCCTGCACCATACCATAGGATCTCTGTTGGACGACCATAAAAACAGTCTGCGCCACCTCTTGCGCAACGCGACACAACTTTCGGTTCCGTAGAACGACTCGACCAGAGCAAACGAATTATTTGCGCACGACGAACGAGAACAGACTTGGAGACACACACTCGCCATGTCGTCAGCAGCAGGAGAGGCTGAGAAGGTCGTAAACGTACAGAATGGAGACAAAGCAGCAGGCGCACCTAAGAGAGAGAAGGCCTCGAAGCAAGAAGCTGGAAAGAAGGATGAAGGAGCAGGAGACGGTGACAGCAAGAAAATCTCGGGCGCTGAGCTGAAGAAGCAGAAGCAGGCCGAGAAGGCTGCGCGACGCGAAAAGGAAAAGACCGAACGCATGGCTCAGCTTGGGCAGACAGCAGCAGCAGCACCACAGACTCCTGCAAAAGGCGCAAAGGGTGGTGATGCGAAGAAGGGCGGAGAGGCAGCACAGAAGGCCGGTCCTGCTCAGGGTCAGGCACAACACAAAAAGGGCCAATCTCAGGGCGGAAACCTGCCTATGCGCGGCAAGCCTGGACCCGGAGGAGTCATTCCCATGACTCAACAGCAGCAACCGCAACGGAAGACAAAAGAGGTCGGCTTGTTTGGCCATCTCTACACATCTGCCCCCAAGCGAAACACCATGGATGGCGTGAGCAAGGAAGTCCATCCTGCTGTTCTAGCATTGGGTCTGCAGATGAGCTCGTTTACCGTTTGTGGTAGCAATGCTCGATGCGTTGCCATGCTGCTCGCTTTCAAANAAGGCAAGCAATCATGTTCTCTCGAAAACAACATGTCTAACTCCAGATCACAGGCTATCCTCGACTACCAAACACCACACAACACCTCGCTCGCCCGCCATCTCACATCGCACTACCTCTCCNCCCAGATCGACTACCTTAAGTCTCACCGTCCCATCTCTGTCTCTATGGGTAATGCCATCCGCTGGCTGAAGGATCTCATCATCAAGATCGATCCCGACACGCCAGAAGCAAGCGCAAAAGAAGACATCTGTGCCGCCATTGACACCTTCATTCGTGAACGCATCACTGTTGCAGACACTGCCATTGCTGCAACTGCATGTGCAAAGATTCGCAACAACAGCACCATAGTCACATACGCAAAGTCGTCGATCGTTGAGAAGACGTTGCTGCACGCTTGGGAATCGGGCACTCGCTTCAAGGTAGTTGTCGTCGACTCGCGCCCACTGTTCGAAGGCAGGAATCTGGTGCGACGACTAGCCAATGCTGGCATCCCCGTCACCTACCTCATGGCCGCTGCTGCTCCCCACGCTCTCAAGGATGCTGATCTTGTCCTTCTGGGTGCTCACGCCATGATGGCTAACGGTCGTTTGTACTCGCGTGTCGGTACCGCCGCAGTTGCTATGCTGGCTCATTTCCGCGACATTCCGGTGATTGTGCTCTGCGAGAGTATAAAATTCACCGATCGTGTTGCTCTCGACAGCATTGTGTTGAACGAAGTTGCTCCTGCTGAACAATTGATCCCCGTCTCCAAGTCTGTCCCAGCCCCTGCAGCGGTCGACGCCAAGAAGGACGACAAAGAAGAAGATTCACAAGCAAAGCTGGAAAACTGGCGCGACATGCCGAATCTGCAACTACTGAATATCCTTTACGACGTTACCCCTGCTGAGTATGTCAACATGGTCATCACCGAGTACGGATCATTGCCGCCTAGCTCCGTCCCTGTCGTGCATCGCATCAGTACCGAGAGAGATGTCAGACTGTAAATCTACCACCAAAGAGTCCTTATCCCGCCTTAGCGTGCAAAAAGAAATAGCAACATGATAAATGAAAAGCATTAATGATCATCAAAGATCTGTCGAGCTCGAAAACAGCGCAACCAGATTCGACCCTGGGTGGCCGCAGACATCCGCGCTGTGTGGTTCGGCTCCCGAAAGGGGAAAGGCGGAGTTTTGGGAGAACAATACTAAGCTTCGCCCTTCCCACATCTGAACCAGGCACCTGCTTCGATTTGACACCACGGCAGCCGTTTGCAGTACTTTCTCGCTGCTCAGGACATAGAGGTAACCTTTCTCTGGTAATCGAAGGCACGCTCATCATGCTTGTCTAGGGTGTGGAATGTTCAGTCAGGCCAGATGATTCCGTTCGTGCAATCTGAGCCCTCGAAACCTATCTCGCTTGACTGATTGACACCGCCGTCACATCGTCGAGTACAATACTTGTACTGGTCGCGCAGAGTCTACATAGTGCTACGTCCGTCAAGCGGCAGTTGATCGCCGCTCTGGCGTCCATGTCTTTGTCCATACACAACAATATCAAGACCATCAACATAATGCTTACTGGATAGAGATTGATAGAAAGCAATCTCCGCAGGTTGCTTGGGTCCTCTCTGTTCTTTGACATTCTTTTCCTCTTCTTTATCATAGGACAAATCACACGAACCAGACCATCCCAGGCCAAGCCAACACGTTTCGACCCAGCCAACACAAATCAAGTCTTCCAAGTCAAAGACACACCTCTCGCATTGTCCTGCATCAGATATATAATTGATCTACCCATCCACAGTCACCATATCACTTCATCAAGCCAAACAAACTTACACACTCATTAGTAAGCTCCCCATTCACACCATCAAAAGATCTCTTACTCACAAAACACTCACAGCTTCTCAAGTAACCCACCACTTCAACTCTATCAAAATGGTTGCCTCCAACTTCTCCACCGACGCTCCCGTCAACTCCTTCACCTCCCAGGGTGCCAAGTTCTCCGGCTGGGGCCACAACCCCTGCACTCTCCAGAAGGGTGGCCGTGGTCAACTCCTCGAGGCCTCTTGCGTCCTCCAAAAGGGTGGTCGCGGTCAGCTCCTTGAGGCCTCTTGTACTCTGCAGGGACGTGGTCAGCTCCTCGAGGCTTCATGCACTCTCCAGGGACGTGGCCAGCTCCTCGAGGCCTCGTGCACTCTCCAGAACAACTAGATTGTCACTCTATCCATGAGTGATTAGTCTTCGGTTGAGGAATTTTCTTGGGTTTGACATTTTACACGTTATTGTACCTTCTTTTCTGGTTTCTGCGAATCTCTAGAATGGCTGTCGCCTGGCTTGCTGGGTTGACTTTGCTATCTGAGGTTTTCTTTCTATCGAATCTATTCTTTGCTGTTTGCAAACGGATCTAATCTTCCCACTCTCTTCCATTTCACCGCGATGTTTTTCGTTCCAATTCGAAATGCTCTTTTGCCGTTGTCTGTTCTTCGTACCTCTCGTGGTGGTGTTCTACATCGCGTCTTCCATCGTTGTAGTGGTAGGCAACTATATCGGATCCAAGAGTGCCGCCGCATACTCCACAGTACATCTTTGCCGATTGGGTGGTGTACACTACTGAATCAGGCCTAGCTTCATGGTGGCGAAGATCGCTCCGTGGAGATCGTGAGAGTCCAGTTGACTAAATCCAGTTTCTATCTCTGGTTTACGAACACTGTCCGTCCCATCATACATGCGTCGCCAGGCAGAGGCTGCGAGGCACTGGGACGGAAGAAACATGCTTGTGCGCCACGTGTGCTGATTTTAATCACAGCTGAAAGGTACTGTATTCTAGCCTTCTAGGTCACCGGCCCTGCTGCTACGCGTTGGCTCGCTTACGGCGTTGAGTTCCAAATAGGTACTCTCTTATAGGTACGTACACGTAAAATATCCTAAAGGCCGGCCCAGAAACGCCACCGGGTGATGGTACTGTCTTCTTCTCTGAGACGCTGCTGCAGTTTCCATGTTGTGAGAATGGATATCCCGACCACAGATCGGTGGTAAGTTGGTCCCACCGTGCCACGTATCAAATACTGCTATCTTGAAGTTTGCACAACAATTTCAATACCTGGTATGTCTTTGCGATGTCGTAGGACGGACTGACGATTGTTCAGCTGCTACAGCTCTCATGTCAAATCTAGGTATCTAGCTTAAGCTCGCCCTCAAGCAGCCATAAAGCATCCTGTACACGAATTCGAAAGTGACAGAGAGTGAATTGGAATTAGCCGCAACATTAAAGAGCTGGTATTGTTCGTACTGATTCTAGAGCAATGGTTGCAAGGGGGACCGAAGATATAAGGCACCATCTGGCCTTCGTCCAGAGCGTTTCTCGGATCAGATATCATATTTCAATCTTGAAATTCCCTCACACCAGAAAACGCAAACATGTTTCGCACCCAAATGCTCCCGCTCACTATGGTGGTTGTCTGCCTTTTCCAATTATGTTTCGCAGCTCCCCAACTCGAGGCACGCGGGGGCACTGTGTGCTCCAGCGGCATATATGGAGAGCTTGCACCATTCCTTGTCCAGTATCCATTGGCTCAGGTATACTGCTCAGCGATCTTTCCAGTCAAATGTACGTCTGCTTCCTTGAGCAAGCGTGTCGAAGCAGCTGCCAAACCCGGTTCCTCAACCAAATCTTCGACCAAGGCGTCCACCACGACCAAATCATCAACGACGAGCAAGCCATCCACCAGGACCACCACCTCGACTCAGAACCAGCAGGTCTCTGCTTGGTCAAAATGCCAGGTTCAGCCTGTTAGTGTGATTTCTACGCTTTGCTCGTGTATCGAAACCCCAAAGGTAAGTTCCGACCAGATGCACCACACTTGGTCCTCCGCTGGAGACTCATCTCATACTTGACGAATACTTACTCAAGTGCAAAGCCATGTCCCACGAAGACCCCTACGACGACGGTCTCGACGCCTTCTTCAACCAGTAGTTCCACCAGCTCTATCATATCGACAACGACGACCCCGTCTTTAAGCAGTAGTTCCACCAGCTCCACCACATCGACAACGACGACCTCTTCCTCCAGCTCAACCACATCGATAACCACAACCTCTTCCCCCAGTTCTACCACAACAACGACAACAACAACAACACCACCAGCGGCGTCAACACCAGTAAAATGTTCAACCACCTCGTGCAATGAGGCAAGTGTCGATCCAGCCTGTGGCACAACAGGGGCATGTTTCTGCGTACCAGATCTTCCCAGCGGACAAGGTTACTGTACTGATATCAGTGGCTCTCATTCGGACTGCGCGAGTGACGGCGATTGCGTGTCTGGAGAACAGTGTTTCGACGTATGCAGCGGTGGGATTTGCCTCAATGTCGCCAATTGCGAGAATCTCGCAAGTGCGAAGCGTATGTTTGCAAGAGGACTAGGAAACGGGGTGGGTACAAAAATCAAAGTTGTCGATTAGGATTTCAGAAAAGTTGTGAACTTCTCTGAGAACTCTGTTGGATCCATTCCTGCTTCAGGTCTGGAGGGGTCTTGTTTGTGATACGGCAGAGATGGGCGTTTGGGAGACCTGTTTATAATTGTACTCTGTCGTCCTGGATGATACCGCGTAGAGCACGATTGCACACCAAACCAAGAAGCATGAGACGGAGGTATAAAGCACTGCCATCACTTCCTAACATGATGATGTGCGTGGAGTAGGATTTTCGAGGAGTGCATCTATGCAGCACCATGTGTGGTCAGGATCCAATTTGTTGCAGAACGCCAGACACAACAAGAACGTAGGTCTCGCAGTTTCTGACAACCGATGATGTTACCCCCATCTCGAACAGCTAAAAGTGTTGGGAGGATTTCAGTTCGGTTGGAACACTGGAACTTGGGAATATCAACCAGATCGGCAGCGGCATAGTTTTTACCTCTTTTGCCGACGAAAAACGAAGGTGAAGAAACTCCTAATGCAGACTTGGATTGGCGTGGGGTCATATATCTTGAGAGCGACTGCCTTGAAGGTATCGTGGCACCAGTCAGGATCTTCGACACGATTTTGGAGTCCTTAGAATGGTATGAGATTTGGATAGACAGGCGATACCGTAAACGGTTTCTGTCGGACTCGGTCGAGGAGTTTGACTAGATCTTGCCATTGCATTCATCAGAAGGTCTAACATCTCTTGAGTTTTGATAACGGCTCCGGCTATTGCCTGAAACCCATCCCTGAGAAGGAAGCCTGCTCGATTAGTGTCACTTGGATCTTATATAGATCTCTGGTACTTTATATCCTTGCAGCTACCGGTATCGCACGTATATCATACGAAGAGATCGACTCGTTGAGCAAACTGGCATGCTTGAAGAATAAAATGCTCAAAGCAGGAAAAACGATGCCGGCATTACTCAATCGGGGAATAAGAAATGGAGAGTAAAAAGATGATTGAACCAAATGACTTTTTGCGATTTCTGTAATGACTAAAAAAGAGAATTGCAGGAAGAGCGGTTGTTGGGGGATACTTGAGAAGAGCATGGAAAGATTTCGTGCCATCTTGCGTGGTAAAGGTGTGTATGTCAAAAAGAAAGACCCCAGTGGCAGACATTACAAAACAAAGCATTTTTTCCCTTTCCTTCTCAAAACTCCGGTGCCGGTGGGGTTATCGAATTTTGCGTTGGGTTGCGAGGATGGTTCGGGTAGGTGAGGGAAAACAGGTCGGTCTCGTTACTTTCGTTCATGGGTCTCTTTACGAGGCCATGGCGCGGTTGCCTCCTCTGCGGTTGAAGTTCTTGGTCTTTGCCGAGACGGTGGACCAGCCATCGTCCTCCATGGTCTCAGCTGTCGTTTGGGGCTCCTCGGTCTTTCTCCATGAGTCGCCGCCCTTGGCGGGGACCTCACGTGTGATCTCTTGGGGCTTCACTTGCTTGTCGTCGGCAATGGTACCCTCGGCATCGGCATCGACACCCTCCTTGTCGTTCTCCTCATCCTCTTCGGTGCGGCGGAGGATCTCGTATTGCTTGCTGTCCTCGCCCTCCTTGTTCTCGCCCTTCTCGGCCTTGGTAGCAGCCTCCTTAGCACGCTTCTCCTCACGGGCCTTGTCGTCTGCCTCCTTCTTCTCACGGATGGCGAGCTTGCGCTTCTCCTCAATTTCCTGCTCTCTCGCCGAGGTGTCGATGGGGCGGGCAGCACCGAACGGCGATGCCTTGGACGAGGCTGCGGCGTTGTTCTCGGCGGGCGCCTCTGACACGGTGCGCTTGGCGAGGTTGAGTCTAGGTCTCTGTGCAGGGGCGGAAGGCGAAGTAGGGGTGCTGGCATCGGGCGATGCGGCGGGCGAATCGGGCTTCATTCTGGCTCTCCACTTGTCGTCCATGTCTGCGGCGGTGGGCTGTCTCTCAGGTCTCTCGGGTCTAGGGGGTCTCTCGCCAGTTCCGGAAGCGCGGTCGGCAGCGCCCTCACCCCATTGGGGAGCGGCTCTGGGTTCTCTAGGTTCTCTGTTGAAGTTGGACTCTCTACGCTCACTCGTGGGTCTGGGCTCAGCAGGGGTGAGGGGACCCTTTCTCTCCCAGTTTCCAAAGTCGCGGGGCTTTGAGTCGACGCCCTCAGGGGGCCCNTGTCTGAAACTACCAGCTCTGTCGCCCATGCCGCGGCGCATACCGCCATCACGCTGTCCAGGAAGGTCGGGAAGAGGGCCCTTGCGGGTCCAATCGTTGAGTTCGCGCTGAGGTTCACGGTCCTTNGGCTAGGATATTGTGAGTAAAGGCTTGCAAATCTGGGCGCTTCTAGACTTACGTGGGTCGGCGACGCTGATGCGGATGTTTCTGCCCTGGAACTGGGTCTCGCTGAGAGTAAGAGCCTTCTTCAAACCGTCAACGGTACCGAACTCGACGTAACCGAAGCCCTTGGGTCTGCGGTCCATCTTGTCCTCAACAATACGAACGCTAGTAACCTCACATCCGTCAAGGAAATCGCGGACGTCGGCCTCGGTGACTTCGAAAGAAAGGTTGCCAAGGTGGGCGGTGTATGGGGGCTTGTCGGGCATGGGAAGCTGCTCACGGACGGCGTAACCAGCGGTGCGGTCTNNGACAGTGGAGTGTGAGATTGTGTGCATGTCTGTAGAGACGCAGATTGTCTTACCGCGGAAACCACCAGCAGCGGCATCGTCGCCAGCAGGGGCAGCGGAGCGGGAAGAGGCACCCCAGCCGCCGGAGGAAGTGTTGGTGCGAGAAGATTGGTAAGGAGTGGCNTGATCAGGGCGTTAGGCGGTCGTTCGTTCGTTCGCATTACGTCAGGTGAGAAGTGGTGAAGACATACAGGCTGTTCAGTGTTAGTGCTGTTCGTCGCTGTCACATGCGCATCTTGACATACCAGGAAGAGGAGCAGTCTCCATCTCATCGGCCCACGAGCCGAGCGCNTATGAAATTTCAGCCATGTTTGTCTTTGCGACGGAGTCGGGCATGCAGCGCATACACTGGTCGTTCAAGAAGTCGCCGAGCGACAACTTCTGCTGTTGCGATTTCTTGGGTGCTATTGTCCGGGCGTATTAGCACTCGTGCACTTTTTTGCCTGTCTGTCGCCGCAGAACGCATCGCTCGTTCGGCGTATGCGTGTAGGTTGCGCCGGCCGTATGTCACTAACCCATGATTGCGGATTGATTGAAGACGCGCTGTAAAGTATGCGCGAGTGTTTCTGGATTTGTGTCTGTAGTAATGAATCAACGAGATCCAGTGCGAAGGGAATATCCAAGGCCCTTTCGCTTTCGCTGATCAACGCTGGGGCGCTGAACTTCTTTGCCAAGACACTAGCCTGTAACAGGCAACGCTCATCCGCCATCTCGACCTCTGCTCCTTCCTCGAGCCGTTGCTGCTCTTGACCGCCCGTTCTGAATTTGTATCCGTGAAGAATGGATCGCAACCAGGTAGCTCGGTCGCCTCAGGCGGAATCCATCATCGGACCTGCTCTCAAGATTGGTGCCCTTTCTGGTATGTACATTCACCTTTTTCATCTCCGACATCCAAGCCACGAAATAAAATGCCGCCCGGTTCCCTCTATGATTGAATATCATCGAATCGTCCTCCTATACACGGGATTATTATTATCTGGAGCCACTAATTCTGCTGGTTCTGACACACTCCACANNGGGGCAGCTGGTTTCGTCACTGGTAGTGTTGCTGGCGTCATTCGAAATTCTCCTCCTCTTCTTTTTGGTCTCGGCTCTGGCATTCAATGGTTCGGCTTGGGTACTACATACTGGGGTGAGTCCCACTGATTACGCATACTTCGTCTTGTACTAACCAACTCAGGCACGAGGAGCTTCATCTTCCAAGCATGGGACACTGGTAAGGGCTTGACCAAGAGCGACAAGACATCTGCTAGCACTATTGCCGGCGGTGTAGCTGGCAGCGGTGTTGGCTTGCTCACTCGTACGTTTCACAGAGTCTTCCAATCTTGTTCTCCAACTAAACCTTTCAGGTNNGGTCCTCGCAATGTCATTCCCGGAGCCATCATGTTCTCGCTCTTTGGTTTCCTTGGACAGACTGTCTCCAATTACTACGACAAAACTGATATGCCAATACCGGACGAACCACAATTGAACTTCTGGCAAAGATTCGCCAGTCTGAAATGGATGCCTGTCACTGTCCTCAAGGACGGCGAGTATGAGGACATGCTGCGTGAAAGGCAACTCAAGCTCGAAGCAGAGATTGCGCTCGTAGATGAGCGCATCGAAGCTCTAAAGACGCAGCACGCTAAAGCGCCTTCTACGGGTAACACCGCTCCATGAAGGTACTCGATGACGAGTCAACGATATCAGCCCACTACTCTGCTAGCCAAGCAGATTACCATCGTCCGGCCAGGCATCCACTGAACGCATAAGTCTGCAGCTTCCTGTTTCTGGAACGCAAGGATGCCCTTGTGGAGAAGAACTGGGGACGCTGAATGATTCATGGCAGGCATACTCCTAGACCGAGCGTCTACAAGCTTCATCACGAAGTAGCTCATTGCGAACATGCAATGATTCGCAGCAGTACGAGCGAGCCACACAGATATGAGGCGGTCCCAGTAAGCCAACTTGCGGGTTTGAGTCGCCGTTTCGAGCAGACGGAAGTAGGAAGATACTCTGTCAAACCTCAAATTCATATGCATCGCAAGTCTTCTTATCTACCTTGTTGAGTTGCTTTCAATTTTCTCACCCTCACTCACAATTTTCTTTTTCCTTATCCTAAAAAGACAAAAGAAAGTCACTCGTCTAGTGGTCAGGAGATTTCACTTACCGAAGGTTATCCATCTGTCGCCCGACCGCCCTATTGCTAGCCCCGTCCATATGCTCTCAGATCTTTACNCGACCCGCCTGAGGNTGTTTGTAACGATCCTGTAGNCCACAGGCGCCCCTTCACCCAGACGTTGCTCGAGGAGTTTCACCTCTGGCAAGATTTGCACCCTCACCACGAGTCTGACCCTCTTGCCGGTTGAATAATCTGCGAAAGTGGAGGTCAGTAGTGATGTCAATGAGGGTTGAACTGTGGTTGTTAGTGAGGGTGTCTAGAGTCGGTTAGCTGACTGGAATTTGAGGGGTGGCAATTCTGACCACTAGACTAAAGTGACATTTGGATGTTGCAGGTGATCTGGATGGTCTATCTCACTCCGGGTTTGGCGATGGAGTAGGTGGAGGCTCGCGAGACGCGTTTGTTATGTGTAGGCCTCCCATACACAACAGGCTTCTGCTCTACAACGCTCTGCTTCAACTCGCGTACGCTTCACTGTTCACCTTTGCCGGCATTACTCTCAGCGCTCCATTCCTGGAAGTCTGCACATTCATTGCGAACCAGGCATATATCATCTAACGTTCCGCCGCAACTCGCGTACGCTTTTTGGCGTTTGGCTCAGTTGGCATCGCTATCACTGCACTCCTGAAACCTAGCGCTTCACCTGTACTTGGCCTCGCTCCGGCTTTTCAGCTTCCATCTACTCTGTTCTTCGACGATCTAACACTCCGCTGCAACTCGCGTGCGCTTCATTGCCTCTACCTTCGCCCGCATTATTCTCAGCGCTTTGCTCTTTACCAACCTTGCGCTTCATTACTGCTCAACCTCGCTTCACCTTACTGCTCTGCCTCCCAAACATCGAACACTCCGCCGAACATCAACCGCGCTTCCTCGTAGCTCACAATTCAAGATGTCTGAAGTCATGGGCCTGCGTACGCAGATCATGGGTATGTTCTTCCGTATACGCTCACAGTATTACAAATGCTAAGAACCATGACCCAGAGAACATTCTTGCTCTTGAGCCCCAGCTCCTTGAGCCCAGATGGCTGCTCTACTGCGAGATCAAGTTCCATGACGTCTTCACCGAGGGCGATTCGGGTGATATCATCAACCCTGATGATCAGACTTACACCAATTCAAATGCTGGCGAAGCCAACAAGTCTGAGTACGAGCTCTACACCGTCGTTCTCGCTTTTTCTGAGCGCTTCGGCAAGAGCACCACCATCCGCATCTGGAAAGCTTCTGCTACCACACCTGAGCTCGCCTACAGAGACTTGCTCAAGCAGACCGCCCTCGCACTCACCGACCACGGACATGTTGCTATGTGACGTTATTGAGGAGCCGGGTCCACGTCGTGAGTTGCTCGGGCTCGTCCTTCGTCTCGCCGAGCCATGCCAATTATGCCACGGAGACTACAATCAACATATCGAGAAGAAGCCTCGATGTCGCGGGATAGCCTTTTTCTTACACTTGGTTCCGGCCGGGTCGATGACGTGAGTTTACATGGACTCGTTTCAACTAATCTCGAGCTAACTCACAATCTCATGCAGACAACACTCAGTACAATCAGTATAGTTTTCGTAGTCGTGGGATAGCTGTTCACATTAGTTCTGGTTCGGTACCGGAGGCTCCATAGGAATTTTCAGACAGTTTGCTTTACTCTCTTTATCATTCTCCATGTGACTTTATACCTATAACAATGCACAGTGATATCTGATAGTATACAAATTCTCTAGAGAAAGCTCAAAGGATCTCTACATCTCAGTGGACACTGTCTTATCTCAATTAACACTATGCATCTCTATAGCTACCTATACCCGACCTCTCTTACATGAGATGCCAGCGCGGGCATAGTCCATCATTTATGGCAGCTCCCTCTCCCACAGCAATACGAGACACTACGATATGCTATAAAAATGCAGAAGTGTATTTGATAGCAAGGCTATCTCCATAGAGAGCCTTCTATTTGCCCCTCTCTCACTGGACATGTTTCGAACTCTGGATATTATCCTGCATTTCTATAACTACTTATCGTTGACTCTTTCTGTAGGAGATATCAGTTAGATGTAGATTACTGCGTATACCTGGATGATGTCTCACAAAAACACATGACATTGTTGCAAGCTGTAGAAATACAGGAATGTGTTTGATATTGGAGATGTGTCCGCAGAGAGCGCTTGGAGCTTACATATCTCAATGGAAACTATGCCAATCCTGCAAAGTATCATGCATTTCTATAGATACTTGAGACTGATTGAGCTTGCCGGGAGGATAGATCATGATGTGAGACTTGGCCCTGTAGTTTGCTCAAACAGCTTTTCGTATGGGCAAGCGGGAAGTTTAGCGACGACTTTCGAATCTTTCATCCAAAACTTTTCTTCCTTTCTTCCATCACAATCAAACTGTTTCCAAAGGTCGAGGCTTCTGTATACAAAGTATATGTCGAAACCCTCCGTGGTTCTCGCCGTTAATTCAGAAGCATGGTTTGTTTGGCTCTGGTCATCGGTTCTTTTGGGATAGTCCGCTGCTACCATCTTAGGCTTCACTCAGAAGATTGGTTCGGTCTCACGAAACGACCATTAAGATCCTCGGTTTTCTTCTCGTAAACAAGTAGTGGTCTGCTTGATGTCGTGGTTTAGTGGCTGCAACCTCCTTTTGAAGCGCTTCGATAACAGAGATCTATAAACCTCTTTCTTCTCTTCGACCCCGTCTTGCCTGCTTCTCTACGGCACTTCATGTTACTAAGCCTAGCCCATGTCATATGTTTGGTCTTTTACCTTTTGGTGGAATGAAAGAGGGATATCAAAAACTTTGCAGACAACGATCGGTCTAAGACGCCACTCTTGTATGCAATCAAAAAGCTTTCTACCAACAAACTTCTCATCATATACAATATGACTACAACTCAGCTCTTCTCAGCTCGTCGGCACTCCTCATCACTTCTCAAGTTGACAAGCAGCAACACAAGATGTCTGCAATCTTGGTTCTCCAAGCCCAAATCCGTGGTAAGAATAGCAAGAATTGAATGATCCCGACACTTGGAGAGATGCTAACCATACTGTCCCCAGAGAACATTCGCATCGCCCACAATACGGACCAATTCCATTTCAAATGTTCCTATGTTGCCGACAGCAACCCTGAAGTCTGGACTGCCAGGATTGGCCACTTCGTCGGTTACGCTTCCGGCCCTACTCAGACTCAGACCTATGTCGAGGCCAATGGTGGAACTCCTGAGATGGCTTACAGAAACTTGTTGGAGAAGACTGCCTTGATGGTTACCAGAGGTCAAGCCAACGAGACAGAGGGTTGAAGGAGTTGGTGTCCTGCTGATTGTGGCTGGCACGAAACAAACCCCTGACGCGTCCTTTTGCAGACGACTACCCTTGACGAAGTTGGTTTCTGCTTTCTACTTGACTGGTCTAATCTTTCCTTACACTGTCATTCGGTCGTCGATTACTTGCGTCACATGAGAACCATCAACTCGGGTCCCGCCACGTCGGGTCACAAAAGAACGTTCCGGCAAGCTCTTCGCGTCCGTGGAACAACACTTTCTGTCACTGTACAACTTGCTCTTCCTTCTTCTTGCATCGGCAAATCAACACTTTCCTTCCACTCGACAGCACATATTCGTTACTACACACGATGTCTGCTATCCCAGGCCTACGCACTCTGATCCTGGGTAGGTCCACCATCCCAAAGGCCAGGCCGAAACTAACGACTCTCAGACAACCTCAAGATCTTGGATCAGGAGAACTCCAACGACAACTTCTTCTGGGTCTGCTGCGGATCTGGTGATCGTAAGGTGTGGATTGTCTTTCTCGGCACGACCAAGGATCTGACAGGAATCTCTTTCAGCGGCCCTTATCCACCTCGCGCTTGGAGAGGCCAGGGTGAAACTCTTGAGCTGGCCTAGGAGGACATGCTCAGAATTACAATTACCGAGCTCACGAAGCGTGGTCACTGAACATGGACTGCTTTTGATTGTCACGATGAGGTAAGATTCTTCCACGAGTCACCCCTGAGCAGCATTTTAACGTGAGTAGCAGTTGATTTCGACCGGCGACCACGATCCTTGTTCTCCATCAACTGGTTCTCGCACTTCGTGCTTCATACGCATCCGAGCTAGAGTCGTCATCATCTCCAATCATGCACCATCTGTACCATGGCCCCCTCGTTAGTCCATCACTGGCAAAGATCAAGCTACGATCCGCAGTCAAAGCGTCAAATACAAATTCATAAACCCCTTTTGACCCTCCAAACATATCTATCTTTGACTCTGTGATACCATACTACTTAATTTGATGTGCTTGCTCTCTTGGAGAAATGAAGATAATGAGTTTGAAGCTCAACAGTCAGTCGGCTTCCTGGATAGAATGCAGGTGTACCGGAAAGTACTTCAGGCATCCGTGAGACGCCCGCCTATATGAGTTCAAATTCTTGTACGCTGTCACCATCCTTCTTCTTCGCACCTGATACATTACAACAATAGTTACCCAATAAAACAAAGATATCCTTCAACTTACTGTAAACTTACCAACACAAAGCGTCTAACTTCAGCATGGGTGGAATTAGCGACTTGCGCATTCAAATCTTGGGTAAGGCTTTGACAATCTTGCCTTCAATGTAATACTAATGCTGAACAGACAACATCCAAATCCTGCACTCATGGGAACACCCCTCAAGGGCTCTTGCTGGTGCTACCATGATACTTACGACAAGGGCACTGGTGAGACCATGGAGGCCGCCTATAGAGATTTGCTCAAGCAGACCGCTCTGGAGCTCTCAACACTCGTGGCTATTCGTAAGTGTTGTTGTCCAAATCTTTAAGCTTCCGGGTGTTCTTTCTCATAAGTTTCAGGAAGACGGTTTCAATCAATGACCATCCATTTCATCAGCTGTGGATCCCGATCTATACTTGCAGGACTACCGGAAAGTAAGGACGATACAGATAGAGCCATAATTGGAATGGAGAGATAAGGAGCACAAGATATGGGGAAAGGGAATAGAAAAAACCCAAGTAGCTCGAACAAACAAGTGAGAACATAGTCTTTCTTCTAGGAGTTGCCAGTGGCAAAGTGATACTCGACAGTGAAGGTCTACCAGAGTGAACGTTCCGGAAAGTGCTTTATTGATTCGCGATCTTGTTTGTTGCTTCTTCTTGCACGCTGCCTCCTTACCTGCTCCCACCACGATCGGCAACAGTCAGCTTGTGACTCAAACTTCCTCCTCGACGCAACAACAGACGTCACCCTCGACAATGTACAAGATGGGAGAGATCAGCGACCTGCGCATCCAAATCCTAGGCAAGAGCGATCCCACCATCCCTGATCTCCAGGGTCATCGAGAAAACTGACGCTGGACAGACAACCTGGAGTTCCTCAACTACGAAGATCTGGAGAATTTCCGCTTCAAGATCATTCGGGATGGCGTTGGCGACGGAGATGGCGATGGATATGGAGAGTGGATCGTCCGTCTTGAATGCCCTGGTTCTGAGAGCCATCACCCTCTCTCTTGCGACTTTGCTGGCTTTGGCGAGACTCCTGAAGCAGTCTACAAGGCCTTGCTCAAGCAAACTGCTCTCAAGCTCTTCGTTGGTGACGATTGAGTGCTTCTCTGGAAACAAGAGTGATGTGAGTTGTCTTGATGTTGCCTACCGCAACAACATTCTGATGGTTCCAGAGCAGACGACCTTAAGAACGAGTAACTATCACTTTCTCATTGCCGTTTGGTCAGAGTCCCCATGCATCTTGGCAAATCGACACTCTCACATCAATGCCCGCCTTGCGCTTTCCTTTCGTCGTTGAATATGCAAGAAGGCCATTTTGAAGACCCAGGAAAGCAAGATAAAGATGATTCGGAAAGGTCAAAGGGCAAGAAGGAGAAACAAGAAACAAATAACGACTTGGTTCTTTCAAATACTGCCAGTATTCAGGGGTATCATGCAATGCTACCAGCAAAAGAGAAAAATACCCATAAACGCCTACCAAATGCATCTCGAGCTCCCCCAACTCCTTGCAACTTCTTTTTCGTAGTCTCATTGTTGTAGAGACAATTCATGTTCTGCATAACATCCGGACAACCATGTCGTAACTCGAAGCTCGTTGCGGTTCTACCTGGCCTCACGGCTTCTCGAGCGTGAACGATCGCGCTTGCTGACGGGTTTCTCGCTGTCGCGGCGAGAGGCGCCAGCGCTGGCAGAAGGGACGTAGCGGTCGGCTTTGGGTCTGTCGTCGTCTCTGCGGCGGCGATCGCGGTCTCTGTCTCGATCACGTTCTCGCTCTCTGTCTCTTTCTCTATCCCGGTCTCTGTCTCGATCACGGTCCTTCTCGCGATCTCTATCTCGATCCTTGTCGCGATCCTTTTCTCTCTCACGCTCACGATCACGGTCGCGATCTCTGTCTCTGTCCCTGTCGCGCACATCGCGGTCGCGATCACGATCTCTGTCTCTCGAGCGATCGCGGGTGCGGCGGTCAGATGGCTCAAGGCGATCAGCAGGAACGTAACGATCGCCCTGACCTCTGGGTGAACGAGTACGAGAACGTCTTCGGCGAGTATCGCGGTCCTGGCGGTCGGAGGGAACGTAACGGTCACCCCTGTTAAGAGGACTGCGAGAACGATCACGACGTGCAGGACGACGATCGCGAGAGGGAGATCTGCTGCGACGGTCCTTGTCGCGGAGCTGTTTCGCCTTCCATGCCTCGCGCTCGGCACTGATTTCACGCAAGGTGGATTCGCGACGGCCTTCATAGCGGTCGTAGCCTCGTTCTCTCATTCTGTCCCTGTCTCTGTCGGCGGGTCGGTAGTGGCGGTCTGCTGATGGAGAACGGGGGTCGCGTTCACGGTCTCGGTCTCGACGGGCATATCTTCTCTCCAGACTCTCGCTGCGTTCGCGCTCGCGTTCGCGTTCCGGTTTCCTAGCACCAGATTTGGAAGCCATGGCCTGACCTTCTTCGAGCAGCATGCGCATAGCCTCCTGCTCGAGACGTTTGGCCTCTTCCTCCTCTTGCATCTTCTTGCGTTTGGCTCTTTCTTCTTCTTCCTTCTTGCGTTCTTCTTCCAACACTTTCTCCTTCTTCTCACGCTCTTCAGCAAGAGCCTTGAGACGAGCCTTCTTCCTCTCTTCCTCTTTCCTGCGAGCCTCTGCCCTGTCAGATTGTTTCTTCTGCAAGACTTCCAGACGCTCCTTCTCCTTCTTCAGCTCTTGTTCGCGCTGTTTTAGAGCCTCTAATTCGGCCTTCTTCTGCTGGGCGCGCTCCTTCTTTGCAAGTTCCTTCATCTCTTCGGCATGGCGGTCGAGACGGTCCTTGTGACGGCGTTGTGATGCTTCGGCATAGACTTGGTCGGCCTTGTTGCCAGCTTCCTCCTCTTTTCTTGCTGCTTCGTCACCAATTTCAGACTTGCGAATGTCTCGTAGTGCTTGTTCTGCAGTGTGAAGATAATCTTGGATAAAGTTGTCAATGTCGGCTTCGGTCTTTGGGTAGATGTCTGCGCGAGCGGCAGCGCCTTCGAGGAGAGGTGCGGCAAGGCGAGGGTTTTTGGCTAGGTATTTGACAGGGTCGCGATCGATCTCGGCGTCTACGAAGGAGCGGATTGATTGGACCAGGGTGTCTTTTGTTGGCTTGGATGAATGGTTAGGGACAGTCGAGTGTATTACAATTGAATCTGGACATACACCGTGGTCGAACTGGGCAAAGGTGTTCTTGCGCAGGTCGTCAAACTGGCCCTTCTTCTTGAAGGTGTGCAGCAAACTGTCTATTGAGGCACGCTTGGACGAGGAGAGCGGCAGGTCCGAGATACGGGGTGGTTTGCGGCGAGGCAAGTCTGCCTGAATGCCGACAGTCGTGTCAGCCGCCGCTGCCATGGTTGTTGGAAAGAAGTTCAATGCTGTCAATAATAATGTGGTATGATGGGCGGTGATGCGGGATGCGGAAGGCACGCGGAGCAGCGACTCTGCCAAGACCGAGCTGGACGGCAGGAACGAGCGTCTGCCGACAGACGCAGCCAGACACGACGAGAAGGTCAGCAATTGACGATTCAATACAGTCAACCACAGTCTATCCACGACTACCACTAACTCCGCCTCCGACTTATCCTCCGACGTACTGCTGAGCCAGGAGCTCTCTTCAATTGCAGTGCGACCCCGACCCAACCACCAGCACCACCACAAGACCCGTCACATCACCAGTCGCAATGTCCAAGATCCTTTTCTGGGGCGGTTTCGGTTCGCAGACCCTTTTCTACGGCTGCAAAATCTAGCGCAAACACTCATGACATTCTACAGGCATCGCCGTCCGCGTCTGGCAACTCGGCATTGAGATGCGTCCCATTATCCAGCGCAACTCCCTCTGGGCATACCCTCTGTTCGGCGGCATTGGCGCAAGCTTCGGCTACTGGCTGCAGGGCGTTGAAGAGAGACAACTCCGCATCCTCCAAGACACCAAGGAATCATTGCTCGAGAAGAGAAGAAGACGCGCCGAGAGGGAGGGCGGCATCAACATTGGTACCGACTACCAGAAGAACGAGGAGGGTCTGTTTGCTTCCGCCTCTACCGGCCACGGCGTTCCCACCAAGCAACATTAAGCTACCCCTTCCAACTTGATATCCACAGAGCTGCTTCGCCCATCGTCATGTACACTCAACCACCACCCATTTCTTGAGCTCCGTCCCTTCTTCTTTCTTAGTCATTATGCTAGACAACAAAACAAAACACTTACCACAATCATGTCTTCTCGCAAGTCTCGTTCGGGTATTGTGAAGTGGTGTCGAGTCTAGAAAAAGACCCCCGCCAAAGAAGCATAATGCGAACTAATGATACATTTGCGTCTCTAGGCATCACGGACAATCGAAATGCAAGTGTTTTTCGTGCCTACTGGTTTCGCGAGTCAATATCAAGAGGATGTGTGCAATAGTTTGGCTCCAATAGTGACCTTGACGAAGCATTCTTTTAAGATCAATCGGAGTCACGGGCCGATTTCCCATCATGTAACACACGAACTCTCCTCCTCCTCACACAACAACCTGGCAAATACATTTTGGATATCAGTAGCGTCCCCCAATTGCAGGAAGGCTCATTAGACTACCTGCCCAAGAACTCATTGAGCTGTCTATCTCCTCTTCCGAATTAACCAAACATCGACACGCGGATGCTTTTTGCGGCTGCGGAACATCAACGTGCAGTCAACATCAGCAACCACCTGTCATCGACATTGCAGCCAAGGATTAATATCACAAACTGTCCTATTCACTCACGTTCCAAAACTGCAATCACCTCCCAGTCGCACTGTTGACCCTTCTCCGTACGAAACATAACCGCGCACGCGACCATGGAGCAGCCACCACGAAACACTTGGCCAGGGTCACTTCGGCTTCCTTCGCCAAACCCATCGTCCAGGTTTAGTCAAATAACAATTTTTGGTGGCGGAACAGGTAAGTTACAAGGTGTCGAGGTCTCGAGTTGTACACTGACACCATTGACAANNGCTACCAACCACCTTGTGGATGTGTTTACAAACCTCGCTCAGGCGAACAACAGCGTTGTCAATTATGTCATTCCCATCAGTGACAATGGCGGTAGTTCCAGCGAGCTGATCCGAGTCTTCGGCGGTCCTGGTAAGGCATNNACCCTCCAAACTCCTGATCTGTTGTGTTCTTTTGCTGACATGACAATCCTCAGGTATTGGTGATCTGCGCAGTAAGTCAGCCTGCCTCCAAGTCAAGAAACATAAGGACCACTCTTTCTCTTCTCTTCAACATACTAAGTCGCTCCCTTTCGCAAAACAGGTAGATTGGTTCGTTTGATTCCCGACAATGGTGACCCTCACTCCGAAGCTGCGTCCATAAAAGCACTCTTCAACCACCGCCTTCCTCCCGACCCGAAGGAAGCACGTCTGGAATGGTTGGAGATTGTTGAATCTCTGCACCCTTTGTGGTATCAAATCTCAACCCCCAAGAAGGAGCTGATAAGAAGTTTCTTGAACTTGGTCAATCAAGAGATTGTCAAAAGGATGAGGCCGAGTTCGAGATTCGACTTTTCGTCTGCAAGTATTGGAAATTTGTTCTTGACCGGGTGTGTGTTTTCCTTCTCTCTCCTTCAGACCCTGAGACGATTGTATGAAGATATGACGAAGATTGTAGCAGCCACTAACACTGCAAACCCAGCGNCCCGCCTCTTCTCCGGCAGCTTGGAATCCGCCATCTACCTTCTCAGCAGCGTCTGCAACGTACCCACATCCATGACCGTCCTCCCCGCCATAAACACAAACTTCTCTCACCACATCTCTGTCTCTTTGGCAGACGGCACGCACATCACAGGTCAAAACAACATCTCCCACCCTCTAGCCCCTTCCTCCGCCATGCCTGACCCCCAAGCCCCACCTTCTCCCACCCGCATCCGCCGAGAAACCGAAGAACACGACAATGTCGAAGATGCAAATCTCCCTGGCTCACTACCTTCTCTTCGCCGCCCCGCCATCAACTTTTCCAAACTCCAGGAAGAGGATTTGCCGGCTAGGATTCAGCGGTTGTGGTATATCAATCCGTATGGTCAGGAAATGTCGCTGCCTGCGAACCCGCGCGTGTTGGATGCTTTGGCTTCTTCTTCGACAGTCATTTATTCGATTGGCTCTCTCTTCACCTCCATCATCCCGTCTATAATCCTCAGGGGTGTGGGCAATGCCATTGCTTCCCCCAATATCCGGAACAAGATATTGCTGCTCAACAGCAGTATAGACAGAGAAACTGGTCCTTCAGCTACTCCTTTTACGGCGCTGGACTTTGTGGCTGCGATTGCGAGTGCGTGTGCGGAGAGTAGGGGATGGGGTATACCAAAGGTCGAGGAGTACGGGATCTATGTCACGCATGTGGTTTACATGGAAAACCAAGGGGCGCCAAAGGTAGACAAGGAGGAATTGGCCAAGGCAGGAATTGAAGGGATAAGATTGTATGGGTTGAGTGGGAGGTATGACGATAGGGCTTTGGAGCAAGCATTAAAGATGGTGCTTGGTAAGGGTGAACAAGGAAACGGGTTGAGTAGGAGGAATACGTTACAGAGGTAGGGGATACAGTAGGTACATATCAAGACAACATGGACACACAATCACACCCTCTCTGAACGGATGGCTAGCTTGGACTCTACCGTGCATTGCGATGGCCTTCATCTCTCTACATCGCCGTCATGAGAAGAACTACAAGTGGCAGTTTCCAGGATATGGAAGGGATGATTGCGCGAGGATGACTTTATCTTTGGATGCTCTTTCTCAAATCTCTCGTAGTGTCTTCGTTTCTTTGTAGGCTGTCGCGTTTGTAATTACAAAAAGCACTTTCCTGAATTTCCACTCGATTTGAATGTTCATGTAGATAACGTTCCGTACTAACCATTTCATTAAACTGTTCATAGTGTGTTACCATTGTGTGTGTTGTTGCTTTCTTTAATCGTCTGTAATTACCACTCGGAACTCCAACCCAAGGTCTTGCCCTTACTCCTCGGGATCGCGGCCACCCTGCTTTCTCATCTCCTCTTGGTAGTCCTCCTCGGTCTGGAGATCAAACTCCATGGGGTGAGTGATGGGGACAATGGGGACATCCTTTTCCTCGAGAAGCTTCAGTCGAGCAGCGGTAAGAGGCTTGCTCTTGTTGATGCTGTAAACCTTGACGCGATGACTGNNTTCCGTTCGTCAGCGACAGCAAGAAACAATGAGGAATTTGAGAGCCGAAACTTACCAACTCGATGTGACGTGCAAGTCCCAGTTCCAGGCAGAGCGCACATAAGTGGGTTGAGTGTTCATGGCATTATCCCACGTTCTTACACACAACTCCAACCAGCCTTCGGCATCAACAGGAAGATCCATCTCCCATAATCTCCATGCGTAGTAATATTTCTTACTCATGTTCTCGTACGGGACTTCGTACCAGATGCTGCCGCCATCGCCAGAGACCTCGACTCTGACGGGCCAATGGCCACCGCCCGAGTATGCCCAGCCACGCATCTTGATCTTACCATCGTGTACGATCTGTGCCATGTTGACGGGTGACATGATGGCTGAGGAGACGGGCATGTCTTGGATGCTGAAGCCGTTGCTGTACATTGCGTTTTGCTTGCCGACTTGAGGTGTATAGTAGAGGTATTCCTTTGCCTGGACGGGTGCGAGACTGGGTCCCTTGATAGCCTTGATCTTGTAGAGCCACTTGCAGCTTCTGGCTCCAATGTCTGTTTTATTCACAATCAGCAAGTATTCTGGAATCCAAGATGTAGAAGTGACCTACATNCCGAATACGACAGTGCGAAGAGGGAATCCGTGAATCTTTGGCAGAGGCTCGCCATTCATCTCCCATGCTAGCAAGACCTCGTTGATCTTGACCTTTCTCCAAGGCACACTGACCACATAGTTGTACACCTTGCCCTTCTTGAAGTAGGTATCTGCGCCGTAGAACTCGAGATGCATGCCTTCGCCGCCGTCCTTGAGACCTCCACAGTACTTGATTACCTTCTTTAGACTGACACCTGTCCATCGTGCTGTACCGATGGCACCTTCGCCCCACGGCGCATTGATCAATTCGTCGCCATCACCAGGGTATTCGTGGATCTGCTCAATACGGCGGGTTCCTGAACATTGCAGACTGACAACGTTGCTTTGTCGCGGGAACAATTCTTCGTTCTGCAGATCTGCGAGGGTGAGTCTTTTGGGGTCGTTGACCAGGCCTTCAATGTCTAGAGTATATTGCTCAGGGTCGATTTCAGGGATACCACCGTGGTTGCGGACAAAGTGATCTTTGTTGTCAGTAATTTCAGTTTTCACTAGGCGATCNCTGTAATTTTCCAGCTTGATCAGTTTATGTTTGTGAGTCTTTTGATGTGATTCAAATACCCTTGGAGGTTCTCCGTTGTAGGGGAATTGCAGAACGTGGATCATGTCCTCGCTTTTCTCCTTCTTGACATACTCCCAACTNATTCCATTTAGTACTCAACTCGTTTGACACGACGCTTTTGGATGACTGTACCTGATGTCCGGAAGATCCTTGAGAGTCTCGCCCATAGCATAGTGGTATTGCTTCCATCGTACACCCTCCAGTACAGGGTTGGTCTCAGGCAGGGGCTTAAGCTGAAACTCTGGCGGAGGAGGGAAGTTGTACTTGCGAAGAATCTCTTCGGCTTGCTTCTTCTTTTCTGGGTATTTCTGATCAAAAGGTCAGAGAGCTGGTCATTGGCGACATTTGAGGTCTGCTTGACATGCCTCCCATTCAATGTAGCCCTTCCATCCCTCTCGTTCCTCTGCGTAGTATGGCGCTTCGCCGCTAATATTGAAGTCATCGAGCTTTCCGGAGCCCTGTTGGGCGGTACCAGTAGCAACAGCAGCAGCCATAGTTGTTGCTCGATTGCTTGCTGGGTTGCTAAAATTGGGAGAGACAGCTGAGTCGGAGAGCACAACGAAGGGGAACCAGTGCAGATAACAACCGCGTTGGGCAGGCACGGCTAGCCTTTAGTATGGGTCAGCGCACGACGGCATGCGGTGTGCCTGACGTACACAATCATGTTTCTCGCAGGTTATGGCTGAGCGATTAATCAATTGGTTCACCACAGATCGCACTAGTGTGTTGACAATCGTGGAGGAGACAGGTGCTTGTCTTGTGGAACACTTTGAGCCTCGTTGTTTCGAGAAGTCCCTCGCACTACAAGCACCCACGGATCGGAGCCTCTGTTATCTCTTCAACCTCCATCAAGACATCTTTTCAAAGTTCGAAAAATCCCCTTCGCTGTTCATCGATGTGACAGGGATGCGGCTGACTCGGCGGAGGAAGGCTCCGGGTTTTGGCAAATAATGATGTCACGCATCCGGCAGTTCTTACCACTCATTTGCACCAGATTAGCAATCCTTGTTTGAAAACGCCCTTCACGCCATTAAAGTCCGTACGGCAAAGTGCTGCATTCGAACGATATTCCATGTATCGAGATGCAGATTTGATTCGCTACTGTGCAATCTCGTCTTGGCCATCAGACACGAAGATGTCCATGCTGGATTGTCTAGATGCATGAATATCATCCTTCGGCGATTGCTGGAAACCTGTAGCTTCTACAGCTATACAACACGATCAATGGGATGCCTGGAGAATGCAAGAGATAATGGATTCTTATCCGGGACTCAAGAAGAGTCATGCTTGTGATTACTACTTAGTAACATTGCGCATTACAAAAACGTCAAATGGGTATTGTTGGAACAAAAGGAATAAACGCCGATGCATCGCTCATGCAGTGCCCTTGAGGAGGCTAGAAGAAACAACGAAATAAGAGAAACAAGCGGCCAATACCTCTTCGATCAATAGAGAAACATGAAAGTGAGGACGCTGCTCAGCAGTGCCAGGTAAGAAGCGCTGCTTCTGGGGGCTGCAGATGTGTCGAATGGAGTGCCACCATTGCCGTCTTGAGTGTTGGTGTGCTTGGCAGATTGAGTTGATGAGAGTGCGGATTCGGTGGCCATGAGCACCGATGATGGTGTGCTGGTTGCGAATGCGAGTGATGTGCCGGTGATGGTAGACGTGACACCGGTGATCTCTGCAGGGTCGTCGGAGTTGCCAGCACTGCTTGACAGAGGAAGTGGCTTGATCGTAGCGGTACTAAGCGCGGTGACGACGCTGGTGCTCAAGCTGGACGTATCGACTATGATGCCAGTAGTGCTGGGGGTCGTGTCGCTAAGGGTCATGGTGCTGGAGCCAATGGAGAATGATGCTGAGGTTTGCTGGACGGTGCTGGCCTTAGTTGCGCTGTCGGCATTCCTGCACAGGTTTTGTGCACCCTGACCGTTCATGAAAGCAGCAATGATATTACTGCCATCGTTGTGCTGGCCCTGACAAGAGTTCCTGACGGCAGAACCCAATGAGAGCAAGGCTGAGACACAAGAGGAAGAACACTGTCCGCTCTGGAAATCTTGACCCACACAGCCATCAATTTCGGAGGTGTAGATGGTTTGGCAAGAGCCGGTCAGGTCGTTCAAGCGCGGGGTGAAGTCGTTGAGTGTGACTGCTGATGCATACTGCAGGACGAGCAAGAAGGCGATGAACAACATGGTTTGGCGATACATAGTTGGTGATGTTGATGTTATGATGGATTTTGTGATGTTGTTTGGGTGTAAAGACGCTGGTCGGAAAGCACCAGGCTACCAGAGAATTAATGTCGATTGCACCGGGCAAGCTTTGCACGCTCTTGATGATGGCGGTGAGTCTTGTCGCGTGCTTTGTGTGATGTGAATGGAAGCAAAATCAAGCTGCAAGGAAGAGATCGAGCGTGGGATCTCAGATGCACGGGGTGCCTGCCGCAAAGTTGCAAAATTATTTCGAGCTCCGACGGCGATATAGGAAGGGACAGGGCAGGTTTTGCACGGCAACAGGACGGATATACAAGACCTTTTGACAGGGAAGTAGCGATTGACAGCAGAGGGTAGATCGCCTTGTCACCGACTAACAAGGCGGCCAGATCAACGTCACACACCTGCCTACTACAGTCATGTTCTCTGCTCTTTTCTATCAAAGGTGTACCCGTTTGATGAGGATGAGACGTGAGATGACCCCTCTTGAGAGTTTCTGAAACGCGCTCTTTTGTTGATCCTTGCGCAAAATCTGGCACGCAACGCTCGCGATTGGTCAGGACAACCGCCAAGGGACAACCTCGCACACGAAGCGATCAGAGCATCCTGAAAGAGCTTTGACAGGGCCATCTCAATATACTCGTTCGTGCACGGCGAACGACCGGAGTATCGGAGTAAGACAGACGATATAGAGAAGTGTTGATCCTCTTTCATGACTTGGAAGAAGGGGACTCTCACTCCCTTTCTTCTACCGCTACCATGGAACGACTTCACATCCCTTCCGTTTGTCCATTCCGGCACAGCGCTCTCTCCTGCTCTCTGGCACGTTTCAGGTCTGTCAAGTAGGAGTCGTGCTTCACGGGTGAAGTATGAGACGGACTCCCAGCCAGGGAAACAGTCAACCGCTGCAAGCGGTTGTGACATGGTTGAGCTATATCGTGCCTGAAGCACCTATCAAACTTCGCTTTCCCCACCCATGCGTTCCTGCAACTCCGTTGCAACAACGAAACCGGTGAAGAACGCATGGGATCCTTGTCGAGCTGGATATCTCTAACCGTTGTTACTCACGAGGGAAAAAAGAGATGCGTAAGCTCCAATCTGGAGAGTCTGGCCACTGATAGCACGCAGGTGCAGGCATTCCACTTGATTCGTAGTTTGGGTCAGAATGTTCGCGTGAAGGGCGGTATCGAGGATCACATATTTGCCGGCCGTAAAGGCTTGACTGATATACTGTTGAAAGCCTCAAAACGGCAGTCAACAAGACCATCCATAATACCACTGACGTATGGGCAATGAGCTGGAAAGGGAGATTGATCAAACGATTGACTTTTCCTATTGTGGTTGGAATGTACGGAGTAATCTCGCGGAGCTGCTTGCCAAACATAGCTTGAGAATAATACAGGAAAGATCTGCTCGAAATCCAAGTCAGGGGGAGTACCGCGCCGCAACACGCGTTGGCTGCAATATGGTGGGATCTTCAAGGGATGGATTGGCTAAAGCAGTCAAGCAAAGAGCGAAGCAAACCGTCGCGAACCCTCGTCTTGGCATGGAATGAACCTGCTACTACCCCACACTTCCGATGATCTCATTCAAGAATTTTTTGTATTTTTTTTACACACGCATCACATTCTTTTGTTCTCTAGCCTTGACAGGATCTCAGCAAGTATTCATCATGTCGGAACAAACGTCTCCATCTCAATCGCCGGCACCGTCGCAATCCTCTTCCACAATCCCGACCTCGATTCCTACGCTTCGTCCCAAGAAGCAGAAGCCAACCTTCGCACGCCCTGCATCGTCGGACCTTCAGTCGCGTCTCCGAGCCTTCCTCCCTCAAATGGCCGCCGCAAACGCCGAACTCGAGAAGCTTGCACAGGAGGGCAGGCTTGAGGGCAAGAGGCTTGAGGATGTAGGCGAGGGCGATGAGTACGTCGAGATGGAGCTAGGCTTGGGTGTCATGGAAGAAAAGAAAGAGGGAGAGGACAGCAGCGACGATAGCTCGAACGAGAGCTCAGACGACAGCAGTGAAGCCAGCAGCGAAGATGGTGACGACGACGATGACAACAACAACAAGGAGCAGAAGAAGAAGCAGAAAGAGAAGGAACAGAAGGAGAAGGACATTCTAGGCAGACTTATGGGACACAAGCAGGGTAGAGAAAAGGCTGCTGGTATTCAGGAGGTTGAATGAAGCAATAGTCTTGCTCTTCTATCATCTCCACGCTCGTCGTCTCTCGCCACAGGAAAAAGCCGTAATACATTTCCTGCCCAAACCGGTCTTGAGACTGTTCGGCTTCTCGAGCTCGCTCGTTCAGCCGCGAGTTTGACTCGCTTAGGAATTGTTACTTGCCCGCCAGGCCCACATCCTCGACCTCCTTTACGACATGAGGCTGCTTCTCTCCTCCATCAGGTTTGAGAGTTAGTGTTGCCTTCTCGACAACATGCGCACTGCTCTGTGTCGACTTCTCGGTGAACACAAATTCTCGGATCTCGCAGTTCTGCCATCCAGTACCNTGGTCATGTTAACCATGATTGTTCGCTCCAGGCAGTGTCAAGCAAGCCAACCTACCAGCGCTAGCATTGAAGCCATTCCAATCTTCCGTCAGAGCATGCAAGAAGCCTCCATGCGAGACCACAACCACGATCTCCTCTTTACGACCGTATAACCACGAACGCAGCTTTGCGCCACGCCTCTGCACAGTCGCTCTGTCTGGTGCCCACTTGCCCTCCNNTGGGGATCATCAGCATCGGCATTTTCACACTGTCAAGGTACTCACCTTGGAGTTCCAACCCTCCTCGACCAGATCAAAGTCGACTTTCTCGCCGGAGACGCCGAGTTTTGTGTCCCAGAGCTCTCCAGCTTTGACTTGTCTCTCTAGCTCGTCTCTGTCAGTACCAATATCACAGGCAAATGCGTTCATTTCCTGTGCCATTGGCTGTAGAAGCACCTTCACTCCATCTCTGTGCAAGGCAGGTGTGAAAGCGTGTACAGCTGTCTGAAGAGCACGGCGTAGAGGCGATGCGACAACCAATGCCACTGAGTCATGATGGGGAAACGAGGCGCTGAGATGGCGACACTGCGACTTCCCGTGAGGAGTCAGAACCGCATCGGGGATACTGTCATCGTGCNNTAGAGCTACCATTAGATCTCAGAGAGTCATCAAAACATCTTAGTGCCAACTTACCTGTGCGTTGTGTTCTCCTTGAGCGTGACGAACAAAGTAAAGTGTTTTGGGTGGCATGATTGCGTTTCGGAACAGACGCGCAGTATGATTACAAGCAGAGAATTGTTGTTTCCAGCTGGGAAAGGTCTAAATGAATAACGATGGATTACTCGAGGAATTGCTTTGCATGTGAAGATTCTCGATGATGCAGGTCCGGGCCACCTTCCTCGTCGAGACACCGATTCGGCTTACTTGCCTAATCAGAATGCAAGTCAACTGCATACCCTTCTAGAGACAACTTCAGAGCATTTTTCAAACTCCTCCACGGTGTTTGACATGTTTCTAAGCATAGCTATCTCAACTCGACGAGGTCCATACTCAGCAACCAAGTCAAGCAATTGGTAGGACGATATTTGGCTCAGTGCCAGTCCAATCTGATGGCTGACTTGGGTTCGTTTTATCCAATACCATGATGTCGCCTTATCATTCTGGCATCTACTCCCGGTCAACGGCTTAGAGTCGAAATCCTGCAGACTTGGTAAAAGCGACCAGTTCCTTCGAGGGTGTCTCTCTGGTGTTTTGTAAGTGTTGCCTGACCGAGAGTCAGATAACCGGACCCATGCTCAAAGATGATGGCTGATGGCTGCATCTCATCGAAAAATCCTGTTCTTGAGTCTCACAACCCATCATTGATACCTATCGAGTCCACATTATAACTAGACGAGGCTACCAGGAGCGATGGGGTCCTTGAATTGAAGGAGGAGGAAGAGATCTTGCAGATTAAAGGTACCTACCTTCCTGGTAGCGAAGAATGCAGCAGTAGTCAGCAGTGAGGTATTACATTGACGCCAGCTAGATATATCGCCATCGAACTGGTGGGATGGCGCAGTGGTAGTAGCTCGTGCCTCCCACATATGCGGTCAGAGCCCACCGGTTCGATTCTCCTTAGGGTCGTTTGCAAATCACCCATTATGCCAGAGGTCCCAGTAATCCTCATCCGACAACAATAATGATGAAAGCATTGCTTTCTCTTCCTCTCCTAGCTTTCGGCGGCTGGAGAGGGTTTCTATTTTGTCAAAGTCGGGGGAGAGAGTTCCTTTTGTCTGACTTTTGTTCTGATCCAACCGCGACATCACGTAAAACCAAGCAGCTATACGCACAACAATGGATACGCTGCAACTTTGACCAGCACCAAAAGGGCACGTTAGTAATCACCACTTTATCTGTCGCAATCATGCTCAAGTCAACAACAAATAACGAACTCATTCGAGTCACCCCGCTCGATGGTTAGATGGATGGTGGCAACTCCCCTCCCACATATGACTCTTCGTACACTGCATCCGAAGCGATCATGATATAAAACGTCTCAATCATCAGCTCCAATTCTACACAGGTTCTCGATCTTGCTTGGAAAATGTTCTATCTTCAACTCTTTTCCATGGGTACGGCCAGCGCCAATTTCGGATCGAATCACGAGTTCGGGTCTGACAACTACTTTGGAGCCGACTACGACCTCGAAGCCGATCATAATCTCGAGTCCAGTACTGAATTTGACTACGTTGTCGACGATGTAGCTGGGCCCAGTACAGACTCTACTCTTGCCAGCAACACATACCTACACCCAGAACTCACAGAGCCGCTCACCCAAGTCGTCGTCGAGTTCTTCTCGGGACGTCGCTTCAGACTGGCCGTTCCTCACTCTTCCGAATCTGTGACTCAGTCTTTGAAGCAGCCTCCATCCTGGAAAAACACCATCAGGTTGGGGATCATAGAAAGAGTCACAGGCCCAAGGTTCGGTTTCTGCGATCTGATCAAGAGAATCGCAATCGACGACACTTCTATCAACGTTCACACTGCCTGGAATTGCGTAGAAATTCTGAATAATGATATGTCCAATCTGGGTACCGTCGAGCAAGTTTCCCAGTCTTCTAGCGAATCTGGCGATGGGATTCGCACACCGGAATCAGATTCCACTAGCTCCGATGGCGAATACAGCAGCGACGACGAGAGTGACGACGAGGATAGCGATGACGAGAGTGACAACGAGCACTACGAGCCAATTGACGATCTCAAAATCGGCATACACGGATGCGTCGGCTGGCTCGTAGTCTTGGTCCTCACAGCCGTCGAAAACAAGCATGAGTCCAATCTACGGGACTTTGTCGCCAAAAGCTCCTTCAAAGCACATTTGTACATTATGGCAGGCCTAACGGTTGTCATGTTCTGGGAACGCTTCTCTGTTACCAAGCGTATCGTGACTTATCGAGAAGTAGCCGCCACTCGAGCGCTGCGCCGCAACGCATCCGAAAAACTGAGTTCCGGCTCTACCATCGCAAAGCATTCACGGCCACCTACAGCATAGTCTTCCTTGTCTTCCCGTGCTGGTGCTTTGCCAGGGAAAAAGACATACAAGATATGCAGACCGAATCAAAGGCGCTAGCCTAATTGAGGGAGGAAAGAACTCACTGCAAGAGCGGATGTCACATCTCGGACGTTATTTCCATCTCTCTGGACAATGTCTCGTTCCGAGTGGCATTGTGAGTTTATATACTACGTTAAAAAATCTTTTGGCACACGAGGAGAACAAGGCAGGTGGTAGAAACGAATATAGAAAATGCAGTGCACTAGACATCCTCTGTAATATACCACGTGTTCTCCAAAGACCCTATCTATAACGCATGGATGGAAAAGAATAGAAGCTGCATAGTTCGTTGATGTTAGAGATTAAGGGAAAGTGTTGGGCCTTTTATTGTTTGGTCCAATGTATACCTGAACCTATCAGAGCCTATCTTCCAACAGCATCTATCAATACACCTGGGATAGCATCAGTGCAGCAAGTACGACAACAACCTGCGATCTGCCAGGTCCAACCATGCTTGCCCCCGAGACGTTGTCTCCAGATAAGGATTGAGTCGCACTCGCACTATTATCAACGCTCTGGGACGCAAGCTTTGCTCCTGAGGGTCCAGAAGTAGTCATCGAGACAACTCCAGTTGGTTGCAATGAGGCGACATGGCTACCAGTAGTGGAGGCAGCAGCATCAGTCGATGGGGAAGGAACGCGAGTCGTCGAAAACCATGGAGAGGTGCTCGAGCCAACATCTGCAGAAGGACCTGACTCTTCGTCGAAGATCACGACTTGATCGCTTCGAGGCGACACGCAAACAACGCCGCCAGAGCCCTCTCGATAACGCTGCAAGTCAGAACAATCAGGACCAATCCACGAATTGTACGTCCTCAGCGAAGCTCCCTCGGGAATATGTTGTTCGGCCTCGATAGCTGCACAAGTGTCGTCCGCTTGAACTTCGTAGATCTTGCATGGCTGCGGAAGACACATCAACAGACCCGCCCGAAGTTGATCGCAATCCGGCGTCCACAGGGCACTTCCGTAATACGAAACATAATATTCGTGTACATCCTCTGAAGATACACTATGCTCCACGGCAATGGAAATACAAGTATCACCTTCTTGGATCTTGTAGGCCCCGAAGTCGCAGGAAATGTTGTCTTCGGTCCAAGGATCCAGAGGAATGGGGATTTCAGTTGGGTTGTTCATGCCGCAATTTTCGTTGATGGTTTGGAGTATGTGCTGGTAGAAAGGGTCGTAGTAGGAGTACGCAGATCTTTGCATCATCTTGTAATGCTCGACATTGCAGTAGGAGCACATCTCATCCTGCTTTTGATTCAACGGATGAAGGCCAGAAAAGTGACGGATCACAAACTTACAAGAGGCATTTGTTCAATGTCCTCGACTTCGGAAAACTCGTTAATGACCTCTGCCGAAATGCGTTAGCAAAAGCTCTAAAACTTGGTGTCGAATCAAGTTACCATTGCAGTTATGACCGCTGTCTGGGTCATAGTAACAAGTCTCATTCCAAGCCTCCCAGAGACGTCCAGCACCAACAGTGATCGTTCCATTATTCCACAACTTGTAGCCAGCACACTCTTTGACGATACCATCCCAATAGGGAGCGAATAGAGGCGCCACAGGTATCATCACAGACAGATTCGTACGACGTCTCTTCCGTGTCAACGTATCCTCTATATCTAGGTTCGCCGTCGTAGTCTGAGATGTAATCGTCGCAGTAGATTTTCTGTTGAAGTGCATTCTGGCAGGGGATAGGAAGGTCCAGATCGTCCAGATCGTCATAATATCCGAGAGTGAAACCAGGGAACTTCGATCGCTCAGTCAAGCTGGTCACATTAACATCCCACTCCAGCACCAAAGCATTCAGAGCAGGTAAAGAACATGTCGCAAGAAGCAAAACGCTTGCAAGCGAACCTTGGGCGGAAAACATGATAACCTCAAACAGAGAATTAGACAGACATGGAAAGCCTTACCTTATGAACAAAGAACGCTTCCACAAGAACTATCAGCACTACCACACTCTCGGCGAATTCATCCCGACTGAGCTTTTGACAGAGCTTCAAGGAAATTGGTATTACTGCATTCTTGGGAATTGGAACCTTTGTGGCGTCTGGCAGCCGGCGCTATATCGCCAATACGACTCTGCCTTAATCATGAATCAAGGGCGGATATTGTGAACATATGCGTGTATACAAGACGAAGATGCTCTCAAGCTCCGTCTATCGCAAAGGTACTTCCCAGTTCGCAAACAGGGTCAAGAAGAGTATTAGACGATGCAAATCATAGGAGAGGGAGTCGTGAGGAGGAGGTGGTAAAGTCTGGATTGACTCGATTGTGCAGATCATCAGTTCAATCCCATGGCCGCCAAGTCGCTTAAGGACCATGTCGGTCTTGTTTTGCTGGGCAATAATTTCACATGCGTTTTGACTCTATCACAAAAGATACACGCCACAAAAGCCTCAGGATCAATTACTAAGGGTCTAAAGAAGTGAAGAACTACATGCCTTACATCTCCAAACCACGATCTGAAGTTCAAAAAGCACGACAGGGAGACAAGTCACCTTGCCATATTAGTAGAGCACGGGAGAAGAAAAAGTAAAAATGGAGTAGCTGGGAATCGAACCCAGAACCTTCTCCACTCAGTAATGCTCGAGATGAGCAATGCTAAGAAGATGTCATACCACTAGACCACAACCCCATTGATGTACGGAAGTGCTCCTCAAATTAACATAACACTACGTTCAAAGCCTGGAACACCCAGTCCATGAGATGGTTAGACACACCACGCGTCTTCAGAGAGTTGTGTCGACCAATCGCATATGAGTACTGATACGATTCAAGTGCTGTAATTCATCGCGAGAGCTCGAAGCGTGAGATGGAAGTAAGAACAGATGACTTGAAAAGGCTGCTAGGTGGATATATGCATAAAAAATCGCGCGAGAAAAGGGAGACATCGTCAAGCAAGGTAAGCGCAGGTCTAGAAGTTGGGACGTCTGTCATCTTCAGGACGACCTGTGCTTCTGGAGTCACCGTAGTGCTTCTTTCTCAGGGCAGCCAGGCGCTTCTTCTTGGTGTGTGCATTGATGTATGTACCAATCACAAAGGCGATGATGTTGAAGAAAGGTACCCAGGTCTCTTGGGGAAGGAACTTCTGGGCGAATGCCAGGGCCAAGGGNGAAGTGCACCAGCTGACCTTCATGACGGGAAGCAGACCAGCGCGAACAGTAGCGCGGACTTGGTGGAAGGTGCGCGCACCTGCGATAATGGCCATGGCGGAGAGGTAGATGGTGTTTTGGATGGGGGCAACCNNTGTGGGTGAAATCAGTAAGGTGGCCAGGGTATAATGGTCGGATATGCATACAATCAGGTTGCTGGCGAGGATCTGCAGGATCTTGGCCTTGACACTGGTCCGGCCAGCAAAGGCTCTCTGCAGGATGTTGATGAGGATGTGGCCGAGAGGAGCGCTAACAAAAGCACCATAGAGGGCCATCTTGGGCACACGCGAGGTGAAGTAGTGGCCATTCTTGTTGCGGTCCTTTGCGATCCACGAAGCGAGCACTTCTTGGGCACCAGAGAGGGAGCCTGAAGTGATCATCTTGGTACGAAGGGGGTTGCTTTGTAGCTGGCCCAAGTATGCNCTATGTCTCTCCGTCAGTCGCAATCGAATAGCATTCTCGCCGACAAGACGTACAGCCAGGTAGCCACCAGCACCAGCACCTTTGGTGATGGCATTGCCGACCTCATTGGCGAGGTCCTGCTTGCCAGTGACGCTGGCGACCGTCTCTTTGACGTCAAACTTGACCGACGACGACATTGTTGTATGTTGTTGGGTGGTAGGTGAGTCGTCGACAAAGCAGATGGCTGGGCGCGCCTAACAAGACCAAAGAAACAAGCGCTCGCGATAGACGGCCACCTCCGGGGTTATCTAGAGCCGGCTGGACCGAGGTTCCACCTGTTCGCGGGGTGCCGACAGCCTGCAACAATTGCCGCTGTCATTTCTCCACTAACCTGATCTTGCGACAAGCCTCAGGTTCTCAGGCATCTTCTGCCACAGTCTTCTCGATGTCGGTCGAATTTGACCAGCTGTGTAGACGTCCCCTAGTACGGACGAGCACACGAGCACCAACTTCGGCCGCGCTCGAGCACTGCAAGCTGCCGCGCGACAAGGCCAACCGTCCCTGGTCAATACCCTGTCACAAGGGTGGGGGAAAGCTTCTACAGCTCAACTGTGCGACTCTCCCTGATTCTCCTCAGTTACTATCGATCAAAGTACCGTGGTGCTCTTGCCTCTATGCCAGATGTGTTCACCCGGCAAGATGCATCTCGCGCGTCGCACTGCTTGTACTATACCATGTAATGCCTTAAAGCATGTCAAGTCCCCGACCCCGACCTCGACACTATTTGGTTTGCTTTCGATTCGCTCGTGAAAAATGCATTTGATCTTCCTGCCTCATCTGAGAGTGACAGGCCAGTTGCACTTGACTAGGACGAGCTTTCCTTGACGTCGTGCCTGCCTTTTCCTTCACTCTTGTCGACTCGGATGCAAAACAAACCAACAATAATACTCCGATCCACTCACTTCTTTTTCCTGCCATTTTCTCGCACACATCTGCCAAATCCCTCCATTCCTCTCGGCGTCGAGACACTCCCATCCTTTTTCACGATCTATCTCAAGAACCATCCACAACGACGTCCCGCTTGCTTCAACATGAGCGTGACTGCGCAAGTAAGTTACTCGCACACGACTTCCCGTCCCTGCCCTCTCGTAAAACCCACCCTTTCTCCTCTTACCTCGCGATCTATTCGTGCCATGAGTTCACAAAACGTATTGAACAATAGATCGTTGACCATACCTTGCAGCCCAGTATGGCACCCGCCGGTCGCTCAACTCAACGCCCTCCACCACAGTGCGTCAGCGCCTGTACTCATATCAGAATGTGTCGCCTCTACGGAAGCTGGACTTGTGACACGTGCCACTATCCTTCCCCCTTCGGCTGGCTCTACCATTGCACTTCCGATATCCCAGAGGTGGGAGACTTTGCCTTTATCAAGTCCTTGACACACCCGGTCAGTCCTGCTGGGGAGGATTTACGTCAAATCGGGCTCAGCGAGTCCGTCGTCAAGGAATTCGAGAAGGGTGGTTACACCGACAAGCAGGTTCAGATCCTCATCCGTCAGAAGCAACACCTGCAACAAATCCTGGAGAAGTCTGCTCGACCTGCTCCCATGATCAACCAACAAGCATCGGAAGACATCAACAACGTGTCAGATGATTCTCGTTGCGACTTCAAGGTCTGTCAGCGTTGCGGTCCTATGCGCAAAGAGCGTTGCTGGCTGTCGTTCGAGGCAGTCTTTGAGAACGAGGTCAGACCCGTCGACGACTTCGAGCTAGAAGAAGGCCTCCCCGTCAGGGATGCCCACGTCGCCAGACAGGTTGGCTTGCGTCTTCCTGTTCGGTTCTTGGCACCTCCCATCTGGGGCGAATCTCCTCATGGCTCACCAAATTGTTCTGCGTCGTCGGGCTACACAAGCGATGGCTTTTCTACCGATGCTGAGTTCGATGACGAAAGCTGCGGAGATGCTCTCTCATCTAGCTCTCAAGACGCTGAAGACAACTTCCATACACGCACTGGCGGCGACATGCCCTACGTCACTCTTAGAGACCCTCGCCACGCCCACACGCCCCGTTCCACCATCAGACTCGTCTCCAACTCCCCGTCTCGCCACATGCACCGTACTTCGACTGCTACCAACGACGACTATTCGCCTTCTCATTCACACACCAGGACCTCGTCAATCAGTCTTCCCACCATCCCCACAACTACGTCCTACACGATCCTCCCTGGTTGTGAAGAGACCGTCCAAGAACTAAGAGCGCAATACTCGCTCAAGGCCATGACTGATCCAGAATTCTACTCTGACCATCCCTTTGACCTGGCCTCTTCCATGTCAAGCAGTTCGAGCTTTGGTTCCGAGGTTGCTGTTGAGGGAGGCTTTGCTCTGACAGAAGAAGCCATGGATACCCACACTCCTGACTTGTTTACCAGAGTTTAGAAGCCTCTTCAATCCATCGTAAACGATATACTACCTCTTCGATCGGCGTTGGAGTGGGCATCATCATTTCCTGGCGCGCATTATACCCCTTTGTCATATCTTTGGTTGTCGAGCGAGCGGTAGAAAGTTGCCCAACAAGCATTATGCAAAATTCAAGGAGTACGGTTGGCGGAACATCATAGAGTGGGAAACGTACCAGGTGGATTTTTCTGTTTAGTTGTTTTAATTCTTCATTTTTTCAGTTTGCTGGCCAAGAGCTGGTATAGTTCCAATACAGTTTGATCATTTTTTCTCTTGTTCTATACTTATTCGGGGCCCTCGTGAGAATATGTGCTGAATGGTAGAGAACATGTGGTCGATATCATGAGTCGTCCCTCTCCCCGGTACGCACATGGTGCTACAGTATACTATAGAAATGCACAGTCGCTTAGAAAGTCAGACATGTGGCCATAAAAGCAACACTGAGACAATAGCTCTCCTTGGACAACACCTCTGTTCTTGCTGTGCATTTCCATAGCTATAGTATAACAGTCTTCAGCACATGGAGATAAGAAGGCAGGTATATCAGGGGTTTGGAGTTAACCAAGTGTTCTCCATAATCTACCGTATGTTCTCTAAAGGGGTTCCTGCCCAATCCTGCTTATGTGCTCATCTCCCTCTGTAATCGACCATGTCTCTGCAAGTCACTCCGATGCACATCCATCCGAGCAGTTTCCTACTGCCCATCTCCCACGAGATCCCTCTCAAAGTCCATCTGGATCTCGACAACCTGCTCCAATGTCTCGAGATCCAATTTCTTGTTATCGTATCTCGCAAGACTGGTAGCCGTCCTAACAATACCCTTGATCTGTCTGCCATTCAAGTCATGCAGAGCCAGCTTCTCAATCCCGTCTTCATCAACAGCATCACCCTCCGCCTTGTCGAGGAAATTCTTCCAGATCTGTTTGCGCGAAGAGGTGTCCAGACCAGTGTATTTGAGAGGAACGTGGATGCGAGACTTGAATGCATCGTCAAAGGTGTCCACGCGGTTGGAAGTCAAGAACAAGATTCCCTGATAGTATTCCAGCACTCTGAGGAAAATGGACACGAGGGCGTTTCGTTCCATATCGTGCAGAGAGCGGCGTTCGAGGAAAATGTCTGCTTCGTCGATGAGAAGGACGGCGCGCCATGTACTCGCCATATCCAAGATTTTGGTCAGTCTCTCATCCAGGGTGAAGGAGTCTGTTCCCAGATCGCCTGAAGAAACGACGTAGAGAGGGCGTTTACAGCGTTCGGCCACACATTCTGCAGTAAGTGTTTTTCCCACGCCAGGGGGGNNACCGTGCAGTACAAACACCAATCCTTTGCCTTTACCCTTGATGATGTCGTCAAAGTCTGGTTTCTGGCAGATGTGTTCGGTAACCAGGGCTTGGACGAGTTTCTTCTGCTTTGGGGCGAGCACGAGTTGGTCAAAGCATGATTCATTCCAGGTTACGGCGGAGAGATTGTCGATGAACATGTCAATCCACTTTTTGTGTGTGAAGGAGAAACCATGGACAAGGGCGGAGGCGAGGAGACATTGAGAGTCTGTCAGGGGTTTGAAGGTTTGCTTGGTAGTGGGCAGGAGGTCGGTATCAAAGCGCTTTGTGGAGTCGTCATCACTGTCGTCGTCGTCCGAATCGTAGCTTCTGTAGCTATCGTTGTCGGAGTCGTCGTCAGAATCGTTATTGTTGTTGTGGGTATCTCGGACAAGAGTGATGGTCTCATCGTCAAAAGCGTGGACATTTTTGGCAAGGTCAGGGTTGAGACGGTGGTGTGTCAAGCAATCCACAACGACTCTTTCGCTAATGTGTACGCGGTTGACGTCGTAGTCACCACGAGAGCTATTGTAGACGTGCTCTAAAGCGATGGCGGCATGCTCAGCGAAGTGTATACCGGCATACTGCTCGAAGCGGCGACCTCTAGCAATAAGGCGCTCCTCTACGTCCTCAACATGAGGAAAGAAGTCACGAGAGACGACATCAAGCCTGCTGAGGGAAACAGCTCCTAGATATGCAGGAATAGCCATGTTCTCATTCCAGTAGCCAAAGCGCTTGCCGTCAAAGTCTACCCGCTGCATTTGGAGAACCATGCGAGGCTGCTGACCACATTGGTAGTGCGAGTCAAGCACACGGAAAGCCTGAACTTGACCAAGAACGCGTGCAAAAGCAACAGTCTTGGGCTTGAAAATAGTCCACAGATGCTGGTATGTCATGACTTTTTGCTCGCGGAGGTTGTTGGCTTCCTGGATAGTCTCTCCAAACTCTTCTTGGATGTGATCGAGAAGGACTTTATAGTGAGCTGCTGCCTCAGAGCCAGCCTCAAATCTCTCGCCGTGCTCCTTGATCTCATCGAAGTAGTGGTAGAGAAGGCGGCATGGTTGGGTCAGAGCGATGTCTTTTGTGTCGAGATTGACGCCAGGGTAGGAGCCAATGGCCTGCTTGAGAAGGTCCTTGAGGTGCTGTGAGTTGATCTGGACGACTACTTTTTGGACGCGCTTGCCATCCTCTGACATGTATCTTGTGATGCACAAAACATACTTCGTCCACCTAGGTAATCCTATGTTAGCTAGGGAAGTTGTTCAGGTGACTGATTTATAGCAGAATCATGCAAATCGCCATATCACACTCCACAGAGAGACTCACCAATCGACCTGATCTGGAACTGCGTTGTCCTCCACAGTCTCGGCATAATACCACTGATGCTTCTCGCTGTACTTGCGATCCAAGTGTTTCAATTCTGCCTTCATAGGCTCTGCAGCATCGACCTTTTTCTTTGGGTCAACGTCCTCCTCTGAGTCGTCGCTCTTGGTGTCGCCATTCGTATCAGCCTTCTTGTCGGCTGAGTCGCCCCTGATATCGTCTTGCGTATCGTTGCTGGTGCCGTTGGTTGTGTTTGTCTCGCTTTTGCCGTTGGTCTGGACCTTGACTCCAGACTCACTCTCCTGCGAAGCTTCTGTGGCTTCGAGGATACGCGAGGGTGCCATAATGCTACTTATTGTCGGTGTAGATGGATGGTAATTTTGTTGTAAATGGTGGGAAGAAGTTGATGTTGACGCAACGATGATTTGAACCAAAAGTCAGGCGACGATGGTGAAAGTGATGAAGAGTGAAAGTGAAAGTTATTGAGAATTAAACAGCAACTTCAACTTCACTTATAAATGTTGGACATTCTTAGTGAGGCTGAGTGTCGGACTTTGGCAAAGTCGTATTGGCTGCGGTGTCTCGATCAGCGCGGTTGCCTAAACGCGCTGTCTGTATGCAGCTTATTTATTTTGTTGGCCTGCCCGCGGAACATCGCAACTTCTGCCTACTATTGTGGAGAAACTTGTTTAGATGGATTAAAGAACGGGTGTAGTTGACTCACGTTTTGGTGCAACACGTTACGGACTCGGTGTCACGTTTAAGGGTGTGTGGTTGGCTGTGCTGCCTGGGAAACATCGCCAAATGGATGATTGGGAGATTATTTGCCGAGGCCGTATTACCTCACCGGTCGCATCTAGACTGTGACAGTGTAGCCATTGTCTGATGGGTGCAGTCGCTAATCTGCAGCCTCTGAATATTATCGGAAAGGCTGAGTGTCATGTTGCGGATTTCCGATCAATTTGCAAATCTCATGAGGCAGACGGTGCATCGCTATAGCATTAAAAGTCATGGAGTTGCCAGAGACTGTGGAGTTGACCATGGAGAGTTGTGACTGATTTGTATCTCACTGGAAACTAACATGAATCAGTCCGTGTTTCTACATTTATACAGTCGGCTGACACGCTACAACGCTCTGCTGAGATATATTCAAATCTGTTCGCTGCAATCATATCGTAGAATGCTGGTTTGTCGTACCAGGCTTGTATTCTTGCCAGTCCACATCAAGGAATATCGTTATCCTCGCCATGGAACAAACGCAGGATCGATCCAGCGACAACCTCGCCGTCGTGTTCCATATCAGCCGTCTCCTTTGCAGCATCGGCGTGGTTCAAGTCTTTGAGACTGCCGCTCTCGACACGCAGATTGATCTGTCGCTTTACCATATCCTCATCGAAGCCGAGGTGGCCTTGAGAAGTAAATAGGCGGTCCTTGATGTAGATACCTTGCACAGCTGTGTGTTCCGAGCTTCCCCAAATGTGGACTTTTTGGTCGTCCTTGAGCAAGTCTGTAGTCTTGGATGACGGCGGCTCGACGACGTGATCCTGATGCATCTGGTGTAGTCGTAATGTCTCGTTCTTTGTCCTGAAAAGCTGCTTGCCGATATCGGTGAGTTTGATGTGGGTATGTGAGAGCTCCCAGTCACCACCAGGAACAGTGTCGACCTTCGCGCCGAGCATTCTCGATAAAATTTGGTGACCAAAACATACTCCGGATAAACGTATATCGGGACGGTGTTGCCATAAATCTNNGGTTCCTGTTAGCGTCCAGGGACTGGAGAGAGAGAGAGTCTGGCGTCAACTCATACCTTGCAACAGCTTTATAAGCTTGAGAATCCACTCGTCATCGCCGTGAGCATCGTACATGCTTCCTGTAATCAGAATAGCATGAACGTCTTTCAGTTCTTCCACCGTAGGCACTTTTCCACCCTTGGGCTCTACGACGAACTTCATGGCCGTCTCGATTCCAAGTGGAGGGTCATGATTATCGCCAGCAGTCTTGAACAGCCTATCAAAGACGTCTCCAAAGGTTCCCTTCTCTTCAATGGTCTCGGGGTGCGGTTCGTCTGTCTCGAAGACCATCATCCGCACCTTGTTTGGGGCCTCGGAGCCCGAGAATTTGTCGTGCATGTTTGCAATCGATTCCGAGAACTGTCTAGTCTGGTGACGCGAGAGGCGATTGTTGAAAGATTTGTTTGAGGAGCGAAGAGTGGCAGCGTAGTTGCAGAATTGGCGATTGAGCGACGAAGATACTTGAAAGCGAGCACGAATCGCGCAATGAACGAAAAAGTACGACATGGAGTACACTGTGCTATAAATGTTAAGAGACCCGCAGGTTTCCTGTTATGACTTACATGGCCATCGAGGTGTTTCTAAGTTTCGTGGGTACGTCGTCATCGACTACGGAGTGCTGTGGATGCCAGTACGTAAAGGCCAAGACCGTTAGACCTTGGTACGGAGCCGTCGCTAGCCAGGAAGAGCAAAGACATGGCTCTTCGATGTGGTATAGATGCTCGGCGGTGTCACAATCGCTCTTGGAGAGGCTGTCCACGACTTGGTAGGCGCAGTGAGGTTCCTTGCCTCGCCACGTCGACAGAGCAAGCCAACGGTCGCGGGAAGCCTTCTGCCCTCTCTCGGGTGTCTTGCCATCCCTTTTGGCACGTTGAGTGCTCATGTGCTGCAGGAAAGCTCTGTATGCTGTCAAATAGCAAAAAGGAGACTTCAGATGCAGAGATGAAGCGTGAAGGACAAGGTCGCGAGACCATGACCGATAAGAAAGATACGACTTGCTCGCCCGTTGGTACCTAGGGTTGACTGAGGGGGCGGATATTAAGCATGTGTTCTCAATAGTATCTCACTGTTGCCAACGCAGAGATACAGTCTCGATATCAAGTGGCAGCACTATATATTCGAGTCCTGTTTAGTGTAGATGCAGCCATGAACATTGCAGATAAGGTACACACAGAGCTGGCATAATCAGTGCCATCCGCTGAGTATCTGTTGTTAAACGTGCTTCGAGTCGGAGCATTGCTCGCTTCTGCACTGGCCTTAGGATGTTTTTCTATGAAGCAGAAAACGAAATCGACTATCTGCATGTATACGTCGACTTACTGAAGCTATTAGCATTAGACACTACAAATCGTGACTAGACATCTAGAAGTACCTTTTGACCTAGTATCACCGTTCAAGATCCAGAGCTGCGTTGGTAATTGTGAATATAGTGTTTGAGATACTGGTAAGAGGGCACACCCTGACGACAATTTATGCAAGGTGCATCATTTTTGTGCAAACAATGCCTCAGAAGTACTTCTCATGAAATCGACGACGAGGGTAACATCTCCAATAAAAACACAATCGAAAGAAGGAAGTTTGGGCTATGCCACCGTGTCTTCGTTGAGCTACCTAACATGTCTATCTAAAAGCAAGAGAAAAGAGCAACCTTCGTCACTACGCTATGGGCCATCTTGGCTGTGGGTATCCTTTGTCCAAACTGGAACAAACAAACAAAAGAAAAGAGAAAAATGATAACAATCCATCATCGAACAATCGTCCCAGTGGACTTCCATCGTCTTGGTGCGAACGCTGTAGCATCCGTTCATCAACCTTCCTCCTCATCGTATCCTTCAACATCCGCCCATCCCCAACCCCAACGAGCGCCTTGGCCCTCACCGCATATTCTCATGTCTCTTGCGGCATTGCGATCCTTCTCCCGCCAGCATCTTGCTGTGAAATTATCGCCCAGTGTGATGAGTTCACCTTCAGTGCTCCATGTCAAGCTTGTGACCTCGGAAGTGCCGTGAGCTCGAATCAACGCGGTACCCTGAGTGTAGATCGGCAGCGACGTATCTTGGTGCTTGCCGATGGATCCCATTCGTGAACGGACACCGGAGGCCTCATCGCGATCACCAACAGGAGTAGAAGTGCCTGAGTTGGGCTGTTGAGGTTGCTTCTTCAGGAGAGACTCATCCGTGGGAAACAAAACGGCACAACCTTCACGACTACCGACAGCAAGCATCTCGGGCTGGGACAAAGTAGCAGGGCGAAGAGCGGACTTGACATAGAAGGAAGTCGACTTAAACATGGGGTGGCGGAAACCGTACAAGGGTCCAATACCGGTGAGGCCCTGTCGTGGTCGGAACCATTTTGAGGCTTGGGTGTTGGTAGATGCTTCATACTCGGGAGCGGAGCCCAAGATGAGATGGTTCGTCGAGTAAGCATAAACAGTGCTATCGCGACACAGTGCGTAGAAGCGGCTACCATCACCACTCAATGACAGGCTACTAATGCCGAATTGACGGTGCTTGATATGGGCCTCTGGCTCACGGGTGCTCGACACGGGGACTGAACTGAGACGCGAAGGACCACCTCGGCGAGATGTGTACTTGCCGCGAAGATCCCACAGCTTGATGCTGGCATTGGCTTCTGTTGCAGTGAGAAGCAGATGAGAGCGCGAGTCAGGCAGGAAGGACAAGGCGGTGATGGAGACGTCTGAACGCTCGTGCTGCAAGCCGTGGGCGTCGCGCATGCTGTTGACACACGGAGCATATGTGACGGTGTTGCTATGAGGTCGAGGGACATTTGCCATGCCGTTACCAGTCTCGAAGCTGACAGCAAAGTCTGCGACGGGAGCATCCTGACCGCGACAACGCAAGTCCCAGATCATGACACTGCCGTCGCGACTTGAGGTAGCGACGATGCTGTCGTTGCCAGGCTGAAAACGAACTTGCTTCACGGACGATGTGTGGCTGCGCATGATGAAGCGTGTTTGCTGAGTGTGCATGTCAACGATACGAGCAGTCTGATCACCCGAGCCTGTGGCGAACAAGTAGTCGTCGGAGGAAAAGGCCATGTCCATGATGGCATTACGATGAGGCTTGAAGCTAACATGGTGTTGAGAGAAGGAGTTGTCCGAGAAAGCCGAGTCTATGAGCCTCACACCACCCTCTTCATCACCGATAGCGACGAGAGAGTTGGTATTGCATCGAGTCACACAGAAAGGCAAGGCGTCGCCACGGTAGCTATGGCAATCTTCAGGTCGGGTGTAGAAGTCGGCAGTCTGGGCTTGCCAGTCAGGAACACAGTGGTCGAATATCCTGCCACGACCAATGGTCCTCGAACCGCCAAAGCTTCGTTGCAAGATACGGCTGCTTGTCCCAGTGTTTCGCAGACGTGTGATGGGTATAGGAATATGCTTTTCTTCCTCGTCTTCATCTTCGTCCTCTTCTTCAATGTCCGAGGCATCAAAATCGTAATCCTGATGGTGTGAGAGGTTTGAGGGATGGTAGCTGAGGGCCTCAAGGGTGAGGAGTCGAGTNGGCTGGACAGGCGAGCTTTCGGGAGTGGGTAGGATCTTTCTCTTCTTTCGTGGCGTCTCGAATTGGGGGAGGTCGTGAAAGCCATTGAACTTGACTTGATTGACGGCGTTCTTGGTGATGTCTTTGAGTCTCTTGTTGGACTTTGAGTTTGTGGATGAACGTGATGTGATGGGAGTAAAGAACCTCGTGAAGCGTCGAGGTGTGATGGATGGTTGGCCCTTGGGTTTGCTGCTCGTCCGGCCCGGCGATGATGCAGCTGTAGGAGAAGTGGGAAGGGCCGCACTGCTGCTCCGGGATGAAGGCAGCATATCCAAGCCAGACATGATGCAGAAATGGTGATATGGATATTCAACCAAAGATGCAACACGTACAGGTTGGCGGGCACTCAAGAAGTTCCGCCACGAACGTGAACAAGACGCGATGCGACGCGTCAAAACCAATTTACGGCGTCGGCCCTGCACCTTCCGCCAAGCCCGACCATGATGGAATCTTCAAAAGTTCCACGCACGGACTGCCAGGAAAGTGTTCGAGCTCCAGAAATTTTGGGCAAGGCAAATTCTGGGATTCCTATCCATTTCCGTGGTCGAACAACCATGGCTCCCATTAAACGAAAGGCTCAGACTGACGAGCGCGATGTGAAGCGCTCCAAGGCTGACAGCTCAGCCGCCGCTCCAGCCAAGAAGAGACAACCTCCGGAGTCCAAGGAACAGGGCGACAGAAACCCAGTCAAGGCCTCGATCCTCTCGCAAGAAGAGCGTGCTTTCCCTCGTGGTGGTGCCAGTGTCTTGACCCCTCTGGAGCACAAGCAGATCAAGATCCAGGCCGAACGCGACGTTCTTTTCGAGCAATCTGGAGGAAAGAAGCAAAAGTCTGATCAATTCTCCGACGACGACGACGAGGATGCCGATGCTGGCGCCGACTCTGGCGCTGCCCCCAAGAAGAAGAGAAAGACAAAGGCCGACAAGAGGGCTGCCAAACAAGCCGAAGACGACAAGCCCACCATCAAGATCCACGGTCTGAGTTACAAGAACATCGCTGTTGGCACTCTAGTACTGGGCCAGGTCACCGACATCACATCCCGCGACGTCGCTCTTGCTCTGCCCAACAACCTCACAGGATTCATTCCCTTGACCGCAATCTCGGAAAAGGTCAACCAGAAGATCGAGGCCCTGCTGGCTCAGGCCGACGAGGATGTCAAGGACGAGAGTGAAGACGAAGACGACGACGACCTCGACCTCAAGTCGCTTTTCCACATTGGTCAATGGCTCCGAGCCATTGTTACCTCGACCGCCGACGAGACGGCTGCCAATGGCCTGCGCAAATCGAAAAAGAGAATCGAACTCTCCGTCGACCCAAAACAAGCAAACGTTGGTCTCGATACCTCAAACCTCCCCGTTCACTCGACTCTGCAAGCCTCGGTCCGCAGTGTGGAAGATCACGGCCTGGTCATGGATCTGGGTCTGGACGACGAATCGGTCAGAGGTTTCGTGTCCAAGAAAGAGCTAGGAAAGGTTTTCGACATCTCCAAGATTCACGAGGGCCAGGTCATGCTTTGCGTAGTCACTGGCAAGGCCTCAGACAACAAGGTCATCAAGCTGGCTCCTGATTTCACAAAGATGGGCGACATCAACAAGCACTGTCTTTCGGACGCCTCCACGATTGATGCTTTCCTGCCCGGTACCGCTGTCGAAGTCCTGGTCACTGAGTCAAGCCGTGGCGGTATTGCCACAAAAGTCATGGGTATGCTCGATGCGACGGCGGATGTCATTCACTCGGGCGCTGGTGCTCGCGTAGACGACGTGTCCAAGAAGTACAAGATTGGCTCAAAAGTCAAGGCTCGTGTCATCTGCACTTTCCACTCCGCCGAGACCAAGAAGATCGGTATCTCCTTCCTTGACCATGTCAAGACTTTCAAGGCATTTGCTCTTGGTAGTGAGAAGAAGGCCGACAAGATCGGTCCCTCCTCAATAGTCGAGGATGCTCAGGTCGTGCATGTTGAGCCTGCAATGGGCCTTTTCCTTAAGCTCACCGGCTCTTCAAACCCCGGTTTCGCTCATATTTCTAGAATTTCTGACAAGAAGATCGACACTCTCTCAGAAACCATCGGCCAATACAAGCTCGAATCTACTCACCGCGCTAGAGTCCTTGGCTTCAATCCAATTGATGCCGTGTACAATGTTTCTCTTGAGCAGAAGATCCTGGATCAGCCTTTCTTGCGCATTGAAGATGTTGAGGTTGGTCAAGTCGTCAAGGCGACTGTCATGAAGATCATTCTGGGAGCCAAGGGCGTCACTGGCGTCCTTGTCCAGCTTGCCGATGGCATTGATGGTCTTGTTCCCGAGGCGCATATGGCTGATGTGAAGTTACAACATCCCGAGAAGAAGTTCAGAGAAGGCTTCCCTGTCACCGCACGTGTTCTTACCGTCGACCCCGAGAAGAATCAGATTCGCTTGACCCTCAAGAAGACTCTGGTCAACGCTGATGCCAAAATCTGGAAGTCGTACGAGGACATCAACGTTGGAGACGAAGCACCTGGTACCATCATCAACATCAAGCCTAACGGTGCCGTTGTTCAGTTCTACGGCAAGGTCAGAGCATGGCTCCCGGTCGCCGAGATGAGCGAGGCATACATCTCGGACCCCTCTCAACACTTCAGACAAGGTCAAACTGTCATGGTCCATGCTATCTCCGTCGATGCAGAGGCCAATGAGCTCAAGGTTTCCTGCAAGGATGCTTCCGCCTTCGGTAAAGACGAAGAATCTGCCTGGAGCAACCTGAAGGAGGGTCGATTAATCAACGCATCCGTCACCGAGGTTACTGGCGAGAGCGTCATGCTTGATTTGGAAGGCTCAAACCTCAAGGGTACGCTCCGCCTGGCTCATCTTACTGATGGATCTGAGGCCAAGAACAAGTCTACCTTGAAGCAGATCAGAGTTGGTCAGAAGCTGAACGAGCTTGTCGTGTTGGAGAAGCTGGACAGAAGACATCTGGTTGTTTTGAGTAATAAGCCTAGCTTAGTCAAGGCCGCCAGCTCCAAGTCCCTGATCAGTGATTTCAAGAGCCTAGCACAAGGTCAGGAGATCAGCGGTTTCGTGCGCAACATCACACCCGACGGTGTATTCGTTGAGTACGCTGCTGGCCTCGTCGGTTTTATGCCCAAGACCCAAATCACGCAGGAGAAGCTTGCATTGCCTGCATTCGGTCTGCGCAAGGATCAGCCCATCTCTGCTAGAGTTCTGTCTGTCAACAACGACTCCAAGCGCTTCGTTCTCACTATCCGCCCCGAAGAGAAGAAGGTGGAGAAGCCTCAAGCCGCTGTTGACACCACTGTCACCAACCCTGTGGATGGAGTCTCTGCTTCCCTCACTGACTTCACACTGGGCAAGGAGACCCAGGCACGCATTGTTTCCATCAAGGACACTCAGCTCAACGTCTTGCTTGCCGACAACATTCAAGGTCGCATCGACGTATCTGAAGTGTTCAACAGCTGGGAAGACATCAAAGACAGAAAGAAGCCCCTACAAAAGTTCAAGACCAAGCAGGTTCTTCCCGTCAAGGTCCTTGGTATTCACGATGCTCGCAACCACCGTTTCCTGCCCATCACTCACCGCCACTCCCGTGTTCCCGTTCTTGAGCTTACTGCTAAGACCAACACTACTCTGAAGTCAGAGTCCGACATTCTGACTCTCGATCAGGTCAAGGTTGATTCCACCTGGATTGCTTACGTCAACAATATTGGTGACAAGTGCTTGTGGGCTAACTTGTCTCCCAACGTCCGTGGTCGCATTGACCTGCTTGATGTTTCTGACGACGTTTCCCTGCTTCAGGATATCCCCAAGAACTTCCCTGTTGGCTCTGCTATCCGTGTCAAGGTCAAGAGCGTCGATGCTGCTGCCAACCGTCTGGATCTTGTTGCTGCTTCTGCTGCCTCATCGGCTCCTGTCACCCTCAAGACTCTTACTGATGGCCAAATCCTCGCCGGAAAGGTCACCAAGGTCAGCGAGCGCAACGTTATCGTCCAGCTCAGCGACTCAGTTTCTGGTATTGTTACTCTGACCGAGTTGTCTGATGACTTTACAGAGGCCAACCCTACCACGCACAGCAGAGGCGACATTGTTCGTGTCTGCGTTTCCGCCGTTGACCTTCCCAACAAGCGTGTCTACCTCAGCATGCGTCCCTCCAAGGTCCTCAGTTCGGCACTGCCCGTTGAGGATCGTCAAATCACCTCTATCCCTCAATTGGTCGTCAACGATGTCGTCCGCGGTTTCGTCAAGGCTGTTACTGAGAAGGGTGTCATCGTCAACCTTGGACCCCGCGTCGATGCTTTCGTCCGTATCTCTGACCTGTCAGACCAGTTCGTAAAGGACTGGAAGTCAGCAGTCGAGATTGACCAGCTCGTCAAGGGTAAGATTTTGCAGGTCGATGCAAACCTCAACCACGTCCAGATGAGTTTGAAGCAGTCTCACGTCGACAAGGACTATGTTCCTGCCAACTCTTTCGCCGACCTCAAGGTTGGTCAGTTTGTCACTGGTAAGGTGAGAAAGGTTGAGGATTTCGGTGTCTTTATCGACGTCGACAACACCATTCCTCGTGTCAGTGGTCTGTGTCACAAGAGTCAGATTGCCGATTCTGCTGTGGAAGATGTCAAGAAGCTTTACGATGCTGGTGATCTTGTCAAGGCCAAGGTCTTGCACATCGATACCGAGAAGCGTCGCATCAGTTTCGGTTTGAAGGCTTCGTACTTCAAAGATCTCGATGGCGACGAGGAGATGGAAGATGATGAGGATGAAGAGTCTGATGGCGAGGGTGTTGCTCTTGATGACGATGCCTCGGAGTCTGATGATGGTGTCGACATTGATATGTCCAACGTACAAGATATGGAGAGTGACGAAGAAGCTGCGTCCGACGAGGAGATGAGCGAGGACGACGCACCTGCCACCCGCAAGTCCATCCTCGGCGGACTTACCACTTCCGGCTTCGACTGGAGTGGTGCTTCTGCTCTTGACAATGACGGTGCCATCTCAGATGCTGAAGAAGCATCGGCACCGCTCAAGAAGCGTAAGCGCAAGGCCGCTATTCAGGTCGACCAGACTGGCGACCTCGACGCCAACGGCCCCCAGTCTGTCGCCGACTTTGAACGTATGCTGTTGACATCTCCATCTGACTCCTCGCTCTGGATTCAATACATGGCCTTCCAGCTCGGTCTCTCGGAAGTCCAAAAGGCCCGCGACATCGGTCAGCGCGCTCTCCGCACAATCCACCTTCGCGAGCAAGATGAGAAGCAAAACGTCTGGGTAGCACTCTTGAACTTGGAGGTTGCCTACGGCGATGCCGACTCGGTGGACGCCACCTTCAAGGAAGCCTGCAAGGTCCAGGACAGCTTCACCATGCACGAAAAGCTCGCCGCCATCTACACATCCTCTGGCGACTTCCGCGCCGCCGAGAAGATCTTCGACGCAATGGCATCCACAAAGTCTTTCCGTCCTAACCCCAACCTCTGGCTCAACTACGCAACCTTCCTCTTCGAGAAACGCGATGCTGCTTCTCAAGCCCGCGCTCTTCTGCCCCGCGCATTGCAGTCAGTCGCGTCCCACGACCACCGCAACCTCACCGCCAAATTTGCAGCCCTCGAGTTCCGCACGTCCACCGGCGAGCCCGAGCGCGCACGCACAATCTTCGAGTCCATGCTCACACAGTGGACGAAATGGACACAAGGCTGGGACATGTGGTGCGATCTCGAACGCAGCCTCGCCAAGCAGACTGGCAAGCCCGAAGACGTGGAACGCGTCCGCGGTCTCTTCGAGCGCATGGCCAACGGCAAGATGAAGAAGCGTCGCGCCAGATTCGTCTTCAAGCGCTGGTTGGAGTTTGAAGAGGAGCAGGGTGATGCCAAACATGTTGAAGCCGTCAAAGCCAGAGCCAAGGCGTTTGTCGAGAAGATGCAGAACGGAGATGACGAAGAGATGGATGAGTAGAGATGCATTGTCGATTTCTTGTAGAAAGAAGCACGGAAGTGGTATAAAATTATGGCGTTTATGGGATGGTGTTGTTCATACCTTTTTCACATCAATATTATTTCCTTTTTTTCTTTGTCACTTCACAATCTGAGCCTGTCTAGCTATCGAATCGTGGTCTAAAACTCAGTTGCCATGGATGGCTCGAACGACTCCCGAAGACAAGGAGAATCAATAAATATCGCTAGCAGCTGCTAAGAAAGCCAGCAGGGGGATGGTACGCATTTCACAAATTTGTGCGACTGGATGTGTGTATTTATGCCATTCAATGCAAATCATCGTACCCTCCAGATACCTCTTTCGGGTATATCTATCCACGCCCCGCCTTCTCCACCTCCACACGGTCTTCTACAGACTACAAGCAGCAATGCAGTAAGCATGCGCATTGCGTGCTAGGGCACTGCTACATTAGCTAGGTAATCGCATCCCAAGAAGAGAAAAGAAAAAGAACAAGTAAAAAGCAGCAGCTCCTCCTCTTCGTTCCTTTCGTTCCTTTCTCACAACTCTTGCGAACAAGAAAGATAGAACTCCATCATCGCAAGCAACACAACACAACACACTCAGATAACAATGTCTTTCAATCTACACCCCGTCATCAACAACGGCATTTCCAAAGGCGATCCATCCTTCTCGGGCGGCTCCCTCCACTGCCACTGCAAAGCCTCGCCCGTCACAATCTCACTCACCTCAAACATTTCCCACAACCACGCCTGCGGCTGCTCCAAATGCTGGAAACCCTCTGGGGCAATCTTCTCCATCGTCGGCGTCGTGCCCCGCGGCTCCCTCAGCGTCACCTCGGGCAACGAAAAACTCTTCGTCGTGGACTCGACCGCGGTGATCCGACGTCACGCCTGCAAGGAGTGCAAAGTACATTTGTTCGGAAGGATTGAGCAGGAACATGCGTTTTATGGTTTGGACTTTGTGCATGTCGAGTTGAGCGAGGAAAAAGGTTGGCAAGAGGTGCAGTTTGCGGCATTTGTGAGCAGTACTATTGAGCAAGGGTTGGTTGCTGCCGAGGAGGCGGATCTAGTCAGGGGTCAGATTAAGAAGCTTGGGTTGGAGACTTATGATGCGTTGAGCCCCGGGTTGATGGATGCCATTGCTGTGTTTACGGCAAAGAAGAACGGGGTGTTGAGGGAGTCTAAGCTGTAAGGGTGGCGGTTGTTTGGATATGGGATGTTACTGTGGGACCGGAGATGTATCGTTGGCTTTGTTTTTTTTTTTTTGGAAAGTTGAATAGTTTTGGACAATGCAGTTGAGACGCAGAGGTGATATGCTTTGCATATCCCTCCTTAACCAAGCATTATATCTGACTCTCCATGCCTAGTCAACTCGGGAAACAGCTGTTCAGGGAAAAGGTCATTCATTTCAACAAGCATGTCGCCTCCTAGCGCGTTCCACCAATCCGTCGGTATCACCTCTTGCATCGGCTCACAACTTGCTTGGTTTGTGGAAATATACTTGTCCAGTTGCTGCGAAAAGATGTTGGACAGAGTGGTATACAGAGAAGCCGCAGACGAGCTTGGCAGCCCTCGCGCGATCGTCTCCATGTGTCTGGTGACGGCGCGTACTTTTGCGGCTGCAGTCTCCATGACGTCGGGTGGTAGGCATCCGCGAGTGGTGGCCTAGAGGCATGGTCAGAGAGCCTTGCTAAGTCGTTTAACCTCACAAAAATAGTGACTTACAAACAATATCTCGCTAGACGCATGGCAGATCATGATAAGTTGGTTGTTGTGAGTACCATACATGTGCTTGAGTAGGACCGGGTCAGAGAGTATGAGGTTCAAAGACCTGCATGCGACATCGACGGTCTGGCGAGAGATCTTGCAGGGGTTCTTCAACGACTCGATGGCATTGGTAGCGACAAAGTCCCTCAGAGCGTTGGCGTTGAGCACTAAAATGCTGTGGTCCATATAGTAGGCGAGTATAGGCAAATACACTGCTGATGGCGCCGCCTCCTCCTCCGAGTCAATGGAAGAGCATCGCTTTTCGCGAAGGGCTTGGAGAGCGTTGAAACCTCGCTCCTGCCAATCTTCTATGAGTACTCTGGTCTTTTTCATGTGTTCCCTCTCTTCGAGGAATTGCATCTGGGTAGCTCCAAGTCAGTTTGTGATCTGTGATCTGGCTCGACTTCTTTCCAACTCAACTTACAAGNNAAGGATACGCATCTCGACGACGCCACTGATGATGCGATCGAAGGGACATGCCATTGGTTTCTTCCACCATTCAGAAATTGATTCTGATATCTCTGATCGACCAACGTTCATCACGCGTCCGGTCACAATGCCGAAGCTCTTTTCTGCGAAGAACGCGGCAAACCACGTCCTCTCAATGTTACGACAGAACCGTTCCTTAAAGTTCGAGCTTGCTGTAGAAGAAGTGTACGTCGCGACTAGCTCTGTTACTGCCTTGGCTTTGTTGAGGCCTAATTCTCTGGCGATCAGAATGGCNCTGTATTGCACAAAGTCAGTATAGAATGGTGGATTGATGATACAGTCTCTTACGTGGCTTATATGCAACCAGTAGGGATCATCCTTCTGTGTCTCATGCACGGGTGACCAGTATTCCATGGTGAAGATCGCCTGGATAGTCTCCACAGACTTGACAGACGTTGCGATCGACCACTTGATATTGCTCTCTGCCAAGGCTAGCAGAGTAGGATATACCAATCGATCTCTTTGCTTATCGGAGATTGCACAACCCAGTGCACAGACGACCGAGAAGAGAGTGAAAGATAATGGTCGTACATTCTCCGATGTGTGAAGTATAGGGTCCAGAAGACAAACGAGCGGATTGCGAATCTTGAAAAATCTAGCGCATCGATAAGTCACATACTCCTGACAAGAGCGGTCACAAGAACAGGCTTACAGGTCAAAATACCTCTCAGCATCGGTGTCGTCGATAATGCGAGAACTGATCGGATCGCAGGTCAAGGAGCTAAGCCTCAGGGGNGCATTGGCTGGCTGTGAAGCTAGAACCTGCCAGTCCTTCTGTGACAATGAGCTAGGCNNTCTGATGGATAAAGATGATCAGTATTTTGACTTTGGGTGAGAGACAATCAACATACTAAAGTACTTGACTAATCTTTCAGTGGACTGTCGAGAGAGCCATGCATTGTTTGTGTTGTTCGGCAGGGCATCATCGTGATGGACCAACTCTGGAGTGGGATCTAGGATATGGAGAGCTGCAAGTCTTTCGGTCTCGACGGCATCGGCGAGGATATGTAAGGGCGATACGAGCGAGCTTCCAGAGTCACCATTTGAACGACTATACTCCGCCCGCTGGTTTTCTGAGTTGGTAACGGTATATGCCACTGATGCAGCTCCGAATTCAGGCGTGTCTTCTATTGGATTTTGTCCGCTGCGTGTTTCAGAAATAGAACCAGGAGGTTGCAGGTTTCGAGAAGCAGCTAGGATAGCAGCGATGACTTGCTCGCCAACGGGACTCTCATTGATACGCTGCAAGAGTTTTTCAACTGTGTCCGGTTTGCTGTTNTCATGTGAGAGAAAGCCACTCGAATTCGCAGACCTGACTTACTTGACACTCCCTTGTTTTCGGCCTCGGTTGGAGACTTGAGGATACTCACATCGCCTCTGCTGTGAGGTGCACCGTGTGCTGCATCGTCGTTAGAAGTTTTGATGATACTCGATGGGTTATTAGTACCATGGACTTTGTCGATCGCATTTTTGTCTTGATGAACGGCAGCTAAAGCATGCTGTGCGGTGGAGCTGAGGCCGATCCACGAGTCCTACAGTATGGCTACTCCGTTGCTGAGGGAGAGACGGGTTTTCATTCATCTCTACGACAAGCCTTCGTCCATGCTCTTGCTGCACGTCTAATGAGCATATAGTCACGTTTGCTTGTGATTAGCAAGCAAAGAAATGTGTCCGGCGCTAGTAAAAGAGAAGGTACGATCCAGAGTTTACCTCGTTTTAGGGCTCCAGGTTGAGAACAGATCGTGGATACGGAGGTTGAGAATATGTGGGACATGTGTTGGAAACTATATTGATTGAGAACACCTGCGACTGTAAAGCACGCTCAGAGAACGAAAACATAGACGCATTTGAATCATGCAGCACTTGCGTGGAGACTTCAAAGGATCGCTCCTGAATTACTTATGTGGTCGTAAACCACTGGACGGAACCGAGAATATATATGCTCTTAACTCTCCATTACCTCCTTCCAAATTGTTGATGATGATTAAAAGAATGAAACTCGTGACTCCGTGCGCAATGCTTTTCTACAAGAATGAAAGACGACGCTTTGTATGTTGTTTCCACGGATGGAAGATGGTTTTAGTTGCCGTTGGAGCTTCCGTATATGGACTGTTGACGAGGGGCTTGGTGATACAGACTGCTGTCGTACTCGGTGTCCACATACATCATGCTTGCTCTCTTCTCCTCTTCGTTGAGAAGTTGGGCCTTGAGATCCCAGTTGTTGACTCTGGCGCCAACTGAGAACTCGAGATCTTCCTTGGTGATGGAGTCCCAGAANCTGTAGCAGGATCGTTAGCACGAGACAGATTGAAGGGAATAGCAGGTAGTTCTCACCTTGTAGATCATCATAACCGCAAGGAGGTTGCAGACGGTGGCAAAGACGAGACCGTCCATGTAGTGGGCGATGCCCTCGCAGACAGACTTGCCGAATGCGTAAATCAGGACCTGGCCGACAACAAAGAAGAAGATGCCAAAGGCAATGTGACCTAGCGGCCATCTGTCTTGGAGTGTTCCTACAACGAGCAGGATTTGCATGACAATATAGACGGCGAGGAATATGGCGCTAAAGATGTAAAGCACGACGAAGAGGCCGACAGTGTTGTCAGGACCCAGACCGGCCCAGCCCTGGAAGGTCAAGATGCTGATGATAAAGGTAATGGCGAACATGGTGGCAGAGCAGATTCTGAGTAGCCAGACACTGAGAAATGTACCATCTTCGTATAATTGGAAGCCGACGAATCCAGCAATCATAAGAGAGACGCAGGTGGCAGAAGAGAGACCGCATTGTACAGCGACGAACCAGGGATATGCGCCAGAGCCGGGAGGAACGACGCCGCAGTCGACGAGGAGCGAGACGATGGTGAGCAAGAAGTAGCCCCAGAAGAAACTGATGATTTCCTTGCGACCTNNTGGACATGTCAGCTGCTAGTGGTCTGAGGGCGACGAGAGCGACATACCGACAGCAGTAAACTTGCTGCGAACGTGGACAATCATAATGACAGTCATGAGCAGGGCGCAAATGTGGGCGATGCCAGCAGCGCCCTGGAAGATGACCGTGTTGGCCACCTCAATGGTGCGCGAGTAGCAGGCGGGCTGTATGCCCTTGGTCCCCTTGACACCATTGCTACCGACCATTGTGCAGAGCGGCAGCGCGGCCTGCTTGCATATCGAGTCGAAGTCGCCGAAACCCATTCTCGTTTTGTTCTTTTGTTTGCCGCGCGTCGTGTTTACTGTGGGATGCGGTCTCGGTCCTAGATGGGGTGGACGTTTCTGCGCGTGATGTGTGGCAATCGTAGATGTGCGAGCGAGCGAGTGGCGGTATGCAGCGAGTGGAAGGTGACAGGAACAGGCAAGAAGTTGAATCTCCGACGGTGCCTGTCTCGAGGGGTAACAAAGTGTTTCTCCAGCCAATCTATTTTCAGGCACATGATGCCAGCACTTTACGGCAGACCCTGCAGCCGCGAGCCGCACGAGCAACCAGTCTTGGCACGCCGAACCCTCGCCGGCTCCTCTGTATCACGAACTTGCAGCAGCACCATCTCATCTCATCTCATTGCTATCGGAATCTTCTTACTGCATAATCGTCACTCTGTCATGGAACAGGCTCAATAGATGCCATGACCACGCAAGGACTCGGGCATTCAAGATCCGAAACACGGGGTCTCCGCGATCCCTCTGTGGCTTGTGGGGGAGAGATTGGTGCGAGAGGAATTTGATCGTGGGCATGAGGCCTACTTCGTGGGATCGTTGCAAAGTGCGGGGTATTCTTATACTTTCCACCCCCGTTCATGGCATTCGCATGTCTGTACGTCGAAAGGTAGCTCGTGGTAGGTCATCACTCTGCTCGGACACGGCAACCATGCCCCCGACGGCTCCACATACATCGTGCCCACATGCCTTTCGACCATGCACAACATCCAGACTGTATTTCCTCGACTTTGCGAATATGTATACAGCCTCCTTCGTTTTCCTCATACGTCTTTGGTCAAGTAAGCCTGTGTGCTCTCACTAACCATGGCACAATTCTCGTACGTCAATCTTGTGTGGCTCTATATCGCCGTCACGTTCATCTACATATCATACAAGGTACGTCCGTCCACTCACGGATACTCAGCCCTCTGGTCTCACATTCGTAGGNTTGTGCACAAAGCCTTTTTCACACCACTTCGTGGCATACCCGGACCATGGCACGCTGCGCTGGTGAACTGGCGCTTGAAGATAGCAGTCCTCGGTGGTGCACGAGCAGATTATATCCACGCACTCCACCAAAAGTACGGCCCGATCGTACGCATCGCACCTAATGAAGTTGCCATCAACGAGCCGGCCAGTTTCAAAGACATTCACAAGATTGGCTCTGGGTTCCATAAGACCGATTGGTACGAGTATTTGAATACCAATGGTGTCGGCAAGTGTCCCGGCATCTTTAACATGACCAACCCAAAGGAGCATGCTGCTAGGAGGAAGTTGTTGGCTAAAGGATTCAGCCAGCGCCATCTGCGTGAGCAGTGGGAACGTGTTGTTCATGAAAAGGTTGACCTCGCTGTTGCTCGCATCAAAGCCAATGCCACCTCTGGGACGGCAGATGTTCTCAAGTGGTGGACGTATCTCGCGACCGATGTTTCTGCTCACCTGATGTTTGGCGAGTCCTTTCACATGCTCGAAAGTGGCGAGAGAGTGCCTTACATTGTAGCTCTGGAGAAAGCTACCATATGCTCTGCGATTAGCTGGGAGTTACCTCTGGTGTACTGGATAGGACGTAGATTGCCTTTTGCTACCATGAGAAACATCTTCTACGCCAACAACGTTTTGCTCGAGCAAGGCCGTCTAGCAGTCAGAAACAGCAAAGCCCAGGAATTCGGCACGTCGAACATCTTCGCCACTGCTGTCAGCGAGGCCGAGAAGGGTGACGGTGCTTTGACCGACGAAGACATTCAAACAGAGGCCGGCAATCTGATTGTCGCTGGTTCAGATACTACAGGCATCACGCTCACATATCTCACCTGGTGCGTCCTAAAGCAACCCGCACTACAGCAAGCCCTGGAGGAGGAAGTCAACTCAGCTGATAGCCAACTCACTGACACCGCTCTCGAACAACTGCCAATCCTCAATGCCGTAATCGAAGAAACTCTTCGCCTCTACGGCGCCGCACCAGCAACCCTCNCCCGTCTGACCCCCAAAGGTGGCGCAACCTTTGGTGGTCACTTCATCCCCGCCAACACTGTTGTGGGTACTCAATCTTATTCCTTACACAGGGACCCCCAAATTTTCCCCGACCCAGATAAATTCGACCACACGCGTTGGCTGGAGCCCAACCAACTCTCCCCCTTGGCAAAAGCGACATTCTCACCCTTTGGTGCTGGATCCAGAGTGTGCATTGGCGTGCACCTCGCACGTATGGAACTGCGCTTGGCAGCTGCAAAGTTCTTTCGCGAGTGTAGGGGTGCGAGGCTGGCGCCTTCGACTACGGATCAGAGTATGAAGCCTGTCAATTTCTTTCTCATCGCGCCTCAGGCACACAAGTGCGAGATCATCATGTAAAATGATGGCACCAAGGCCTGTCTCCATCAATAGAGTATGCAAGAGTAGCTTTTTCCTAAATTCGATACTTGATCCTCTGTTTCTGAGTCCAAGTTGAGGCCTTGAGCAAGAAGTGGCGGACAATACCAAACAATGTGTTTTGCATTTAGTCGAACCACATTAGTGCCCCTATGTGCCGATGGCCGAAATGTGAGTTAATGCAAAGCCATATATAGAGACCCTCATAAATTGTTGGGTGAAGCATTTTCTAGGGGTCGGATAGAAAATACTCATATCACGATTTAGCAGCGCGCATTGGTGAGAACCTATGTCACAATGGTACTCAGTCGGACAATACCAGACTCTTACATTCATCAATCTATGGCATTATCAACCACTGTATCATCGATGAACATGTTTGATTGGCAGATTTCTGTGGCAACTCTGTCTGGTGTGCTCTGTGCAGCCATGGCCATTGATGTGTGTTACTGTGGACCTGCCTACAGCGATGCGGGTGGTTACTCTACTACATAAAACAGAACACCACAATCTAAAACCTCAAGCGTTATGCTTCTTGTCCCTTCTGTATATACGTCCCGTTTTCATTATAAAGTAGCTTGGCCGCAGGTCGCACTACACCCTCTGGTCGGATAGCACTTCCCATCAATCTGCTCATCGTCCAGAGCTTCTGCTCCGAATCTCTTACCGACACGAACGCTTGATTTCTACTCAGTTGTGCAGCCTGCCAGAGTGCTGCCATGGAATATTCGTTGTCGAGAAATCGTCGGGCATCGAAAAAGTTGTTTACCAGTTGCTGCAGTCGGACACGTAGGTAGCCTCTGTACTGATCTGATGGAGAATCTGGAGTATCTGTGGCCGTCGGCTGGATATAATCTGGGTCTACAGCCCATACCCACATGTCGTCGACGTTTGCCGCTTCAGAGAAGAGTGAATCGACACAAGGTTGATCGATGACAATGAATACGTTTCTGAGGATACCACTTTGTAGAGCGGCACGGTCGGTCTGGTTGACAGTCGCTATTTGTCTTCCAGAAGCGCGTTTTCGAAGGACTTTGAAGCGTTCGCGGAGGCCCTGGAATCTTGCTTCTAGTTGAGACGTTGCTTCCTTGTCCGTAGAGTTCTGACCATCTGACACAATTTGGGTTTCTTCATGTTTCTGATCGTCATCAATAGCTTCAGTAGTTTCGCCGTCGGTCTGGGTATTCGTGTTCTGGTCGGTAGGCGTGACGCTGGGCCATTCGAAGCTCTGCAGTTTCCATCTGGCAGAAATCGTCTCTCCGCAACCGATCGCGTCTCGAGCGTGCATGAGAGCAGCACCCATCCTTGATTCGTATTCTTCATTGACTGCTTCGGGGTCGCGAAAAACAGCGTAACCCCAGCTCTTCTTGCCCTGGTCCTCTTCCCACAGTCGTTTCACCCATGGCTGTGCAGCGGCCAGTCGACTTTCGACCTCTTGCTTTTGACGCTGTTTACTGGCGTCCATCATGCGTCGCCACTCCTCTACTTCGGTATTCCAGAGTGCAGCTTCCTCGTTATCTTCGTAGAGCATTGCCCGAACCTTTTTCAGTTTGTCCATTGCTCCTTTCCAGTCCTGACCGGTGACAGAGATAAGTGCGGTCTCAGCAGCCGAGCGAGCTTCCGTCGCTGCGACCGCTGGATCAATCCAGTACCGTTCCTTGAGAAGATTCATTTGGCCAAAGGTGAGTCTCGGTGGATCAATCCAGTATCGTTCCTTGCGAAGACTCAGTTCACCAAGAGTAAGCTTCGATGAGTCTGAAGCCGCTTGCTCGAGAAGTTTTGCTTTGGAAAGTTTTGTGGTTGCTGCCACGTTCGACTATTGGATGGCCGTGTCAGGAAAGTCGAGGATACTCAGTCTTTCTTCAATCGATAAATTAGTGGCGTTGGGGCTGCCGTCTAGCAAGGCGATTATGTTTCTGTCGATGTCCTTGATGTTGCTTCTATGCTGGGCCACACAGGCGAAGTGCCTGATCAAGTATTCCATGGTAGAAGAGATTGAAACGTGTTGATTGCAATAGCGGGTTTCGAGATGTTTGCGTATTCATCATCAAATCTTCCTTTAATGTCAGGTCGAAACAAGGCAAGCTGTATGCAAATCCGAACTCGAGACAAGCGATGAAACTGGTAAGAGTGGGTAGGGCAGGGTTACCCATCTTGACTCGGTTCCAGGACATCTCTGTGTTGTCAATTTCGTAAGCATGACTTGCACGTATGCATCCTCACCACTCAACGCCTGTACTTCATCTAAGGTGAAGTCGATCGCGCATACGTTTTCTGGTGCAGATTGCGAATGGTGAGCTCTCCATCACCTACGCCTGCTAGTTTAATTTTAATGATTTCGTATCCCACGCCAGCGAAACAATATGAATCAGTCTCACACCGCCACAGGTGATGCACACCAGTTGACAGGTATGGCCCCTTGCAAGCATAAACTTGCCAACTCAGGCCAAATACTGATTTTGTGAGTCTCTACCTGATGAACGAACAACAGAAGATGCCGAGGCATCTGGGCGGTTAATATTAAGATTTCCCCGCATTTGTGGGGGTGACAGGTCTGTCTTGCATCAGCGACACAGTCACACATATGTGAGAGCCGCGGCAATGGAAAGTTTGGTGTGACCATGCCTTGAATGGACAGAATAGTAGACCGGAAGAGAGATGCCGTGTCCAGGGAGGATCACGGGAGACCCATCAGCGGTTCATAGACGTCCATAACACTTCCAAGTCTTCTTCAGCAAATCTCTTTCAATCCAGTCCAACTTACCTAAACCTATATTCAGCAAGTCGTGATTCTCCCTTTCAAGATGCCTTGGAAAAGCCGATGGAACGTGGATATACCACAAGTCTCCTTACCCACCTATGTCTTTGGATCACCCTCTGCTGCTCTGCCGGAAACTCCTCTCTACTTCGACGCAGAGAAGCCGGACATATACCATCTGTCGGCATCCGATCTAAGACAATGGTGCAAGCGTTTCGCAGCTGGTCTTCAGAAAGCCGGCTTGAAGCCCGGTGATCGCGTGCTACTTTTCTCAGGAAACACACTCTTCTTCCCAGTAGTCTTCCTTGGTACCATCATGGCTGGAGGCGTGTTCACCGGCGCCAACCCTACTTATGTGGCTCGTGAGCTGGCATACCAATTACAAGACTCTGGCGCAAAATTCTTGCTATGTGCCGAGGCGAGCCTGGACACCGGTATCGAGGCAGCAGATACCATAGGACTCTCCCACGACAAGGTCTTCGTGTTCGACAATGGATATGCAACTTTCGACAACACTGGCAAAGGACGCGGGGATGTGAGACATTGGAGCAAGTTGCTTGCAAGCTCCGTGGAGAGCTGCGATTTTGCTTGGGAAGAATTGAGCTCCGAGAAAGAGCTGGATCGCACCATTGGCCTCAACTACTCGTCAGGAACAACAGGTGTACCGAAAGGCGTCATGATCACCCACAAAAACTACGTTAGCAACAATGAGGGTGTGGTTCGTGTTGCGAAGACCTTGCCAGATTATGAAGAGGCTAAAAAGACGGCGAGGTGGCTTTGCATGCTGCCAATGGTACGTACCTCTGGCTCGATTCAATTTTCAGCATTTTTCTAACAATCGCAGTATCATGCCTATGGTCAAACATACTACTGTGTAGGGACAATTGCTCGTTTGATCCCGACTTATATCATGCAAAAGTTCGACTTCCTCAAGATGCTGAGTTATGTGGAGAGATACAAGGTCACCGACCTCACGATGGTACCGCCGATTGCCGTGGCAATGGCCAAACATCCTGCCTCCAGACAACATGACTTGAGCTCAGTAAGACAAATCGGATCCGGTGCGGCACCGCTCGGGAGCGAAGTCTCAAAGGAAGTTGAGCAACTGTGGCCTCAAGGCAAGGTGAACATGAAGCAAGGATGGGGCATGACAGAGTGAGTAAATCTGTTGCTGATTGCGTTGCGGAAAGCTGACAATGAACAGANNGTAACTTGTTCAGCATGTAGTTGGGATACGAGCAAGACCTCGAACTCCAATGCAGTAGGAGAGCTGAACCCCAATGTTGAAGGCATGATTGTAGACGTAGCATCGGGATCCGAGGTACAAAGAGGACAGCGAGGTGAACTTTGGGTACGAGGGCCTACCGTGATGAAAGGCTATTGGAACAAGCCAGATGCCACCAAAGACACTCTCACAGCAGATGGGTGGTTGAAGACTGGTGATGTGGCCTATCTTGATGAGGAAGGCCATCTCTTCATCGTAGACCGCATCAAGGTGAGCACGTAAAAGAGCGAGAATCAGAAAACTTGACTGACCAGATGATAGGAATTGATCAAGGTCAAAGGCAATCAGGTAGCACCTGCTGAGTTGGAAGCACTGCTTCTCGAGCATCCAGCTATCGCAGATGCTGGCGTAGTAGGAGTAACAATGTATGTGCTGCAAGCCAGAAGCGATACAGGTCGGATACTTACAATTTGCAGAAAGGGGGAAGAGCTCCCGCGAGCCTATCTCGTACGACGCGCAGACCAAGTAGTCGAGGCTCAGGACATTCAAGAGTTCATGAACAGCAAAGTCGCAAGACATAAACGTCTAGCTGGTGGTGTTGTGTTTATGGAGGCAATCCCAAAGAACCCTGTAAGTGCTTCGAGACTGACACAAAAGACACGAGTTGACATGAGAACAGNNTCGGGCAAGATCTTGCGCAAGATTCTGCGTGATCAGGCAAAGGCTGAAGTGGGAGACTCGGAGGCCAGAGCAGCGCGTCTATGAACTCGAAGGACATTTTTCAAGGATGGTCAGAATAGCCATGGAAAGTGTTGTAAGCATCCAGACATGCGACGGACATCATCGTATCTTCGAGTTACTGTGACCATGGCACTGGGAAGATGAATGCTCGGGTGTCACGTAAATGGGTTTAGAGCTCGGATCTTGGTTCCTCATAGTGAAGACAAATCATAATCAATGGGTGCAGACCGCGTGGAGGCGTCCTCAGAAGCGTCGCCAACTTTGGTCCCTAAAATCTTGGCATGCTTTTGTGCTCGCTTAAAATTCTGTGCGGATAAGCATCAAAGCCGCACGGATTTTCTTGCCTTTCCACGCCCAACGACCCCGTCAACCACCGACAAGATGCCTTTCGTAAGTATCACCGCCTGCTCCTGGAGTGCCCTATGGCCATCGCATTGATGGCAGAGAGTCCCTGCAAGATGCTTCGGAAGAGTTTCTGAAGCGCAAATTGCTGACTCGAGGATGTTTTTAGACCAAGCTGGTCAAGAACGACGCCTACTTCTCGTAAGTGCACATCTGTAAAATAACTGACGCACACAACTCGAATGCTAACAACTCTTCAGGCNGCTACCAGGTCAAGTACCGCCGTAGACGCTCGGGAAAGACCGATTACTACGCCCGCAAGCGTTTGATCACCCAGGCCAAGAACAAGTACAACGCCCCCAAGTACCGCCTGGTCGTTCGCTTCACCAACCGCGACATCATCTGCCAGATCGTCTCCTCCGAGATCACTGGCGACAAGGTCTTCTGCGCCGCCTACGCCCACGAGCTCAAGGCCTACGGTGTTGAGCACGGTCTTACCAACTGGGCCGCCGCCTACTCTGTCGGTCTCTTGATCGCCCGTCGTGCCGTCCACAAGCTCGGCATCCAGGACTCCTTCACTGGTGTCGAGGAGGCTGATGGCGAGTTCACCCTGACCGAGGCCGCTGAGGTCGACGGTGAGGAGCGCCGCCCCTTCAAGGTCTACCTTGATGTCGGTTTGACCCGCACCTCCACCGGTGCCCGTGTCTTCGCCGCCATGAAGGGTGCCTCCGACGGTGGTCTTTACGTCCCCCACTCCGAGAAGCGTTTCCCCGGTTTCGACATTGAGACCAAGGAGCTCGACGCTGAGACCCTCCGCAAGTACATCTTCGCCGGTCACGTCGCCGAGTACATGGAGACTCTTGCCGACGACGACGAGGAGCGTTACAAGTCCCAGTTCCAGGGATACATTGACGACGACATTGAGGCCGACGGTCTTGAGGAGCTCTACCAGGACGCCCACAAGCAGATCCGCGAGGACCCCTTCAAGAAGGCCGAGGGTGAGGAGAAGAAGTCCAAGGACTTCTGGAAGGAGGAGTCCAAGAAGTTCCGCGACAACAAGCTTACCAAGGCCGAGCGTGAGGCTAAGATCCAGGAGAAGATCAAGGCTCTCTCCGCCTAAATGCATTTTCATCAGCATCAAAAGGGGTATGGGGTCGTCGATCATGGACGGGAACTCGTGACGTCTTGAGGGTTTCCTCCACGTTTATGACAGGAGCTTTCGGCGTCAATGGCCTTGCTTTAAGGATATCATGGGTGGGACAATGTGCTACGGCAATTGTGGTTGCTTTTATTTTGAATCAAAAAGTCTGCAAAGCAAGGTCATCAAACCTTTTTGTTTCCCTGTGAAAGAGATTGTGATGTGGTGATCCCATGGCTATCTTGTTTGCTCGAATTCTATAGACCATGTGAAGAGTACGTGACGTTATTGGTTCTGCCCCTCAAGTCAATTGCTTCTGTAAGCCACCTCGTTGCTGTATGCGCTGAACGTGCATAAGAACTTTCGGAAGCGGCGCGAGCCGAAGGGATTTTCAGACTCGCCAAAGCTCGCGTGCGCATAGCAAAGCCAAGCCCATCATAAGATAAACGCAAAACATCTCGGAGACAGCGTGTAACGAATTGCCAGATTGGTGTGTCAGAGCGCCAGTGTTCGCCGATTTACGGCGCAATTATATGTTGTCCGGTCGCGCTATGGCGACATGCCTAGACCAAGCGAGCAAAATGTCCGAAAGGCATGGAGCCGAAGGTCACAAAATAGAAAAGGCCGACTGCACGCACGCATGATGCGACAAACAGACGAAAGCTATACGCTCGTCATAGTAGACCATCAGACTTGGTCGACTCGATGAGTTTCGAGCAGACTGTGTAAGCCAGTGGCAGCGGCAGTAATTAGTATCCAGTATCACGCGGTCGAACCAAGGTCGTCTCTTCTCCACACCCGCTGATCTGGACCCTCCCGCTACACCAGCTCCCGTCAATTTCAATAAGACCGACCCCTCACCCCCGAGGAGCGAAGTACCTGTCGCATTTCGATCAATTGCTATCTCCCGTCGCACTGCACGCGACGACTCCAAGACAATACTCGAAATCAGCAAGAGCATGGCCTAATCACACGATACCATCTACCACAGCACCCGATAATGGAATCCGTACACGGCGTTGACGTCAGTTGGGCCCATCAGCCAAACAGAGACAGAGGTGCGCTCTCTACCAATGCCACACAGTCCAGCTCGCATACTCACGCCGGAGCAGAACACCCACAGCATGAGCCCGTGGTTCACCGAGCCCCCGGCACTCCTAACGACAACCCTCCGCCCGTCTCGTCGCACGCTCGTTCTCGCTCCTCTTCGNCCTGTAGAATCAAAGAAGGCACCACCACTCCCCTCAAAGCCTCCTTCTCCGCCTCGAAACGCTACACCGACTCAGCCCCCGTCTTCAAACTCTACCGACTCGTCCAATGCAGCAGCCAAAACTNNTCGTCGCGTCGACCCGGTATCCTCAGTCGCTCTTCCTCCCAACGAGAGGGCGCCGATGGTACCAGGAGTTCACGTAGAAACTCGTGGATCTCCAATATCAGCTCCAAGTTCTCGTCGCAGGCCCCTCCGTCTCCAAGCGTGCCCCAGACTACCAAGTCACAGGCCAATGGCACGAACGCGGGTCCATCCAGCCAATCTGCGAGAGACAATCTGGTCACGAGCCCCACACAACCGACAGCGAATCGCGAGGCAGAGGAACTACAACCGTACGTTCCGCAAAGGCCAAAAGAGTCCAACAGCTCCTTCTTCTCCAACCTTACCCGCCGTCTGTCTTCCGGCGCTCAGAATGCCGGGACCTCCCGTCCTGGCGAGAACGGTGGCATGTGCCCGCGACGCGTCTTGAACACCAACCAGAGTCGCGAACGCTGCCTTTTGCCAGAGCTGGATTCTGCCAAACTACGACGTGTCGCCTTCTCAGTCGATGTTGAAATCGCCTCTGGGCCGCGATACAGAGACGACGATGCTGGGGACGCTTCGAAACAGAAGAAAGCAAAGGACAAGAAATTCAAAGAACGTGGAGAAGGAGAGGCTCTGAAAAATCCGCAAGCAGTCACCGAACGCAAAGAGCAGTCTGATGCGGCTGCTGCTTCTGCCGACGATGNNCTACTGCTGCTAGAACCAGATCGCCCGAAACAGGTCCTGAAACTAGCGACAAAACCACGACCTCTGAAGACAACTCGAGTTCGACACCCGAAGAAGATGCTGCGCGCAAAGAACGGAAGGAGAAAAAGAGACAGAAGGNCCGAAAATAGTGGCCAACTTCCTCGTGAACTGAATGGTGACGTCTCTCCGAGGCAAGTTTCTTCAGCCAACCAGACCCCTACGGCGTCAGGTGCAGCAACTCCAAAAGACCGTCCAACGACCGATCCTGTGAGGATATACAGAAGATGTTGCCAGCTCAGAGAATCGCCTATTCTGAAACGTATCACCGAGCAGCTTATGGCAGAGGACTGCACTTCGCCCGAGGATCCTGGAACTGTTACTCAACTCAATCTCACCGGATCCCGGCTCCAATTGGCCGATTTTGTGACTCTGAGCGACTGGCTCGCAATTGTTCCTGTGAAGCGATTGTTGCTCGAGGATGCAGACATTAGTGACGAGGGACTGCGTGTCGTCCTGTCTGGACTGCTCGCTTCCAAAAAGCCTCAGCCTACTAGGCGGCGAAACGGTGCTCGTCAGGTTCCTGCCAAACCTACGGGTGGAATCGTGGAGAAGCTTACCCTCAAGAACAACCCGAGGATATCGAAGATCGGCTGGAAGCACATCTCTATCTTCTTGTATATGTGCCGGTCGATCAAGGCTCTCGATGTTTCGATGCTAACCTTCCCTCAAGAACTACCGCCATCTGAACCCAATTCAAACATCAAGGCACCTAGTCAAATGCCCAAGACCACTGGCAATTCAGTCGATGCTGCGGAGACCTTGTGTAAGGCATTATCAGGAAGACTTGGCGGATCTCGCCTTGAAGAAATTAGCATGGCAGAATGTGGACTCGCACCTCATCAGATTCGTAAGATTGTTGATGGAGCCACAGTGTGCGGCGTCGCCAGACTTGGATTCGCTGGTAACAAACTCGATGACCAAGGGTTCGAACACATACTGCATTACGTGCGATCGGGCGTCTGCCAAGCTCTCGACGTGGGCAGTAACGACCTCAGAGGCAAGCTTGGTAAGCTTGCAGAGGCCCTAAAACACAACCCTGATTGCCCAGTCTGGGGCCTCAGTCTTGCTGGCTGCAGCTTGGATACAAATTCATTGAGGGAACTCCTACCCACCTTGACAACATTACAGAACTTCCGCTTCATCGACATCAGCCATAACAGGAACTTGTTCGTAGGTGATACTTGCACGCTCCAGTTACTCAGGAAGTACTTGCCCAAGCTGGACAACTTGAAAAGACTGCACCTTATCGACGTCGGTCTGTCAGTGAAGCAGGCCATATCATTGGCCGAGGTAAGATGATCTCTGCCGACTGTTGGTTTCTGATATTGACTTGCATCAGGTATTGNNCCCGAAGGCATCTCGCTTGCCCATCTGACCATTCTTGAAAACCCTCAGTTATCTGCATTGTCTCAGGCGACCGACGAGGACAGCCAGGAGGAAGCTTGCGCTTTGTATGCTTCGCTTTGCGCTGCTGCACGAGTGTCAAATTCACTTGTCTGCATTGATGTTGATGTAAGTCACACTGTTCTTTTCTGTTCCAATACGGCGCTAATAAGTTCGACCTAGGTTCCTGGTCCTGGCCAAAGCGAGGTAGTCAAGGCGTTGGCGAAGCAAATCGTTGCATACTGCCTACGTAATATGGACAGAACTATGGCTCAATCGTCTCTACTGCCTGCGGCTACCATGCTTTCCAAGCAACATGGAGTCGAGGACGCCAGACAGGCACCAGTTCCGGATGTGTTGGTACATCTCGTGGGACACCTGGACGGAGATCGACTATCCGACGGCAGCGACGACGAAACAGCACCAGATGATGATTACATCGTCGGGGGTAATGGCATCATCAAAGCTTTGGAATACTTCCTCGGACAAGACCAGTTGGACAAGCGCAATGGTAGCATATCGCTATCAGGAACCACTACGCCGCGAGACATTGGCAACCCAGCTCAAAGTGAAGTCAAGAGGAGAGGAAAGGCCAAGGAGGTCAGTAGGAATCTGCTTGACAGTGCTCGCAAGCTCCGAAACCGCTTGAAGCCTGCTTTGGCCAAGGAGTTTGCGGCCGGTGATGAGATGAACTACCGCCGTCTGCTCTTCCTTGATCAGACCTTGAGTGGCATGATTGAAAGATTCGAGGATGAGTTCCCGGAGACTCGCCTCCATCTGGACCTACCACCACACCAGCAAAGCTTCTCTCTGTCCTCCTCGCTGGAGTCGACGGAATCTGGACCGTTATCCAACGACTTTATGGCCAGCTCTGCTACCACATTCGGAACAGAAACATCGGCTATCGAGTCAGATCAGGATGAAGAACTGCATGTCGGTGGCAGTGGCTCTATGAGAAGGAAGGCTAGCGACGTCAGTCTGGCATCGAGAGCACTTGCAATTGAGGAAGGACGCATCCATCGTCTGGGACACAAAGTGCGACAGGACATTATCGATGTGCCGATTGGTGTACAGACATCCGAGCCAGATGCGCACACGGAATGGGCACCAGGATCCCATATGGCTGAGATTGCCTCCAAGCTGGGAGACATTTCGGGTCCGGAACTCCGGGTGATGCTAGACCAGAAAGGTGGATGGGAGGGAGTGATGGAGAAGATGGGGGCCAATCTGGAGGAGCTGCAGCAGTTGCAGATGAAGGATCCCCAAGGATGGGAGCAGTTCAAGGAGAGTCAGCTCAAGGCGCGGGCTAACCGGGGCGCACCGATCTTCCTGTGATATGGGCAGCTTTAATTGCACTTGATATGTTTATGAAAGGTGGGCAAGGAAAGGTTTTCTCCAAGCCGAATTGGGCAAGCAGGCAGGCGTTTGGATGCTAGCTTCTATGGCTGGAAGGATACTGTACCTTGTCATCAAATACCACAGGCGTATTTTTCAAGACTCACAGTCATGGGTCCTACCAATGAACCGATTACTCTTTTCTGCGAGAAGGTGCACCCCGTCAAATTTCTTGGTTGGAGGTATGCAATGCGGATTGAGCCAGGGGTTGGAGTGTGGGGAAGGAGCGAGGGACCTTCTGCATGTGAATGTGCCTAGCCTGACACCTAATCGATAATTTGGTCACGTTTGCGACTTTGACCTCCGTTGCTCTCGTCTCTTTTTCAGTCCTTTCTCCAACTCGCGCCATCCAGAGACAGCACAGGGTGTTACTCGACCCCTTTCGTTCTCAACGACGTCACCAACTGGCCAGCTTGCGCAGACCCGCATTGCACTTTATGCAGCAATCCGCCCACTAGGATCGACCTGTTTGCTGCACTCATTCATACTGGCTCCCGAAGGCCTTCACCATGTCGTATGCTTTACCTCGCACTGGTCCTGATGCCGGACGATCACGATTTCAATCGAAAGACGATGCTTCGACCGGCAGCGCAGGCGTGGCCGAGAAAATAGGAGGAATGTTTGGTGATAGGAGGCCCTCGTTGCCCATGTACAAAGACAAACCCTTCGCCAGCTCCTCCCACAGATTGCCGTGGTTCAGAAGGAAACGCTTCCTTGCTGCATTGCTGGTCGTCTTTACCACAACCTTCTACTGGTTAGGCCTGTTTAGTGCCTCCGCCCCTAGTGTCTTGGAAGTCCAAGAAACCTGCAAATTGGGAAGAGCGAAGGGAACAAGTAAGAGACGCTTTCAAGCTGAGCTGGGCAGCCTACGAACAACATGGCTGGGGCTACGACGAGTTCAAGCCTGTCTCGCAGACAGGCCGTCATATGGTCAATGGTGGTATGGGCTGGATCATGGTAGATGCTCTCGACACTCTCATGCTCATGAACCTCACCACCGAACTCTCTCACGCTAGAGACTGGGTTTCGACCACTCTACACTACGACATTGACCACGATGTAAACACGTTTGAGACAACCATTCGCATGCTCGGTGGTTTGCTATCTGCTCACTACATTTCCACCACTTTCCCCGACTACGCTCCTTTGACAAGTCACTCTGCTACTGGTGCTTCCATCAGCGAGGACTTGTACTTGGAGAAGGCTGCAGATCTGGCCGATCGTCTTCTCGGCGCATACGACTCCGACTCTGGTGTGCCTTATGCCAGCGTCAACCTTCACACCGGCAAAGGCATCCCTTCTCACGATGATGGAGGCGCCTCGTCGACTGCTGAAGCCACCAGTCTTCAACTCGAGATGAAGTATCTGGCCAAGCTGACTGGCGAGGTCCACTACTGGGAGAAGGCTGAGAAGGTTATGCAAGTCGTCGACGACAATGGCATGGAGGACGGCCTTTTGCCCATCTTCATCTACGCTCAGACTGGAAACTTCAGGGGCAACAACATCAGATTGGGTAGTCGCGGTGACTCTTACTACGGTATGTTAGGCTGAAAGCGCGCATCGACCAGCAACTAACATTCACAGAATACCTCATCAAGCAGTATCTACAGACTTCAAAGCAAGAGCCTGTCTACCACGAAATGTGGGACCAGTCCCTCGCTGGTATTCAGAAGCACCTTATCACATACTCACAAAAAGCCAATCTCACCATCCTTGGTGAGCGTCCCTCAGGCCTTGACCAACCAATCTCTCCTAAGATGGATCATTTGGTATGCTTCATGCCGGGCACTATCGCTCTAGGAGCGACTCAAGGTCAAACACTCGCCGAAGCCAGAAAGTCGGCATCCTGGGGCAAAAAACAAGAAGGCGAGATCGAACTGGCCAAGCAGCTCATGAAGACCTGCTGGGCAACATACAAGGTCGCCGCCACCGGTCTTGCTGCAGAAATCACACACTTTGAAATGCACGATCCTCCCGCCATGATGCCTGATGGCATTCTTCAGTCACCTGTGACACTGTCAGACGACGTCGAGGCCGAGTGGAAGAACGATTTGATCATCAAACCTGCTGATGCACACAATCTGCAACGTCCCGAGACTGTCGAGAGTCTGTTTTACATGTGGCGCATCACCGGCGACGATATCTATAGAGAATGGGGTTGGCAAATGTTCGAGTCCTTTGTCAAGCACACTGCCGTCGACCACAATGGCGGATACACGAGCATCAACGACGTCAACTCGGTCCCCACCTCTGCAAGAGACAACATGGAGAGTTTCTGGCTCGCAGAAACGCTAAAGTACTTTTACCTGCTGTTTGGCCCGAACGACGTCTTGCCGCTTGACAAAGTCGTCTTCAACACTGAAGCTCATGCTTTCCCCAACTTTGAGTTGGGTAAGTTGTTCAAGACTGGATGGAAGCGCAAGGCTAGAGATTCGAATGGGCAGATTGTTGAGAGCACTGCTCCGAGAGATGCCATCACTGGCGATGTGAAGAAGGAGGATCAGGCTGTGGCTGCAGGCATCAAGACGGTGACTGTAGAGGCTGCCAAGACATTGGCAGTAGAGAAGCCGGTCAAGGTGGAAGAAGCATAGTTCTACTTTTTTTTTAACAAAAGCACAGTGTGTTGTTTGAGATGATTGTTGCATAGCGATCTGCAGACTATAAACACAAGTACGAAAGAGCATCTATCTATCTATACATACATCTAATCATTGTCACTGAAATTCTCCTTGATCTCTACTACTCAAGCATCCACACCATCTTCAACACCAATAACCCTCTTCGCAACAACCAACCCCTCACTCCCCTCCCTCAACCTCTTGACCAACTCCTCTCCAGCAACCTCCAACAACCCTCTATCAATCGGACTCAACGCATCCAAGATAAACAACGCAGCCCCCGTGTCCTCCTTCAACTGCGTCCTAACACACTGTCTCCAATTCCAATTCCTACACGTGACACCACCTTCATCACACCAAACCACTTCCCCCTTTTCTGGTTTCTCGTCTCCGGCTTTGGTCTCAAACTTTTCGTCTCCAGTGGCGCGCATCAACCGCGGGAACCCAATATATGCATCCAAATCCTCGCCGCCGACACAAACATTACACTGCACCGAAACCGAATTGTAAATATCCGTCAAGCGGTTGACTCTCGGTAGACCCCCTCCCGCAACAGCTCGTCTCGTCAGAGCTTCAATCGAACTCTGGTATTTCTTGGGCTTGGCGCCAAAGGATTTATAAGTGTCGCGCCAGGCTTTGATGGCGGGGATTTCGGTCACGACGGTGGAGGTGGAAACTCGGGCTTTGGCGGCGAGTTCTGCGGTTTGGAGGTGTTGGTCCGAGGATGAGTCGCTGGGGGAGGGTGTGATGCCGTCGACTGCTATCAGGAGAGCGAGGTAGTCTGGGCGTAGCTCAAAGACGGTTTTGGCGACCGTCGCGCTGTCGACGATCCTTTGAAGTTCGGTGATGGAACGCATGGTTGAGACTGATGTGAAGATGAACTGATGAGAAGAGATGGAGTTGTGTGTTTTGCATCCTTGAAACTGCGATAGCTTCGAAGTATATATTCATAGAAGCTCGGGCCAGCTTGTCAATCGCAGGGCGTGAAAAGTCAAAGACGACGATGTGAGGAAGGTTCGAGATATCCCGGTCACTCTCGACACTGACTGTACTTGCCTGTTGCTAATTGAAGTGCATCACCTACCTCGAGTCTTTCGATTTGATAATGCCTGCACGTGGATCGGTATGAAATGGTAGACTGCAAGGGTGACGACGTCATCTCCCTTTTGTTCATTCTTATAATACCAAGAGCGAATGAGAGGCACACAGAAGAGAAAAACAAGCTATGAGAAAGAGAAAAGAAAATGCAACGCTTGCTAGCTGGTCTGAACAAACGTGTCGAACCGCATAGCATGGTATAGAGAAGAAGCGGAAAATAGTAGCATGAATGCAAGAAGATGGGGAAATGGGTAATGGGGAAAGGAGAATCGAAGGAGAAAAGTAACAAGCAGAAAAAACCTCTTCGTGTTCATCTTCCTCTCCCAAAAATTGTAACGCCATGAGTCGTCAAACAAAAGGTAAACCTCCCCATCGAATCGGGGATTGGTTTGCAGTAAGGACGATTTTGTGCCATCGTTCCTCGTGCAAGAGGAAAGACAGGTCGTCGTTGAGAATGTCTAATATTGTGCAGAAAAAGGATGACAAATGAATTAGGTCGTGGCGAAGGTGTTTTCGAGACACCATGCTACAGCACATCGAAGATGTTGCGCTGGATTGGGAAGGCTCCCTTTTGTGGCGGGCTACGCGGGTCTTCTCTTCCGTTGACGGCGGCAGCGTTAGACCTCTCCACGTCAGGCTCTCCAGGAAGATTGGTGAAGGGGTTTTGCGTAAATTCAAAAGCACGTGGTGATGCCAAAGCGTCCATGAAGTCCGGCTCGTCATGCGTCAACTCAGCCTCGAGCTTCGATTGCATGTTTTGCAGCTCTCGTTGCTCGCTCAAGCTAGGTGCGCTGATCTTGGGTCGTAAATTAAGACTCTTAGGCACCTTCTTCTGTGACTTGGGCGCCTTCGGGGCAAGACGCTGAGGTCTGAGATGTGGTAATACTGCCGAACCCATGCCTAGTGCACCAAGCAATGACTCGCGGTCAAATGGAGACTGCGAGAACTCTGAAGCGCGTGGAGACATCAAGCCAAATTGATCAGCCGAGTCAGCCTCTTTTGAAGGTCTGAGAGGCGCCATCGCAAACTCAGTAGCTCTCGGGGACACCATGGGAGTGATGTGTCTTCCAGAGTCCTGCCTGATATGTGATTCAAGGTTCAGTGACTTTGGTCGGTCTTTTAACCCTTTCGTGATTTTGGGTTCGAGAATGGGGTGGTCTTCTGAGATCTGTACAACGGGTACTGTGCGGCCATTTGGATCCACATACGCTGCTTTGCTATGAGCAAATTCTTCCGATTTCTTAGCAACGGGTGCGGTGTCATCTGATGGCCAAGTGAGGCCCGAGGGGGCGGAGGAAGGGCCTGGGCTGACAGCCAAAAGATCGGGATTGCGTAAAAGCTTTGACTGTGCCGTGTCCGGTGGAAGAGGAGCAGTCTTTGGTGATTTGATCCCAGGCACACTGCTACCGTCGTAGGATGCCGGGCGTCCCGTCTCGGTGAAACCAAATGGAGGCGAGTTAGGACTCAGACCACGAGTGTTACCGAACCTGCTCTGAGGCCTTTGCAAGGTTGATCGAAACTCCTGCAGCTGCATGATCAGGTTCATGTTGGGTCCAATCCACCTGCTTCGTTTTTTCACATCATCGTATGCTTCTTGAACGCTCATCGAGGGGTTTTTATATAGAACGTAGGCCACAACCAGTGTCGCCGATCTGCTCACGCCGCATTGACAATGGATTAGAACACGTTTCCCAAGCTGGATGCGTTCGTCAATGACCTTGACTAGGCGGATGAGATCAGGGACAATGTCGGTATTGTGCTCCCAAGGGATATGGATATACTCCGGCTCCGGTTTCGTGGACTCTTTCGACTGAGGCGCAGAAGTGATATCTTTCATGAATGGATTTGCCTTGGGCGTAGTTGGCGACGACTCGATCACTGGACTCAGATACTCTCGACCAAAGCCATTATGAGAGATCAGATTGTTGCGCTTTGGGGCGTACTGGATACCGCCTCCACCATCGAGACGCAATTCCGGACCAGAAGGTTGAAAGGTTGCAAAATCGAAAGGATTCTTGACTTCGCTAGCGACATTGAGGATGACATCGTAGTGTGAGGCCTGTGCGGCTGTTGGTTCCAGGTAAAGATCCAGGTAACGGCCATAAACACAAATGGGTCCATCAGGATAAGCTTCGGGTTTCTCCTCCTTCGATTGTGGTACGTCAAAGTTCTGATCTGAGTCGTTGGTTTTGAGGGGTTCGCGCATGTGTAGAGGCAATGCAAACTCTTTCTGTTCTTGTTGTGTTTCTGAAATTGGCTCTTCGCGAATCTCCTCGGCGATGTGTAGGGGCAGAGAGGGTGATGACTGGAAGTGACGAAGCACATTGGGGCGAGCAAATGATGGAGTCGGAGGCACAACAGCGCGTCCGTTTTGAGGCAGCGCCTTGGTGTTGGCTGGTGTTAGGATGGTCAAGCCGAGAGTCTTGCTAGAGCGCCTCTTTGTAAGACTAGGAGGCTTGGAGAAGGATTGACCAAGGCTATCTGAGCTCGCGGTTCCTTGAAGTGATGATGACATGGGCAGAGACGTGGTGGATGCGGCTCTGGACATGACGAAAGCGCCTGATGTATTGACGGCAAGATTCTTGAGGTTTTTTCCTTTTCTGCCAGGGGTAGCAGATCGTTGCAAGTCGAAAAAGGGTTGTGGTGAGTGCATCATGGCATTGTCTGAAGTATGCGGTCTAGTCATGCCAAACGAAGAAGGGTAGGGCTTCCCTAACGGCGACTCTGGTGAGGAACCTGGAGACATCTCTGTCGCCGAAGAGTCGTCGATGATGGATGCGGTTGTGGTAGGAGACGAATCCGCTGAGGTCGACGCAGATGTGGACACACTCTCTTTGTGCTGATGATATGACTCGAATGGTTTCTGTAATATTGTACCTGCTCGCGAGACATCACCGCCTGGTAGCGGTTTGCTCGTGCCCACAGGTCCGTGAAGGTCGCCGATCATTGCAATGTCGCACACACTACTTGCGGATCAGAGCGGCAAGCTTGACAGAGATGTGGAATTGATATCGGAGGGGCCAAGGTGAGGAATTGTTCTGGATCGTGGTCAGAAGCGTGGTCTGCTTGTGCTACGATCGAGATCGTCAGAATTCGGAACAAGGGCGATCTTACAGAACCAGAGGCGGGGCCTTCGTCGCGGGAAAAGTTTGCGAATACAACAAAGACAGGCAAGGTCGACAAGTAGGTGTAAGATGGTGAAGGATAAAAGGTCGCCAGCAATGGTCAAGCGGACAAATGAGAGCAAAGTATTAGAAGCAAGATCGGCACTATAAAGCCATTTCTCGAAGCAGTAATCGGCGAGTCCGAGCAGGCGGCGAGTCGACGGTATGGGTACCCGTAGACGTGAACAGGAGATATGTCAAGATAGGGTGGGTGGAAGTCTGGTTGGTCGGATGAAATGTGTTAGCAGGGCGCTTCACAGAATCTACATGTGTGGTTGACCAATCATAATATGAAGCGGTTTGTAGCCGCGCTGGGGTCATGCAGCAGCCGCATTGAGTGCAGTAGCGCCCGGAACTCTCTATGACAAAGAATAGAAACACTTGTACGGGCTGAACAGAACTGTGGACGGACAGACATACATACCAGGAGGTCTTGTGATGGTCGAGTCCAGTCGGCGTAGAAGAGGTATGACGCGAAAGCTGATGTATCTGCAAGCCGAAGACTTGTTCTGGGCAGCACCAAGGAATGTTGTTTTTGTTCGACTCGGGGTGTAATATTAAGGACTGTTCAAGGAGCAGTCTGGCGGATGGGGAAAGAGATTCGTTTGCGAATAACGCGCCGGCAGTTGTTGTCTTTGAAACGGAGGCTGCAATTTGATGCGAAACCGTGCTGGTCAACGGCGCTGGGAGGGAGGTGGTAGAGTTGAGGCCGCCGAAGCTGTGCTGAGGAAGGGTCGAAGTACAGTGTCGGAAGCGTGTGTTGAGAGCAAGAGCGGGCAAGGAAGGCGCGAACAAAGAAGAGGCTAGGTATGCCGGGGCGCAGTGTCGTCGATGTCAGGTTGTCAGGTTGTCGGGACTTGGGCGGGAAGGGTCACCGTTTGTTCTCGGGAACAAAGCAGAGGGCGATATTAGGAGGTGCTCTCGGTCAAAGGACAGCAAAGAGGGACAAAGAGCAAGAGGATAGACCGGCCAGTCCACTGGGCGCGCTTGAAGGAGGAGAGAGATGCTGGCACTGGCACTGGCAGTTGCAGGACCACCACAGAAACGGTCGAGCGCCAAGGGCCTGCTATTTTTAGTCGCCAGCTTTGTGTTGTTTTCTGTGCCGCTACTTGTGTTTCATGATTCGAAAACTCGAAACGACTGGCCCTATTGCAATCTAGTTATGTCGATGACACGACCGGCTCAATACAACAGCAGACTCTTTTTCCTTGAGAGCAGCAAGATAATAACGATGTATTACTCGGTGCATCGCGTACCCACACATCGAGTTAGGTCAACGGCACCGTGGATTTATTTCTAATTCGACACGAGGTCTACGGGCAAGCCGCCGAGGCTCTTTGAGCTTGTCATGGCCATCGTGCCTATGGTGAGCCAACGGTACATAGCTGCTGCCCACCTGGTGCAAACGGTCCGCAGATTGCTTTTTCTTTCCTTGCCTTTTGGACGTGTAGGCGGAGACGAGAGCGAGGAGCGGTTCTGCTGCAGCAAGCACCTTTTGACACTTCTCGGCGTGTCAGACATTATTAGGGCAGTTCAACTAAGCGAGATACAGGCTTGAGTCCTGGGGCATGTTGGTGATTTATGAGCAATAGCCGTGAATCGCTATAGCGAGGATAGACCAGATCGAGTCTAAGCACGGGTTCTCGAGATTGGCGGGATCATGGTTGATGGATGCTTGCTTGATGCGAGAAGTGGCTGGTTGATGGTTTGCAGGGGAAGGCTGAACAGGCAAGCGAACAGCGGCTCTCCGCGAAGCCATCGCCTTTACACATGCCATCCCCTCGCTGCGACCCTCCACTGTCTCGAACGCCTGCTGCCTCAATCGCGTCGTGCCCGATTGCTACCGTCCCGTCATTATCCTTTGCGTATACTGCTCGCCGATTGCGCGCGTCACGAGTTTGTCACTTCTGCTGGAAGAGCTTTGCACACAAAGAGTAGGGAAAACAGGAGGGAAAACAAACACCTTCAGCATCCAAGTCAGGCGGGCAGCCTCCACAGAAAAACCAAGACCGCATAGAAGAATGCTCCTATGATCACCTCGTCTGGAAATGTCGACCAGCGATCATGACAGTGCCAGTCAAAATAGGAGGGTAAGCGTGTCGAGGATGCGCAAGACAGTCAATCCTACCGACGATCTGTTTTTGAGCCTCGCCATGGACGGCCCCGAGGCGGCACATGGCANNAAGGTATGCCCGGCCTGGATTGAACCTCGCGCAATACACGCTTATGCAGTCCCAGTGCCCTTGCGCAAGCCATTGAACGTGCGAGAACGCGCTCCATCCAACGAGAGTCTCAATGCCACCAGGCTGGCCGAGTTACGTGCCCAACACTCACCAAGCCCTGCTCAGACCGAACACAACAACAGCCGTACTCCCTCGCTGCGTGCCTCTATGCGCAAACCTCGCTATGCTGTTGGAACAACCACATCGTCGTCCTTCGAGGCCGCTGCCCGCGAGTGGAATGCGTCGCCCGATGTCCTCAAGTTCCCTTCCAAGCGTCCTACTGGATCAAACATCTCCGACGCCATACCAAAACAACGTCGCATGTACCGTGTGGGAAAAGCATATGAGCCATTGACCAGCTCTCGTAACCTATCTAGTCTCTCTGACCGTCTCGCCCAAGGCCTCATCACACCGACCATGTCCCCAGCCCCTACTGCGCGGAAAGGATCCAATGCCGAGAGTGAATCGGTAGATTCTGTCAATGCACCTTCGACCGTGTGGGACGAACTTGACGATCTCAAATCACGTATTCGTAGCCTCGAAATTGGCGGCAAGCCTTCGCCTTCCAGTGCAAATGCCACAAATCAGTCTTTCGAACGCCCTCGTACAGCAACCACTGCGCCGACTACTATATCTTCCTCGCCAAAGCATGCTCGAAAACAGAGCAGTGTGCCGGCCGATATCAACACTCCTGGTCTGTCCACAGCTAACCTGCATCCACTTTTACATAGTGCCCTCGGCAAAGCCAAGAACGTACTCAACCCACAACTCTATCGTTCTTTGGAGGCAACAGCTTCTGACGCTTTGGCACTCGCTGCCATGACAGGCAGTGGCGGACCCCAAGGTACTGTGTTCACGGCTGCATCCATGGTCAACGGCGCTGCCGTCTCTGATAGACACATCAGAAGAAAGGCCGACAGCATGTGCAGGAATCTCACTGATCTTTGTATTGCACTCTGTGAGGGCAAATCGGACCTTGCAAGCCCCACTGTCAAGCCCACTACCACAAGCAAACCTCAAACGCAAGCTGAAACGCCATCATCGCGTTATGCTCGTAGATCGAGTCTCGGTTTGCAGGATCTTCAAATCAGGACTGAGGCACCCAGATCTGTGAGCCGTCTCGACAGCCGGAGGAGTAGTTTACTTGGCTTGGGATTGGGCAACACTATCAGCACTAGTCCGCTGGAAGCCAACGATCAATACCTCAATCAGGAATTGTCGCCTAGTCATGACCAGACTGACTATGCCGCTCGCTATAACCGCCCGGGTACCAGTATGCAACGATATGCTCAACCCGAGGATGATGTCGCACAAGACATACCCTCGCGCGCTCCGTCTCGTGCCATGACGGACATGGGCCACATGAGACAATCGTCTACACGCAGAACAGATTACGGCGGCGGGGTACAACATTCCCCTAGCTTGCGAGAGACTCTGGCAGCTCGACGGGCAANNACGCAGGGGAAGGCAGTCAATACGGGTCAACGTCTTCTCACTCAGAGGCAGCAAGACGCATCTTGGAGCGTCGTGCTGCAGTCCAACTTGAAGAGAGCCAGTNATGTGCCTAAGAGGCGCAGAATCGCCAGCCTGACACAGTACTCACCATTGAGCCCTCGAATTGGAAGCGAGCCTGTCCGTACGAGTAGTCTCTCGAGGAGACGCAATCTGATCGTGGAATAACGAAGTTCATGGTTCTCTCTACGACTTTTCTCTTTCTTGTTCTCTTCTAGATGCATATACATACATAGGGCTTGGACTGCTTTTTTGCGCCAACAAGGCTGCATTTCTTGTAAAACTGGCTATGAATAGATGGCAACTTTTCACCAAACGTCCTCTCATCTCGTCGCACGTAAAAGATTGCCGAAACCTGATTCTCCAATGTGCCACAGCGAACGTCAAAGATGATGAGCGACCAGCCCGGATTTCTGGGTGGCTGAGCGTGACGCACCACACGGAACGCACCACACGGGTACCAGCCCACGTCACTGTGCAGGACGCGGCAGAGCATGTGAAAGAGTTGGTATCAGTTTGCTTGGGTGTGTGATCGATCTCAAGAGCTGTGATACAAGAACAAAAACATCTCGACTCTGTCCTTTTTCCATTTCCAAATCTCCATCTTATCCTTCCCATCACACTATACCACCAAAGCTACATTCATAGATACGCATCTACGACACTATGGAATGGTCAAAGAAGCAATACAACCAGCAGTACGAGAACTGGTATCCCTGGGTTGAAGACAATGTTCTCTACTACTTCACCAAGGATAACNAAGGCCTCATACGCTACCAAAGGTACGTTTACTCGCTCTGCGACTCAACAGACCATCATGCTAACCTGTGTTCGACAGACCAGCTCAGCAAGACCAAGATCACGGGCAACGAACAAGTCGACAACCTTCAGGACGGTGTGAACAACCTCGCAGCCGGCCAAGTCGGACAGGGTGGGCTTCTACAACCCGTTGGTGACAAGTTCTCAAAGGAGGGCATCAACCGCGCCGAGAGAGGAGGCAAGGACGATAGCGGTAGCTATGCTGGCGCAATGGGCTCCAGTGCTCAAGCTGGGGCCAGCAAAGTCAGCGAAGGCGCAAAGGGCGCAGGCAGCTATGTGGGAAGCTTCTTTGGCGGCAAGAAGGAGGAGAAGAAGTGATCAAAGGTCACTGATACTATTCTATCTCACGAGTAACATGATGGGCATTTCCTCGACTTTGTGTTTCGGTTTTCTGGGTTAGGCTTTCGGGAGCAATCAACGGTATACCATAATAGCTTTGCAGAAACCTTGCTTCCTTCGTCTTCATACCACCATACCTTGATTCGCAACACTTCAGCGTGCATCTTGCCGTCTTCTCTGCATGCCCAAGTCCGTCTCGCCCGATGCACAATATTTTACGGCGAGCGTATGATGACTGGCGATTCAGCACACTCTTACACCAGTTGGACCCCTGAAAAGACCTTGCATGTCCACAGCTCATCTGTCGCGCTACACCATGGCGATAGAGGGATAGGTAGGCGTGACATCTTTGAGCTCACGAGACAAACGACTGATGGCCTTATGGTGCTTGGAATGTCTCGACTTCCCGTCTCTTCATCACAATCAAGATCCTGATTCAGCCACCTGAATTTTGACGTCAGATCAAGACCAAGATCGAGCAAGTATAGCCGGTACGAGCAGATCGCACTGAACGAGGGAAGATCGTCCAATACAGCTCGTCCTCCATGCAAAACGACCTCATTGGAAGTTGAAACCGCAGCGGGTTTGACTTTAGTCCCCAAGACAAGTAGTGGTCGACGGGGCGTCAGCATGTCGTCGATGCGCCCGAGTTGGTCGGCCTTGGAATCTCTCATTCTTTACAATCTTTCGAGTCTATAGACTTGACCTCCTCGTTGTAACCTCAGACGACCCTTACCCTACTACGACTCCATCATTCGTCATGGTACACCTTGACTCTCCCGGCCCGGATACTGGCATCTTCACCACGGAAGAAGTGCGACCGCGATCGAAGCCTTGCAAGTCGACGTCACGGATCGTTTCCCTACCACGCAACCACTACAAGGAGCCGCCGAACCTCGCAGCAGGATTCCGATCACTCGACCTGTCTTGTGAAGCACCAGTCAGAGCGAACCTGGTCGCAGACAAAATCACAACAGACTCGTTCCGTATAACGCTGGAGACCTGGGGCGAGAAATCGCTACTCTACTCGGCAAGCGCGACATGGATTGAACACAAAGCCTACGCCAAAGACTGCCTCTTTGGCCAATTCGACACGCACGATCTACCAGCGAACAGCGAAGCAAACAAGAGGNGGGCACAACGAGAGAATTCGAAGGACTTTGTCTTTCCTCAGGCTTTCAAGGACGACTGCGAGGTCGTTTGTTGGCTAAACCGGCTTGATATGGCAAGTGGCGATAGGAACTATCGCATAAGGGCTTACGCGACCAATATCAGCCGCACAGGCTTTACGGCGCATATCGACACATGGGGTGATAGTCTGTTGTATGGAGGAGCCATGTGCTGGATCGCTTTCCCAAAGCGCAAACGCTACGTCCAAGCAGGCAGCTTCCAGACAGGGGATGTCAGAAGCTGGAGCAATCCAATTCCTGAAACGAGTTCGCAGGCCAAGTTTGACGAGGGTGTGTTCAAGTCGCATAGACCTGCCCCTACGGTCCTTTGCGCCATCAACATGATTGACATGGCCGGCAATGCAGACCTACGAGTCTCTGTTGACGTGACTGATATCGATACACAAGGTTTCCGTTGGTCTTTGAAAACGTTTGAGGACAGTACACTGTATTCTGCTGGTGCGAGCTGGATAGCTCTTGGTTTCGCATGAGCAGATGGAAATCATCTGGGATCGAGAGAGACGAGCACAAAACAGGCTGAGGCTGTGATGAGCTAGAGTCGCGTTTAGAGGAAGCGAAAGCGAGGATCTGGTATTCAGCGAGGGGGCTCGCACAAGTCGGTAATAATGTATAATACCTTGTAAGTATTTGCTACGGTAGAACAAGGACATGGTTAATGGAAGCAGGTTGTCTCGAGCGCAACACAACATTCACTCAACGTGTGTTCTGTACCGTTTCGAAGTTGTTCCCCTGTCATGCTCCCCTTCATGATCCACGTTTGTGTTCTTTCGTGAGGTGACAGCCGTGGGGCCATGAGGTCGAATCAGGGACAGTGTAACAAACATGACAAGACAGCAGAAGCACGCAAACGACCTATCCAGCAGCTTGTGATGTTTCTTGCTTCGGTCATTTTTACGTCCGAACCGTGACTTCTCAGCGAGTGAGAACAACTCCTGGTTTGCTGTGGCTGTTCGGCTGACCGGTTCGCAGCCAATGACTGACAGGTTGACAGCCTTGGTGGACCTTCACTTCCGACTGCATCGACATTACCTTTTTCTGTCATACCGCACTAGCAGCATTTTGTTATTGTCGGTTTATCCACGGAAAAGCATATAATACGCGCTTCTGCTTCCTTCTTACCGCCTGCCACTCCATTCGTTGTTTGAGCTGTCTGACCATTGATCCACCACTCACCACACGCCAACGCTTGCTATCACGCATTTTATCTTTGAGTCACAAAGACAATGGCACCCAACATTGCTCTTCAACGTGCTCGTTCACAAAGCAGCGGCCGCCGCAGACAACTCCTTCTCCCTGCAATTCTTCAACACATTCAAGACGCACGCATCAAGTCAAACTCGCCCACACCCGATTTCATCACCAACTCTATCAGCATGTCATCATCCATCGACCTTTCTGATCTCTCGGAGGCACTCGACTCGCCTATCACATCCGACCAATACAAGGAAATGGCCAAGGCTAGAGGAGTCCGATTCAACAACAGAGTCAGCATAGTCGAGATCCCAGCCCCGAACAGGACCAGAACCGTCGCGTTAGTTTCAGCGAAGAAGTCATCGATATCGACACAGCCGAGTCCACACATCCATCTCCATCGCCTAGCCCACGTAAGAAGCNGTGTCCGCTTTGGCTGTCTCAAGACCGGTGTGCGCAAGCATCTCTCGCACACGTCCATCTACAAGATGAAGAACTTTGAGACAATCAGCCCCCTCATGACGCCCAAGAAGAGAGTCCGTTTTGGCTGTATGAAGTGTGAAGCTCCCATCATCACTCACACCAATGCCGAAGTGACTGAGCTGCTGGCCGAGGAGGCTGCCACTTTCAAGCGCGAGAAGAGAAGAGGCTCGAGTTCAGACGCTGATAGTGAGATGTCCGATCAGACGTCTTGCTCCGAAGATGTCGAAGTGGATTAAACGAGTGTCACGAGAAGTGACGACAAAGGCGCCTGAGTTTGATGTCATCTTCAAGGATGTTACACCCAGACAAATAATGAGGCAGGGTGGCTTTGCTTTTGGTTTGCTGATGCAAGCAAGCTTTGGGCCAGGTTGAATTATTGAATCATGAACACGACTTTGATGAAAGGTAGACCAGTCAAACACGAATTAGAGGGACTGGGTTGGGCTGCACCGGGGCATCCGCTTTGTTGCTGCGTGCATGCCGTTAGAAAAGAATCAAACAAAACGTGTTCTTCTTTCCACGTGGATCTACTCGTGCACCCTCTTGCTTCTCAACAACAATTCAGTTCTTGTACTCATTGAAAAACAACATGAATGTTTCTTGGAGTAGTGACGATGCCCAAAGCCTATCACTGGTATAGACTATTCATCCATGCGCTGTCGCGTGCCTCGGCGCTCGGAGATAAGGTCCGATGACATATCATTACCGCTTGCGGACACCTAGAACATTCGAAGACACATCCATGTCTAGATGCGACCAGCAGCTCTTTAGCAACTAGGCCTCTACCCGTCTACAACTAGCCACGCATGCACAGCGTGACAGAAATTCGATAACCCCTCGTCTGGACTGCCGACATGGCTCACCTCGCCGAGAAGCTCAAACAACAAGGCAACGATCTATTCAAGGCAGGCGACTACGCAGCAGCAGAGGAACGATACACGGCCGCAATCACAAAGTTCTCCCGCAATCCTCTGCTCTTCACCAACCGTGCACTCGCTCGCATCCGTCTTCAAAGATGGCAGGGCGTCATCGACGACTGCCTCCACAGCATCAGCCTAACACCGCACAATGGCTTCAACTTCAAGTCCTACTTCTACCTCGCTCAGGCCCAACTCGCCCTTCATCATCCCAATGAGGCGCTTTCTTCGGCTCTGACCGCATACAACCAAGCCATGCATCCTCCCCCCGCCGAAGCAAACAAAGCCACCGCCGCCCTCCCCTCTCTCTCCGAACTAGTCCTCAAATGCAAAAAGGACAAATTCGCAGCACGCGAACGCCATCGCAGACGCAAACGAGGCGACATACTCGCCGAACTAGAAGAATCTCTCGAACACAACAAACGCGCCGAACTCCAAACCATCGAGCGCTCGCTCTCAACCTCCAGCATCGGTGTCGTGGAAGCCCAAGAACGCAGACAGGAAATCCTAGACACACATCAAAAGAAAATCGACGAGCTCAAAACGGTGTTTGCGTTGGCGGATCCCGAGAATCATCAGCCTAGGGAGGTTCCTGATTACTTGGTCGACACGATTAGTTTCGAAATCATGCATGATCCCGTAATTACGGGCACGGGACATAGTTATGAGAGAGCGACGTTGTTGGAGCATCTGAAAACCAATCCTACGGATCCATTGACCAGAGAACCTTTGACGGCCAAAGACTTGCGGCCTAATGTTGCTTTGAGGCAGGTGCTCGAGGAGTTTTGGAAGACGGCGGGGACTTGGGCTATCGATTGGTGAGGAAAACAAGCATGTCCATTTCTCGAATAGATGGCCTTTTATCTTTCTCCTTCTGCTCTTTGGATCGGAAGAGCTTGCATTCTGGGTGTTTTCAGTCTCTCATCTTTCTTTTTTGTTCTGTTGGGCATAGCGAACACGGCGTACAGCATCCGCATTATACACAAATCTTTCCCATGGCATTCTTTCTCCCCCCTTTCCATCGACTCAACCTCGCTATTGTTGCTGCGAAACAGAATGCACGGCGTATATACATTCGACGAAACTGTTGGTGGACATTGAACCGCAGCACATTTCTCCTCTGACATCACTTTCGGTCTACACAGTGTACAAGCATCTACAGGACTTTATGGCGGCATACACGACGAAATACGATCATCTCGCTTACATGGTATCAGTCTGAGATTGATGACATGCTGAGATGCTACACACCTTTCTGATCACATATCACTATATCATTCTATGCAAACAAAGGTATAGACCCAGAACAGTGCTAGTTATCCTAGATCTAGACGCTATTAGATCAGCGAGGTTCACAAAGAGATCTGGGGAAAGTGGTAACAGGTACATGTGTACATCACAAATCTGTTTCTTCGATGAATCTTTGGCTAATCCGATTCTTGCAGTAATGTTGCTTGCATTGCTCATCATACTGTCAACGATAGAAACACATTACATTCTTAGCAACTGAGCCACTCAGCCATCGGAACCTGCTCGTGCTGGGACATATATGGTGTCGACAATAAATGTATACGGTTGGATCCAGTGGATAGAAATCCTGCTCCCAGAAAGACTCACATTAGAAAAGACAAATGGCGATCATAACCTCAATCTCACACTCACAGATACATGCACATGCTACCAAAAGAAAGCCCCTCAAAGAATCAATAAATCAAAACAAAAACATTAGAGATCAACAAAAAAAAAAAAAAAGAGGTACCTCGTCTATTGTACCATCACGTGCCATAGTCCCCAGCAATCATATCTCTCGATCTTTCTGATTCCACATTCATGCATGCACTTATAGATTTGCCATCCCGTGCTTCTCGTTTTTGGCTTGGTCAATCGGACACTAGCTTAGCACAATAGCCACTACATGCCGGTAGACGTTGTTATGCTCCTCCTTCTCTCGTCTGTCCGCCGTTATACCCCTGAAACTCCACCCCGACCAGCGGACCGGGAACCAGCACAGAGCACACCTTACCCGCAAACCCGCTTCTAAACACTTCGCCCCCTTTCCTGCAAACAGGCATCCGAGGACCGCGTTGAGAAGTCCTTGTCGAGCCACAAAGCTGCGCCGCGGAAGAGACACAGTGCTGGCTAGAAAAGTATGAGCAAGATGATGGCAAGAAGAAAAAGGTTTGTGGGATTTCTGAGAACGAAGACACTCCTCGACTCTACGGAGGAACCCAGCCTTGCCGTAGAGGTTGCTAGAGGAGGACTCGACTCTCTGTGTGTATGCTAGAGAACTACGAATACAGAAAACTCCTGACCAAGGCACCGCCGATTCGGGCTAGACCACTTCCTCCCTCTCCAGCCGCCTTAAAACAAAGGAAAAAGATAAACAAAGGAACAAAACAAAGAAACAAATAGAAGCAAGATGCGTCATCAGGATTCTCAACCTCGAAAAACAAGGCCACCCGAGTGTCGAAACGGTGTGCCATAACGTCTTCTTTCCGCCCCCTTATCGTTCTGTCAAGGGGGCGGCGAGCGTTTGCCTCTGTTCGCTCGAATCGAGCGGTCCAACAGCTGTCGAGATCGCGATCGATAGGCCAATGCCAGCGATGCTTCAAACACCAAAATGGAAGGTGTGATCGAGACTCGATTGGGCGTAGTGCCAAGAAGAAGAAGAGAGGATGAGGAAAGAATAAAGCAGAAAGATCAAGAATAGGTGCCAGAGAAGCTGGTTCTGAACGAGCAATGCTTTAGAAGCAACGCAAACCATGAAATCGACAGAAAAAAAGAGAAGAAATATCTGGGGTATACAAAGAATTGAAGAAAAGCGAAAGACGAAGGATAACTCCGTAACCAACCCAAAAACATTTCCACCTGGTAGAAAACGGTCCGACTGAAGAAATTCGCGAAGATGAAGAGATAAATGGAATCAAAGATTATCCGGCGAACACCAGTAGTGAAAGGCTTTAGCTTTCACTCGCTCATGTAGCTCGTAGCCGATCTGTGGCTATTGTTTTTTTTGGTGCCTTTTCCACTCCTCATTGGGTGTGATGCTCAGTCCGGCCAGCAGGCTGTAGTCTAAAAGACACATACTCCTACAGGCTGGCAGGATCAATAGTGCCGTACTGTACGAAACTCGACATGTCGATCTCCTCGCCATGCTGGTTGTGGAGGTCGTTAGGGCCTAAGCTCGGGCTGTGATATACATCATGGTTCTGAAGATGCGAGGGGTGGTGAGCCGGCGTCGAGAAGTTGGAATCGAGCATCTGGGCCGGTGATTGGTACATCTTGCTGTCCTGGAACATTCCTGTACCGTTGACTTTTGGTGTCTGGTAAAGGTTGTGGCCGTGATCAGCATGGCCCATGTGAGTGGGCGACTGGAAAGCAATAGCGGAGTCTTGATGCATAGCCAATTGCGCGGGGTTGGGCGACTGCTGGTGCATAGGTGTCTCGTTGGGCATGCGGAAAGGCAGATTCATCTTGTTTGCAGGAATTGGCGAGTTGTAGTCATAGTGAGCGTCCGAGAGGGACGAGTCGAAACCCATGTGCTCGTCGGGAAGAGGGCTGTGGAAACCCATACCCATTGACTTGTTGTATACATCGGACGAGAGGCAAAGAGCATCGTCGCTCAAGCCGTTGTCACCTCCGGGTGTGCCGAAGATGTCGTCTGACTGGCTGCGACCAAGACCGTTAAGCGGCGGCGACTGGTCAGCGATCACAGGATCGCCTCCGCTGAGGCAAGAAACAGGTGTGTTGCTGGTACCGATCATGGCGGATGGGTCGACAGAAAGGAATGAACTCGAGTAAGGGGTGTTGAGGTTGGAGTGCGCCATCATGTCGCTTGTGGGACCGGGGTTGAAGAAGCCAGGAGTACCGAAATCGCTAGGAGAATTAAGGGTAGTGGCAGACATGGGGCCGGCGAATTGTCTGAAGTCCATGCCATAACCAGCAGAAGTATCGATGCTGAGGTTGTTCGGGCCCATGCCTGCGGAGAAGCCATGGTGATGTTGAGGCTGAGGGGCGAAGATGGCATTGTCTTGCAGAGGCTGAGCAGGTGTGTTGGGCTCATGCTGGATGAGGAACGAAGGCATAGGGTTGTTTCTCAGCATCGAGAGGTCGATGGCAGCAGGAACGGAACGACTGCGTTGTCTCTTGTGGCCACGAGGAGCAGGCGGGCCCATGAGACCCATGGCAGAATCTTGGAAGACGCCCGAATGAGGGTGAACCAAGTGGTTAGGCTGACTTGCGGGTCTGAAGTTGACGGGCGAAACGGGAGCCGAAGCAGCAGCCATGGCAAAATGAGTGGGGTCGAGCATTGTGTGACGGTTCTGGAAAGAGTCGAGAGACACTAGCTTGGCAAGTTGACCGCTGAGGGCCTTGGAAGGGCCACCAAGCTGGTGAACCATGATCTTGCTGGCCTGCTGGTCCTCGGTAAAATCGCCGCATTCGTAGAAGCCACCGCTACCCGAGCTGTCCATGTAGAACTTAGGGGGACGGACTAGCTCGACCACCAGCGCGCCTAGTCTCTGCGAAGCGCCCTCTGCAGCACTTGTGACCTCGCCCTGAACAAGGTTGATGTTCTTGATCCAAGCGAAGGGGTACTCGATCTTGTAGCCAGCCGAGTCGTTGTTGATGTAGTATGTGACGCAAGCCTTCTCCGGTGAGTAGAAGATGATCAAGTCCATCTGGCTCTGGCCGACTCTGCGCCATGATCCAATCGAAAGCGAGCGGCATGCGAAGTGCTGGATGACNTGGATAGGAGTTAGCCATAGTCTTAGCAATGAAGACATGATCTCCAACATACCAACTTTCCCGCTGGTTGCATCGGAGTTGAGACTCATGGTTCCAGGGGTGTATCCATAGCCATTGCCGCCAGGGCCCATCATGTTAGGGAAGAAGCCCTTGCCAGACTCGAGCGCTTGCATGGCAAGATGACGTCGCATTGACTCGGGAATGCTCTCGCAGTCCTCACCATTCTCGATGCTCTTTCTCGCAATGTTCTTAATCTTGGCACGTCTATCAAGTTGTCAGATATGCGGAATGAATGATTGCTTTGACGTGAGGACTTACCTGTTCTGGAACCAAATCTGTACTGATCTCTCGGTCATGTTGATCTCATCGGCAATTCTCTCGCGGACAGCGGCGGTGGGGGTAGGGTTCTTGTTGAATTCCACTTCCAAAGTGATCAGCTGATCCTGAGTTGCGCGTTGTCTCTTCTGGTTCTTTTGTTGTTGAGTGAGGGTGCTCTTGCGCGGCGGCCTCCTCGAGGAAGAGCCGCTTGCGGTGAGAGGAGTCGCGGGCGAGGGAGTGCCGGGTGATGTCGAGTCCATTGAGCCCATGTCCTTGGAGTCCATGGTGTGTGTATTGATGATTATAGCAGGCTAAAGGATGAATTTGCGGATGCTGTTGATTAGAGGCCGCCAATGGCAGATGCAGCTGGGCAGTGTCAAAGAAGCAGGCACTTGAGGTCGAGGCTGAGTCTTGTTCGGGTCGTCTTTGTCTGCGTGTCAATCCGTGTGCTCAATCGAGACAATGCCGAGAGCAACAGCTGAGGGTCAAGCACGAGGGTCAAAGAGTCGGATTAAGAAAGAAGCAAGGAGCTTGTTGTTGTCGAGGAAAAGAAGGAGTTGACAACCGGAAGGAGTGACGGTCTGCCGAAACTGGCCAAAGCAGCGGGTAATAGAGCTGAAAAGCAGAAAGAAGGATGGGCGTGCGTAGTATTAGGCCGGCAGCGTAAGGGAGTGATGAAGCGGCGCACAGGAGCAATAGGAAGGAAAAAGAGAGATGTTGCAAAGGGAAAGGCGAGGATAAAGGACGAAGGTGCTTTGGGCAAGCGAAACACACACGAGGAAAGAGCGTGCCTTCCCCCCTTTGAGACTGACGGCTTCCTCGACGAGTCGGAGCAAAGTCAAGCACAAGCACAGGCGCCAAAACCGCGCGAATCACGTTTGAAACGCACGAGGCAGGCACGACCCACACCGACCATGCCGCTTCGGGCTGCGACCTCCACGGCCGCTCGTCTGTTTTCTGACTTCTTCCAATCGCCCGACCGATGTGCAAGTGATGCTCCCTCTGTGCCGTCATTGGCGTTGGCTGTCTGTTGTTGTCGCCCTCTCATATCTGCGCGTCCAGCTGTTGCTATCGCACTTATCAGACTGTGCCCTGCGAGAGCCAACGTGCGTCCGTCTTCAGGCACACGAACTCCTCCTCCTCCGATCCATCACTGTAAATAGCTGCTGCTGCCGCCGCCATCCGTCATCCTCCTCCACTGTTCTGCCAATGCCAGTCGCGCATGTCGCGAGACAACTGCTTGCCCTGCATGCAACCACTGCATCGTGCCGTGGGTTAACTTGTCTCCTCCACGACTCGGTCAGCATCTCGCTGCCTTGGCGACCAACTCGCGCGCCCCCATCTCCGTGCCCACTAGTCTGCGAGCAGCAGTCCACTATCGTGTCTGTGTCTTCTACTTTGGCTGCTCTCGACCGCGTATACGGCACAACTGGGTCTAGGTATACCAAAAAAGACCACAGCTAGAGTATCTCCTGATAACCCACAAGCACTGCATTGGCATGCTCTTCGCAACAGTCATCTAGACGCAACGTCCTCATGCGATTACATAGGAGTTCTCCTGTCCAACTCTTTGTCAAACAAGCTGCGTCGACGTTCTGCTATCTTTCTACCGCGGTCGATGCCTCGATTGCTTATCGGCCGTAACACCATTTTTGTCTTAGCTTTCTCTCGCTCCCTCTCTCTGCACGCTGAACCGGCGTCACGTCACAAAGCGCCGTACTCTGCCGGCTGCTGGTGCTCTTCGGACTCTGGCTCGCTGACCTGATCGGCAAGTTTTTGTCTTGGCCCCCTGACCCCTGTTCTCGTGGCTTGACGATCCAGGAAGAATACGCAGGCACCATTCAGGAACACCCGCCGCCAGCACGCACGAGCCGTCAACGTCGGACCCACCCAGGAAGCTCGAGGATCTTAACGGTCGGGGCAAAACACTAGCGTGGCGAGCCCACAGAGACATCGGGGCTTTGTCGTCCGGGTCTCCGGCTGAACCCTTTACAATCCTTGACCACCAGGGTCGCTGGATCTGCGTGCAACAACAATATATTAATTGAGGTTACTAATTTACAGCGCTTCCCCAGAATACCAAGCTACACTTGCGTGATACAGGCTTGTACCTCGCATGCTTGACTGCGTATTCACGTTATCTTGCAAAGAAAATCGTGTATCTGCCGGCGGCTGGCTGGCTAGAATGAATCATGGACACGAGTGTTGGTAGACTTTCTATTTTTGCTTCAGATATCCTTAGCGTCACTTTCTGTACCTTCGAAAATCTTTCCAAGTCTTGAAACATCAGAAAAGGTAGACGGTACCTCGAGGTATATCTCGATCGGATCTGTCCCATGATTCAGTTGATCCGATCTAAACCACAAGCAATGGTTGCGCCTTCCACGGTTCCGACATACGGGATGTCATTCCGGTGCAGAGACTGGTTTCGTATATTAGAAGGAGCGTTTGGCCGGGAGGGTGAAACACCACCCTCCGTGGAGAAGATGTACAAACACATTAGCCTTTTCTTATCTGACGTCTGTTCTACAGATTCTCGTTACTGAGTCTGCGTTGCTAAGTCAGAAGTATGAGACAGCATAGAGTTCAATGAAGCTCAGAAACCAACCATTGAGATGATTGCTCAAGCACGATTCGTTCTCAGCAGAGGGTTACTTCTTGCAAAGTCTCGTTGCAACGTCTTGTTCAGGAACATATGTGATGGAGTCGAGGTAGCATGTGCCGAATAAAGCAGGGCAGACGCTTGGTATCAAGTCCCACCTCTCTGTGTCAAGGCCACGCTAGAACATTCTCCCACCATTCTACTGCCAACACCTCAGCCCTGCCCGGAAGGCCACCATCGTAGATCCGTCACCTGAATTCAGCCCTCTTGTCGCACCTATTATTCCATTACGCAGCCCCAAGGCTGACTCTGCCATATAGTGCCCCAAGTGCATGTTCTCCAGGCACCCGTCGCATTCCAGAAGCGACCTTCTTGCCGACTTGCTCAGTGGAGATCGGGTGAGGCCTACCCGGCTCTCTAGACAGCTTTGTGGGTCATCAGCCGCAAGTTGTCAAGAAAGGCATTCTGAAATCATGGTGAAGCACAGAACCGCTTGCCAACGCGTCTCAAGGCATGGATACATCGACTAAGACTTGAGGTTTGTCTATATCGACGTCATTGTATGAACATTCGAACCACCGACGGCCCGCTCGAAGCGAAAGTGTCTGGGCCTGTCAAACGACTCGTTCGGCTTCATGAGTAATGCCTGCTTCACCGCCATCATGATACATATATCCGTGTTGACTTCTGTCCATGTGAGTCAAGCTCTCGCCGCCTTCGATCGCCTGACACGTGGAGGGTGCAATCTGGAAGGCCATACTGATGTGATCCTCGGGAAGGAATCAGACGACAGTACCGTACTCGAGTGCAACCGGCTGTATAGCTTTGAGATCTATGAGCTTTACATAGCTCACTCGCAGTGCTAGAGACACTCTAGGTGGAATGCCTGTGCAGTCTGATCTGTCAAGCAGGCGGTCTGTACCCGACGTGATTCGTGTGCTTATGCTTCTAGCATCAGATTGTAGAATAGCTTTGCTCTATCCTTGTGCGACCAGTACTTCTATTGAGAGATCGGAGTCTCGTAGGAATGCTGTCGGCGATGCCAACCGAACCGATCTGGTTACATTCATGTGCAGAAGGATAACCTTGTTGCTGTATGGTCTTGTTGAACCCTTCAACCCGATGCTTTACACTGATCCAAAAACAGTGTGGTACATATCAATTAAGAACATCTGGGTGCCGGGTTGTCCATGGAGACCTGCATGGCATAGATGCCAAGATTCCCAAGACGTCGATTGCGTGTTGTGTGCCTGCGTCGGCTGAAGATGTGTGCCTTGCGTACGTACCGCTGTTGCGAACTTGGTAACACATTCGGTTCGCTACAAGCCTTGGATCCAGGACATGATCGCACACACCGGGCAGAGAATTAGAAGAAGCCCAGTGACCCAGCGGCGCTAGGTAACAGGAAGCAGATAATCCCATGGTCTTGACTGGATACAGAAACAGCTCCAGCTTTGACTTGCTCAGGTAGCATTCGACTCCACAGGAGATGGAAATGCCTGATCCATCTGGAGGATCTTCAATCTGGGCCACTCGAGGTGTAAAGCCAGCGCAGGATCGAGAATCGAAGTGACGTGGTGAAGGACAGCTAACGGCCATCGTTCCAGCCACCAAGTATTCGACCTCAGTCTCATGAGCGCGGCATAATAAGCCAACACGAGAAGAGCAACAGGATGACGGTCCGCAAGCATGTTGAGAAAGAGTGTGTCGACGTTCAAAGGCCACATCTGGATATACATTGGTCCTGGGTTATCATGTTGGTTTGTCTCCAAGATGGCCATGTAGAAGAACAGAGTTTCGACAGCGCCTAGGCAAGCGATCGCCTGTTCATCTTGACATTTCTGTGTGACGACATTGCGCAAGGTCGGGTATACAGGATATCTATCCTCTAGTGTAGCCTTGAGTGCAGTGTGATCTGGAAGCTGCGTGGTAACTTTCTGGATACTTTCTTTGTGCTGGAGCACATCCCATTTNTGCTTGAGGATGGTTTTGATTCCTATGCCAAGATAGAAGGAATTGAGCAGTTCATCGACAGGATCGCGGAGTAAACCAAGACCTCTTGGGTCGTATGCAGGTTCAGCAAGCGCAAATATAGAAGTGGTGGCAGCAAATCCTAGTATTGCTTGACTGTGTTCGGCCGTTACGTCAATTATATGAGGCCGTACCTGAGACAATGCGGCGTGTTGATGAGCGGCTGCTCTAGAAAGTAGCTCTGATCGATGAGGCTGTTCCGAATAGAGGTGTAGCGCTGCCAATGCTAGGTTTGAATGCATCAAATATGGAAACCGAAGAGACAGCCGGCTCTCTTCCTTATCTGGCTCTGAGTCAGGCGTGATGGAGTACTGAGTACTTGTCAAGTTTTGGTGATAGATTTCGAGATCCGCCATTGGCAATGGTGATACTGGATCGCCATTGTGGTCTGTAATGTTGTGTGAGATGGCGTTGAACACCTTGGTGTTAACAGACACGTCCGAAGCAGGGCTCTGAGCTATTGCGAAGCTGCACTCGACTTTCCTCTTAGTACATCCACCACATGAGGGCTTCGCTTCATCGCACTATGTTCATATCAGCCGTGATCAGCTCAGCGTGTGAGAGAATGAGACCTTATAGTGCCGTTTCTTGCAGTTCTCACAACCCGCCCTCGACTTCTTGTGAGAGCGTCGTTGCCGCTCTCCTACAGGGCCTCCTCTCATTGTGCATGTCCGAGAAATGGGTGTACAGTATCTGCCAAGGTCAAATCTTTAGGAAGAAGAAATGTTCAAGCGAGGATCGAACGAGACAGTGATGCAGCTAGATAATAACGCCCATGGCTTTGCCAGCCCTCGGAGCAAATCCCAGCCAAAGTATGCCACAACGCACCACCATTGTAGGCTTGAATGTATGTCAGGATCACCTGACGGATTGGATAATACCGTCTAATACTTCCCCATGGAATTCTGATAAAAATTAGAAGTATATGTCCTGGTTAACTCTCAAGTTTCTCCAAAGATGGGGGTCCGTCAGACTGGGGTTTCCATATCTCGGCAGTCACAGCCGTGCGTTGCTGAGCCCTAGGTTGTTGGATCCCTTGTACCATACGGAGTCAATACGCACTCGAGACTTTCCATACCCCTTCATGTTATTTTTGAACGCGATTGCGCATACCGTTCGAGACGGACCTGCGGTCATTGGTCGCTGATATGACGATGATTTCACAGCCACCATATATGCGTATGGTACACGCGAATGTAGGCAGAGATATATAAGAGTGTGAACCCCTTCTCATGAGCTTGCACCACAACTTCATTTGAATATTAGCATCGATTCGTTGCATCGACCAACCCACCTTTCTCCTCCTTTACTTTGAACACATCGAGAGACCACATTCTACTTCTGTATTGTTCGACCACGATTGATCGGACAACATGGCTCTTGCTCCAACCAACATTGATCCGGATCACCTTGTGTTATATGCATATACTCCCTCCGCCGCGGCTGCCGGTGCCTTCATGGGCATCTTCGGTGTAGCAACTGTCGCTCACATATTCTATCTTCCAAAGCTACGCCAATGTTTCTTTATTCCAATGATTCTAGGTGGTATCATGGAAGTCGGGGGTCTGTACGGTCGCTATTGGGGACACAGCAGTCAGAACGACTTTAGGGCATATGTTTTACAGGCTCTCTTGTTGACTCCGGCACCAATATTCCTGGCTGCTACGATGTACATGACACTCGGCAGAGTCATCGTTGCTTTAGACTCCGACAAGGATCATACTCTCATCCGTCCTCGCTGGCTGTCAAAGATCTTTGTGCTTTTCGATATCATCTGCTTTCTTGTCCAGATTGGCGGTATCGGTATGCAATGCACCACGAGCTTGTCAGTTCAGAAAAGTGGCCGTACAGTGACCATCATCGGCTTGGTTCTGCAACTTGTCATCTTCGCCTACTTCATCATTGTGGCCCTCGTCTTCCATAGACGCATCAATGCTCGCCCTACCTCGATTTCAGTCCATCATACAATCCATTGGGTCAGACATCTACGCATTATGTACGCGACTAGTGTTCTGGTACTTGTCAGAAACATCTTCCGCATTGCAGAATATGTTGAAGGCTCAGATGGCCCGATTGGACATTCAGAAGTGTACCTCTACATTTTCGATATGGCGTTGATGGCAGGACTTATGTGGGCATTTGTCGTTGTCCATCCTGGTCGACTTCTCAGGGCCATCAGGAAGCTGAAGAAGCGTAGCTCACTGGACAGTGTCGAGGGAGAGAAGCTCGTGTCTCAAAGAGCACAACAACCGTTGGAAGCTTGAGCGGAAGGAGGGCAGAATAGTTTCCCGGCATTGTGATGAGAGAATTGACAGCTTGCTCTGCAGTTATATAGACTTCTTTTGTTTTCTTTTTCTTGTTCACTTTTTTAGATCGTCAGTCAGTAACATAATCGCAAATACTTTCTCTTTTTCTTGTTACAAATTTTTGCTACCACAATGCATTATATGGCAGCGTTCATTGCAAATGTCAACGGATATTCGGTGTGCGATGTTCACGAGAGAGAGAGAGAGAGAGAGAGAGATTATTGACGCGGCGTCAGCATCCGTCAGCATCGACCGAATTGGGCGGGAATTGACAGAAACGCGACTTCCTTCTCAAACGCGGGGACACATTCATCACGCGTCGACCTGCCATGATTTGCCTGCCCTCCATCACAACGACAACCATCATCAAGATGCCTGCCGCCAAAGTCAAGGACGTACAGCCAAAGAAGCGTGTGCTCGTCGATGCACCAATATCCCGTCAGAACGTCCAAACCGATAGCCCTTCGAAGCGCAGGAAGCTCAATGGCCAACCCAAGAACTTCAAGACACCAGGCGGTCCCGGCTCTAGTCAAGTCAAGAGCCAGTTCGAAGAGGAGGTCCTCGAGAAGTTGACTCAGGATCTTGATGACCTCAAGCAACACAATGCCGAGAAAGACCAACAATGGGCTCGACCGAGTCTGGACGACTTTGACGAAACAAGGGACAGTTTGTGCTTCCAGCAGATTGAAGCTGAGGAAGGCACCCTCCATGGCGGAAAGACCTGCGTCAAGCTGTTTGGTGTCACAGAGGTACCTTCAGCATCGTCTGCATACGCTCTCTGGCAGAGGCTGACCACATCTTCCCATCTAGNNACCGGCCACTCTGTCCTACTACACGTCACCGACTTCATGCATTACCTCTACGTAGCTGCCCCTTCGTCATTCCAGCAGAGTGATTGCGAGTCCTACAAAGCCTACCTCGAAACACATCTTGCCCAACACCAACCTGCCATCTATTCGGTACAGATGGTTCTTCGCGAAAACTTGTACGGCTTCCAGGGCAATGTGAAGAGTCCCTACCTCAAAATCACCGTTACCGACCCCAAGTATATCAACAAGCTGAGAACATCGATCGAGAGTGGAAGCGCCAATTACAAGGGCCTCTGGAAAGGTGCCGACGGCGGCGTCCTCACCTTTGACAGTATTCAATATGTGCTCCGCTTCATGATTGATACCAAGGTCCGCCCGCTCCTGAATATGACTATCCGTCAAGTTTACTGACAAAGCTAGGTCTCAGGAATGTCCTGGGTCGAGACTCCCGCATCCAAATACACTCTAGTCCCCACTCGCGATAGGCATTCTAATTGCCAAATCGAAGCCTTCTGCCACTACCGAGATCTCATTGCCCACCCTGCCGAAGGAGAATGGGCAAAGATGGCTCCTCTAAGAACTCTCTCGTTCGATATCGAGTGCGCTGGTCGCAAGGGTATCTTCCCAGAAGCCAATGTGGATCCTGTCATTCAGATCGCGAACGTCGTCACAAGATACGGAGAAGACAAGCCATTCGTGCGCAATGTTTTCTGCTTGGACACGTGTAGTCTGATAGTCAACACGCAGATCTTTGAGTTTGCTGACGAGGATAAGATGCTGATGGCCTGGCGAGACTTCCTGGAGAAGGTAGACCCAGATGTCATCATTGGCTACAACATCTCAAACTTCGACTTTCCCTATCTACTGGACAGAGCGAAGCACCTCAAGGTCGGAAAATTCCCCTTCTGGTCAAGACTTCGCAACGTGCAGTCGGTCGCAAAAGACACCAACTTTTCCAGCAAGCAGATGGGCAACAGAGATACGAAGGCAACCAACACTAATGGACGTCTGCAGCTTGATCTCCTCCAATTGATCCAGAGAGACCATCAACTGAGAAGTTACACACTGAATTCTGTGTGTGCACACTTCTTGAATGAGCAGAAGGAAGACGTTCATCACACTATGATCACTGAGCTCTTCAACGGTACTCCAGAATCACGACGAAGACTGGCAGTCTACTGTTTGAAAGATGCCTACCTTCCACAACGTCTGATGGACAAACTCATGTGTCTTATCAATTACACAGAGATGGCCAGAGTCACGGGTGTACCCTTCAACTACCTTCTCTCTCGCGGTCAGCAGGTCAAGTTCATTAGTCAACTCTTCCGAAAGGCTTTGGAGCAACAACTCGTCATTCCCAATCTTCGCAGCGAAGGAACAGAGGAACAGTACGAAGGTGCTACGGTCATTGAACCTACCAGAGGTTATTACGACGTTCCCATCGCCACACTCGATTTTGCTTCGCTATACCCAAGTATCATGCAGGCCCACAACTTGTGCTACACAACTCTGCTCAACAAGAATGCCGTGGACAAGCTGAATTTCAAGAAAGACGAAGACTATATTGTCACACCAAACGGCGATCTCTTCTGCACAGCAAAAGTCCGTAAAGGTCTTCTCACGCAGATTTTGGAAGAATTGCTAGGTGCCAGAAAGCGAGCCAGAAAGGAGTTGGCTGTCGAGAAGGATCCTTTCAAGAAAGCTGTCTTGAACGGTAGACAACTCGCATTGAAGATCAGTGCGAACAGTGTTTACGGTATCACAGGTGCCACAGTTGGAAAACTGCCCTGTCTTGCCATTGCCTCGAGTACGACTTCCTATGGTCGTCAGATGATTGAAAAGACCAGAGACGAGGTCCAGAAGCGATACACTATCGCCAATGGATACACTCATGATGCCGAAGTCATCTATGGTGATACCGATTCGGTCATGGTCAAGTTTGGCCCCAATGATCTTGCAAAGGCCATGGAGTTGGGTGAAGAAGCGGCCAACTATGTCTCCTCCAAATTCATCAAGCCTATCAAGCTGGAATTCGAGAAGGTCTACTTCCCCTACCTTCTAATCAACAAGAAGCGTTACGCTGGTCTATTCTGGACCAACCCCAACAAGTGGGACAAGATGGACAGCAAAGGTATCGAAACCGTTCGAAGAGATAATTGCCGCCTCGTACAGACGGTCATCGAGACAAGCTTACGTATGCTGTTGATCGATCGCGATGTCCAGGGAGCCCAAGAGTAAGCCATTGTCAGTAACACCTGCATCAATTCATTGCTAACGATTTGCAGTTTCGTCAAAGAGACCATCGCTGAGCTGTTGCAAAACAAGGTGGATATGTCCAACTTGGTGATTACCAAGGCATTGACCAAGAACGATTACGCCGCCAAACAGGCTCACGTTGAGCTCGCTGAGCGTATGAAGAAGCGTGACGCGGGTTCTGCTCCTGCACTTGGTGATCGTGTCGCGTATGTCATGGTCAAGGGTGCTGCCGGTGCAAAGAATTATGAGAAATCGGAGGATCCCATCTTCGTGCTGGAGAACAACTTGCCGATCGACACCAGGTACTACCTTGATAACCAGCTTGCCAAGCCTCTTGGTCGTATCTTCGAGCCCATCTTGGGTGAGAAGAAGGCAGGCCAACTTCTGACTGGTGAGCACACACGCTCTATCAGTGTTGCTGCCCCGACCATGGGTGGTTTGATGAAGTTTGCCAAGAAGACTGAGACATGCATGGGCTGCAAGAAACCGCTGACTGGCAAAGACGAGAAGCACGGCGCTGTCTGTGAGAACGATCGTGACCGCCTAGGCGAATTGTACCAGAAAACGTTGAGCAAGGTTGCCGAACTGGAGGTTCGCTTCGCTCGACTCTGGACGCAGTGCCAAAGATGCCAGGGCAGTATGCACAACGAGGTCATCTGTTCCAGCAGAGACTGCCCCATCTTCTATATGCGCATGAAGGCCAAGAAGGATGTCGAGGACTCGGGCAAGGAGCTTGTTCGCTTCGACAACGACGGTGCTTTGTGGTAAGCCGGGATTGGCTCTTTCTTGATAGGCGTTGATGGCCGTATGGGATACCATGCATTAGTTTACTTTCACGAAGAAGGACAGGGAAGAAGAATGCTTGCTCAAGCAATGTAATGAGTGTTCAGGGCGTGAATGCAGCAAGCACAAGCATCCGTAATGATATATAGCTATCACGAGCTTTCAATAGCACAAACATTTCTCTATCAACATTTCCATTGCCCACTTCCATACTTATGGATAAACACACCTTGAACTAAGTTCAATGGCCCCTTCACAGTGAACTTGTATCGACGCCTTGGACGTCAAACAGAAGCGTACAGTGCCAAAGAGAAACAAAGTACAGCTCTGTAAAGGCAGAAAAGGAACCAGACACAGAATTCAAATGCCAAAGAGCAAACAAATCTAGATTTGCGAGCGCAGTCCGCGCGCAATCCAAGAGACGAAACCCTCCAGAAAGAAACGAAAAAGACTGAAAACAAAAATGGTCAGAAGCTGCAAGGCCGATCACACAACGCATCAAAGTCATCAAGTCTAGAACGACAGAGCTTCCTCACAAAGTTTTGGAAGGACGCAGAAGTAGAGAGATCTACCTTGGCTCACTCTAAAGTTTGCATTGTGGTATCATGTAAGAGCAAAGTGGCAAGATTTGATGTGCAAGGTTGTTGGCAGGAAAAGCAGATGATCGATACTTGCTTGGATTGAAGAACTGGATACATCTATCAGCGACGAGTCACCCAAACAGAGGTAGGTCCTTTCGGAACAACAACGACTGAGTGTACATGCAGTAAAGCAATCAAGGATTGTCATCTTATTCAAAGCAGCAAAATCAAACACAATAAAAAAAACTTTGGATTTTTTACAGAGAAATATCGCTCGCAAAACCCAACAGATGGAAATCAATACAAAGTGGAAAAATAGCAACAAAAGAAACAAGGAAAAGAAATGCAAAAACACACAAAGACAAAACAAAACAAAAAAGAGACCGCTTTCCCTTTCTTACACCAACGCCTGCTAATAGAAGGAATTCTTAAAAACACAACACACAAAGGGAAAGAACGATCAGAAAACAAGAAGAAGCAATGCTTGTCTCCACAAGAAACCCGAAACAAGAAACCAAAAGGGAAAACCAACTTCCCACAACATATGCATCCGTTCTTTCCACATCTTTCCCTCTGTATGCTCCTCCCTCCATCGACACTTTGAGCCCAGGTTGTTGACTTCCTGTCGTTCTAGTTGTTTTTTGTTTAGATCGCTCAATGCTCGTTGGTCCAGTATGCTTCCACGATTCTTGCTACCCCGAGCCGAAAGAAAAGAAGAGAGAAGCGCGTATCTTTGTTTTTGACTTTGACCGTCCGTTCGAGTTCAGATTTGGGTGTCGAAAGCATGTGTTGAAGAGAGTCGAAATGGCGGTGAGTGGTTGAGGTTGCAAACAGAAGAACAAAAAGAATGCACAAGGATGCAAGCTTTCCTTTTGATAAACACAGAGTATCGAAAACAAGAGCGAAAGCGCCCCTAAGACATCCCCAATTTTGTGGCTCAAAAAAGTTCCCGGGTTGGTGTAAGTATTATGTATGGAATGTATAACAGTAAAGAAAAGAGATACAAGGGAGGTGATTCCTGCAGCCTCAAAGTCCGAGCATAGCAATCGGACAGTGCAGTGCGGGCGAATCCTTGTGGTATTTCCTTTCTCTTCTTTCGGCTTCCCCATGACGCTGCGTGAAATTCGTAGAGGCGGCAGAGAGAGTAAAGAGGCGAAAGATACAGAAGAGAAGTTGGAGGGAGGAGAGTGATAGATGCCAAGGGGGAGGATGGCCGAGATGGCATGGAGCCTCAACGAATAGAGCTGGGTGTCTAGCCGCAGCACAGAGCCTTGAAGAACTTTGACATTCCCGAAGGCTTCTGCTCGGGCTGTTGCTGTTGCTGCTGAACACGCTGTGCCTGAGCCGAAGGCTGAGTGGTGCTTTGCCTGCTGGGTTGGGTGTTTTGCAGACGACCGGGGAGGTTGCCGGAGCTGTTGGCGAACTGCGCAGCAGTCGACCCCTCTGGCGGAGCGAGATCACCACCTTGGCTAGTCCTCTTCTGGGCGTAATCTTGGCTGTAGTGGCGGTTTGTACCAGACTGACGCTGTGCTTGTGCGGGAGATCTGACGGCACCAGGCTTGGGGAGCTCCTGTTCAAGACGGCCTGGGGGAATGGGAGTCTTGCTGGCACGGTTGGCGTGAACATCGCGAGCAGAAGTGTTGGCGACGTTGTTGTGGTGTGCATGCAGGTGGGCCTGGCTGGGGTGTTGCTTCATGGCCTCCCAGCCCTTGCCGTTGTTCAGCTTCATCCAGTCGTACTCGCCGTCCTCAACCTCGCTACTGTTCTTCAATGCCTGGGTGAAGAGATCGCGCAGGTAGTCGTAGTCGGGCGTGTCCTCGAAACCAAGGTTGCGGACGTATGACAGGTACTTGTTGAACTCCTCTGCGAAACATGTTAGCAACNNAGCGTGTATGCTTGGGGGTGCGGTTGACTGCTTACCAGGGAAGCCCTCGCAGAGATCCTTGATGGCGGTGGTCTGCTTCTTCTCGCCAATTTTCTCGTATTTTTGTTTGTTAGTAGCAGCCTTCAAGCCTTGCCAAGGCAGACCACCGCGCAGGAAGTACATAAAGACGTGGCCCAACGCCTCGAGATCATCTCGGCGACTCTGTTCACGACCCAGATGGGTGTTGATGGACATGTAACGGGCTGTTCCACTGAGCGACTTGCGCTCGCGGTAAGGGATGTGTTGCTTCGTCTTTGGGTCACGGTATTGCTTGGCCATGCCGAAGTCGACGACGTGGATAACGTTGGCGGCCTTGGTTCCAGGGCGGCCGATGAGGAAGTTGTCGGGCTTGATGTCGCGGTAGATCAGGTTCTTCTCGTGGATGGTTTGCACGCGCGACAGCATCTGCTTGGCAACCATGACGACCGTCTTGGTGGAGAAGCGACGGTTGCAGTGGTCGAACAGGTCTTCGAGCGAGGGGCCAAGCAGGTCGATCACGAGGATGTTGTGCAGGCCTTCTTGGCCAAAGTAGTAGACATTGGGGATGCCGGCTGCGCGTGTGAATTAGATGAGCTGATGGGACAGTTGACGGGGATGGGACTAGGACTCACGGCAGCCCACGAGGATCTTGTATGTGCGGTACTCATCACGGAGCTGAGGAGCGTCGCTCTTACGCGGTTCCNNTGTCGGGGGTTAGGACTGGATGGCTCGATTGGGGAGATTGATACGGGCACGCACGAATTTAATGGCGACCTGGGTGTTGTTCAACAGGTTGGTACCCTCGAAGATGACACCGAAAGAGCCCTCGCCGATCTTCTTGCCGACGCGGTAGTGCACGCCGACGACGTTGGACGATGAAGACGACATGTTGTAGGTGTTGTCGGGGACGTGTCGGGCGTGTCGAGTCGCAGAGCTGGTCGCGGTGATGTGACTCCCGGACTAGAGTGGCCGATTGAGGGGGAAGAAATATTTGCTCGAAGCGTCTACAGGCGCAGGGGACGCCGACGGGGATGGTGTCGATCTGGGATTTCCTTGGGGTCTGGGAAAGAGGGAGGTTGGGTGTTTCGGTGGGTACGGGGAAGACAACAGCCTTCAACGACGACAGATCGGGCAGGCAGGACTCGGTGGGCACAACAGAAGAGCAGCGACGGTGACAACAGACGACAGACGACAGGCGCACCGGACCTTGGGGGGGCGCTCACGGACGGGCAGAGCGAGAGAATGCGGTGTGGATGGATAATGCAATCAATAGGCCTCCAAGGTAGGTCAAGGGTGTTGTTGTCGGGCCTTGATCTGAGCACGCTCCTTGGTCTTCGGCTTCGCCCGCGCCCCTTAGACTTTGCCAGGACGCGCGCTAGCCACCACTTAAACATGGAAATACCGCGCGCCCAGGCCCAGACAGGCAAGAGCCCGACTGTTCTTCATGGAGGCAGGAGCTGCTCCCTTGCTTGACAGCTCCAACACCAGACAGGTCCAGATCAGATATCAGTCCTGCTGCTGTCACTCTGCTTGCCTCGCACACATTGTCACGTCTCGCTCGTTCGACAGCACACGACGCTGCGGCGACGCGCCCAATCTATTTGCTCGCCGCACGATCCCTCTAGACAATCCGTCTCAAATTTCGCTTGCTGCGTTCCTGCCAACTGCACCAGTTCCCAATTTTCTCTTTTGCTGAGCGACCTTATGCTGGGCCATGCCCTGTCACCTATCATTTGACTAGACCATAAACTACGCCATTTGTACATCGCCGTCATCTGCAGTCTGCTGCGATGACTCGGCTCCCGCATTGTCATCCGCCATCTGTGCGTCCATGTCGGCACCGTCGTTTTCAGCTTCCTCCAACGTCTGTTTCAGTTGTCGCGCAGCTGCCTCTTCCTGTACACTCGCCGCTGCCTCCTCTTCCAGCTTCTTCTTTGCTTCTTCCACACACACTGCGTGCCAGCGATCCGCGTTGCACTTTTCGATCAGCTCTTGCAACTGTCCGTCTTGGATTACATTGTCGTGCATGATCGGGTCACGGAGCTCTTCGCTAGGGAATCTGCTTTGCAGCTCTGCCGCTGTGCATCCTGCCCCCAGTGTCTCGCTAGGTGTCATCATGCGGATGCCTGAGCCTGCATGGAACAGTNNGCTATTGCAAAAGTCAGCCGAGAACTTGTCTTCAATTTGTGCAAACTCACAAAGCTCTAGCCCACGCATCATCGTCTGGCAAGCAAAAGTGTCTCTGATGTGCCTCGAGATCAGCTTGTCCGTACGCTTCCTTGTGTTGTTGATGAATGCCCAATCGTCTTGCAGGTAACATCTCTTCCAAATCATGCGGAGGTTCGTCTCGAATCGCGCTTCCTCCATTCTGAACTTGCCGGCTTCGAGCACTTGCAACGCCATCAAAAACTGCTTGCCGATGATGTTGACCTCAGTGTCTTCGCTCTCCTTGATGTCCATAAGAGTCAAGATGTCAATCAACTCTTCTACTGACAGAG